CAGGAAACCAGGAAACCAGGAAACCAGGAAACCAGGAAACCAGGAAACCAGGAAACCAGGAAACCAGGAAACCAGGAAACCAGGAAACCAGGAAGCCACGAAACCAGGAAACCAGGAAACCAGGAAACCAGGAAACCAGGAAACCAAGAAACCAAGAAACCAGGAAACCAGGAAACCAGGAAACCAGGAAACCAGGAAACCAGGAAACCAGGAAACCAAGAAACCAAGAAACCAAGAAACCACGAAGCCACGAACTCCACGAAACCATGAAGCGACAGAATTGAATTTCGGGGGAAAGGGCTTAAAATCAAAAATTTTAAGATCTTAACGCTTCAAACTCAACCACGAAACGACGGCAAAACGTGGAAAATTTTCGAAATTTGAAAACGCGAATCCAAGGAATTAAATTTCAGCGAAAGGGCTTAAAATCAAAAGTTTTGGGATCTTAGCCTTTCAAAGTCAATCGACTCACTCTGAAAATGACGAAAAAAGTGGAAAACTTTCGAAATTTGAAAAACGCGGAGCCAAGAGGCTGAATCTCAGGGAGAGGGCTTAAAATCAAAAATTTTGGGATCTCAACGCTTCAAACTCACGAGACGCAATCTCAAAACGACGAAAAAACGGGGAGAATTTTCGAAATTTGAAAAACGCGAAGCCAAGGCATTAAATTTCAGCAAAAGGGCTTAAAATCAAAAATTTTGGGATCTTAGCGCTTCAAACTCACGGGATTCACTCCCAAAACGACGAAAAACGTGGAAAATTATCGAAATTGGAAAAACGCGAAGCCAAGAGGTTGAATCTCAGGGGAAGGGCTTAAAATCAAAAAAGTTGGGACTTTAGCACTTCAAACGCACAGAATTCAACCCCAAAACGGCGCCAAAATGTGGAAAATTTTCGAAATTTGAAAAATGCAAATCCAAGAAACTGAATCGCAGGGAAAGGGCTGAAATTCAAAAACTTTGGGGCTTTAGCGCTTCAAACGCACAAAATTCAATCCCAGAACGACCATAAAACGTGGAGAATTTTCGAAATTTGAAGAACGCAAATCCAAGAAGTTGAATTTCAGCGGAACGGCATAAAGTCAAAAAGTTTCGGGATCTTAGCCCTTGACTTCAAACGCACGAGGCCCAATCCTCAAACGATGGCAAAACGTGGAAAATTTTCGAAATTTGAGAACGCGTATCGCTTACATCTTTGCCTTGCTTGGTTTCTTATTTTGGGGAGGAGGGGGATCCTAGTGGGAGGGATGTTATCGGACGCTCCAAGCTAGTATATTTGAGTGCAGGCAGTACCTACTTACGGTTAACTTCCTAACTCAACAAGCACATCTCTATTTTACAAGGACAGAGTTGAAAGTTACAGATCAGAACCAACGCCAAGGCAGTGTTCCTCCTCTAATCTAAAAATGTGCTGCATAGAGCAGCACTCTTACCGTTTTCAAATTCAATTGCTGCCTCGCTCTCGGATAACATAGCATGAAAGTACAAATGTATACTTATTTCCCTCAGTTGTCATGCTCAGGCTCACCAAAAAGGAGGAATGAATTTACTTTGCATTATAATCTCTCTGTCTACTCCTGACATAGATTCTCTTTTCACACGTTCACTGTCGTCCTCGACGAGGAGCCCTCACTGGTGTCTATACCATAGCATAGATAGTAATATAAGAATGTGCATCTTCTAGTTAATACAAACAACGAAAAAAGGAAAACTTATCGGGTCACCCAGACCCTGCTGGGTCACTCATCATATTTGATAAAAGATGGAGTTGAGTCACCACCTCAACATTGCGCAGCTCATTTTTTGTTACCGTTTAAACTGGTGTCGCTCTGACTAATTTATTACAGATTATGGACTCACGAAAAATGATGGTCAATTACAATTTAGTTGAGATGAAATCAAGAAGTATAGTGGAAATTATTCAGAGAGGGCCAAAGGTGTGAGGTAGAGGAGGACAACAGCGTCGCTTTTATAGTCTTTGGGTGAGGGGAGAAACCTTGCGCAGAAATTTTCAAAGCATGCGGTCAAAAAGTGCTCTGTGACAACGGCACTTCGCAGCTCGAAACCGACTAGTGCGGCTTTGGCCGCACCAGAATATAGCAATGCGCGCAGTGTTGCCACAAAAATATCCACGACGTCCTCATGGTAGATCACATCAGAAGCGACCACAAGGTCTATCGGATCTTCGTTCTCTGGTATTTCCTGTGTCCCCCGTCGGTGTTCCACCTCCTTGTGAGAATGAGACGAGCCACTGGCTTCAGTATCAGCATTTCCTCCTGCAAGCTGACATTCCACATTGCGTCTGAAGAGTCTACGGAGAAGGCTCTGCCTGTGTTTCGTCTTATCTCCTTCGTGCACCGATGAAAGTCCCGCGATCTCATCCGATGTCCAGTCGAGTTCGCGCGCCTTCAGGGTAATTCCTCGTGGCATGCTGGCTGCATTATCATCGACATTCTCCTCCAGCAGCGACAAGTGCGCCAATTGGTCTGTGATAACAACCGTGCTCCCCAAAGGCATTACAGCCGCAGACGCAATACCGCATAGCCCAGTGCCAGCACCGAGTTCCACTACCCTAAGCGCGTCGGAACTCCTTCGCCATAACCTATTTTGGTAAAGCCCACCAGCCTCAAAAAACTTCGCTACGACTACGGCCGCATCCCAGACTCGTCCACCTGTTATACCAAGCTCACCATTTGCACGCGGGTCCTGCCTAACGCTAAGTGGAATCAAGTGACTTCCTGCTCTCAACGAAGACGAGCTTTGCTTCGTCCTGCTACTGCTTTTACGTTCAGACCCAGGAAGGTGCTTTTGCTTGCCAGTCACCTTTTCGCCTGGTCGGCTCGCAGAGGAAGATGACGATGATGAGCCAGTGGAGTGCATAAACGGCGTCAAACTGGAGACTATCGCAGCACCTCGTTGCATTGTGATGTCGAAAGTCGCTGACTCATGCTGGCCGAGAGTAAACGTGTGCCCTGGCGCTCTCCAGTCATTTTGAGTCGCGTAGAGACTACACGCGACGCACTGGGCTCTTGTTTCCGCATCGAGAAACGGGTCGTCGCCATAAAGCAGGTCTTTTTCTGGATCTTCCGAGGCTTGGGTGCTTGGAGTCGCGTGCATCGCATCAGTGCCTCCAACCTTCGTTGGCGACAAAGTTTGCAGTCGTGAAGAAGCTGTCATCTTTTTGGACTCAAAGTCAATGATACCAAATGAAACCAATAAATTCAAGTTACCAACATTTGTCATTGAAAGGCTAGCATTGCTACTATCGTCTTCACCCAGATGCGACATCTCTTCACTTGCATCCACCTTTTTGGATCTTCAACATCGCGCTAGAAACAAACCTGCTGCTATTAGCATTTATCAGAGAAAACTGCAGTTTTTGAAGATGAAGTGTCGACATACTTACTCAAATATAGTACGCCGGAAATTCGGAGTTCTCTAAAAACTAGAAATATTCCACCGCTTCTATGTTTACGAAGTTTCATAAATGATCTCAATGCCCACATCACAGCCTTCATATTAGTGAGATCCTCTACTTAGGATCTTGCAAAGGATCTGAGCAAATCTGCATCTTAATTTCGGACAACAAGCCAACATGCATCGCCTTCGTCGTCATCTGTTGACATGCGTGCTTATTGCGAACTTTTTTCGACCTTACAGCTGTAATATGGTTTGCTCAATGATCATGGTAGTGTCGTTAGATATTTTTCAAACTTCCTTCTGATGATGTTAGTCGATTCAAACTACCTACTAGTACATTCTTTCTCCAGAATGTCGAGAATTCTCAGAGCATCGGTAAATCTTGGTCATGGAGATCGCCGTTCACACCATGCAACAAAGTCCACGCTTCGCCATGGGTCGATTACCGTTGCGCGGAAAAGGTCCCACGTTGGGAATATTGTGTATCCGATCCCGTGTACCGCAAACAAAAGCGCAGTGTCTTCTGACTCCCTTTCATCGCCCACTAACTCGAAATCTGGTGATTCTGGAAACGGTATGCTGGTTTCGGGCGAAACTAGCTCAAGATGGGTTTCCAAATCAGAAGTCCCCTGAGTCGTAGATGCATTGTTCGAACTAGTTGCTGATGGAATTAGATTTCTGAAGAAGGTTTCTTTGGAGGCAAGTCGAATGCGTCTGACGTAGCCGAGCGCAGCACGAGGTCGCGGGTCGCAGGAATCTAGGAAAACTTCGGCGCATGCGGTAGGAAAGAATTCCAACGCAAGTTCTCTTCCGACGTTCTGTAAATAGATTAATCGCGGCAGCAGATACAAAAAAGGTGCTGAAGAAAGTTCAGGTTCTTCTTTTGGATCCTGCCCAGCCGCTGACTCACCGCTGACTCCTTCTTGCCCAGTCTGAACCTTCAACTGATTTTGGCTGTCTCGTTGTTCCGCCACGAGTCGCCGCCGTGTTTCAACATACACTTTAGGCTGAATAAACTGCGATGGGTTCCAAACAAAGCGGGTGATCGCCTCTTTGTGCTTACCTGCAGCTATCAGTGGTGCCGCATCATCCTCTTCGCCAAGTATACTGTCAGCATGCGCGCTATCGGAGCGTGTGCAGTTCAGGTATCCGTAGCTCACGGGAGTCCCGGCTGCATCTTGGTTTTTCGCTGATTGCGCTTGACCTGCTGTTCTTGCGACGTTCACATCACCCGCTGAATATTTTAGAGACATTTAGGCGGCTAGATCTCGAAAAATTCATCAGTCGACAAATGTTTTTCTAGTTGCTGAAAGTAAGTACAAGTAGACATAATGCCAGAAGCGTGCGCGGCTCACTTATTACAGCTAACGACGAGAGCAACCCTGAAGGCTCGCTTTGTTGATGTCCTTGCTTCTGAGACTGGACGGCGTTATTAAAGGCTACCTGCGTCTCCAGATTCTGAAACACCGCAGGATTCAGTGTCCTGATCTTTAATGCGTGACCGCGAACGAGGATTGCATGCAGGACACACTGCGCGACGCTGTAGTGCGCACTTTCGATGTACACAAACGTGGAGAAAGACTGTGGCAACCGCTCTGAATGCCCACAATCCAAGGCGTCCATTCCATAGTTTTTTATGCTCACATCCCATCTCCAGTCCGCAGACGCGCAGTACACGAACGCATCTCCACCATTTCTTAGAGAAGAACGAATGGAGGAGCTGGAATCAAACAACCACGAGTTGTTCCAGAAGTACAGCATCTACATGTGCATCCAGATCTACCACCTTGATAAGTTACTTGTAGTAGATGTTGTAGAAGTTGTACTAGCCTGACGAGATTGCGTCCCATTCATAAAAGTCGCATGAGGTAGGTGCCTTCCGGACAATATTGGCGTGGCGTGAGTTCCGCCAACTTTTGCTCCAAAGCGACTGGCATTCTTTCGTTCTCGAGTCTCTCAAAGATACCAGCTCGAACGCTTTCGATGCTAGAGGAATGCGTCGTGAGTGTCTGCATGTACTCGCGGTTTGTGGAATGAAGCAGGAAACATAGTAGTTAAGCTTGAGGTTGATGAGGGTTCTTCCTCTGACATGAGTGAGGAGAAGGGAACTATTCTATTATCTGCATCAGCCGCCGCGAAGGATCCTAACATATAATCGAAGATCTGCACAAAGCTAGACTGAGCTTCAGAGGCGGTCTCTTGGAACCTTCGTCTAAAAAGCCAACGGTGATTGAGATCGAAGATGATCTGGAAGGGATAGGGGAGGTGTTGCAAACTACATTTCTGTCTAGTAGTAACACGCTACATCTGATCCGAGCATATCATACTTCTGATCCTCTATCGCTGCAAAATCCCGGAGCAGCTTCCTGACCTCGTAGACCTCCTTCTCCAAGGACAAAATTTTCAGTGACAAAGCCTGGTCCATAGCCTGCGTCCAGCTTTGACAGTACTCGTATTTTTCCCGAAACTTCGCGTTCTGTGGGTCCACGTCCGGAGGAAGCTTGCTGCTGCTATCGTTCGTCTGCTGCGATATCGGCTGCGCATGGAGGTCCGGTTTGGCCAGTGCGGCAACTATTGTTCCGGTTCCTGCAAGATAAAACGCTAGCTGTGAGAACAGCATGCGCCATCTCGAGAGAGGATCGCGTCGGAAACCAGATTGTTGGCAAGCAGTCTTACGCTGACCTTTGTCCTCGGCACTTGTCAAGCGACAACATAGCGACGAGATGAGCGCGCTCAAGTGAGGCATTTTGTCGTGCGTCTGGAAATGAGCGATGTTTTCCAGTTATCAATCACTTCAGCATTAAGGGGTCCTGCGCTGATGTGTTTGTGTAAACCTGGTAGACCTCTTCTTGCGCTTCTCATTTTCAGATCACAGACTTAGAGAACAGCAGCACCCTTTCGGTAGGCTAGCAGAAGTCTCAGAAAACAGACTGGAATAACACACAGCTGCGATCAACACAAGAACCACACCAGAGACATGCATATCCTCATCCTCAACGGTTAAGGGGGACCGGGATATTGGTCGCGCTCGCAGTGTACCAAAACACGCACAGGAGATGTGCGTGTTTTGGTACAGAGTTGAAATGGAAGGGTGCCATTGCAAATTTTAGCACGAAAAAAAAGTGCAGATGACATCATGTCTATGTATAACTATGCCCACCATGTTCTTGTCGAAGGGAAAGCGTAATGTAGTGGATACTAGTTATCTACGTAACTAAGCATCACAGATTATCAAGAATGAATATCATGAAAGATGTCAGAAAGATGGCATTTTTCTTGTAAAGCTTGCCTAATCAATGTGTGTAAATTGGCGTATCATACATTATAATCAAAGGATTTACTGGCTACCATGAAAAGGATCGATAACAAGTTTGAAGCTAATGTTAATACAGTGGTAAGTATTCAAGCATGATCTTTGATAACAATGCTCACGTGACATTGCTGATACTTCGGCGGTGCATTGCTTAGCGTAGTTGTAACGTTAGCTACAATGAGGAGCTTTCAAGCTTCTTCTCATCGCCCAGTTTCAGGCAGGAGGCTTGCCAGATACTAGGTGTAGGTTGTTGTAAAAATAGATTTCGAAAAATCGAACGGATACAGGAAAGAACTAAGTGTGCCATAAAAATGATGCGGTTGCGCCTGCTCAAACGATGTCGTTACGAACTACGACTCGGAGTTCACAAACCATGATAATTGATAACGATCTTGCGATATTAAAGAGTAAAAAGCCACGACTAGGTGGGGCCCCCATGTCCAGATTTCGGTGGACCTAAATGTTGTTGAACGAAAGTGTCTTGTCCAACACTTGACTCGAATTCTACCGCGGAATCGCCCGGAAACATGCCCAGAGACGGCAAATTTCCCTGGAGCGCTTCGGCAACCCACGGTTCCCAGTACCGTGTCTGTCGTGATGGAGAAAATATGACAAATAGAAATATCTCCTGGAAGATGTTGAGATGAGAGACAAGAAAGGGCGCCGCTATAATTAACATTAAAATCTGATTCGGGTAAGATTGAACATTGCACATACAATGGGGGCAAGCATCAAAAGCAATCACCTTTACGATGTCTCCTGCGAAAATTGGTATAATCCGCTTCTTCTGAAAGAGCCAGTTCAGCGTTGGTTGCTCACTCAGCAAGCGGTGAAAATAGTCCACACTTGGAACTTCGGAGAGTATAAACACCACCTCACATACCGCTAGGGCCGCGTCCAGGAATCTGTGATGAAATGTCATGTATGTGTTCTTGTTGTTGTTTCCTGACTACAAGCGCGAAGGCGCATTCTTCTCAACAAAAGTTTTAAACTTGTTGTCGTAAAAATGGTCTCTATTTCTTCTACGCATTCACCATTTTTTCACACTTACACATACTATGTCATAGTACTTCGTGTAGAGCCCCTTTCCGTCCAACAGTGGTGTTCTCTGCCCCTGGACCTTGTGGCATACGAAGATGAGATGTGGCCGATTTGCTCGGTTGAAGAAACGCTGTACTTCAGAATCGTTCGTCACCTCGCTCCGCTTCAGCGTGCGTTGAATGCTTAGCAAGCAAGATAAATTGAGTTCTATGCCCACTTCATGACGCCAGGTAGGAGAAGGAACAATCATGATCTTTCTATGTTTCGTGCAAGTACGATTGCTAGCTCAAGCACCAGTGGACACTGCTCTTTGCTAAACAATCTAATGTAGAGTACCAATAGTCTATTAGTAAAATATTTTTTCAAAAATATATCGCCCTTGCGTAAGCCTATTGAGCCAACTGCTCTCTCAAGAGTTCGTTCTGGCTCAATGCGAACTCCTTGGAGCAATCGCATCGCATCTTCTACGGTACTCGCGTATAAGGAAAGCAATTCCAGATGCAAAGCCGATAGCTCCGGGAGATCGATCTCCTTTCGCCGCCCAGTTGTGGTACCAAAAGCTGAAAAAATAATCCCCATGCTGGTGTGTCCTTACTCTTCGGTAGCCTCGTCCACAACGTTCTACGTTATCTGTTCTTCTGCGGTACAGACGGCAGTAGAGCATCGCAGGCTCCGTCGTTCGGCCCTGCCAACCAAACAGCTACCACGAGTGACGCAGCCACGACGCAGGTGCCTCAGGCGGAGGCCTGTCAGACGGCCACATCATCGTTTTTCGACGGTGTTTCGATTTAGTTTTTCATCAGTACGTAAACAATTGTAGTTTTGAATTAACTAAGTATCCTATGTATAAATGTGAAAAATAGGTCACTCATTCATCTGGTACCCTCACATGATCGACCTACTCGACAGACGAACATCATGATCATCCTGGTGATCTTCAGAACAGATTTCCGGTAAAGAGACACAGCCACGCAGGGGTAGTACTGAACAGTCACTAAAAACTCTTAGTAAAAATAGTGCAAACACGTTCCACCAATCGCTTCGGGTTCGCTTCAACGAACACACAATAGATAGAGAAGCGTCGCGCGCTGCTGAAGTCGGCGTGCTAGCCACCAAGAAACCTTGTTTCCTTGTTGCCCATACTCAACACTGAAAATGATCTGTATTTTTGGTTACTTACACAAAACGTCAGTGAAAATGTGATTGTTGTTTTTGAATGCGGGTTGCGGTGTGTATGGGCAGGGCGCAACGGGGTCGGGTATCACGAAAGAGGTGTTGATGAGCGAAGTCTCGGTTGACTGTGACTCTTCAGATTTGGAAATCGGGATCGAACAGAGTTTTTGGACAACTCATCACTCTTAATTCCGCGTCCACGTGCGAATATGATCATCATCTTTGCGTACCCAGCAGAGAAAGGTCATTTGATGTTGTTCCAGAACTACTACCAGGAACTACCGCTTCCACCACCGCCGAAAGAAGATCCGCCACCGAACGAGCTGCCACCGCTGCCGAACGAACTCCAGTCTGTCCCGGTCCCGCTTCCCGTTGTTCCCCGAGCACCGGTGACTGGATGTGAACGGACAAAGTCTACATCTGTCATGGGGTTATCTGCGTAGCTCGGTTCAGTCCACCGGTTCACTAAGGAACTCGTTACGTAGTCCGGATAAAGATGTTGCAGCCGCCGCATCCTGTAGAGATTTTTTGTCAATTTTGTTTTTAGGGGTACTACCATATTAACCATTTACTCCCCTCGTTTCACAACTCTGAACATTGTTTTTCATACAACAACTTCACCTAGAGGACGAGTACTTATGTTACGACCACAACATGATGAATCACAAGAGTATCAATCTTCAAGCAGAGTGCTGTTACGCAGAAGCTTGTACCTGAACGAGTAGTCCGTTTGCAACAAGTCCGTTGTTGTCCCGATACTGATTCCACCAGACGACGATGACGTTGCTCCATGAGAAACTAGTGATTGTCCTTGCTCGTCTAGTGTTTGTGCCTGCGGCTGACGACAAACGGGGCATAATGACGACCCTTTTTCCCAATTCTCAACGCATTCTATGTGAAAAGCGTGCCCGCACGAAAGTAGCTTGATCCCCTCATATTTTTCCGTCAGAGGAATATCCAGTGCGGTCGACGACGTAGACGGCGGTGGTCGACAGATGACGTCAGAATTTTCAGCTTCTCCTGCTGCAGCTTTGTCTTGCGTAGAAATTGGGGAAAGTCCTCGCGCACCGGTGTCGCTACTTCCAACAGTTTCTTCAGCTTCCTCGTCATCGCTGTCGTAGTTCGAGAGTTTTGTGCCATCTGCACTATCGATTGAAATGACGCGTCGTGTGTCATCGCTTGAGCTTGCTTTCCGTAATCGGACGGTGCTAGCGCTCGTGGCAGTAGTTGACCCAACGCTCTTCGCATCTTCGCCGGTGACGTCATCGAGCTCCCGGAGTAGTGGCTCCTCCAAAGCAGATGACCCACTTTTTTGCGTTGCAGTTATAGCGTTCGCGCTTGCAGGTGAAAGAACAGCGGGTTCCCCAGACACCTGGCCGTCGTTCGTGTCGTCTGGTTGGGTCGCGGTAGCCGCAGTTTGTTGCACTCCCGCGCGTAGTTTAAAATCCTCCAAACAAATCGGGCAGTTCCCTTGTAATGTCTTGTACTGCTTGGCTTTCGCTTCCGCCTGCTGCTGCTGCAGTTTCGTCAATTCCCGCTTGCACAAATCGTAAGAACTGCTCATTTTTTTTGTTTGCCACCTCTTGTAGGCCAGCAGCAGAAGCCACATTCCAACCCCGAACAAGAAAATGTAGTCCCCGTCCTCCTCACCATCGCTGCTATCATCTTTGTGTACCCAGGCTTCAACATAGCGATAAATACGGCCACAAGCTGCCTCCATCGCCTTCGGATATTCATGTTCACGCAGCAACGGCTTGATGAAGTCGATGATACGCAAGGTCTTCACATCACTCAGAGGACCCTGCATCGCACCACGACCCGTGCAAATGTGGATTTGCCTGTATAGGAGTGAAATACAAACTCTGTCTCCACCGAGAACAACTTGTCTTGTACCACAAGTAAGATCGTGAAGACGCAATATCAAGTAAACCCACGTCAACATTACAAACCAAGTACAAAGAAAATCAACTGCTAAATTGCCTAGACATAGACATCGGGTAGTCGAATATAGAGATAAAAAACATAAATACAAGTTGTCTTTGCATATGTACCTTGATTTTGTGGATAGATAAATGACAACGCCATTCTGGCACTGATGCTGTCCCACTCCCCAAGTGTCCATTATTGCCCTACAAGTCTCTGCTGAGGTATGATCTGGATCCTCACGCTCTCGTATAGCGATACCTACTTCCACGTTGTGACCTAGCAAGATGAAAACATTAAAAAATATCTTTAGATTATCTGTATTTTTGTTTTTCTGACAGTCGCAGTCCTATATCTACTTATAGAGCAATGTGACAAATCAAAATGCGGACGCGCCAATGATATAAAGACACTTTCTACATTTTTCTTGCCTTTTCATCTTCATCTTTAGGAATCGTATCGTTACACTTAGTTGTATCCGAGGCTGGCTCCCCTGCGGCACTGCTACCTTCTTCTTCCGTCTCCTCCTCGCGCCTTGTAGGAGGAGAACTGGCAACCATTATCGCGTGTTGCACCTGCGCCAGCTCGCTCTTATCGAGGACGCCATCAGGATCACAAACGCGGTAGCCTTTTTTGATCGCACCACAACGCTCGGGATGCAACAAAGGGTTCGGAAACGGCGTGTACTGGGCAGTTCTTTCATCCATGCGCGGCCATTCGGAATAGAGTATGCCTTCAGGATCAGAATTAGGATTTTTCTTGCTTTTCGAAGTCGTCGGCTTCGCTAGTACCAACGAAAGCGAGTGGCTTGATGCCTGGTCCATGTTGTCAACGAGGTAGACATGGAAAATCAATGTGATTCGCAGCAGAAACGAGCACCTCCGCCACGAAGTTCGCGTCGAAAAACCGGGAAACCGTGCCGTTGGAGACAACATTTTGGTGTTGTCTCACTTTCACTACAACTACCGGATGAAGTAGACACTAAGAAAGTAATAGATTGATACAAGTTGTTGGGAAAAACCAAAACCTCCAGGTCCAAGATGTAGCAAGTTTTAGAAAATACGCGATAGATTTCTTTGGACACCAGAGAAAAAGACCAATCAATGAATGCTACTTGTCAATTTTATTAGTCCACAAACAAACGGCGAGGAATTTTGAAGCGGGAATCAGTGGGTGATGCGGAGGTCAAAATACGACAAACTTACAACACACACCGAGATCGAGGACCAGAACCAAAAATCAACACATCGACATTATAATTCTTCTGTCCTATGTTGTGCCTAATTTATTAGACATCACGTCCTGTGATGAAAAAATTTTGAACCAAATCAACTCTAGGATGGGGTATCGGTCCACCGGTTTGTGTAACAAGATAAAGATTCGTGAACTCAATTTTTTTCGACGCGTAATCATAATCAAGCATCAACTGATTGAGGATGGCGCCTGCTTTATGGGTGTCGGGACCTGTACAATTTATACATAGGAGAGTTGTCAGATCATGCTTCGGTGAGGGAACCCTAAACGTGAACAAATCCTGGCTCCTGGTGCACATGCATGATGCGCCGTAGAGGAATTGCCTGAGGATCGACTTCGACACTCTTTCGTCAGAAAAAATTCGGAATATGTGGCTTATATTGTTGCGGGAGGGCGAATTTGATACGTAGAGAGATAGGATGCACGTGAATCTCTCATAAAGATTTTGCTCCACGTTGACACTCGTTTTGCTCTCTCGCAGTATATTACAACAAACCTCCAACGAGGACCTCAACTCCTGAACACGAAAACGAATTATCAAAGTTAAACTTAAACAAGAGATAGCCGCCAAGTCATTTTGATATTTAGCTGAGGATAAGAGACCTTCTGTGTCTCCCGTAGTCGCGGCCACTAAGGATTTCGTCACAGACCAGCCATTTCATATATTCTTTCCTTTGAAGATCTTTACGTATGATGAACTTTCTCGTTGCTTTATCCAACACCAGTAACCTGTGACGAAAATTTTCTTTGATATCTTGCAGTAATTGTTCCTATCTAAGTTCACTGTGCAAAATGACATTCCTCTGTACCAGCTCTGGAAGAAAGAGTAGATCCTTGTTTGTGTGGTAAAGTGCTAGTGGTACAGAGAAGAAGTACAGGAGTGGTCCTGCTGTCACTTATCTTTACGTACAAATTAGTACGACGAAAAGCCCCTCCAGTAATGCACGAGGTATCAAGTTCTAGAACAAGATGGTACAGTTCTTCTTGTGTAGATCATGGTAAATATCTATCCCGATGAAGAGAGCTTGTTTACTTATTGATACTTTACAAATTGATAAATACATAGTACAAGAGAGACGGTCAGGGGAGCTGTTCTTCGAAAAACGATATTGCAAGACGTTCTCGGAACGCACGCAAGTAAGTCAATGACGATGTTATCTATTCATGTGCAGCAGTCTTCACTTATTTTGCGTGCAAAAATATGTGTGCAACATGGCGTTACAACAACAAACTTACATGTGCCGCCATTTTTACTTTGCAACACTTTGTTCTAAACTTTTTGGCATCCCTCACCTGCGTGATTGTGAATGAAGAACTTGAAAATGTGCAATACAGTGGCGTAAGTACTAGAGTCTGGCCGAGCACTTCACCGAGCACCATCAATACTTCTCGCAAATACAAGTGCTGCACCTCCTTCGGCAAAATGCATTCTGGTAGCTGCTATGACATTGGTGACATCCTTATGTGTGTGCTATTGCAAGAAACGAACCTTTTATTTTTTAGTTTTTTACCGCGATCAACGCGTAGTCAGTGAAGAGAGTGGTGTACTTACTTGTAAATGTATAAAATCTAGCTCACTTCTACGAAAACTCATCTTTTTATCTACTTCCATTTTTGTTAGAAAGTCAAGTGTTAGTTATAGTGGTTAGAATGAAAACTAGTCTTTCCTAAATTTTTTGTTATCACAATTTCTAGTTTCAGCATCGTGCAGAGACGATCACCGCAAGAAACCACCCCCGCCACGCGCAGGGGAACGTCTTCGATTGATGAACAGGGGTCGTCAACCACCAGATGAAGGACGAGATCGTAGACTAGTTTCTTTCTACATCTTCCATCTCTGCATCCTCGTCGTCCTCAAGGCCATCTAGTTCCTCCTCGAGCACCTCCCCTTCATCGCCTTCGTCCTGGATCTCACTTCCTTCTGCCACGACATCGAGGAAGTCAGCTGGATCAATCGGATTTCCATACTGATCCTCCGTGGGCTCTTCCTCGTCTGGTTCGTCCTCGATCAGACGCCCGTTCTCATCGTATTTCGGAAACTTCGCGTAGTGCTTGATCGTGTACACGCGGTACCTGAGCAGCAGCAGTATTCTTGAGGTTCTCTATTTGCTTTTTGGTGATATTCGTTCCGATGGATAAGAAATGCCAGAATAAAACGGTTGGCTTCGAGGTGTGGACTTTGTCGATAATTTCTAGTGATGAAATATCAAATGTCTATTTGAAAACCTGTCCTCCCAGCCTTTTCGAATCCTAATCGCGAGTCGTCTTGCTCTGTCTACTGCTTCCTCTATCCTGGCTTCATCGCGGGCACCAAGCCCTCTTATTAGAGCTCAGAGAATTCGAGCACGACATCATTTTCTTTCGTCCCTCGTACCTACAGCCACATAAAGCGAGGGAATGATACAACTAGCGCACTAGGAAGATTACTGGAATGCTATCGAGATTAAGCATTGGCATCTACCTGGAAAAAGTACTAGGTGAGGCATCAGTTGCCAATTATACAAAACGGACTAATTTCGAAACAGACTTTCCATAATGTCAAGTTGATTTTGACATGGCATTGCTTCATCACGCGCGATTTTTTGAGCGCCGCATCCCAGCACCGCATTTGGACCTGCCAGCTTTGGGTAGTTGACATCCACGTGACGCCCTGGCGCCCGCTCTGACGAGCTGCGACACGATTCCTTGGCGGTCGGTACAGCTCCAGCTTATCGAGGGCCTTCAGCCGCTCGAAGTTTGCCCGATCCTGCTCTCTGATCATCTGATCAAATTCTCGAACCTGTTTTTAGTAGTCGTAACAATTATAGCAACATATCTGCTTTCCTGAAAAAGAAAGTCAAATTCTACTTCGACTGAAAACCAGTCAATGTTGATACTGCACGACCTAGTCAGAGTCAGAAAGGCACTGGTCTGTCTAAGTAGTAATTATCTATTACCTAGCAGTGTTCGTTCATCACAACTCCAATTCTAATATTATATATAAGTATAGTGAATAGAAAGTCATCACCTTCTGCTTCCGGAATTCAATCGCGAACTGGCGGGCTCGTCTCTTGGCATTCTCATACTCCTGGTCCTCTCGAGTGTAGAACTCGCCGACAAAGAAATGCCTCGCGTTTCGCTCCGGTTTACCGTCGGAGTCTCGCGTAGCCCAACAAACGCACCAGGAATCCAAGTCTCTCGGCTCCTTATTTGCTCGAATCTGCTTGAATGTGTTTCCATTTTTAAACGACACACCCGGATACCTGGTTCCCAATGTAAGTAAATCAGAAAGTGTCCTCGGGTTGACAATCGTGAAGCTATCATGTAAGTATTATCATGTTAGATATTATAAGTGAATATCTTCTGGCCCGTCGGTCTACTTCATCGATTGATTCTGTAGTGTTACAGCGAACTTCTACGGTACTCTGAATCTGATGGAAAAATTGTTCATCGATCTTAATTCGCATTTAGTGTTAGATAAAAACCTGTTCCAGTCAACAACCTAGTATGAAAGGGGAAGAGCATGATATCTACCATGACGGATTCTCCGAGACGGGAACGGAGCCCTTCCCCGAATCGACATAGTATCGAACATCGATGAGTTTTTCTCTGGGACGTGGCGGTCTCCAGGGACACTCTTTGTCAGGCTTTTTTCGAGGGATGACGATCTGGAAATCGGCGCGTCCTTCCATGCTTTCGTCATATATCCGTCTTGCCTCGCGCAAGAGCATCTGCCCTTCATCTGTCTTGCCGCCCACCGGCACCATACGATTGCCGAGACCGAGGGCCTGCCTTGCCTCGCGAAGAGCCTCAACCCACTTCATTATTACAACTCCTTGTCTTCAATGATGTACTAGCCCTTGATGTGCAGCTACTTGTCCTGCACGAGTACTAATTCAACTCAATTTCTCTGCAAACTAACTATCGTGATCAGATCAAAGTTGGAAAAGTCAAATATATATAATTCGTCTTATCTTAGTTTCACGAGTGTGAGAGTCCAGAATTTTTCCCGAAATCCTTGTCCGAGTTTCCGAAGAATCGAATGAAAACACAGGGACCGCGATCTCTCTAGTGTCAGGAATTGCTACGAGGACACAGGTTTTTCCTACTAATTAATTCCGATAGTACAGTGTGTGTACGTCGAAGTATATGATATCTAACAACTCCTCTAACGACATCACTCTTCTAGCCGAACGACACGAGTGATTACACGAGAAGTGAACACAACATCTCAAGGTATCTCGATGCGACTACGAAGCAGTTGGAAAAGAAACTTACGATCACGGAAAACAAAACCAATAAGAAGTTTATATGCATGTGTCATTGAATTATTTTCCTGATCATGTTTGTGTTGTATGATGTTTTGAGTCTGAAGCTGAACTGATGTTGAGAAATGGAAATGCGCACCATTTTAGTCTAAGACATGCATCATGCTATTTTTCGAGTGCCTGCAGCTGTGTCTGTGCTGTCTTTGCAAGAACGATGGCTTGTCAGAGCACCCCCTGATTTCATGTGGAGAAACCTTTGCATGTCGGAGTCTGTGCAATCTTTCTCGATGGGTCACTAGTAGTACAACCTATTTATCTATTATGAATGGAAAAAACAATGAAGAATTACAGGCGCTATTCTCATCATATTGAAAAACTTCACAATTGCAAAATTCCGCGTCGCTCGGAGAGAACTTGTGCTGCTGCACCGCTCATTTCCGATATCGTGAACCCAAGGAAACCGAGCACGCAGAGCAACATAATCGCCCGGTCGTTCATGGTCCAGCGCAGCATAAATCCAGCCAGCATAGCCACCATTCGCGTAAACAGCAAAATCCCACTAGCGCAAAGAACATACAACAACCTGGAATCAAAAAAAAACGACGAGAGACTCCAACGTCTGCGAAGACAAATACAACTCTTGGCTGTTATATCAGCTAGCCTCACTCCTGAACATTAGAATTACTAATTAGAAGAAATGTGCCGAATGATTGCCTCTGTATCATTTTAGCAGAAATAATACTCTCTGCCGAAGTGCCTTCCCGGATAGAGAGCAGCGATTTTTTCGGTCAGAGTTCGCTGCCCCTGATTCTGCAGTTGCAGGAGGAAGAGCAGTATCGTGAAGAGAGTGACCGAGAACAGTGTCTCCACAAAATCAACACAGCCATACTCCTGGCCAGCACGAGGCTTTTGGTCGATTTGCTCCACATTCATCGGAAATTTGAATTCTGCATCATCAACACAATGATGACCAGCGCCTGATATAACAATTGAAGCGCCTGGAGTGTTTATCTGTCCCATGACAACTCGCGAGGATGACCCTTTTCGACCCGATTGCGGACGCGACAGCATGTCGAGATGCTTGCACGGAAAGTCTGGTGCTGAAGAAGCATAGAGTTGGGCTCTACAATCTTCTGCAACTACAGACGCTGGCCCATCTGATCGACCCAGAAATAAAGTCGTGTTCTTTTCAGCGGTACTAGCATTGACGCCGAGAAAATCGACTTCGTCTTGTTTCCCTTCGATTGCTTCTCGTTCGTGGACAACCGCTCCGTCATGATCGGACCAGTCACCGTCTTCTGACTCGGCTGGACGAGCCACTGGACTGTCAGCGTCACTGTGGTCACCAAACACCGTCACACTGGCTGCGCAATCCTGGAGGCTTGCTGGTCCAGCCGCTTGCTCTCCTGTTGAAATTCAAAAGTGGGGGTCTACTTGGTGGTTTGTGTGTTTGTATAGGACTGGAACTTCTTCGACTGTTCGCATATCCGCCGAGGTTGAAAAGTAGTGAGAGATCTTCGCATCAGCCCGCCATTGATATTTGTTGATGAAATTAGCATATTTCTAATCCTGTAACCACAGAATTGGCAACTACCTGAAAATCCAGAAATCGGGCTTTCCACCTCGTCATTTACGACGCCGCGACAGCTAATGCGCCCCTCACCGTCGAGATACAGGACGTCGACATGTCCACCCTCGAACTCGAGTCTGCGTGGCGCAGGAGACGCTACTATACCACAAGCCGTGTTACCTGAATTATTTGCTCCGAACGACGTTCTAAAATTCGTCCAAGCACGCCCAATGCTTGGGAATAATCCGGGAGGTCCTGGATTTCGTGTTACTGTGGGAGAACGGCCCAAGCCGAGGTTATGTTGTCCCACCGGTTGGCACTTTGATGCTGCGTTGTAGACCATCAAGTCGATAAACAAAATCTTCACACTCAGTGCCAGAAAGACTAGCGCGGTAAAGAGCTGTGCTTGTGCCGACACTGCGGTGAAATCCAATGCCTTTTCTTGAATGAGGGAAGAGATGTACAAAATCGAAGCTATTTTTTTTACGTCAGGCTCAGGTCAACTATGAATCAATAAGAGCTCAGTGCTAGCTTGCTCGACTGTCAAAATGAATACGACCAGTGTCATTATAATAAGTTACTGCTGTAAATCTTCATTTCACACCTTCATCTATTTCTTTCGAATTGGAGACATCTTCAACAACAAAATCGCCATACACATTTGTATCAAGATGCGGCGTGTGAATGCGTCCCAGCTCCCGATCCACTGCGGAGAAAACCACTGCAACATGGACGAACAGCGCTATCGTCAAGCCCGCCGCTAGTTGTCTGCGCTTCTCCGCAAACAAAGACGACAGCAAGACCAACACGAAGAACCCCCGATCGCCAACTTCTTGAAAGACAAGGAGCAACGCGAAATTTTCGGTCGGCCGCAGCTCTGGTTCGCCATCAACCAGAGGCACCACGTGCGGCAAGATACGGGAAACTAACATTTTCTTCCTCAGGGATTACAACGCTCAAACATGCATGGAACACTCAACAGGCGCTCCCTCTCCGCACCTCCTCCGACATCGCTCCCCGTCTTGAAAGACGGCTGGTAACACTCACTGACGCACGTAGTAGATGTATGTATCTTGTTAGATTATAGAAAATATTTTTAGAAATTATTCTAACCAGTCTCGGACCACTCAGCCTTTGTGTTTGTGATTTCATGTACCGGTTTGATGCTCAATCAAAATTAGGCAAGCTCCTGCGCCCCCCTGACCGAACACGCCGTCCGACTGCTGTTAACTTCTAAGCAGGTGCAACTCGTGTCATCATAACAAGCACCTATGCACGTCAAATCGTTTCAGTAGGATACATTGAACACAATCAAGTCGTGTGCTCAATTTATCAAATGAAGAATGAACACATCCAAGAAAAAAGAAGATCATGCGAAAAATAGCTTCGGCACTGGTGCCCATCTTCTTCACAGGTAACCGCCATTTTTCCATTCTGTGCACTTCTTCGTATGTCTGCTGTTTTGTAGGAAAACTTTTTGTGGATGAATGATCAGTAACAGTAAAGAAAGGAGGAGATGAGACGATACATATGTTTATTTAGGGCTGCACGGCGCCCACCCCTGTGGTCTGGTCTCTGGGGGCGCGCACGCGCTTTTCCGCGCTGATTCTCGCGGATTCTAGTGGTGGAAGGCGTCAAAACTTGACGCAGGCGGTCCCCTGCGCCTCTCTGCGTGTTCCTCAGGGAACTCCTGTCCTCTGCTGACCCTCGCAGGCGGGCGGTCTCCAGGGTGAAACAAAGGCCGCCGAAGGCGGCCACGGTCACAAGAGCCAGCAAGCCGATGACCAAAGGCTCGGAGGGTACAGGCCGCACGGCTCAGGGGGTCCAGCCCCTCGCCTTTTGGCGCCTTTGGAGGCCTTCCACGGCCGGCGCACTGCTGCGGCGGCGCAGCATATCGGAGGCACTTAGGGCACAGGCGGCCCCTTGGGCCCCTTTTGAAGCCTCCCACCTAGATCAGAGGCCCGTAAGGGACGGCCAGGCAGCTGGAGGGGGGCGGAGAAGGTGACTTGGCCCCCTTTTGAGGCCTTCCACGTCCACCCCCGGCAGACAGGGCGCCTACGCTAGGGGGGGCACCGGTAGCCCCAGACCCCTTTTGGAGGCGTCTGCCGGGGGTGGAAGGTCTCAAAAGGGGGCCAAGTGGCCTCCTCCGTTCCCTTCGTGCTTCGCTGTCCCCCAGAGGCCTCCGACGTAGGTGGAAAGCCTCAAGAGGTGCCCAGGGGGCCGCCTCTGCTTCCTTTCCAGGTGCTTGGCTGTTCCTTACAGGCCTCCGATGTAGGTGGGAGGCTTCAAAAGGGCCCCAAGGGACCGCCTGCGCCCCCTTCCAGGTGCCTGCCTGTGCTCTAAGTGCCTCCGATATGCTTCGCCGCCGCAGCAGCGCGCCGGCTATGGAAGGCCTCCGAAGGCGGCAAAAGGCGAGAAGCTGGACCCCCTGAGCCGCGCGGCCTGTACTCTCCGGGCCCTTGGTCCTTGGCTTGCTGGATCTTGCGACCGTGGCCGCCTTCAGCGGCCTTTTACTTCGAAGGCCTCCCGCCTGCGAGGGTCAGCAGAGGCCAGGAGGGCCCCGAGGAACACGCAGAGAGACGCAAGGGACCGCCTGCGCCAAGTTTTGACGCCTTCCACCACTAGAATCCGCGAAAATCCGCGCGGAAAAGCGCGCGCGCGCGCCATCACAGACCCGACCACCGGGGGAGGGGAGTACCGTGCGGCCCTAAAGAATATATATGTTCCAAGGCGCGGGGCGACAGCGGGGGGGGGTACCGTGCGCCCTGGACCCCTTTGGAAGGCGTCCGCCGGGGGTGGATGGCCTCAAAAGGGGGCCCCGTGGCCTCCCCTTTCCGCTCCCTTCCAGCTGCCTGGCTGTTCCCTAGGGGCCTCCGGTGGTGGTGGGAGGCTTCAAAAGGGGCCCAAGGGACCGCCTGCGCCCCCGTCCAGGTGCCTGCCGGGGCCCTAAGTGCATCCGCTAGGCTTCGCCGCCGCAGCAGTGCACCGGCCGCGGAAGGCCTCCGAAGGCGGCAAAAGGCGAGGGGCTGGACCCCCTGAGCCGTGCCGCCTGTTCCCTCCGGGCCCTTGGTCATCGGCTTGCTTGCTCTTGCGACCGTGGCCGCCTCCGGCGGCCTTTTACCCCGGAGGCCTCCCGCCTGCGAGGGTCAGCAGAGGCCAGGAGGCCCCTCAGGAACACGCGGAGAGGCCCAAGGGGACGCCCGCGCCAAGTTTTGACGCCTTCCACCACTAGAATCCGCGAAAAATCCGCGCGCAAAAGCGCGCGCGCGCCCCAACACAGACCATACCACATGGGGGGAGGGTGGGGGGACCGTCCGGCCCTGCGTCATATAAATATATTTATAAATATGTATATGAGCAAAACCGAAAAAATCACGAATAATCCAACAAGGTGACCATATCTTTACACAAAAAAATCAGGGAAAAAATGTATTTATACCCATGGGATACGGAGGGAAGTTTTTTGCACAAAGCTATTCACAAGCCTTTCGTCTATGCTCCATTGAGGGGACCGTCAGGAATCCGGTGGACATAACAGAGAGATAACTCGATCACTTCAAACATCACTTGTTGTACTTACCGAAATTTGTTCTACATAAGTAAAACAACAACTGGTGCTGACGAATTTACTATACATAAATACATATTTGAGTTTGACACTTCACCAAATAACAACTGAGCCAATAGTTCAAAACTAATTCCAGAAAGTTGGAGTTTCATCTATGGAGGAAGATTCCTTATTCGACCAAAAAACACTAGAAGAACAACAATCTAAATGCAAACCTTTTCTACAGCAAGAGCGTGTTGTTCGTGTACCTTTTTATGTACTCGTCCTTCTTGGGCCCCTTCCTCTTCTTGTTCTCGAAGTCTGCGGTCGCGAAGCAACAGCAAAATTCTTTCCTGTTGACGCAAAATATGCTCCCGTTTTTCCGCTAGTCCCAATTTGACCGCGAGACGGAAAGCTGGAAACCCGCTTCGCAAAACGTCGTTGATCGCTTCCAGCCCAAGGCTGCCCGAGCGACGCCGAACGATCTCTAAAAATAACGAATGCGTCGGTACTGCTAAAGTGAGAAGGAAGCCGCCCCATTTGTCGCGCTGATTTAGCCGGACAAAGTCTGCGCGTTTAATTACCGCGCGCGCGGCCTGCTCATGCTTCCAGACTAGTAGCCACATCAACGCCGTGCGGCCCGTTTCATCCACGTAGTTCAACAGGTCATGCTTCAAAACATACTGTTCCTCGATTTCGGGCGTTTCTGGCGCAGATCGACACTCCTCGTGATCCTCTTCTGTGGGAAGTGGCTCACTTGCTTCCGCTGGTTCTTGCACACTTTCCTGCTTCTGGCAAATATCTTCGTCAGGGGTCCTAGAGAATGTAGTCACAGCGCTTGACGCTACTGCTGCACGCGCATCCGAGACCGAGGAGATCACGTCTGACAAATTCGGCTCAGGTACCCTCTCGTCCTCTTCTTGTTCTCCTGCTTGCGCACCGCCAGTAGCTGCGATACTGTCATTTGATGATAACATCTTCGTTGTAGCAGCTTCCGAGGATACTAGAGATAAGGCGCTTGTGCCACGCTCAGGGGTTGACCACGTGCTTCTGTCGAACCCTGCCACAATGGTACAATGGGGTGACATGGGGCCCTGAGTGCGCACGGAAGCCGCGCAAGAACTGATGTCAGAACTTGAAGGGTAGGTCGTGGGCGGGTCAGCAGAGGCAGAGGGTGAGGTATCTTCGCTAGACGAAAACAACGCAAGGTACTCCGACAAAGTTAGCGGTCCTGAATTATAGGTGGAAGATTGAAAATGAGGTTTTTTTACTGGTAGAAAAGTCTAGAGGGTAGAAACAAAGCAAAAACAGAATTAATCTGACGTCAAGACAAAAAGTGAGACTCTGCTATTCACAGCGCTGAACACTGTAAAAGTAAATTCAGAGGTTCTAAGGCTAAGAAGTAATGTCATCCTCCTGTTGTTCCTGTTGGACTTAGACAAGAAGAAGAGTACACGACTAAAAGTAGATGTCAACATATTTATAGCGTACCATATTGCCGAGGAACGATGTTGGTCTCTTGGAGCGTGTCCTGTAGTGTCGGAGAATCTGTCCTGCTTGGATCGCCGAAAGTTGACACCACGTAACCCTCGTCGTTTTCATCCGTGAACTTCCGCGACCTAATTTTTGGGCTGGGTTCGTTTTCCATAGCAAGCGCAAGCTTGGACGCAGAGGCAGACATCTTGTGAGGGGATGCAGAACCAAAGCTTTTTCCGCGAGGTAGGGAAGATGAGGTTGAGGGAAAGGCGGTTGTTGCATCAGCATGATCAAGTGGCAAAGATGTTGAACCATACAATTCTAACTCCGTGTCGTACAATGCTGTCTGCTCTTGTTCGTCCTCGAATGGCTCGTGGTCATAAGTGTACCTCTTGATTGTAGCTGCGTTTGTTGCTGCTAATTTCCCACGCTGCTTTTGCGACAGCGACGAGCCGCTGGCTCCTGTGAATGACCCCTTTTTCCCATGTGCACTCAGCATGTCTTGCTTGCTTCCCTGATGGCTTCCAACCCGCTTGAGCAGCGGCTTTTTTCCGCGATGGCGGGACGTTGCATAAGTCTGTTCATCTGCTTCCGAGGCGGATGAGTGATACCTCTCCCACGCTTTTTTGCTCAGGCCGTGGAGTGTCTCGTTGGAATCTCTTACTCCCTCATTCAGTTGGCGAGCCCTTTTGCCCGAAGGTGCTCCTCCTGCTCCGTGATCATGTCTCTGGAAAATATTTTTGCTTCCAGCAGCGCCAATCAAGAGTAGGTGGGTCCGAGCGTTCGTCTCTCTGACAGAAGGCGGCAGCAGATCCGCATCGATTGAGATCGAAGCCGCGCGTCTCTTTCGCATGAAAATGCCACCAAAATTAGGAGACCGGTACTTGCGCCGGCGTTCACGGTCGAAGCTACGATAACCGGTTGGCGGCCTGTTGATCCAACGTGGACGCAACTCTCCTCCAACCTCTACGTCTGCTGAGTGCGCCTCCTCTGAATTCTCAATCGCTGTTCCTTCGTCTCTAGGTACCTGCGGGAATTTTGCTAGTGAAGAAGGCCACAATGCTCTACCTGCTGCTGGGCTCTTTCTGTGCTTTTCTGGAGCTGGACGTGGTGCTTGACTGTCAGATCCACTTTTTGGTTGAGGAGAGCGGAAGCGTGTTTGAACGTCGCTTTTTCCTTCACGTTTTTTTTTGATACTAGTAGAAACACTCGGTTCGTCCGCGTTTCGTGGCAATCTCGACGGCGCAGATGCCTCCCAGCAAGTCCGACTGTAAAGTGCATTCTCTGATTCAGAAAACACGGTATACAACAGTGGACGTGGAGGTAATTGCGAAGCATCGGCTAATGAGTCAGGCCAAGAAAGACTGAGAACATCGGCATCGCCTGCACCAGAGGATGTGGTCATAGCGCAAGACCGCTCTTCGGCAACAAGCTCCGTGTCGGACGCGGAGTGATGAAGATGTTGCCGAGACATAGCTTCATGATTCGCTTCCATGATCCTCGCTGGTGTCTCCAGCAGCTCTATATCAGGTTTCCCTTCCGCCACAATTTCTTGTGTACCGACTAGGCTACTCGATGTTGCAAGCGTACTTGGCTCCTGAACACTTTCCGAGTTGGATGGACCCACGCTTGTTTCCTTCTTCGACGCAGTCGCGCTTGCTGACGCCTCTGCATCCAACGCAGTATCGCGAGTCGTTTGCTTGCTGTACTTATAGGTATAGTAGCTATAGACATGCGGATCGTAACAGGCGTTTTCTTCTAATTCGGTGTCGTCACAGGTGTGCGAGTCTCCCTCTTCTGCTAGAGATTCGTTTTCTGGCGTGGTCTCCGATTCGCATGTTTGCTCTCCTTCTGGAGCCCGACAGATTAGCTTTTTGTTTGTGAAAACTGGTTCCACTTTGTTGCTTTCATTTGTTACCCTGTGGGCTCGTGTTGCCAGTTCTCGTTTGCGTCCTTTCACATATATTTGGATCTCTGTTGCCGAACCTCCAGTACCAGTTTTGGTCTCCTGCGATCGCACTGCGCCCTGCTCACCGAGCACCGCTTCAGGACTGCGCAGGAGAGGGGTAAAGCCAGTCACGCGACAACAGGTGGAATCAAAAACAGGCACGCGTTGTGTGTTCGCCTCGTTCTCGAAATCAGATATGCCTGATGCAGACGAGTCCGCTTGATAAACAGATTCGAGCCTGTCGTTTGAAAGTGTCTGTAAAGGCGCTTCGCAGTCACCATGCGAAGACTCGCGTCGGGGAGGAGCGGTCTTTTCGTTCGCGGCCAATTCGATGCGCCGATGTTCGTTGAAAAAAGAATCACCAATATCATCTTCTTGGCCTCGTTGAGAAAGTACCTCCATATATGGATTGGATTGCCCTGCGTCTAGGTTTCCAGAGCCTCGCAATCGACCGGTGTTGGATGCGGACCAACGGCCTGGCATTTCTTCATCCGCTCGATCTGCATCTACTTCTGCATTTTTATTGAGATTTACTCCTTGATGCTCCAGCGCGTTTGTTTGACTTTTCTTTCCTTGCCTCGACCTCCTCCCTCTGTTTGTACGCGTCGGTTTTTCGCCGAACCCTGTGAAAAGGTGGTCAAAGCTTGTATCTGGTAGCAAAACTAGAGGTCGCTGTGACCTCCGCTCTTCCGGCAACAGACACGCGGCCCCCTCGTTCCGCGCCCGCTGCTCTTCAATCACTAAATGAAGGTCTTGAAGGTCTAGCCGTGTAGGGTTTTGGGAAGCAACGGGTGTAGAAATCGATCGTTCCTTGCTGTTGCGTCTTTCACGCCTTGACGAGGATGTCGAACCAAATGGGAGGGACAAGCCGGACAGGGAGCCCTGCCCATCGTGTTTTACAGCTGGTTTCGCTGATGATGATGATGATGATGATGCTTTGGCTTTTGCGGATTTATCTTGGGTAATGCTTTGGGTATCTAACAGGGTTATTGCATAGGCACTGCTTGTAGAGGACCTTGGTAAACAGGTAGTCCTCCTTTCTTTCGGTTCTTTGTTGATCGAATTCGAGTGTTTTTCCTTGCATGCCAGCTCAGGCTCAATCTTCGGCGACGTGGTTTTACTATGCACATGGTGCTTGGCTTTTGATGCACTGCATGAACGGCGAGGAGGAGGCGAGGGCGAAACGCGCGGCAGCACGCTGAAATCATATGTCTTGCTAGTGCCGGGCTTCATTCTTGAGCGATTTACATGGATTGGAAATGTTGTATCACGACGTGCTCGAGCAGTGAGGCTCGGTGATAACAAGCTCTGCTTATTCTTCGATATATTATCGTCATGTGAAATCCCTTCATGTTCTTTGTCATCTTGTAGCTCCATCGTCTCATTTCGGTTTGCAGGCGCCGCAGAAGTATCTTCTGTGCTTGCCACACCGAGCATGGCAAACTCGCTGCACATGTTCCCAAGTCTTGATACGTTAGCTGGGCCTGGAAGTTCTCCGTTCTTCTTTGCGAAGCTGTCACCCTCGGCATTCTGCTGGACATCGACATCCTCTCGGCCAGACACAACTACGTCTGGCACTGGACTCGTCGGGGAAGATACATATTTCTCTGGAAGCACTTCAAAATTTGACACGCGCACACCTGTTTCCTTTTGCACATACTCGATGAGTTTCGGGCTTTCCGCAAGGGACAGAATAACGTTTGCGAGCTCGCGGTGTTGCTTGCAGATCCGGCACAAAAAAGCACTTTTGTTCTCCAATTCTTTCCAAAGCGTGTGCTCCTTGTACGCCTCGAGGTACACCCAGTGGCGACACGTGTCAATACCGAGAGAGTCCAAATATGTCAAGTCACGATTGACACGGTCTTCGAACTTCACACATTTCACCATAAGGCGAAACCACGCTATGCGATCCTCATTTGCGCTGGCAACAGACTCCTGAGAAGTAGTCTTATAAGGATCTCTCAACGCACATACTGAAGACGACGAAGTCGCTTCAGTGCTGGACGCAAGAACTAAAAGTTGCTTTCTGCTCACATCAAGAGAATTACAAGCAGCACTTAGACCTAGGCGTGGAAATAGTAATGAGTCGTCTGCTGCGACGTCCAGTTCCTCCTCGCCGTCTGAGCCGCTAGAACTGCTGCTGGACGTTGATGTCAATTCTCCAAGTGCAACATTGTCCTTGCGTGGCTCTGCGCTTTCCAACCTATCAACTTCATCGCGCTCGTCATTTTCCGCATTGCTTTCCCTCTTTGACCTTGCAGCTTTTGCGGGCAGAAGCGACAATAGCGAAACTGGGATCGCTTCGAGAGAGCTCAAATATACCTTAAAGTCACAAACAGTTTTGATCAAGAAGGAATCCACTGGGTATTCCGCGATTTCACCACTGAGTCGGTAGCAATACACAGTACCAACGGACGAGGGCTCCACACTTGCTGGACGCTGCGGCTGGTGTAGGGTACCAGAAGTTGTCTCCATGCTTTTCTTTGTCTGCGTTTCACCACTCAGAGATTCCACAACGCCTGGTTCTGCGCGTGGTGGCACGGACAACGATGACGACATGGATGCAAGCATCGACATATTTCATCCATATCACTTATCAGATTCACAAAACTGCTCGCTAACTACCTCAATGAAAGTAAGAAAAGCAAGTGCTGCTACTTTATTGAGAATAACAATAATTCATCAAGCGCTAGAAAAATAGTGCTCATGGATGCAAATAACGTTAACGAGCCCTCGAGAATTATTCTCTAATAATTGTCTTCATTATCTTTCCCTAGGACCAAGAACTTCTAAAGAGATGCGCATCACGACCCTAATCATAAAGATAAATATGCTATTCCATGTCATTAAATCTATAACTGGCTAGCATACCAGCACCTACACTATGCGATGCTCTAGGCCCTCAGAAGAGAAGACGTAAGACGCAACGTGAGAAAACCTAGCAATGAATATATATAAGTTATCCAAAAACCTGAAGGGTTGATGGGCTTTTAATCGAGGGGTCCAGCCTGAGGCAAAAACGGCCCATAAAGAATTGAAGCAGGACTCCAAATCTGTACTAATCCTAAGTCATCGCGTTTCGCGGCATAGCCAATTCTGAAAGCAAGATGCCGAGCATATTGTGACAGAAATGGGAGGAACGAGCTTTGTGGATCATCATCATCGTCATCATCATTAATATCAGCATTTGGACAGTGTATCGTCATCATTTCAACAGCCAGACCATGGCACAAAACACACGAAGCACAGAAAAACCCCGTGAAATCGTACGCGTTGCCCGGAGCGCATCAATACAAACAAACAAACAAACAAAACAGTGTATCTATAGTGCAGAGTGTGATGTTCTTCATTGCCAACGTCTCTCGCCAGCGGCTCATCTACACCACCGTAAGATTCAGCGAACGCCCCCCGCGGATCGTCACGCGTCACGCCTCTAGCGCGACGCATATGAATCCCGGGGGGATTGGGTGTTTTTTCGCCATGCGTGCTCTAGCGTGACGCATAGGAATCCCATCGGGCCTGGGTGCTTTTTGACGATGTGCGCTCTAGCGTGACGCGTGGGAATCTCATCGGGGTCGGATGTCTTTTCCGCATGCGTTCTCTAGTGTGACGCATGGGAATCCAATGCAGATCAGGCGCCTCTTTGCCAGTGTGTAAGCGTGACGCTGACCGAAGTCAGGCGCGTTATAAGATAAAGGGCACACATGTCACGTGTGATCGGAAGGACTTCACCATCTGGGAGCCCTCTCAGAGTGAGGGCTCTCCCTTGAAGGTCCTCTCTCATGATCGGAAGAGCTTCATCTGAGGGCCCTCTCAGAGTGAGGGTTCTCCTTTGAGGGTCCTCATGATCGGAAAGACTTCAGCTGGGTGCCCTCTATTCAGATGGGGGCCCTCCCTTGAAGGTCCTCATGATCGGAAGGACTTCATCTGGGAGCCCTCTCAGAGTGAGGGCTCTCCCTTGAAGGTCCTCTCTCATGATCGGAAGAGCTTCATCTGAGGGCCCTCACAGAGTGAGGGTTCTCCCTTGAGGGTCCTCATGATCGGAAAGACTTCTTCAGCTGAGTGCCTTCTATTCAGATTGAGGGCTCTCCCTTGAAGGTCCTCACGATCAGAAAGACTTCATCTGCGAGCCCTCTCAGAGTGAGGGTTCTCCCTTGAGGGTCCTCTCTCCTGATCGGAAAGGCTTCATCTGGGAGCCCTATCAGAGTGAGGGTTCTCCCTTGAGGGTCCTCGTGATCGGAAAGACTTCAGCTGGGTGTCCTCTATTCAGATTGAGGGCCCTCCCTTGAAGGTCCTCACGATCGGAAGGGCTTCATCTGGGAGCCCTCTCAGAGTGAGGGCTCTCCCTTGAAGGTCCTCTCTCATGATCGGAAGAGCTTCATCTGGGGGCCCTCTCAGAGTGAGGGTTCTCCCTTGAGGGTCCTCCTGATCGGAAAGACTTCAGCTGAGGGCCCGAAGGTCCTCACGATCTGAAGGTGAGGCCTTCATCTGCCGGCCCTTTCTTGAGCGTCACGCGAAAAGCGTGACGCCTTGTCTCTAGTAAGTCTGTAGGGTACATGCAACAAAAGCGCCACGCTTTTCGCGTGACGCGTCACGCTTTTCGCGTGACGCTCGAACCAAGATGGGGCAAGCTCTCAGTAGTATACCGGGGGGGAAGGCGTGGCGTCTTATGTAGGACCGCGGGGGGCGTTCGCTGACCCTTGCTCTACACCACCAGCACCTTCGCATTCATCACTTCCATGGACTCGAACAACCACTGGACGAGACAGCACTTACTCGATCGCGGGATCTTGGCTTCTTGTTGGCATCCATTGTCGCGCACTGTTCCGTAGGAACCGTAGGCAATCCGAATTCTCCTCGCATATCCCTTAAGACGGCACACATGACCGATGATCTTCACATGATAAACAGCCTCCCCGAGCCGAAACACGAGCAATAGAGCACGACAGACAAGTAACAGACAAAGACCAAAACGATTTACGAGAGCTCGACTTGTGGAACATATTCGAACGAGCCTTTTTTGATAACAAAACGATATCTCAAACAAACGATCGATTATGAAGTCACGCGCGCGATTAAGAATCCGATTCACGAACTTGCGTCACTCGTGCGATGAATGAATACAAGCAGTCAAGGCTTTCACCTTGAGCGCAGGCCACAGTCGCTAAGGCGAGCATGGGAACTATCATGATCTTAGCGTCTTTTGTGAAACAAAACTTACAACATCAAAAAGAAGTAAGTACATCAAGAACAGTTTCAATCAGAGGACTTATACCTCGTATTTCGATACGCAATGTGATTGAACTAATAGAAATGTATCAACTCTAAGGAGCAGATGATGGTTATAATATATGTATCTGTTGAACAGTGTTCGCTTCTCAAAAATCATGATGAATGCACTCCCAGCTGATGACAGCGGGAGTCTCTCACAAAACTAGTACTACAATGTGCTCGAACAAAGAGATACTTACTAATCGCTAGCGCTACCGAGACCTTACATGTCGATACTCGCAAAGAGAGTCAAAGATCGGGTATGTGGGTCTTTCGACAAGGTGTGAATCAACTGTGAGGGGGTAATACGCATGGGATTACGATGGGTTAGAACTTAATGGGACTACCTGACTCTCTGTCTCGTTATTTCAGTCGCTCGTTAAAAGAATAAGATAAAAAAGAACGACCTTCGCATCCTTGTGTAAATTTGACTTGCAACAAGATCTGCAAGTCTGTGCAAAAGAATTCTCTCCGGGACAGATGACGGGGAATTGAACAACCTATTGAAGCACATCATTACAACTTTCGTAGTCAGACCATCCTTTAATCCTACTCGCTCTCGGGCTCTCGTGATATTGCTCGGTGTGGACGTATGCTCTCTCTGATGACACGATGGGGTGGTGCGGAAAAAGATATCTAGTAAGAGACACTCGCTCGTGAAATTCGACGTAATGACGACAGAACCTTGCAAGGACAAGAAAGATGCAGCGTCTCTTTATTTTGAAACACTCCGCTTTTTCCCTTCATCGATCAACATCCATTGCATTTACCATTTTCGTCAGAGAGTGGAAAAAATCAGTCGTAGGGCGCAAGATGACACAAATGCCTTATCTTTCCATCACAAAACCTATCACTTTTTACTCTATATTTGAATCTTGTTATTTGAATTCGGAAGAATACTGACATCTTTTCAACGAATAAACCTGGAAAGAAACGATATAAACCGATTCCACGATCCGAGTATTTTTACTAGATGAAAGATTATAAGCCACTAGCACTATTTCTATTCCTGTCTTCTATACATACATGATCCTCGCGATCCATTTTCATGTGCATAAACAAAACGAGAGTACTACCACTAGCTCTAGACACGAAGATAATAACGCTGGATCTCTCACATGCTCACACGGATAGTTCCTTCAGCTTGTTCATCGCCTGACTCAGGTTGTCGATCTCACCGCCCTCGATGGCATGCACGGCATCCCCAAGCACACTGGTTTCCTTGGAAAGCAGTGCCTTGCGCTTCTGAAATTAGGATAAGAACGATTCCAGTTGAATATCCTCATGCATCGGCCAATTTTTTGAGAAGTTCACCCTGCTATATCCATTCTTATGCGGAGGTACGAAACAGGCGCTAGATGCCAGAATCAGTCACCGTCCATTGTTTTGAGACATAGATGAATACTAGTTGTAGAAGAGGTAGACTTGACCGAATTTCATGTTCATTTATTGTTGTAGACTTCAAGTTCGAAGGAAAGTTGTACTCTGGCCTTAATTGAAGACGCGCTCCTGCTCCTCCAAAGTCGCTAGCTGGCGATTCATGCACATGAAGAAGCGAGCCAAGTCGTGGATGGGCCTCAGCAGGGGTTTTTACTTATCAGCGTGGTACAAAAACCATCACAAGTGCGGATTCAAACTACATACTACAACCCTTCAGACTGAATAATATTCTGTTCTTCATCTAGACAGGAGAATGTTGCCGCTGTAGGAAGAGTAACTTCAGCCTTATTTCTTCTACAATGCATGAAATGAAGATCAAGAGAGTTCTTTGTTTGGTCTGTGCGTATAACGTTCTTGCATGGGATGAAGATCATCAAGAGAGTTCTTTGTTTGGTATGTGCATAACTTCTGCGAGCTTGGATTTCTTCTGCATTTGCTGGTCGCGGACCTTGGCGAGAATCGGCAGCAGCGTCTTTGCTTGGTCCTCGTTCAAATGTGCACCCGTCGCTAAGTTCTGATAGAAAAAGCAGTGGAGAAGGTGCGTTGAGATATATTAAAGGACTATAATTAAGATCTTCTACTTATTTGTTCCCGTCATCTCCTAGATGAAAAAAAAATGATGTAGTAAACATAGTCATGCACGGAACATGCATGCAGATGAAAAGGTGAAGTTGAAAATGTATGCAGAAAAGGTTTAATGTCGATGTAATATAGTCATGCACGGAACATGTATGGATGAAACTGACCTCGATGAGAACTGTATCGAGTGTAGATATAGTTAGTCACTTTCCTATGGTATAGGACTCAGAGATTTCATGTATCTCTGTCATGTTGTTCACGATCGTTTTTGTTCTCAAAACCAGACCACAGGCACAGAGGTCCGCGAAGAACTCGCATAATAGAGGTACCTTCAATTCTTTCTTCTCCTTCGCTTGGGCCTCAATTTCCTTGCGATTATCGAGTGCCTGTCCGAGCCGCATCGCCAGGTTGTCTCCTTCGTTAAACTTACTGTTCAGGAATTCCTTGACAAACGAATCAGACTCGAATTCCTTGAGCACAGCCAACTGTTCCTTCAATGGAGAGTCTTGTATTTCCATCAGTTTGTCGAACGCGTCTTCCGCCGTTTTCTTCCGCATGAAAGCTGGGCTACTGGCAGTGGCACCTGAAGGGGAGAAGAACGCTTTCGATGTTGTCGACGAAGAACGAGAATTTTACTGATTTTTATGTGTTTGATACTCGTTATCATATGCGCCCATAATCCGTAATGTTTGCATCATTCTCCCAGACACTCACTTAGTCTGGGTAGTTACTTTTTGAGTGAAGAGAATTTTATTCCTAGTCCTTCAGCTTACTTTCTCATGTAAATATGTTTCTCTGGTAGTACTTACTCACTTTCTTCCTGATAGTAATCGAAATACCAGTTGCCTTGAATTGCTCTTGCATGCGCTTGTGCTGCTCATCCGCGAGTTCCATCGCGCGACGCATCAGTGCCGATTTCAATACTTCGACGTCAGACTCTACGTCCTTTACCGCATGCTCCACCGTTTCCTCGCTCGGAGAGTCGATATCCAAAACCACATCGAGTTTGTTAGAAAGAAAAAAGATAACAAAACAAAATAAAAAGGAATGGTGGCAATGTGATGCTAGGATAAAAATTGAGCATTGTGGTTGCTTGCGACTGGCTGGAGCTAGTAGAGCACAGTGCAGTTTCCGGGAAGGTAGAAAATCTATTGGAGATGGAAAGCAGACCAATGTCATACTTTTCTTCGTCACTTCGTCCAATTTCGGTTTCTGATCCTTCAGCAACTTCTGCTCCGCCATGGCGCTTAGCTTTTGGCGGAGCTGCTTCAACATGTTGATGCGAGCGCCTACCTTCTCCGAAGGGTCATTCAGCACGCGAACCTTGCTCGCCTTCTTCAGGTTCATCTTCGTGCCCTCCTTCGCCCCAACATCTTGGCCAAGCAGCAAGACGGCACTAGCCACAAGCAATCGGCTCGACATAGCTGGCATCTTGGACTAAAAACCGCGTGCTGCTACAAAGTCCTATGTGCTATGTTGAGTATTCCTAGTATCGTCTAGTGTCTAATAAGGATTATTAATGTTCTTGTATCCCTCAGGTGTGCTTTTAGCTACTGATGGTAAGTAGTCAGATCTCGCAAGGGACAAGCGATTTCTTCTCATTAATCTCGATCGTTGAAAAAGCTTGTTCTTGTTTGATTGGAAGCATACTTGGTCTGCTCATCGTCATCTCAACAACCTGGCTCCACTGCGTCTTGCTCAAGACGATGTGTAGTCTCGTCTCGCATAGGCGTTTATGTACGATCAGACATCCACAGAACATCGCCCAGTCAAGCATGATCCTCACATATTGGTACAACACACTGTCCAGTAACTACTCCAAATTGATATCAGAGGAACGTAAGTACTTAGATGTGAAGCCCCAATAACGCAGCCCATCACGCTGCCTTTCTTGTACAACTAGAGATCATCTTCTTCGACTGTATCAACAATATCAACTTATTAATGACGAGAGACAATTAATAGCTGAAGTTGCTGTGGAAAGTGACAATCTATATATGAACGAAACACTTGAAAGCTTTCGAACCACACAGAAAAGAAGTCTTGGTCTTAGTTCGTATAATTTCCTGATCAAGTTCCTCTTCATGAAATTATAGCTTTACAACCATGAGATAAATCTGAACATTTTGATCAGACATTTGAAAATTTCAGATGGGAAAACGAGGAATGTATTCAACACGGTTTGACTAAACAACTGCGCAATATGCAGTGGGTCATACTCGACCTCATTCGCGATAACTTAGAAACTATAAGCGAATCTATTACAATTATTCAATGATCGACTGACATGCAGAAGACAACCAACATTACTGAATCATGCAACTTTCCAAATCGAAACGAAACAAAACATTCACAGCAAGGTGGAAGAGAGTAGGCATTCTTCTAATTACTAGACCTAAAGAATGCGAGCTTGAACTTTATTGGACATTCTTATAATCACTAGACCTGTTGTATGTATGTTGTGCTCTCAGGCTCTATTGAAGAATCAGATAGATACGAAACTAGAACGCACTGCCACTTATAAAGCACGCGCACGCCGATGCAGACCTAGGAGCAATATTCAACTTGGACTTTTTTCATGTTCATCTATGTATTTACTGTATCTGTACAGAAGTAGAAGACAAATGATGTCTCAGGTGGTCTACTTCTATTATTGTTGATGCTAAAATAACTGTACTAGAGTGGTCCTCTTTCATTTTTTCCAGAAGCACTACTACACCGTTCCGAATAAGATATATCTAATATATCTTTGACAGAGCATTTTTCAAGCATGGGAATCAACTTTTTGGACATACGGACGAAGTAAAATAGTGGCACAACCGAAATTTCCACAACTTTACACCTTTGCTAGACGCACACGGAACTCCACTTTGGCCTTCTATGTGCGTTCCGTAGTGCACAATAAAATAGAAGGGACCGGCGGGCAACGCACCCTTTGAATGGGGCTCATCCTCAACTCCTACTATGCATACACTATACAGCATAATGATATTCTTGCAACTAATGCTCATTCGATCAGGTTTCCGTGTCGCCATACGCCATCGGCAATTACGTCCTGTTCCCGTGAGACCACGAAGTACTATATCAAGAATACGAAAATGGGTATTGTAGAATTTGAGTAACTGCTTGATCGTGATCTTATTACCTGTGCTGCAGAACAGAAAAACGTAGAACCATTTGACTTGAAGATACTAGAGCTCCAAAGCCAAACAAACGCAACATATATGAAAGTAAATTAATACATTGACTATGTATATAAATTTGTTCATTTTCGACTTACAATTTCAGAAGTCGTGCATCCTAGGCGGTAACATCTTGTGGTTCCTACGCTCAGTTAAGCGCGGTTGTCGTTCCGGATGCCGAAGCACCGTCTTCATGTTCGATCGCACTGCGCTGCGCGTTTATTTCTTGGAGCATCTTGAATTTTTCGTCCGGGCACTCCTCCATGATGAAATTGAATTTGTCCTTAGTCAAGTGCGCCAAAACGACGAACGTTTTTGCTCGTACCCAAGCCGATCGAAGCGTGTCCATGAGCAAAGCGGCTTCCCCGAAATACTCGCCCTGCGACTTCACCGCATATAATGGACATCCGTCCGCAGACCCGCACACCTCGACTCGCCCGTTGATTAGACATTTTGTTTTGGCAACTAATTATTGATGAAGGACAATGAATTGGAGCAAAAGCAGCTGTGTGTCTGGAGCGAGGAACTTTAGACGCTTGCCATAATTTTAGTATGAAAAACATCTCGCGGCCGACAGCACCCTTGCGAATGATGATGTCTCCCGGACAGACGACTATTTCCTCGAAACCAGAAACGACAGCACCAACTGCCGATGTGCGCAGCTCCTGGAAGAAGGGCGCGGTTTCGATTAGTTGTTTGTAGAGGATGAGCCTCAACTCCAGATCTAAATTCGGACTGAGATCCCGAAACAGCGCGTCCCGGGCCGTGCTATTGCGCTCCACCGACAGGAATCGCTGGTACCGATTGATTCGGAACTGCAACGACGGTGGCAGGTTCAGCTTGGCCATTGCACTGTCCACTAAGGCAGCGCTTTCCCTCGTTGTGCTTTCGAGCAAAGTGACAGTGCGAAATAAGGCCAGACATCGCGCAAGCACCAGATTCATAAAAATCACAGCAAATGGGCAAGCGAGAGCCAAGTACCTTTAACACATATTTATTGATAAGATAAAGTCTGGTCTAATTTTGTGCTTCGCAAAGGAGTACTCAGCTGTTCATACATGCACGAGTCTCACCATCAATCACATTCATTCCTCGGGGCCGAAAAGCATATATTTCTAGGAGTATTACCTTGCTAGATCAAGCTGGACAATAAGTGGGGGCTCACCAATAAATGTTCTATTAAAGACTGGATACTATAAGTTGCCTCTACAAAACGATTGGCACCACTGCTCCGCCACGGAGTATGGTCGCCCCTGCGGTTCCATACTGGTCAGAATGATGATCGCTCGGTTGAGGGCCCACAGGTAGACGTAACTATAGTTAGATATTGGACACTGTCAGAGTCGTTGCATGTTGTAATACGACCTATATTTTTTCTATTGCAACTAAAGCCATTGTGGCACCAGAACCAACCGGGAAATAAAAACGGATACCGGACGAGAATTACGCGTCCACGTCCCACATTCCTAGTGGCACGCGCACGCATTGATCGCGTAGAATTTCTTGTACTTATTTCTATTTGATTGTAGGATTTCAATCAGTTTCACATGGTGGAGAGAGCCGTAATCAATGCACCGCCTACATCCTCACATTGGGTGCCCAGCGCGTTGACGTAGAGATCGCGACCGTCCTCTGATAGCGGCATCAGAGTGCCCGCGTCCGTCTCTTCTAACATGCTGCTCTCGTCGCCATTCTCGACGACGAAACGGTAGGAGGAAAAGTGCGAGAATGCACGAGTCAGAAGGAGGGACTGTCGGTATTGATACGCTTGCGGTACGCCGCTTAGATAGCCCGGCAGGGAATTTTCGAGCACGATGTACCATACACAACCCATAATGTGCGCTATCAGAAAGAACCACAATATCTGTCGTGGCGGACGTGAGGGAGGGTGGGTAGAAAAGGAGCGGTTGTAGCCATGTATGTTCTTTTGTTGTCCTTCAAGACTAAAATCATGATGCAGAAGAAAAAAACTACCAGGGTTCCGAAAGCTCCAATGGTGTTCTCTGCTAGTGCTCCCACGGTACGGAGAAAGAGAATGCGAAGTGAGTCCCTGGCTACTATTCCAACTCGCAGCCACGGACTAAATATCTGACGATCAAAAATACTGGCCCCTCGACTTATGCTCGAGCTTATTTAGCAGATATTTTTCATCGAGCCGGAGTGAGTGAATCCCCAAGAACGCCCTTCGACTTCGCTTCTTCTACAACAGGCGCGTCCTTACGACTTGGGATTACATTTCATATTTTCGGATGACGAAAAACTATTCGTAACCTATCGTGGACGTTCTACACCACGCTGATTCTTGCGCGTTCTGAGACGCCGCCGTGTTAAGAAACGAGAAACGAGCCATTGGCCATGAGTGAAGATCTCGCCTATTGGTTGATGTTTGTTGCGAGTCGTTCATTTGCTGTTCCTGTATACTGTCAAAGCGGTCTTGTTTTGCCGCTCTGTCTTGCTTTTTCGTCGCCAGACCACGAGTGTGCTGCTGGACACCTTTCTGATGCAGATCTTGCTCAAAAGGGTCGTCGAGTCGTTCCTTGAGACCCCCGCTGCCCAACTCGACCATCTTACTCGCAATCGACTGAAGCGTTTTCGCAGGGGAACCGAGCAAAGTGTCAAGATTCGATGCTACACTGCTAACTTTCGTTACCACTGCCGGAGATGCGGATCGTCGAATTTCGCTTCGACCGGTCGCCCCCTCCTCCTCCTCTTCGACAGGAGCATCAGGAGTGCGACCACCTGCTTGTGGATGTAGTTTCTCTTCTGTCCTGCTCGAGCGTCGTCCTCCTACTGGCCTATAAAAGTTGTCGTCACGACCTCCACCACTGCGACTGCGAGGTGAATTTCTAAAGCTATCAGCGCCATTCTGTGCTGTCCCTCCCCGATTATTTGATATTGACAGCACGCCCGACGTATTTTTAGATGATCCGACCACTCTAGTCGTGCCAGCGCCAGCGGTTGCAGACTTTCCATCGCTCGCTACAAGCATAGCTACTGCTCTCCCACTAGTGGAGCCGGTGGAGGCCGTGCGGGCTACCGGACCACCGCCGGGATCAATTCCCGACGGACTGCGCGATCCAGATAAAGGCGTCCCCGTTCGCGGTGGGCTCAAAATCGCAAGCTTACTCACTTGCAGGAGTTAGAGATTTCGTTTGCGCGTTCAACGTATCATCCTTGATCTTTTTTTCCGACGAGTAACACAGAAGTTTTATTCAAGGAGAAGGATGTTTGTTGAGGATGCAATTGTGATAGCCTTAAAGTAGGGGTCTCTCATCATCCGCATTCTGTTTTTCGTCTTTTATCTTTATCGTTCTTGGAGATAACGTTGTACTGCTGTCATCCTCGGCGACGCCGTGATCGTCGTCTCCACGATGTGGCGAGAGATGTTCTGCCCCGCAATGTTGAGGCTGTGTCGGAATCGAGACGGAAAACGTACCAGAGGAACCCGGAGATACAGCGCCGCCACGACTCGCGACCGCAGGATGACCTCCACTAGAAGTTGCGTTGGCCGTCCCAACATTGAGATGATGTCGTTGCAGATTATCATTCGTTGCTCTGTCGTGGTCGTGCTGCGCAGTAGTACTGCCAGCTGCTACACCTTTCTCGTGTCCGCATTTGCTACCAGAAAAGATGCTGCGCTGCAACAGGTTTCTGCGGGCTGCGTCGTGTTGTTCGTGACAATTTTAGAAGAGGAAAAGGAAAAGCTATGGCAACTATATTAGATAGAGGATATACTCACGTAGAGCGCTCTTCACATGACACCGAACACTCTCAACCATGATCAGAAAGTTGTAAAAAACATTTAGAGAAGAGCCTACCAACCTACACATATAATGTTGGGTCGTAGAGCTCATGTACCCACTTCAAATTCAACAAGAACTGCCATATAAACAAGGGTTACTAATGAGCTATTTCAAATTATGATAGTGATAGTCAATATTTGTACGTGTGCTTTCTTCAATCCTTCAGTTAGCGGCCATAGAGCTTTTGGGATGACTGGGCTGAATGAGGGTACTGAAACTGGTGTACGAAACTGGATGAAGGGGCTATGCTGGTAGATGATAGAGATGTCGTAGCTTCGTTCAAGAGAAGCTGCACGTTGCTTGCTAGTGTCGAGCTGTCGTAGGCGGAATTAGAGAAATAGAAAAGGAATGGAAAATTTTTGGCGCCAAGAGACAAGAAATTATGGGCGCCTCATCGTTTAGGCTTTCGAATGATGTCCGTAATTTTTTGCGTTCACGGATTATGATATTACTCGCGGCAAAGTACGAAAATGATGTCTGTGTCCTCATTTCTACTCCAGAACAAAATGGGACATAGATATTCCAATTGTGCCACAAAATATCGAAAATCACGCAGGAGCAGCGTTGCAGTCGTGAGTCTGCTGTTCCTGACTCAACATTGATCAAACAGCATTAAGTGGAATTATAACAAGAGTTTACTGATTCTGTGCTCTTAGTAAAAAGTCGATAGCAGCGTAAAAAGCGCAGGGAGAGGATCAGTTTCCACAACCAGTGATCAAGGACACAACTATAGGCGTCTGCATTCGGATCCTGACATCGAATACCAAGCAAGCTCGTCGTGTAGAATACCGGTATCAAGAAGTATGGAAGAAGACCTGGGGAACAGGAACATATCCTCGTACTGCTGGATGACATGTAGGTTGCAGCTCAAACTAACTCCTTATCTTTGCACTTGCAGCGACGATAATCAACATCGAGTCCAAACCCAAAATCAAAAACTACAACAACACCTGATTGCATATTAAGCCCTTTTTACGTTGATAAACGAAGTACCTCCTGCAACGAAGGACACGATGTCAAGATAAAATCCTGGCGCTTTCCAGGTTCGTGCTGCGACAGTACTCCTGCTGTTCCATTCCTTATTACAGCGGGGATCCACAACAGACACGTAGAAACGGCATGGGCAGGCCAGGATGAAAAAAACGATCTCCCTGATTAGACACTGCACAGACCTCTACTTGTTCAACTACAGCTTCTAGACAAAGACTCACTCGTGTTCCAAAAAATAAGCATCTTCTATGCGTATGCATTTTGTCTTGATCAATCCCCAAGCCTAACTTTATCAAATCATAGAAAAACCATCTGCACGCTGCGCAAAAGCACGAATTCACTTTGAAACCCAATCACGCTTTTCTTAACATTAGAAGATCGAAGCCTGGAAACGCGTTTCCCGTTTTCGCTAGACGAGCAATAGAGAGACGTCGATTGTGATCATGAGCACGCACACTAAGGTGAATGTTGCTATCGCCACATCTTCTCACACTCACATCGTCCTCATACATCATACCCGCAAAAGCCAGCAAGAAAAAGACCCACACCATGGTAAAGACGGTCAGCACATAGAGCATGGCGTCTCTGACATGAACCTGACGGGCAAGGATCTTAGTCAACGACAGACTGGTCCTAAAACCCCACTTTACTTAGCATCGAGGAACCACAATCAGCATGAACATAATTGAAGAAGAAGATGCGTAACCACTAGTAGAAGAAGCGGACTTGGATTTTGGATGAGATAGATCTGATATAAGTACTCTTGTAGTTCATCAGCTTCTCAAACTCTTTCCCTATGCAATGTTGATAGTATGTCGTACGTAGAAGAAAGGTACTGGTCTACTAGAAGGGTCGCATGTACGTAGAGACGGATCACAGGTACCTCAATATCTTTTGACGTGAGCGTGGTTTCCGTCTGTGAAACACGGAACCTAGAGTTAAAGCTCGGACCTCATTGGTCACTGATTCTGAAGAGCAAACACCCCCCCAAAAGCTTTCACTTTTTCCAGCAGCTTGTTTTCCCTGCTGGTTCTCCCAAAGTCAGTGTTTTCTCTTTCTCTTTGATGGCAAAAAAAGACCGCTTTCAGTGACCAAGGAAGTCTCAACCTTAAGAGAAGTCGGATCGGGATCAATTTCGAATTCGTGAAGTGTCTGGACGAAGTCACCCTTTTCACTGCGAACTGAAAAACCTTCAAACGTGTGCTTTGCAAAGTTGTACTCCTCGACGAATCTTATGAAAGTATGGATCATCGTCATCGCGTCTCAAGCAGTAGCTCTACAAATCTACCGGCAAAACGAAGCAGTTCACATTCACTAGCAGATCCTACATTATCATGCAAGGGGAAAAGGAAAGAGAAGTGAAAAGAAGAAGAAAAACGACCAAATCAAACTTACAGTCCATAACCTTGTTGTCGTGTGGAGATAGAGCCTTCGCTGAGCGTGCCGAGGCTGCGCGGCGCGCGACTGATAAAGTTAGAAAAAGAAGAACAAGGTATTTTTTCGAGTACGTGAGATGGCCCCACTGCAACTGTCCATTAAGAGTATAAGAAATTTAAAATTAAACTGAAACTACTCTCGTCCATACGAACAAATCTACTGTATTGAATCGAGGCCTCGACAACCGGCGCCGCCAGCTCTTGCGCTCGAAATTTTTCTGGCTTTTGCTCGTACCTGCGCCACCCCAAGTGTTCGCGTGCTGTACAACGAGGGAGGGAGCACTACTAAGCCTCTGTTTGAATTAGAAAATTCGGCAAACATTCTTAGATACTCAACACTCCCATACATGAGAATCAAGTGCATAGTGTTAACATGATGATATCCGAATTCGATCTCTTTTCTTTGGTCATGGTCATTATTTTCCTTGATCAGAATTTCGAACCTGTCAATCAAATTCCCTTCATTTATTTTGAATTTTTACTAACTCATCCATTATACTTAGTTGTTGCATGGGATAAGCCTAAGAGTGTGGAGGTGAAAGTAGGTTGAGATCTGCTTACCACACGGACAAGACGTCTTCTTCATCGCCTCATCACAACATTTTGATGGACATGGAAAAATCAGACCAATATGAGTTTCCCACTTGCCTTTCATGGAATGTCACAGCGTTGCCGTAGAATAGTCCGCTGTGGGTGATGCTGCTGGTGCCCGACTCACGGCTTTGCGTAGCAATGGAGCCTAGTGCTGCCGAATCAATGATGGCTGCGTCGCCGCAGCTGCTCGGTTCCGCACCCTCTGGCAGGCCAACTTCATGCAAGCGCGTGCTGTGTTCCATCTTGCTAAGATTCGGCAGTCGAACGCCGCAGCCTTGCTGCGACGCCTTTTGAAGAGCGCCACCCTCAACAGGGGCGTCGTCCTCGGGTGTAAGGTCGAATGCTACAGTCTCAGGTAGTCCGAAGTCTTCATCGCGAAGAACTGTTTTTGAAGTGCTACTGTGGTTTTGAGCATTCGTAGTAGCACTACGATTACCATCAAGAGCGTCTTCGTGCTCATCATCTCCACTTCCTCGTCCATCTTTGGTTCCGCCTGAGGGTAGTATATGCGCATCACGTCCGGCGCATTCCTCTCTACTTAATACGACATCCTCAAAGGCAACAGTATTGCTGGTTCTCCTACTTCCCCCAGGTATACCTGCAGTGCTGGACGTGGCCACAGTCTTAGAACAAGACAGCGAATGAATGATCTTCAGAACGGAACGGGGGGACACGACTACCCGTGTTGATGCTTTACATCACGCATGATGAGCATATTCTCGGGGACAACACTATCCACCAACAAACGGAACATGTTTGAGAAGTAGAGATGTAGAGCCAGTTGTAGATTAGGAACACGAGGATATCCAATTATCACAGGAGATATCTTGAATGATATAGATATCTTCGACAGAATCTTCTGCGATGTCCTCGATCGATCACGCACAATTTTTTTAGTACATTCAAACCAACACAAGAAAGGAGAGGAACAACAGTATTAAAAATATTGGCCTTACTGCTACTTCTGCGACTTGTGCCGCCGGCCAGATTCGTGCGTGAGATAGAATTCGAGTTGTTTGTCATTCGAACTCCACCTGTACCTGACGCAGTAGACCCTCGCCGAACTCTCGCGTTGCCGCTACCGGACGCAGCATTTTTGCCCACAACAACGAAGTCGTACGATGCCGAGGATGCCTGGGACAGTCGTTTTGGTGAGGCACCAGGTGGAAATGACATGTACACTGCGCTCTGTCCGCCTGAAGTGGCAGTCGAACCACTGCTAGAGGCACTGCTTCGTCGCGTGTCCAAGGTTGTCGCATTCACGTAGCTAGACGATGAACCAGACCTATTTCGAAGAGCACGTGAAACTAGCGTAAGCAAACAAATAACTGTCGGTCCAGAAGTCTGCAGAAGATAAGGTTAAGACTGAGGATAAAAGATATAAATGAATCAATCAGCTAAGTACCTTCATTCATCATCAGAATATCAAATCGCGGTCGCAGCTTGAACCTCACTTCTCCACGTACTGGAGATGTCCGACTTAGATAAAGTACTTATGTTGGATAGTAGTTGTCCAAAAATGATCGTCGATTGTTTTCTTTATGTCAGAATCTATGTACTCTTTCAGAAAGATGAGCCTATCTTCGCTTACGAATTTACACGATTCAATAAACTTCATCATAATGCAGCCGTTGTAGTGGTCGCATTGGGTCCAGTCGCAGCTGCGAGAAGATCGCTTGCAGTCGAGCTTTGACGGCGTCCAAGAGAGATATCTGCCTCCATAAGCCGCCGGCTTGTGCTTCCAGCATTCACGCTACTGGTGATCCAGGCTCCGCCTGAAGCCGGTTCGTCAATACGGGCGCGGCTCCCTCGTGCGTTGTTTAGCTATACCTAGTGGTCTTTCATCATCCTAACATGAGTCACTCCATGGGTGCTCTCCTTGAGCTCGCCCTGCTTCAAATACGCGAGGCAAAAGCGTTGCGGATACCTCACAGCGGATGATGAACGATCAACTAGCCATACGTTGTAGCGCCGCATGGCCATTGACAGCGTCAATGGTGAACTCGCGTCCGTTAGATGAGCAATGGAGGAGATCGATGGAGATGTTACTTAATACTCCGCCTATAACAATTCAGGCACTGCTTGAACGCCGCTAGAAGCACCGGCTTCAAATTCTACGTTGTCTAGTGCACTGCTTGGACTCCAACACCAATTCGTCCAATATCTAGTACACACTCCACAACGAACGGCCTCGTCCCGAGTGTAAGTCTTCCAATTCATCTTCGCACCATAAGAAGCATGGTGTCTACTATGATTTGTAATCCCTTTCTTCTCCTCCGTCTTCATTTATTTCAGAGCGTTTCAATTACTCTGTTTATAGGTCCTATTCAAACAAATACCGCGGTCGTGCTCGTGAGGAGCACCAGATCAATACGGGTGGTCATAATTCGAGTGATGCGCCGACTGTGTCGAGGTAGCGTGACGAGCCCGCGTTGCCTCCTGTGCCACTAACGCGGCGCAAGGAACCACTTCCACCAGCCGGAGCGAGCGGATCGAATGCTCCAGCTGCGGACATCTTCAGTTTTCCTCCTAAGATAGCAACCACATGAATCTGCCTAGTTGTTACTTCCGCAGAGGAAGCGCTCCATCGTCTTCTTTCGTTAAACTCCACCTGCTGGCTACCGAGGCACCAGAGGTAGACTCTGCGTCTTCACGTAGAATTTTCGACGCACGAAAAATGTTGCTCAAGGAAGTAGCTGTAGAGTTGACCCGTCCACCGTGCAACGCGATACTGAATGGTAACCTGTGGTTCTTGTTGATTGGACGCATTCACAGTTACAGCTCAGATCTAAACGCGGTGGTCTTGCGGATCCCGAGGTCGGCAGCTTCGAATTCGATCGAGAAAGCCCAGTTGTCGGACCAGCCGCTCGTTCATTTGCATGCCAGACGCTCGCCCCAAAATTAGTACAAGTAGAAAATCCTTGTTCTGCTATGCGTGGTGTAGGTCTCGTTGACTGTTTGGCAGTTGCCGTTGGAAGTCGTCCTTCGGCAGTCGCCAGCTCAGGAAACTTTTGGATCCAGCGTCTCGTAGCCCGTCTTCGGTGAGTACTCGCCCTGGTGCTGTTTCGGTTCCAGCGTTTTTCAAAATGCGTAGAGCAAGTACGATCTCTTGGTGTAGTAAATAAATGTTGCTTTGTTACTGTTGGTTTTTATCCACGAGTTAATAACCTTTGTGATTTGTTTGGCCTCAAAAATCGTTTTCCTTCCCCATAATGCATGTATAATTAGAAGTTGTTCCGAGCTGTCTGTACTCATAATCAAACTTTACTTCGTGTTTTTTCGCTTATCTACAGCCTTACTCTTGTTATAATAGCAATTGAATATCATTTATGAAAGTGAGTATTCTACATAATCACTACAACTCATCGACACAAAAAAAGGTGATCATGCACACAATTAAAGGCTCGCCTTGAAAAGGTCATCCACTAGAGCAGCGGTTTCTCCATTCTATTGTTCTGCACCGCTTCGTTCTCAGACACATAAAGATCGTCACAGGAAGACCGCTACAGATTTCCTTTACAGAAAACCGTACCATGACCGCCATCCTCACCACCACCAGATCATCATCAATAAAGGAACTCCCGATAAGAGATCCAACCGAAGCTGAATAGATTCGCTCTCCATCGCTCGACCATGACCTTTCACTCTCTCAGGTGGAGGAGAAAATTTCCGTCTATATTCGTACGCGCTCCGGATTGAACATACATGAACTTGAAAAAAAATACATCAACAAACAGATAGGTGACAGAACAACAGAGTGATATGGTACTAGCGCATAGAACGAAACACATACAACACAGAATGAGCAGACGTAGCCAAAGTGACCGAAAGCAGGAGGACTGACGTCAGACTGTATGGTAGAGTAATCACCGCAAAACCACCTTCTGTCACATTCTTCCACATGCCTAGCGAAGAACTCTAGAAAGGATGACCCTGCTGTCCCAAACATCTTCAACAAGGAACTTTTTTGTACATGAATAATGTCCCGAGTTCAAGCTGGTCCTCTGATTTCTAAGTCTGTTCATCTCTTTTCATGGAACCCAACTCCATCTCATTTACACGTCAACCGTACCAGAAGAAGACATAAACGAAAACAGCATTCACGCGCGGAAATTTGATATCTAGTATCGGACCTTTCCTCGACAGAAGTTTGATCCAGAATCCAAAGGTCTTGCTTAACTGAGGGTACATACTTACAACAAACGGCATGTTAATTTGCTTTTGCCATTGCCACGTTTGGAATGGCGAAGGAAGAAAAAAATATTTTTCTAGATGATCTCGCTTTGATTGGTAGAAACTAGGAAATCCCGCGAAAAGTGTTAATCAAACTAGTGCTGTGCTTGCAGTAATGTTCTTGTCACAACCATTCAACATGAAAAGATAACCTCGGGCTTTGCCATTCTTTCTCTTTGCTTCATAAGCCGACTCTTCACCTTTCCCTGTCACATTCCTACGCTTTCTTTCACGTCACAGCAAATGAAGACCAATGAATATGCTGATGCTTGCGAAATTTCTTTCAAACTTTTTCAATCCCTCAACATCACGAATCAAGTAGTCCCATCACCGTGATCTAGCCTACCTGCGACTTGCAATCTTTGGATGCGTTCCTCTTTTTGCGCCAGTTCCTGGCGAAGGATGGCTACGGTCTTCTTCAAACGGTCACGATCCGATCGAAGATCGTCACACTCTGCTACTATTAGAGTCTGGCAATGAAATTGGAAACAAATTATTTTAGTTCCATTTACTTATTACTTGATCACCTGTCGTCGTAAAGAAAGTAACTTTTTTGCGTCGTTTGTGACAGGCTTGTCTTAATTATGATTGTCTAAACTGATGATGTGCATCTACTCGGCAATCTGCCTAGTATAATTGTCCAAACTACTTCTAGTATACTGCCAAGCTGGTGAAAACAAATATCCTTAGAAATAGAATAGTACAAATGCGAACCTGCGTAAAGTTAGATCGTCTCGATGATCGCTCGCCTGCTCGCTACACGCTGTCTGCAATTCCGTGAGCAGACCGGCCTCTCGGTTCTCTAACAATCGAATCTTGCGGTCCATCGCTTCGCTTTTCTTGCGCTCCGTAACTAGCTTGATTAGATCGTGGAATCATGCTAAGTGCTACTTCATATTGATTCTACGGTTACGGTCAGTAATTCATCTTTTCAGATCAAAAGATAAAGAAAAATGAAAACACATATATTATAAAGAGCAGATAAATAAGATAAAGAAAAATGAAAATGAAAACAGATAAAAAGAGCAGATCAATGATCTTCTCCTGTGGAAAGGAACTACAGCGTGAGCTTTAACTTGCGCTCGCCTTCGTGCAGGCGGTCCTGCATCATCTGCATAGTCCGACTACTCGTCTGCGCTGCGGATTGCAAGGCAACGCGCTCGCTCTGCATCGCTCCAACACGGGACTTCAGCTTGCGGTTCTCGCCTTCTAGCTTCTCAACTTTCGCTTCTAATTCTTTCTGCAGGTTCGAAAAAAAATGCGCCATATGCTCACCGTCGCGAGATCCGCGAGCACAATATTGCTCACCTGAGATGAGTTGATGGTCACGGCCTGCGCCTGTGGTACAAGATTCTTTGCTCCCTGCTCCACGTCGACAGCCGAATGGGGGTGATGCTGCTCTTCCCCCGCTCCCGCTGCCTTCTGCCCCTGGAGAACGAGCAACAGCTGGCTGAAGGCCAGCATCCACCGAAGCTGCAGACTTGTTGATGTCCCCCGAAGATGAGGACACAACTGGCGTCGTTGGTCGCGAAGATTTACCTCGTCGGCCATAGATATTATTCAGACGCTTGAGCCGCGCACAGCCGTCCTCTACCCGGCCATTCTGTAGCCGCTCCACTGTATCCTGTGCTTGCTTTCGGAGTTCGTCTGCCTGTCGCTTCATATCCTCAACGTTTTTAAAGTCACGTGTCACAGTAAATTGCTTCGGCGTATTCGCTACAGCCGACGCGCGCGCCCCATGCGAGGCCGACGCAGGTCGACGAACAGGGCGGCTAGAAGACGTCGAGCTTACACCAAGTTCCTGGCCTTGAATCGTATCCCCTGACCCAGCTCCTCGTCTATGCGTGGCGCTGAACGGCCTGATGCTACTGCTGACTCGAAACCGATCATGCTGTTGCTGGTTATTAGAGTTCTTTAGAACGCTAAGAAAGTCTATGGATAAACAAGAACAAAAAACATCAAATATGAGTGAGGTTCGTGACTGCCGTTTTTCAGGAATCAGCCACAGCTACATCAAGCCGAATTTTAAAAAAAATTATCATTTTTTCAATAATTAGTGCTATTCAAGGGAGAAGTGCCTCTGGACTGCCTCCGTTTGCTAAGAACTTACTCAAGCCAAGGAGATTTCGAAGTTTTCACTTCTGACTTTCCCTTGTACTTTATCGGATGGCAAAAAATGAATGTGGTCAGACTCGTACGATGCAGAACAACCCATAATATGCCGGGAGTTGCCGCCTCCTCCTAGCGCTGGCACATCCTGACCCTCGTCCCCTATCTCACAAAGAGGAATGGCGATTTCAGCAAAAAGCGACCCACCGCCTTCAACTGAACTTCTTGCAAGTGCACTCGTATTTTCGTCGTTGATTATTACTTTGGTCATGACAGGAGCGGACTTTAAGTTTTCTGTTGGTTCCTGCTCCTCCTGTTGATAAGTTCTGTTCTTGTGTATTTTTTTTCCCCAAGCATTAGCCTGAAAAACGCAAGAACTAGCTCGAGGACCAGGAGATGCACCTTCTGTCGTTTTGTTCGTCCTCTGACGGTAATTTGCGTCGGCAAGATGTGGAAATTCAGTCGCTTCCTCGGCAGTGAGCAGGGAAACAGTGCCACTATGACCGCCAGGCTTCAAAATCAGTTCTGGATCGTATTTACCGGGTCTGGGAATCCCCGCTGTGTTTTGCAGGTAGTCCTCCACCGCGGCAAGGTCCGGACGCTGGATGGCCACGAAGTACGACGACGCACTAGACGAAGTCGAAGAAGGAGCTGTAGCACTCGCTGTGCATGCCGCATTCGCTGTAGTGCTGTCTTTCCTTTTCGGATCCTCATCCACCCAGGAGCGCAGCCCTTTAAGAATGTCCTCACTTGGGGCACTCACCACGGTGAACATACTTTTTGCAGTTGCCATCTTTATACATCATTCCCCCTTCTCAGTCTTAATATTCTGCTAGAGCAATTGCACACGCTATGCATGAATAATCCATGCTGTAGATCGCAAAGAAAAGCGAGCACCTGTTCTAAAAGTATCATCACTCAGTTTCCAACGCCGTTCCTGCTACTGCATCTTCAAATTCATTTATTTCATGACACAGAGGAGGCGACTTCTTAGAATGTCCGACTTATTCTGTGTTAGAAAACTATCCATAAACAACAGCACGTCGACCGATCACGACAGTGAGTCAGAGTCTCAGCATTTCAACATATTGATAAAAAGTAACGAGCGCCCAGCCTGTTCCTCCGTGCTCATTCGTGTGGAAGAATACTCACAAAAACCTCTACAATGAAATATTTGCCAAAGCCTGAAGCTAAATGCTAGTCGGCTTTCTCTTAAAAGTGAGTCTATCAGAGAACACCTATGCCCCGGCTGCGCTTCTCTTGAGCACATGCGTGCTTCTTTTTTTGATTTTGCGGTCGGTACTCGGATTTATCCGGCATAGTACTCAGGATGGAACTACGGTATTTTCGTTGGGGATCAGGATGCTCATCCGCGTGACCTAAGCACTGACTCGCTGCGATGGTTCAATAGAGCGAATGCTTCCACCCACGCGATTAAAAGCTAATCTAACTCGACACTCCTCTACTTCTTTGGCTACAATAAATGTAGGAATCTCGCGCACAGCGTGCGCGGGTCCCCCATATCTGTTAGCACGTACCCTGTTTGGGGCCGTTCCTGTGGTTCGTGCCAAGATTATGCGCCTTGCCAGCCTTGAAACTGTTGGACGCAGTTCCTTAAGCGACGAGAATTCCGATACTACTTACAGCCTGGCACTACCCTTCCCCGTCGTTTCCCGCCTACAACATTTTTTTAGTAAAACAATTACATACACACTCAATTCATTTCAAGAACACGAGCATAGTTCTTTGCTCTTTTTTTCGTTGGTAATCCTCAATTCAATTCTACACTGCTTAGCTCATATTTCTCTTTTTTTCATTTTTTTCTTTTCTTTTCTTGTGAATGGAAGACAAGAATGCCCTTAGATGATAAGCGACAGATAGCTATCCAAGTTCCTCGGGGACCTCCTAGCTTTTCCTTCTCTACTTTGCAACTATCCATAAGACTGTGGCACTTACTTTAAGAGTTGTCGCATATGCATTTGCTACACGTCGCACACACATCTCTCCATGATTCGAGTACTGCGCAGCTCCTCCATGTAATGAGCCAGCGTCCTGTTCCTCAAGAGTCAAACAAGGCTCGACTAATGAAGACTTTCTTTTTATATTTCAATCAATATCACCTACCAACGGTTTTTTACTTACATGCATAGTCCCGGTGTATTTTTCATACTAGTATCCTTTCACACAAAACCACTAGCGAGCCTCACGTTTAGAGCATGGTCGTAGCTTGTCAGTTTTCATGAAAGCGTCGACCATCTCGAAATCTGTTGCGTCTCATTTCCTGGCTCTTCCGCCTGTGCTGGCTTCCATAGAGGTCATGTGCTCGATCTTTCCATCTAAAATAATTTTCATCACCCGACATATTATTGATATATACATATCATGAAAGAACGTTATGTCTTTCTTATATTATAATATGAACAACGCCACGCATTCAATGGCTATTGATGCCCGTGAAACAAAACAGCTATGTGCAAAAAAATGCCGCATGGGCTCGATGACATCTATACACATAGTGGCGTAATCACAAGAACAGCAACCACATCACGAACCAACAAAACTGAGAATCTAATCGAGTAAGTAAGCGCTAGTTTCTTTCAGAGTCTCACGCGCCAAGAGTCGCGATCATAAGATGAGATGCCAAACGATTCCAAGTACTTCCTTCAAACGAGTATATTCTTGTCAGGTCTGCTTGAGAGCGGATATCGTTGCTGCGCTGGAGAAAGTGCTAGCGCCACCCTTCCTTCAGTCAGAAACACCGCGCAGCACTCTTCGTCATTCTTGTGAACCAACGGCTCCTCTACTTTTTCCAACCATTTAATGTAACGCTTTCAAATCCTTCCTCATGGTCTTTTGATAGCGATACGGGTCCTCCTCATGAATGGCCGGCTTTCTGTTGCATAGCCATTCAGGGTATTCATAGAAAAGCCACTCATCCGTTGCCTGCATTTATCTGCAGCAGCCTTCCTCTTGCTGCTGCTGTCCCTCGGTTGTGGCTGCGGACGGCTTCTCACCACAGCACCCTTCCTTCTGTGCGGCTGGCTCCTGCGGTTTTCTTGTTAGAGATAGAAAATTCTCGTGAGATCTCGATATCCACGTACTTCGACAACTACTACGAAACATTTTCACTAACTTTAAATTCAACTACCTACAGACAAGCGCCAGACGAAAAAGCCTTGCCTTTGGGACAAAGACAAACAAACAAATCAATATCATGATGCGAGCTTAATAAAAAAAGAATCAACAAACAAGGAACAAAGAACTACACTAGACGATAAGGCCTAGTTTGTGAACCTAAATGCTGCCCCAAAAAGAAAGGACAAAATTCAAAATGCGAGCATGATGCATGAGTAATTTAAACAATAACCAGTGGCCCTGCAAGAAAATAATAATAAAAATAAATTGAGTAAGTGAGTGAGGTACAGCTACAAGTACACATTGAACTTCAAAATAGTGAAAAAACAGTCTCTTTGTACTGTAGGCACGTGATACAGAGACTTCGAGTTAGCAATGCTATATATAAATATGATCTGTAGTATGAATATCAAGTATATGTAGCCGTAACGCTGGCTCGGCGGCTGGTTCCGCAACCGGAATTAACTGCGTCACCGCAACTTCCTGGGCTTTGAGGAGTGCAGCTTTCGCGTCCATTTTCATGCTCGCCTCCTGCAACTCTTTCGAAAACGCAGCGTAAACATGCTTCACGAAGAACGGCATATCCGGCTTCGCGTTCATGTCCATCGGCATCATGATCGGAATGTTTTGGGCATAACTCAAGCCATTGTTGTCCGCAGCGACGTAGACTTGCCGAATGAATTCCTGCACCATCGTTCGGATCAAGTCGCCCGCACCTTGATAGTACAGATTGAAGCCTTCCTCGCCTTTTGCGGAGGGCGGAAGGTCTTGCTTCTGGTCATCGGTCATCTGCGCGTAGGCCTTACCCCAAGGCGATGCTTTAGGGTCTTCCAGCTTGACGCTCGGGTGCACGTAGTGGCCTTTCAAAACCTCATTGAAAATTTCGTTGTCATCGAACTTGCCACCCGCTAAGTGGCCAACTACAAAAGCAGCAACAATGCCCATATCCTGGCAAACGACAAAAGCAATCGCCACTGATCGAAAGGGAATGTTCTTGTTCGGATACATTTCGTGTTCTTGGGAATTCCAGCCACTATTGACCACCTTCGGCTTGCAGGCTGAGTTCTTGAAGCTGTCGCTGAACTTGATGTACACTGTGTTGCCCATCATGTATTCCTGGGTCGCCTTTCCATTTTCGTCTTTGTCAAACTCGGGAGTTTCAACAGACTTGGGAGCAGCGCCCTTCATCGGAGAGAAGTTCTTCGCAACAACCGAGCCACCTGAATTATCCAAAGTGAACTTTGCGAATGCCTCACGCTTAGCACCAGGCGGGAGACCGTTGTGCCAGGACTTTTTCACATCGAATGCCTGCTTGTAGCCGTGTTCCTTGATGACCTTCGTCCACGCCCCCTGCGCAAGCTCGATTTCCTGGTCAGGCTTAGCCTTGTCGCTGATTTTGTGCACGAAGAGGTCCTCTTGAGAAGCAAGAACTGAAATGTGAACCCCCATGTTGTCGTTGAGACCCTTGGGTAGAACATGCGCACTCAACTGCTCCACTTTCTTCCTGAATGCAACTAACTGGAAAACCGACTGTGCATTCGCAATCAGCTCCTTTGGGCGGTCAGGCTTAAAAGCTTCCGTGGCCGGGATGTTTGGCATTTGCATATTCGCAAGACCACGCCCGAGCACGTTCCAGTTGAAAAGTTCCACGATGGGATGTTCCTCGAAGCCGCCCACTTTCGGCAACTTTTAACGCTAGGCACTCACTATCTGTGGTTGAGTTACTTAGTTGATTTCTTTCCCTTTGGTTTGCCCTTCCTTCAAGAGGAATATCACTCAGGGTGCCTCCCACCAATAATGATAGTGAGTGTCTAGCCTTAAAACTTAGCCAGCATTGTCGCCGGCAAATGGTCGCTCTGCAACCAGGGGCGCAAGATAAAAGGGGGAAGGCCCAGTTTCGCCTGGGTCTTTTCTTTGGCGGCAACTGTGGTTCCAATCATCCCAGGCAGGATTGCCTTTTGTCCTTTCAGGTTCAGAGCGACATTTTTGACATACACGAAGAGTTCTTTCACCTTGTGGAAGGCTACCGGGTCGCCGGCGAAAGTAGCCCTCACGTCCTCCAGCGTAATAGGAATGTCATGGAAGTAACCTGTTAGCGCCTAAAACGACTAGCCCTCTCATGCTCAATCTTTCTGGGAATCTTAGGATTCCATGTATGCACTGTTGAGGTTGTGCTTGTGTTTGAATATGTGAATCAATACCAATTTGTTCGTACTCATGATTTTGTGAGTACCTACATGTCTACTTACCCTTCGAATCTACCACCTTGTCGCGATTTTTCAATTGAAATCGCAGGATTGTCTATGAGTGCATATGCCTAGGACAGCTGAACCAACATACTCATACATGATTCGTACAACTGATGTTTCAATATTTATGTGAAAGTCTACTACAATACGCATCAGCTTTTACTGCATTCAATATCAAGCTACAAATTAAACACGGCCACGCAGGCACTGCGAGTTGTTCTTGTTCCTGAGAAGGTGCCAACAATAAACCTTAAAAACTTGAGCACTTCAATCGCCTCGCTCACCATGGCAGCGTCGCATCCGACGCCGGTTGCGATGGTCGTCAGGGCGGTATCAAGGTCGACGTCGTTCCACGCTGCTGGCGTTTTCTTGTTCTTGGCAAAAGTAGTGCTGCTGGAAGACCACAACTTCAGAGTGTCCAGCCTCTTTCTTTGTTCGCCCTGCATAGACTTGGAGACAGCAAGCATTTGCGGCACGGTCCACGCGTTATACGTGACTGCGGCTGCGAAGGACGACGCGGCCCACACAGCGCGAGGCTTGGCTTGCGTTTTAGGATTTCCGATTTGAGCCGACGCGATGGCTTTCCCGTGAGTCTGCATGTTATTCCAAATCTCACTCGCAGTGTAGGCTTCCATCGCTTCTGCAGAATCGATTGCAGACGGCTTCTTTTGACCGAAGTACTTTGTCACAAGCTTAGAGTCTTCAAAATTTCTGAAGGTATGCAGATTATGGAACAAATAAGATCTTCAGTGGAGATAAAGAGGAAAAGAAAATGAAAAGTTAAACAAGTAACAAGTTATTATAATATAATATTTTTTGCGAAAATCTATATGCTCTGAGCGTCGCTGGTCCTAGAGTCTACACAACCTTTAGCTTTAACTTATACAAAAAATAGAAAATGAAAGGCATCACGATGCAATCAAGTTTTGTAGCATCCACGTCTCGAGCACTGAAAAGCTAGTAATGGAAAAGTCGATACGTGATGCCTCCTAGGTCAGGTGTCGGTAACTGGGCATGTGGACATCGCTTCACGACTATGCCCAGTCATGCCTTCTATGGAAGGAAGTTACTTAATCAATCTATATCTAAATAATTCGTTTCGAAGAGCCTTCAAGGCTAGGCATCGAAACACACGACATCAAACATCTGAGAAGCGCTACCGCAACCACATATCAAATGGGTCGTGTGTTCGAGGTAGGTTTCCCTTTGTCGTCTTTGTTTATGCTACGAAAGGAAAAACTCAAATAAATAGACGTCTTCCTCTCATACTTGTACTTACTTGGAGATCGCTGATTAAAAAGGGCCATAATGCGTTCAACCGTGTCCGGAGTAGTAGCCAGGAGTTGCGTCACCCGAAAGATTTCGGCACGTTCCTCCTCATTACCCGTGACATCAAATATTAGAAGTCCTACAGCTCAAAGAGTCGCAACCCTAGTGACTTGTGATCAAAATCAATAGGCTCGTAGTAAGATTTAGGTACTCACGTTGCGACTGCATACAGCAATGTCTAGTGATACGCTATTATTCAGGAGCAAGCGACTCACGTCATCTGGTGCTCCGGCACAGAATCTTTCTAAATTCATGATGTGAGGTGCTACTTGCCATGAAAATTATTAAGCAAGCATGTGCTATCAATTTTCGCTCCACCTTCTTCTTCAACTTGTTCTTGAAGAATCTAGCATGGTGATGGGTTACGATGAGAAGTCAGATGATCTATTGGAGGACAAACAATTACTTACGAACCGCTGAATTCATACATTGGTAACAAAATCTCGAATAGGTCAAGTTTGTATTCGTTTCGTGCTGTAGATTGGATGAGTTTGCATTTTTCTAATTACATTAATCTGACCCATAAATAGGTGGGCTTGGGATTGTTGCTTTTGATGTTGATACGCAGAGCGTCCGCGGGCTTGGCCATCAGGAGCGCAGCGGCCCCCGGCGCGAGTTTGCGCATCGAAACAGAAGACATTTTTGCGCCGTGCTCTTGCTCTGCTCGACGTCAAATTTGTGTTTTGTATTGCACACCTTGATGAGACCTCAATCAAAACGACGCATCAGGAACCCGAAGAAATCCGTTTAATTAGAGAGAATCAGTTCAAACCTGAAGAAGCTACTCGCCGTTACACCAGATGAGTGAAAATCGAAGTAAGAGGTAGTTAGTTCTATCCGGAGAGAATCTAACTGGAGATCCTCCCAGTAGAGTTAATACGAAAGGGAGAAAACGGAGTCTGTCAAGAATTCACACGGGGTGAAAACCTTGACGAAAAATTCATCGTTTCCTGAGTAAATGGTGTAGGCAGAATCATTGTATTACCGATTGGCACAAACGTAGATAAGTGTGACTTTCGTCAGCTCAAGTAGTTACTTAATCAAAAATACAGAAGCTAACGCACTCAAGGTCAACTCCGCCTTTTTTTAGTCTCAGTATAATTGGACAGAGAATCATCCACTCAGCACAGAAGGGCTTGAGATTGATGAATGTCGACTCAAGATGCAAATCGACGCACAATCGGACTAACTGGAGATCTTCTTGCGCTCAACATATACCACCTCAATCTACGCAAGACAGATCTTGTCACCGCCGAGCATGTCACTTACAGATCTTCTTGCGCTCAACATAAATATCAGCTCAATCTCAAGGCAGATGATCCTTTCATTGCTCAATCTGAGGGAAAACAGACAGAATATTATTGGGGCTTCTCTCTACCCTCCTTCGGGTCTGCACCCATCGTCACCAGCGGTCTAACGTCTTTTTAACACTTTCTCTTTACTTGTGGTGACTCTTCTCCTAATCTCCATTGAGAAACCACGAGGATCATCTCAGAGAAGATAATGATGAGGTATACCTAGGACGCTTAAAAACTCGAGAACACAATCATCCCAAATTCTCATGGGTCATCAAATGGCTCTGCACGGTTTGATTGAGCCACGACTTCCGTTTGCATACAACTGCTCGTGAAAGTTATTTTGCGATAGCAGTCGAGATAATGTGGCCGGGTATATTCGAGTTGGCACTTACGTGACGGTGCTCATCGTCGAAATCGTGATCGTGTACAACGCCCTCTCTCTACTTCAATGGACGATGAAATATAGTACTGGAGAGAGGAAGATGTTCTTCTTCTTCTTTGCGCGCGCGAAATCATTTTTGCAGGCTCCATCAACAAGTCTATTGTATTCAACCAAAGATATGAACAAACATCACGCCAGATGAACGACAGTTTCACTTTTCCTACATCTACATGATCTGTTAGTTTGCTCTAGATTCTACAGCATCTTCAAAGATGCATTCCTGACTCAATAAACATGCTGCGCTCCACGTATGCGTCGTTGAGACTGGAACTCGTGACAGCCGCAGAATGAACTAAGTCTCCCCACGTAATATTCCTTCGTTCTACGAACACACGAGAGAGAAAAATAGTAAAAGAACAAGTGAATTACAGAGCAGAGATGAGACAGAGTTACAACAGATCCGTAGCAACAGTAGGTTCTACTCGTGTAGTAATGCATTCAGATGGACATCGTTTTCTGATAGGATTGACATATCGGTGACGACTCCTTGAAGTCGAGTGGCAGTCGCAGCAGCTAATTTTACTCTGTCACCAGCTTTCGTCGCCTGTGCATCTGCATCCAGCTTTGTTTTGGTTTTCTTTTTAACTAGATGCCGAAACTTTGCGACAATCTCTTCCTCTTCACTCTGATATGCTTGAGCTTCTTGTGTCCTTCCTTTAGTCTGTAAATAAATTTCCGCAACTTCATCTTGCCTCCGCTGATTCACCATTTCCAGAATATCACCCATTGCAGGTGTCCGCAGGAAATCGAGGTCCGCGGCACTGAGTAGACCGGAATCGCCTTCGCAAAGCGTGCTGACGAGGAGTTTCTCATCTGCGAGCTCATAACCACGCTGCTCCTTGCTGCCTTCGGCAGCAGCGGGACGAGCACCTGTTCCATTTCTTGTGTATTCAATATTGTCTCTTTTTTCATCTTGCACTGCCTCCTCCGGGCACGCAGGAGGAAACTTGTCTACTTCCTCTTTCTTAATCATAGAGGACGTGCTTGACCACGTCTTTTTCTCTGGCGGCGCAGTAAATGCCCCCTGAGAAGTCGGCCCCTGCTTCGCGGAAGCACTAAATAGATGGGAGGGAAGGACGTCACGCCACAAGCTTGCAGCGTAAAGCAACTTGCGCTCCCTCGTTGTACACTGCAGCCACTCCTGCCACGCCAGATGCCGAACCTTGAAGCCTAACGCTCGCAAGAGGCTGTGCTTCAGAAGGCTGCTAGGCAGTCGCGTATTGGTTTCTCGACAAATTAGCGCATGAAATTGAAACTTCCGAGTGGGTGTCCACAACTCCCCAAATTCCTGCCTCCTCTTGTTAGTTTACATCTCCAATGTGAACTTTGTTGGCCCCACCAATCAAGAAGTATAGGTACAGTAGATACATCAAAGTTATATTTCGTATTTCTTGTTGTTCAATCTTGTTCCATGTAAACCTTGCTCATAAAAAAAAATGAGACGGTCCGTCAATCTCTAGAACCACGTCATCCCCTATCACGATGTCAAGCGAAAAGGGACCCAGCTGTACCTCGGAGCGATGAGAAAGCCCCACTCGGGATAGATAACTAGAGACCGTGCGATGCATCCGAGAGGATTGCGCCATATAATCGTCCACGGCAACATGCACGTGTCGCGCTTTACGCAGCAGTTGCTTTGCATCGAAGTCCAATTGCGTCGCTCATTAGAGAAATGCAGCGATCCAATGGAGCATATTACATACGTTCCAGGGGTGGAGCATGATGGCGCGGTAGTGGCGTCCGCGCGCCCTTTTTCCCGCGGTGGTGACACGTAAAGACCTCCGGGGGTCAAGGCCTCAAAAGGCGGAGCCGGAGGCCCCTGGCGGCTCTCCGCGTGTACCCGACAGGCGTCCCGACTCTCACACCTTATCAGGCGGACGGCCTCCGGGGGGAGAAGGCCGCCGAAGGCGGCTACGGTCGCGAGGCCTGGCCCCTTTGGCCCTCATCCGTCACCACCAAACGCCCGGGGGGTTGAAGACCAAAGGCGGGGAGGAGTGGGGGCAAGGCGTGCCCGCCTGGGTTCTGTCGGATACACGCAGCACGGCGAAGGGGGTCAAGCCTTGCCACCTGCTTCCGTCGGAGGCCTTTCACCTCCCAAGAGACTCCCCCAGGGAAGAACCCGCGCCCTGGGGGTCTGTAGGGTACACGCAACAAGCCGCAACAAGCCAAAGGAAGCCCAGCCTTGCCACCTTCGGAAGCCTTGCACCCCCGGCCTTCGGTGCTTGAACGGCTACAGGGATGGGGGCCCTGTAGGGTCCAGGCAAGAAGCGGGAAGGGGTCGGAGGTGGGCTTTTGGAGGCCTTCCCGCCCGGCCGTCTCTCAGGAAAAAGGGCCAGGGGCGGGAGGCCCCCCCCTCAAAAAGTTAGATCGGGGGGGGCTTGGCCGCTGGAACATATAGCGTTCAACAAGAGAAATAACTACGATTTCAGTATGAGAATCATGAATGTCCAAGATAAATTTTCTACGAGAAAACCGTCTTCGTTTTCACTGTTTGTTAGTAGAGGTAGTTAGTTGACGATAATTTGACTGACCATCGATCATAATCGTAGAAGGATGGATGGCACAAATGCTTCAGGAACAATTCGAATATTTGTAATTGGAAGATGCTCTGATACTTCAGCTGCGCCCGGTGCCCATGTATTGTGGCTGAGGTTAGAGCGCGCCTGACGTGGCAGACAGCGATAAACTGTAGTAGGCCTCACAACTGGGCTCCGCTTGTTGTACATCGATTCAAATATCTTTATTGCAGAAGATGCATCCTTAGTAACAACCACTGCTCCCCGCTTTCAAGGGAAGAAAAAGGGCACCAATAAGATGCTCGTCTGACAAGTGGGAGAGAAGTAAAAAAATCTGAGCATAACAGAAGAGCCTTCATTAATTCCAAGTCAGGAAGTTCGATGATGCTACTTTCGGAAATTACAGAGGCAGTCTGCTGTGACGTTTGTCCACCTCCAGGTCCAAATGCTCCTTTTTAGACTCATTAACTAAGCGAAGAACGCTCCTCCAAGATTTACTTCAGGTGAAAATTCTCTAGCAAAAATTCCCCCAACTAAGAGACGAACGAGAGACACGCCCCCTAATGGACATGCATCCTCCTCGCGAAAGAAGCAACAACATACTAGATGGGGGCCCATGGAACTCAATATTAAAGAACTCAATCAAAAAACAACAACGACCCCGCCAAACTCTCACTCTTTCGCTTCCGAGCCCCAAACCCTCACTCTTCCACTTCCGAACCCCCAACACCCAAACTCGTGAACCCCCGAACTTCAGAACGTATTTAAATTCTACGAAATAAAATCAAAATTTTTACGATTTGAGCGAAGAACTAAACTACTGAGCTTATGCGTATTAAATTTAAACTCTACGATATAAAGTCAAAACTTTTACGGTTTGAGCTCCAAGAGTTATAATCTAAAAAAAAAACATGCCCAGAATGAGAATTCTATCGAAAGTCTTAGATATGCACTCGAATATTGGTGAGCGATATAAAAAATCAACAACGACCCCTCCAACATCCGAACCCAACACACACCGAACCAAAAACACCCGAACCGGAAGCATTTGAACCAAAAGCGACACCTTTCTGCTTCTTTTCTAATCAAAATCAACCAACAAACACAACACACGAACGCGCGAACTCCTGACACGACGCCGCGCATTTATTAAAATAAAGCGCGCTGCGATTTGATTTAATTCGTGGGCGTTAAAATTAAAAATTTTGCACAAAAAGCCCAAATTTTTGACTTTATCAGCCAAAGCCCTACGCTCAGCCTCAACACTGAAAGTCGAAGGCCCAAGCCTCAACGCCGAAAGCTGAACGCTCGAAGCTTAACGCGCTAGATTGGAAGCTGAGGGATTAAGTTTAAAGCTTAACGCTTTAAGCTGAAAGCCCACCCCTGAAAATTCAAAGTTGGAGACTCAAAGGGGAAAGCTCAAACAAAGTTGAAAGGCCGAAGTGTATAGCTCAAAGCTGAGCGCTTAAGATTAAAAGTGGCGCCTCGATGTCTCAAAATTTCAAGGATGAGACTTCGACTCCAAAGCTTTTGACTATATCCAATAGAAACGAAGGCGAAAGACTTCCAAGCCAAAGTTTTTGACTGTATCACAAGAAGAGGAATCTTCACAAGTTGCACTTGCAAACCCGAACGCTGCAACTTGCACGCAAAGAATGCCAAACCCACCAAAAGAAGGGGAAACCTACAGGCCAACGCCTTCGATTTGTGCCTTTTTAATCAATGGCCGCACGCCGTCCCCCGCCCAGCTCTTGCTCCAACGATCAAAGCCGCCGGACGGTTGTCGGGCGGGGGAGGAGCCGGGGAGCGGAATCGCGCCGGGATTGAGGAAGGTGCGCGCCGGGGGTGGATGATCCTAGCGGGAGGAGTTCTACCGGGCGCTCAAGTCTAGTAATTAGCTGTCATGCGCTCCTAGCCGTTAAGCAGCAAGAAGTCGTATAGTACTTGAAGCTTTGATCTATGATCGTACACCAGAGAACGGATCCTCGTGGAAAACTTTCCTTAACTCCGCGATTTTGTGGAGGACAGCTCAGCTTCTTCATGCTGCGCATCCGCATGTTGTTGATACACCTTGTCCGATACTGTGCGTAAAACAAGCGCGTGCAGCAGGAACGCTGCCTCTTTCTCGCTCAAGTCCTTCACTCGTGGATGTACAACGCGGGCAGTTGCGGCAAAGAAATCTGGATGCCGCATGCGCAGGTTTGCGTAGGCACGCATTGTTGCGCAAACCTGCCCAACTGGAAAAGAGGAGGACTTGTTCGCTTCTCGATCATGTACTAGATGTTGATGATCAGCAGAAAAATTAGAAGGAGCTTCAACGTCCATAATATTTTCATATCCAGATATTTGATCTATCTATAATCATGAAGACGTCTTCTCGGCGGGATATTCGTGCCAGAGAATAGAAGCTGCAGGAAGATTAACATATCTATTTATCTACTTATAAGGAAACTCTACGCATCATCTTCTTAATAATAACTTTCCCACTGAGTGACATATCGTACATGGTTGTGTCAATTATCTCATTTAGCGAACAACCCGTAAAGACATGCTGCCCTGCTCGTGTCGCATCCCCATCCTCCAGTGGAGGAGGATCGGCCAAGGCTTGTTGCCGAATTTTCTGCAGAAAAGCTTGTGCTAGAAGACGCAGAAACTTCACCTCACGAAACTGCAATTCTGCGAACGCGCTCAGCAGCTGCATTAGATCCGACAGCTCGAAGTCCAAAAGGCGGAGTTGACATACTTTTGTACACTGCCGCAGAAGAAAGCGATCGTATACGCGGAGTTTGCTTTAGAAGAAGATAGAGGCACCGATGGATAGAACATGTACCTAATATCATGGATGTCGGTGTCTCAATCTTTTTGTGAAGCAGATAGAATACATTAAGATTTGCAATTCCAATTGTAACTCTTCCCTCGGAATAAAGATAGAGGCACACATGTTCTTAGGGGGCACGGCATATCCTTAAGGTGTACTCAACCCAGAAAAATTTCTATCTCAATCTCTGACCACAGCAACTTCCTGTTTTTCCAACTTGATGGTGATCCTTACTCTATTGAGATCTGGTTCATAATTTCCGAAGGATTGCAGCAGCAACACCAGCGAACGGGGAGCCATTTGCGACACCAATGGCTTAACCTCCTTCCGCACCGATTAGACTTCTTCACCAAGATGACTCCACTATCACACCTTCAAATGAATTTTACCAGGTACTTAGTTGCCTCGTCGTGTGATATTGAAAAGCATCGCAACCCTGCTTGTCCCTTATCAGGCGACCACGTACGTTGCGATGCTGCTGAGGGTGGATTTACACAAATGTGACTGTATAACGTAAATCAACTTGTAGAGCGGACGATTCTTCTGATTCAGCTTCGCCATTGCGCTCCAGAGCAGCGCGAGTTGGTGCGAAGAGTACGTACCATGCAACCTTTTCAGCGGGTGCTGCATCCAGCGCAGAAAGGTCGTCAGCGGCATGTTGCTACGCACAAAGCTCTGCATCAAAGATGACACAGTCCGGCCTGTGAATTCTTCTTGTTGTAGCTTGCGCGTAGCCAAGACAATTAGAGAGTTGTATGAAATACATCCAAGGAGGACTCTCTTCATCGAGAGAGCCAGACGAGTTTCGTCAATACACAAAGTGACATTAAATAATTCATTGATATCCTCAGCCGAAATACAAATGGTATAATATAAGCATCCGTATCTTTGACGTGCTGAAGCTGCCCCGCAGACGCTACATCGCAAATACAATTCATGATGGATTTGCAATTTTTGAAGATAGGACTTCACGCACGATGTCCTCCATCGCCATGTCATCCATCGCAAGCAAGTGACTTGATTCACGATAAATTACGACATTGACTAAGAGCTTTTTGTTGAGGCAATTTCCTACCACGTCCTTGTTCCTTCTAGTAAGTCAAAGTATGTTTCTGCGCTGATCTTAAGGAGAGAGCCGGCTGCGTACTCGCAGACACGTCCGCCAGAGACCTGTAGTTCGACGACTTCAAATACTTTTCGAACAGTGTCTCCGCTTGGGTCGTAAGCCTCTTGCGGTCTTTCAGGAGCTTGCGAGTGCTCTCTGCAGAGCGCACGCTGCGAGTGGAAATTAGTCGCCTCTCAAGCGCTCGCAAAATCTGCCGTTTCTGCCGCTGCCGCCGTGCGAGCTCCAGTTTTTCGCGAGCGTTGCGCATGCCATCCACTTCGGACCGAAGCATGGAAAAAACGACAAAAAAAAGTCTCTGATCATAGTAGCCTAGTCTCGCGAAAGCCTGCGCGATCTGCTCCAGACTTCGCACTGAAAAAGAGAAGAGCTCTTTCTGTTTGCGGGACAGCGTGTTCGTGCCACCCGCGTCGGCGCCGGCAGACGCGTCCATCACCTTACGAGATAACCGCCGTAATTTGGCAGCACGAACACTATCCTTTGCGGGCAATACTTCGAGTCCGGCCTCGCGGCGCACTTCCTCAGCGTAGTCTTTGCGCCCTTTGTCGCGCACAACAGTGCCACGGTAGACCACTTCATCGCGGAGTTGCGCAAAAAGGTCGTCGTGGCGCACGTTCAGTTTGGCGAAGCCGTAGCACACACAGGCGATGCCCTGCGGGGTTAGCCGGTCCGCGACACGGAGCAACATGTGCGCCAGTCGCTCGAAGAGCAGTCCACTTTTGATGTCTAACTTCCCGTACGCGTAGGCGATTTGTGCCAAACCCTGCGGCTCGAATTGGGCAATGTTCCGAGCGATCGCGGGTGCGAGTACCTCAAAAATCGCCTTCTCGTACGTGTCCAAGCGCGCACAGGAATGCAGAAGCATCGCAATTGCTTGCGCCTCGCCGTTTCTCCAGGGCCGCAGATCCACCGCAGGGTCTACCTGCCGACACAGTTGAAGGCTCGATTCGGGTTTCACAGGCTGACCTACTATTTTCCATCCGTTCATCCCTGATGACGAGGAAGCTCCCAAATCGAGGGCCCGATGTTGGCCCCCATGGCCGGGTTGCAGATATGGTGATGAAGATGATTGAATGTTTGGTAGATGAGCTCCACTTCCGTGCTGCAGATCACCTGAAAAAGTCGTGATCCTGCCTTTCCCGTCTTTGTTCCAGCTCGCGAACTTCTTTCCGTGTGGCTGCAAGGTCCCAAAAAGATAAAGAGGCATCGCATACTCGGAAATCGCGTGCAACACAGGGAGAGCCTGCATCCGCCTATTCGTCTTCGCGTAAGCATTTGCGATCAGGCTAAGCTCTCGCGCATTCGTTTGCGAACTAGAGGAAGTCGAAGCGTCGCCCGGTCCTGTGCTACACATTGCCCCAGCGCGTGCTTGAGCGAGAAATGACGTTGCCGACTGCAGAAGCGCTTGCTCCACAACACTTGAACTACCATCGGGTGCTCTCGTCTCTGTGCCAGCACTTCTAGTCAAGGGCGCCCTACTCTCTGGTGGCGCAGGTAGCGACTGCAGAGTCCCCGACGAGCATGATGGCCGCTTCCGCGACGCCTGTACCTCCGAAACATTTTTCGCATGACGCAGACGCGCCTCCTCACTGTAACCCAGAAGGGCGATTTTTGCTGCTATAACCTGGGCGGAGCGCTCGAAAAGCAGCGACAGCATCGAAACATGTCCACCAAAAGCGGTTTCGTCAACATTCGCGTAGGCGTTGAGAATAATTGCGAAGTCGTGCAGGTCTAGGGAGGCTGCTTTCTGAGGGAGCTTCTCTGCGACAAGGAAAAAGAGATCCGCACCAGCGTTGTACTGGGGATCGTGCGGATCCCGGCACATCCGCTTTTTGCCACGCGCCGCATGATTTGCGGGTAGCTTATTCTTGTCCGTCGATACCCCGCCACCTGTTCCTGGTACCAGCAGAAACTCCTCGGCGCTGGGTTTCGGCACCCAAGGGACGCCGAGTGCGGGAAATATCCCAATAAAAAGTCGGATGTGCTTGCCGGTTATCTCATGCTCGAACATATCCGGGTCACGCAAAAGTAGGCAGAAGCGCTTCGTCAATAGTGCCAGATTGGTCTTACTGCGGAGGCCCAGCTTCTTGTACACGAATAGCATGCGCTTCATCTCGTGCAAACGAAAGTTAGAGTGCAGTTTCTTCGTTTGCGCATGCAATACTTCCATAAGCTCTGGAAATTTCCTTTGCGATGCGCTGCGTCCAAAATTCTTACTGCGTTCACTCTGTACACCAGGTGACTGGCAATGCTTTCTTGCGGTCGGGTTACCTTCACCGTGTGGCCAAATAAGACTGGTATTGTTCGTGTTCCCCAGATTATCATCATTTGGGAAAAACGTACTCTGGTCGGCGACGTAGTCATCCGTCTTGCTCGTGCTTCTCTTTTAGATGACACAATTTTTCAAGAGTCGCGAGGTTTGTTGTGGCAGTTGAGATGAAGAAACTCGATGTTATTCTGCACCATAAATGCCAGCTCAGTAGAAGTGTCTCCCTCTATTGACAACCGGACGATTTGAAAAACGTGTGATGTCAGTACGTGTATTGTATATACTCTTACATTTTGTTGACTTCATTTCCTTCCTGGAGGAGGGACTGCACCTGACGGCCACCACGTGCCCGAGCTGCCCCTGAGGCGGGGTCAGCTGCACCGAGAATCCCTAGAGATAGAACCTCTAGAACGTGGACAATGTCACAGGGTAACAAACAGCGATGCATCTCCTCGGTTTTTGCGGCAAGTTCGTCCCAATGTCTCGACAATGCTAGGTCCACCTTTGCGTCCAAAATTATAGCCACCTACACCAGCCACAACACGCGGCGCCCTATATGCACTCTTCCTTCTCTACTTGAGATCATGCACATTGAAAATAATGCCAACATTGGTTGTAATGCCATTAATTGCTGATTCTCACTACGAAAATAAAAATATTATAGAAAAAAAATCCAGCGGTGGTGCTACAATCACCTCGCTGCAGCATCGATCAAAAAGAATTCTAAGACTAATGCGAAGACTTGTGCAGGCGGTTATGAATGCTTTAGCCGTAACAGGACGTGCTTCGTGCTGCGATAGATCTCACCCAGTCGGTGCCAGAGGAGCAGTAGCTCGGGTCTTGAAGCATCGTCGATACGGTTGAATGCGAAGAGAAAATCTGCGAGCGGCCTATTCGAACACGCTGCCGTTTCCAAGAGCGGGTGTGTAGGCACAACGATAGCATTCTGCAGGTCCGCCTTCTTCGCGATCGTAATGATCCCACGTTTCGCTAATCGGCTGAAGTCGGGCCCTCTCCTGCCATGAGCATTCCCAGCATTTTCCGAGTACCCGACCCTGAGCCACGGTAGAGGACTATCTTTTACAAGTAGAGGAGTCGCTTTGTCCAGTAGTAAAGGCCTCGTTCTCGAAGGCAATACTCTTGCTGCTGTCACGGGCCCACAAAGCAGTAGCTTGTCAGAAAGCTCACCTCCGTATGCCAATTCCGGAATGGTGGGCAGTTTTTGCTCCACCAGCTTCGGCTTCCTCGGTCGCTGGCGGCATGAGGACGATGACGCGCCACCATAAGTCATGCTACCCTGCAGCCTTATCTTCGACAGCATTCGACCCTGTCCGTGCATCGTTTTCGGTGCCATAGTTAGAGGAGGGGCCAAGCGCGGACCCCTTTCATCTCGCATTCAACATATAATTTTGTTTTTCTCAACGCGAAGGATCATGATTCTTGAGTAGTTACAACTGAATTTCAACATATTTAGACACGTTGTGTATCAGAACGATTGAGGTCCTTACAGCGAGAAAAGTAACCTCAACCTGAGGGTGTTGGAAGCTAAACAGCGAGATAGATTTCTTTCACGCTTCGAGCTTCCTGATCTTTTCCAAAGCATCTGCCGGCTTTGTTCATGCGTGCGTCGCACAAACTCTAGGAGTCGCATTCACCGTGATATGCCGACTCTTGTGCTGGATCCAGAACCGAATCAACAGACCATCTGTGATACTGATCTTCCGATCCTGCAGCTGATCTTTCAGGCGCCAGGTTTAGGAATTATTCTTTTGATCATATGATTTGACGTGACCAAAACAGGGAACACGAAGAGCACACACAACATGCTTCAAAAAAAATGGTAGAAAATGTGCACCTAGCGATGAACTACAACGAGAACAAGTACGTAGTGTTGCTGTCCTCTGTGTTTTCAAGAAGAATAGTCAAACAACATATGTCTTGTCATGAAAGTTCGGCGTGTCGCACTAGCCTGGGATTGTGTGGGGATCCGCACAAACAAAGTAACACATTCTGGTGAAGGAGCGGCCGCAAATCGGGCAAATGTATCAATTCAGCCGCAGACCTCAGTTTTTAGCTACTGTCGGCTGCTCTCCTTGTGCAAACATGGGAACTTTAGTCTTAGTGTGCACCAAGCGCGTACTGGGTCAGGCAGGAAGGGGTCAGGGTATCAGCGGGCTCTGCTGCGAAATCCGAAAACCGGGGATCATGGGAGCGACATCGCTAGAACAAGTGTACGACATCGTACACCATGATCCATGTGAGCAGAAACGTCTGAAGGTTATGATTATTTGAGGTAAGATGGTAAAAGCGAAGAATAACAATAAAATCTCCTGAAAAGTGCAATTGCAGGATCTAGAGGCACTTCGTAAAATTGACGATGATATGGATCTCCTCGACGGGAAGCCATAAATTTGTTATCAAGGTATACCATTAGGCCGCCAAAGATTTGTGAAAAGAAAGGGTCAGTCTCCTTGACGAAGTATTTCTTGACTTGTCCGCCGACTTTGAGATACACGAATCCACTCGCGGCAAGTGTGACCAGAGCGTATATAACAATGCCCATTATTCCTCCCGCATGTAAAAGTCCTGCTACTGCTCCCGCTGTTACGCCACTGTATGTTCTCACGTGTGTAAGCGCCATGTTATTTCTCTGCATGCTCAGCGTTAGTACCAACTCTTCATCTTTCTGTTGTGCCTTTGCTGCCTTTCCTTCTGTCACCTCCTTACCGGCAGCAGCACTCTTCTTAACCAACGGCTTTGGTGCCATCTTGTTGATTCGTACGATAGATCGATCGTCTAATAAAAAGTTCTCTTTCTTTGCTCTTTTACTCAAACAAGTAATCAAACTGAATAACGACGAAAGTAGATGGGACTATGGACGCCGCCGAGGCTGAGGTACTATCTGCCACCTCCTACAAATTTCTAGAACAACTATAGCAGTAAAATCATTTGTATTGAGATTGACTCCAAGCTGCATACAATCGCCGCCTACTTCATATCCCAGAAATATCTGTCAGCGTAGGTGTTGGACACGGAAACGAAAGGTAAAAAGATAAAGTCAAGGAAAAAGTAACATTTTCATATTGCTGTGGAAGACTATGCAACGGTCCTACAAGAGATCCCAAGACCTAGTCGAAATGTAGTGGAAATTTGATCCGTCTGCTCAGGATGTTAGATACTCATGTGATATGCTGCTGCATCGTCAATTTGTTTACACAACAGAACAACAGTGGTATACGCATTCACATTAGTATCAAAATCTAGAGTTAATGTTATTCGTAGAAGAATCGATCCATCGGGATCGAAATTATACTTAATTCTGATTCTACACACCGCGAGTAAAATCTCTAAGTATGTCCGTTGGGTAGTCGCTCTTACAATACACTTTCATGATCATAGCTCACGCGACAGATGCGCCATGAGGATCAATGGCCAGCGAGATCTCCGTGCTACATGTGTCCCATCATCGACAAAGAAAGACATTTCCGGATCATCATCTAACCATCATTATCATTACGCAAGGAATTCAAAAAGCAATCGCGACACGCTGAGAATAGTGATGAACACTGAGCAGAAAGTAAGAATTCCTGTACGTAGTACATGGAACAAGATCATACATGAAAACCAAACGCTGTTCATGCACTAAAACATCGACAACGTACTTGTTCATAACACTATATTTCGATCCATGATGTTTTGAGCCAAAACATTTGTTCATTGTGTCAATGACCGTGGGTGCAGAAAGTCTGCCCAGAAAAAAGTGTCCAGGTAGGAAAGTAGTTCGCGTCGATCTGTCCGGATACGGCACACAGTAGTATCATCAAAAATCGTAAAACGCAAGGCCAAATGATACTTTGGAGGAATGAAGATCAAAACACAACAGGTTTCCAAATTCAATTGGTGGCCTGAAGCACTACTATGCCCTCGCGTGTCCGCCCAAGCTCTCTCTCTGGTGTTCTGCGGCAGCTTTCCAAACTGGTCCGATTTGGTGTCATAGCTCTGCTCCCCTTTTCTGCTCTTATATTTAGACGTACTTGGGCATTCTTTGGCAAAGCAAATCATATATCGGAACCAGGTCCCGTCTTTTGTATTGTTCGCTCCTGCAATAAAACAATCTCATTGGCCTTAGAATTTAAGAAACGACTCTCCTTGTTAAAATGAAAAAAGTTTTGTATCGTGTGCAAGCAGCACTGCACCTGCTATAAAACAACTTGAATCTATTTCTACATTTCTTCCGTTCGCCTTCGAGTTGTTATGCAAATATAAATACTGAGGACCGCGAAAAGTCGAGATGCATCAATAGCACTACAACGGCTAGGTCTTAATAGAAGCTGGGTTGAAAACCCGTGGGGCAGGATCGACGTCGTCCGTGAAGGTTCGGTCAAAGTGGAGCTCTTGTTCGAAGTCGTAGTCTTCCGGTTCTAGTCGTGTACAAGCCTCTAAAGCATCGAGGTCTTCCTCGGGGACGACAAATGGCCACAAGAGCTCCCGAATCCGCCTGTGAATCCGTTCGCGATTTTCGAAAAAAATCTTGATACTCTGCACGAGTTCAAGATCCTCGTCTTGACCGAATAGATTCTCCTCGCAGTGTTCATGCTTTTGTCTTAGACGCAATTAAGGACAATTTTTTCAACATCCTTACCGTAGAAGCGAAGACTTGAGTCTTCGCCTCGAGTCTTTCCTGACCTCGTCGAAGGAGTGGTAAGGTGCCCGTCAGGAAGATACGACACACAGAATCATGATGAAAGACTAGTGCCCTTAATTGTCGTGATCGCGTCGCTCCACCCCCTTGCTCCAATGGCGACCCCAGTGAGGAGGAGGACGATGGCAAAGCGCCTTCCTCCTGGGATGCCGCCTCATCAGCCGAGGAGATGCTGTCCGTTGCGCAAGAACACTCGAACGCTGACCACAAAAGAAAAAACACATGCGCAACGTCGAAGCAGCGCGGAATTGGCAGAAAGAAGTCCTGGAAGCTGACAGCGAAGGACTCCAGCGCGCCAAAGTAAGTGTTACCACGGGCGTCGGAAAAAGTCAAATTCACATCGACAATCTGCAAAACAGGCTCTACAACTTCGACCTTGAGGAGAAGCTTGTAGCGATGTGGAAACTCGTCGGAATCGCTTGAAATCGTCATTAGATCTGCAGCTACTGAGGAAACAAAGACAGAGCAAGAAAGACCCTATCAACATCCATAAGACATAAAAACGCCACGTAATTACTTAAATATCAACTGGTAAGATGTCTTCATAACTCTTTCTCGGCAAGGATCGCTTCCGCCTTGCTTCCTCGTGCCATGAAAGGAACATAAACCTCGTCCAGCGGAACGAAAGTACGCTTCGCAGGCAATGCAAAACGGATTTCTAAAGAGAATATCTCGTCCGGGAAGTCGCCTTTATCACCAGTGCTATGGTCATTCGAGGATGAAGATCCGTCGAAAAAGCGCAAGCGGAAGGGTAACCGAATCTGCATTCCTCTTGGTACACAGCGACGATAGTGACGCAGGCTTTGCAGCTGTACTTTTCCTATATTCTCGTTTTTCTGCACTTTGGGATCAGCCATCAGCTCAGATGCGCAATCACTTTGCGTGCGCGGCTGAAAAACAGCGCACTGTCCGTCCATCAAGCCCAGTGAACGGCGCTCGGTTAAGGACTTGGAAAAAGATAGAAAGGGCACCGGTCCTCCGGCGAGACGAATGGTCGTCGGCAGCACTACAACGTGATTTTCGCCACTGACACCTGCGGACGGTGCTTCCAAATCGTAACACGCAGTTCTACTTGTCTCCTTTATATTACTCCTATTGCGCCTAATGCTATTCCTGCTGCGAAAAGTCGAGCTATTCAAGCCCTGGTGGTCAGCATCTTCGAGTCTGTCCGTCTCATCGTAATCCGTCGTTGACGCATCGTCCTCTCCGTCGTCAGCGAAAACGCCATCCGCAAGAATACCTGCGAATTAGAGGAGTCCCACAGCACAATTGTCTTCAAATAGCAAGCGCGATGGACCAAGCGCATCTGATACCTGCAATCTTTTTGTTTCTTATAAACGCAAAGAAGTAGAACAGAGGGATAATACCAGGTCACAGTCTTGTTGAGAGGACACACTTGTTAATGCTTCTTTACGAGTTGTACACCTACAACAAAAACAATCTGCTCGAGTTATAACCGACCCATAATCACTGCGAGAGTCGTCATCAGGGCTGTCACTCGACTCCTCTGTAGTGCCGCATGAAACCCGCTCTATTTCGTCGCACGCATCATTACCGTCCGCGGCCAGCAACTTGCGCCTGTACGTCGAAGCAGACACGAAATAGAGAAGCCGCATATAGTAGAGACTACGGTCACGGATGTCCACGCAGGGATGTCTTGTTGACAGTTGGTGCAACAGGCATCCTAGCTGCTCGTAAATCACGCTCTGAGGGTGGTGGATCATCACTTCATTAGAAGATCAGTAGAATCAAACCTCCTTCGCTTACGCTTAACAATTACATTTTGGCAATGCGGCTGCTCACTCAGACGTGTTTGTTGAGCATCTTCACTCACGACGAGCTCGGGCCTCTTGCTCTTCTACCATCATATCTAGTGTCCATAACTTGGCGGCAAATCGAGAGCACCTTCACGCCTAGGTGCCAACCCCCACCCGACTGCGTGCAGGTATTTTCCGTCTCCCGTCGCCCGAAGAGCAATCTGCGTAAGGCTGTTAGTACATGCGACGGATTCACTTCGCGCACCATAGCAAGCACACACAGAAGTCCAAGATAATGGGGAAGCCGCGTCGTCGGCAGAAGCGCCTCTATCCAACGCCCCAAATCCTGCAGCAATTCCAGCTGGATGCATTAGAGATCGATACTTTATAGCAGGCTTCCTAGAAATTGCTCAAGTGAACACGACCCCAGATGAAACCACATTTTTTACTTCTTCTTCTTCGTTATACACAGCAAAGAAACATTCTATTTACAGTGACGACGACGAGTTTGAAAGTCTAGCCTTACATATCCTCGTGGGGAATGCGCCGGATGACTCCCAACACGCTGGGCATGAGTACTGGATGCGACTGCAGAAGCTCGCAGAAAAACTCGGAGATTCCTAGATAGCGGAGATGCTGCGGGAAGAGAATCAGCACGCGCAAGAGGAAGCGAAAGACAACCTGGTGTTCTCCAGCGGCTTTCGCGGCGCGAAAACCTGCACCTTCCTCCAATGAGGAACCCGGTAAGGGCTGGAAAAACTCCCCTGGCATCAGAAAATGCTTAAAATCTGAAAAAGAGTCCAGCACAGTGAGGAGCTTTCGCGGAAGTCTTGGCTCCTTGAGGCGCAGCGCGTGAAGAATAAACTGCAGCTTTAGCTCCTGTAATGATTGAAGCTTTCCATGTTCAGACAACACACGTTAGTCTGTAGGAGAATCGCTGATGATGCGAGGCTCGAGATGCTTTAGGCGAGGCATTGTCGGACAAAATTAGTGAATCAAATACTTAGATTTATAGTGGAATATCTCTCATGTTTACCTTTAACTCTATCTGCTTCGAAAACAGTATTTTTCACGGACCCAGAGAATACCTTCAGCTCAAGGGGATCCTGCCAGCGTGGTACGAGAACGTCGTACTGATTCAGAATGCAGTCGCGCATAGGGCCCGATGTCAACGCCATGAGCCACTGCACGCCCAGACCGCGGAAGAAGGGGTCCAAGTTAGTATCCTCAACCAAATCGAAAAGTCTGTCGAGAATCTGCTGGCTGGTTTGGTCCGCTGGTGACCACCACTCCTTCGTTACTACGACAAGAGCATGTACCAAAGGCGCGCTAGCGGAGTGCAGCAATGGGGCAAAATGATGATAGATGACGCTCGTCGGCAACCGCAGCTGCTCCGCAAAGAAATTCAAGCGCGACGCACAGTACAGCTTGGTCCAGGAAGAGGACAACGGCATGCATTCCAGTACCAGCGACACACCACGAGTCAGCAAGCGGACGAGTCTTCGTGGCAGCGGGCGCGCTCCTGATCTTGTGTAAACCACCTCCCGCTGTCCGCTACCGCCTACTTGTTGCTGCTGACCGAATGCAGGCACTCCTCTTACCGACGACGAGAACCCAGCCAGAGAGCGCGCTGTGGAATGCAGTGACGCGGGTGTTTCTGGACTGCTCTGTGGCATCCTTCGCGAAGGGATCCGCCCATGCTGATCAAATTGCAAGTCATCCACCTCGATGAAGGACTCCATGTCGGACTCCGACGCAGACAGGTCATCCCCACGGAAATGACTTTTCTGTGCTGTATTGCTTAGATGCGAAGAAGTCCTGGATGCGTGGTCCCCAGCAGTGGAGGTGGAAGATGAAGAGATCCCCTGCGCAATAAAATTTCGCGCGAAATGCTCCATGGTCAGATAAAAGAGCCGACTATAGCACTCAGTGATGTGCAGCCTTTCCTCGTGCACGAAGTGAGCGAGAGTTCTCTCTGCCGGAACTGGCGCTCCATCCAAGAAAGGCGTGCTTCGCATCACCGCACCCACTCGGTCCGATGATGTATTATCTTTTAGCCGGGTCTGATCGATGCCCGCTGGTGTCGAAGGACTTTCATCGGCACCTCTCGATGTTGATGACGATGCAGAGACAGAAAGATTGTGCGGAGCGACACCAGCCGTGGACGATGGATGGACATTATAAGGTGCCCATTCTTCGCCCAACAGGGGAAAGAGGACGCCAGGATAGGTTGCTTCCAGCTGGTGCAGGCATTCACATGCATACATGCGCAAAGTGCACGAAGGGATGTGGTTCACACAGCTCACGATGTCGTAGAGCATCGCGATGAACGCTTCCACACGGGCCGACGTTGCAGTCTGCTGCGCTGTTGTTGCCCTTACAGCGTCGGCTAGCACAAGATGGTCGAACTGCAACAGCAGACTCGTGTAGGTCGTAATCAACTGGAGCTTGAAGTCAAAACAAATCTCTTTTCGACTCCCCGTTTGTTCAGGCTGCTGCATCACTTGGTTTATCACGGGGCCCAAATGACTACCGAAACTAGAGGACGCAGCAGAGGCGAATGCCTTTGTTGGTGCTCCGGCGTAGCCGCTGTCTGCAGAAGTCGAACTGCTGCCGCCGACTGGATCCGCTGCACCAAAACGCGCATGTTCTCCTGTATTACCATAAAAATTCTTGGACGATGAAGAAGTTGCGCCACCTGCTCCCCGATTTCCCAAATCATACTCAAAGGAGCGACTGTGAGGAGGACTCTGCGCAAAGGAAGATCCATTTCCGAGGTCGTCAGCGTCTCCGTCTTCGTCGCCCTCTTCGCCGCAGGGCAGCGACATGAGATTCTCGAGGACAGAAAACACCTTGTCCAAGATCGCCTCATTCTTCAATCGTTTCGTTGAGGCTTCACCAGATTGGTCACGACCACGAGCGGAAGCATCTGCTTCCGGTGAATCGTCAAAAAAAATGGAATCATTATCTAGCCCTTGATTTCCCCGCTCAGGCCGAGATCCAACTCCCGTATCTCTACAACTCCAAGCGTCAATTCCTGCTTGTTCCGGACCCTCTACACGCTGTTTCGGTTTCCCATGTCCTACAACTTCGCCCCCTGATGTTCCCGGACCAGAAATATTTTCCTCGACGTCAAGCAAGCTCCCCAAGTGTTCTTCTAGGAAAATCAAGGCGCTTGTGCGGTCCACATCCTCTTTCTCGGTGAGGAGAAACAGCAGCAGCGTGTCGATAAGCTGCAGTCGCGCTGCCGCACGACTCTCCTCACCGTCGCCGCCACCAACATCAGCGACATAGCGCATGCCCCGGTCTGCACCCTCTGCATTCCATGAGAAAGCATAGCGAAGCATTTCAAACGTCCAGTCCATCTTGGCCAATGCGAGTAGGAACGCTTGCGCGTTTCTTCACCTCCTGCAGCTGCTCCTACACTTGTACAACTACACGACCAGTCTATCCATTCAAATATCGAAATTCAGCGTCAACAAACTCGATTTGACTTTGTTTAGTCCTTTTGGAGAGAGGATGTCGAACATAATAACATGGGATGGTCAAGACCAGTACAACTACCTGAAAATGAGTGGTGCAAAACATATCAACATGGCAATTTACTTTCCAACATATTCATTGATATACAATTTCGAAATAAATCGATCCCGAGAAAGTGAGATTCTTACTATCAATCTACATCACTTGATACATATTTGCGCTTGCTTATTCTATCTGTCCGTAATAGTTTAAATTTCCATCAAATCGAATAAAAGCAAAATTGCTTAGAAACAATAATATATTTCCACATATTGCTTCTACTTTCACATACCTATCGACATCCAAACAATCGATTTGAATTTGACCTAAAAGATGATAAAAACAAAATTCTTTTGATACAATATTTCACAAACTATGAATTCAATGAAAATTAGACGCACCCAACCCTTTTTATGTTGTTCTTGCAAGTCTAAAAAATCGTGGAAAAGATGGTCAAATAATCTACTGCATAAATATTGTCCATATTCGCAATAAGAATCTTCTCCGAATCAAAAGTGAATGCAACTTGTTACAGAGCAGAAGGTGAGCAGTTTCGCTAGATTTGACTGCACCAAGATTAGGTTCAAGTTGACGTGATCAGTGTTTGCTCCGGCCGAGAAAGGTGATGGCAAACGCAGAACCCCTTTGCAGCGTAAAATAGAAAACCCACCTGATAATCGTCACTGCATGCTCCGCCGGCACGTCTTATAGATCGATGGAGGTCAGCAATGCCTTATCACGGGCTATAAAACTCTCTCTTTGAACTTGAACTCTCTCACGTGAAGGCTGTAAGGACACGGACAGCTTTGCGCGCCCACGCAGACGGTTCGCGGGTAGTCACTGCCTGCGTGCCCGAAGTTCCTTGTCGCCTCTACTTCTTACACGAGAGGAGCGCTGCACATTTCGGGAGAATCTTCAAATCACCCTATCCTCAAACGAGTTGTCTTTTTCGCAGTAGAAGAAAAAAGCTCAGCGTCTGAATCGCAACAATAGACTCAAAAGAAGCTTTTCATTCGTCGATTGCACGTTGCGTAGGAAACTACGGTCATGTCAGTTTGGATCAAGAAAGGGGAAGCCGATCATGTCTCTATCTCCATGTACCGGTATCAACAAAAAATGGAAGGGGAACGACCAGAAAACGACTTCATTCGTCTGAGCAGCAAAAAATAGCTCACACACCTACAAATGATAGGGAAAGACAAGACGTCCAATGATTTCCACCGCTGCACTTACTACAAATGCAGACTCAGTGACGTCGACATGTCCTCGTGGTCCTCGTCTACATCCTAACCGTAGCGTCGTGTGGAAAACTAGGCCCTTGTTGTTCTCCTGCTATTTCAGACCGTTTCTTCAATATTCGGATGCCCTTAAGAGCATGACCGCACACCGGCTCTGCACCGTCATCTGTCACTGATGGTGCGCCACTGCTGCTGATCTCCCCGTACTCTGCTGCACTGCTGCACTCTGCGGTACTGCCCGCCGTAGAAGATCTGGTACTTGCCGCCGTGGATGTTGTCGCGGAGGCTTGATGTTGCTGCGGCTTTCTTATCCCTGGAACATCATTAAGGCGCGAACGTAAATACGGATTGCTTGGTCGCACCGAATCTCGCGCTGGATCGAACACAACGCCCAGGCCTGCTGACTCAGGACGTTGCAGGATCGAAGACTCTAGCTGGTCTTCTTGTACCTCTAGATGATTGGCAGCGGTATCTTCCGTAGAGATAATGTCCTCGACTGCGAATTTATTCTGAAGTAGATCAGGAATAAAAAATCTCAATAAGCATAACATTTACAACGGAAAATCTAAGTTCCTTGATAGTTACAACATGCCACAGCACGGAGCAGCAATATGAATTCATTGTGAAGATAACAGCTGTAGCAATGTGATTGTTTGTCGGATGACACTTTATCTATGACTAGCACAAAAATGTACCGCATCCTCATCCTCGGGACGAAAACAGCTGAGCCAACAGACGCCGTTTTTATCGGTCATATCCCTCCCGTCCCACTTTGCTCCACGCACGCCGCTGCGCACGACTTCCGTTTGCTCACCCCGTTCGCGAAACAGTTTCCGAAGTCCTCGCTGCACATACAGACTCGTCCTACGGCCATCGTCCATTGTTGACACTTCCCCATGATCTGAAGCGTCGGTCGTGGAGCACGAGGCGTCAACATCGTGGTCTGGGTGCACCGTTAATATTGATGAATCTTCTTGATGAAACTTCGGGCCTGTGCTTGGTGGAGGACAAGAACTACTAGCGGATGAGCACACAGCAGGTCGCAATTCTCCGCTTGGAACGGCTTCTTCTACGTTGCCGTCGTCGGCGTAATAGACATCAAGCGCATCGTCCTCAAAAGGGTTCACACGGAGAATCACAGCCGTAAACCAGGCACCCTCAAGCTCACGCTGAACCCAGTCGCCCGATGTGAAGCGGGTAGCTGTCGTAGATTCCGGACGCGGAGTCCGCGCACCTGGCGCTAGTGCTACCTCTGCCATTTTTCTGCAACACTGAGCGAACACAACGTGTTCAACTAGCACTTTCCTTGTTAACGTTGAAAGTAAGAATGCTCTTGTCTAAGAATCGCTTTTGAATTGAAATGGGAAGGGATCCAGATCCACTTAGCAAAACAGATCGCTACTACAACATACGCATTCTTGATGAATTTCAAACGTCCTTGAGATACTAATAAATATATTGTTCTGTCATCATGTTGTTGCTGTACTACCGAGCCTCATGAGTTTGGTCTGTTGATCGCGTATTGGCTTTGCTAGTATGCTTTTCCCTCCACGAAACTCGATTCCATTTTCGTTGCTGTCCTCTCATTTAAGTACTTCCTTCACCCGATCTTCGACATCTAGGCTCCACAGAAAAACTTTCTCTCGACACCGACGCCGTCCCCTAGAAGGCGTTTCTTGTTCCAAGTGCGGGAGCCTCAGATTGCGATTACGAGACGTTGCCCGCCGATCAGCATCTTTGTCAACTTTCACAAAAAATCCAAGGTCTCACAAACTAATGCACAAGAGAGTGAGAGGACGAAACGGCGCTATTGGCGTCGAAAAAGCGATTGAACTTTCAAACTCTTTTCTTTTCATTCGAGAAAGGATAGGTACACACGAAATTGTTGAATGAAATGAGTTCCAAAATTGTAACGATTGACGAGCAGTCGTTGCCGAAAAGGAAAGGTCGGCTGTCTGTGCAAAGCTCTAGTTTTTTGATTTTTGCTTGTTCTTGTCGTTGGATTAATAGAAATGGGGCATACGTCCCTGCTTGTGTATTGTTATTTGTCTTCTCTTTGAAGATACATATCAACACGAGCAGTTGGTTTTGATTATAGTTAACAATCGTACCAATACTGCTTTCCTCCTGTGTATTCTTGTCATACTTACTACCTTCTTTACGACAAATTGAGAGGAAAAGCAGTCATACATCAATGCATTGCGCGGAAAACTGCTTGTGTGACTCTGACGATGTAGTAGGTTCAGTTGTAGTCTGAAATCGAAAACTATTCAATTCAAGATAGATAATCAACAGAGGTCGTGTTACACTTTTCGTGGTTACTTTTTCAAAATCAAACATCTTTTGCAACTACAGGTTTTGTCGATTTTGTTGCAGAATTTCTTCAAACGGCTGAAGGAAAATCACAAGAGTGATATACCATTAGTTCCATTCGCTTCGTTTTTAAGCGAGGTGAGTAAAAACATAGCTTCGGTTGAGTCGATTTTCGGGGATGAAAATATTCTACTCTATTTTCCCCAGTAGGAAATCCACATGATAGTGTAATCAAAAAATCAAAAGTCGAGAAAAGTTCAGCTATGTTGTGGGCAATTGCCTGTGCACTCTCGTTTCTCTCGAACTTAGCGTGTGCGCGGTGTCTTCTCGATATAAGCGAGCGCGATGCAAGGGGGGCATAAGCGCAGATTCTTATTCTGCTTCCTGACAATCAGCTGAAGATATACCAGTGCGATCAACACAAAGAACTACATTCCCCATGACACAAGAAATTCGTTGAAAGATATGATATACATAGCTCAACTTCTCTTTTGAATCACCATCAATTTATTGAATCACCTAGTATATGATCTGAGCCTAGCATCCGAAGCATGCAGAAAAAACAATCAATTACAATTAGTTCACAGCATCATGTAGCGCGCTCCATGTTTGTGGATTGCCAATGATAAGTCATCAAAATTTCCAAGAAATTTGGATGAGTGCAGATGTTCTCGAGTTCTATAAGTTCATCTTCACATAAGACGAGAAGCTCGTATCAATAAAAATAAAAAGGCATGATACATAGTACAGCTAGTTCTGTTTGAATGAATGTTGTTGCATAAATGGTGAGGGACAGGAGATGCATCACGCAGTAAAGTCGGTTCTATGGCCACGACGCAACCGAAGAGGGCTTAAGGGTTCTTTAAATTGACAGTACAATATTCTGGCCACTACGAACTTAGGATTAGGATTAGGATTGGGTCCGCCGTCCACAGTTTTACCTGACTTAATGTACCTCTAAGCTCTGACTCTGACTGATATCACAAATATCTCAAGTAGGCTATCACTGGCGGAGGAAAGCTATCCCACCTGCGTGCTGCCTCCCGAACAGAAAGAGTGATTGAGAAGAAGTTCATTTTTTAGAATTGATGATCTTCTAGATAATTCCTGAAGATCATGATGCACACTACATCAACAATTAGCAGAATTTCTATGATGGAAAAAAGCTCAATTACTGCTCGATGTAGAACTAGAAATGCAGAACACGATAGGAAGTCTGCCAATCAGCCTAACTTCTCCGTAGTTCTTGCTAACAACTATCATCCTATCCATAGTTAGCTCTACTCAAGTAATGGAATAGCAATTTACAATGTCCCTCTGCGTGAACGAGACATTATTATTCAGCAGGCTTTGCATCACGAATGTAGACACTACACAGACCTCATGATTAGCCCAAGAAACGACAGCAACAGCATATAAAACGGGCCATTAGATGAAGCTACAACGACTTGTGGACAGGAGCGCGGTGTGAAGATGCAAAAGACACACCGATGGGCAGCTGAATCCTTGGACAAGTCTGCATTTCTCTTAACAACTACTATCCGAAAACCGTATGTATCGACGGGCAGCGTTACAATCATAAATAATTAATTCAACGGGGAGGCTTAGGCGTGCCGCCAGTCAAAACTTAACTCAAATTCTATTAACTGCAAATTCTTATTCGTGATGACTGCTGCTATCAAAAAACATCATTCTTTCATGGTAATATTACTGTTCACATAATCTAATCCTGCCCACGATTCTTATAAAACCAACAAAATGATTACTCAATGTCAACGAAGTAATTTATCCAAAAATGAAGCATCATTTATGAAACATGCAACAAAGAGCCGAGACTGCTACTGCATCAACAAAAACAAAATTTGAATTCCAGTTTTTTACTACCTGACGGCTTTAATGCCTTCTATCGACGAATCTTCTTCTCATCAACCGATTGTGGGCATTAATTCAATGCTATTCCTTGCTTCGAAAATTCTTCCCTTGCCTTCCTTTCTTATATTATAATTTTTTTATTGGGCAGTTCTAACGTATCCTTCATCAGTGCAGACAGTTCAGCTAAAAGACGATATGCTCGTACGCTACATGACTTTCCTTTTCCGCCGAAGACAGACGACAAGCGCGCTCATCTCCCGTCTTCGAGTCCTAGAATGCAAGGCGATGCGCGTTTAGTGCGCGGAAGGCTTCCAAGGCCTGCAGGGCAGCGTCAATGGTGTCTTCCGGAATGGTGTTGTAGCATGTGATGCGAAGCCCACCTGCAATCGGATGGCCGCCGAATTGCGTCACGTTATGCTCCCGTTCGGCCCAGCGCGTGAACTCCTTCTCCAATGCCACATTCTGCGCTCGCATCTCGCTTCCGATCACGCTTTCCGCGTCGCCAATACGCAGACACACGTTCATGCGACTGCGGCAATAGCTCTGCTCGGACGAGACCAGAGGCTGGTAGAAAGCGTGAGAAGCGACCCCGGTGGCAATTGCCTGCTGCTTTCCCTGGTCTGCGAGGCCGTCTAGGTAGTTGTAGCAACTGCTGGCTACGCGGATTGCCTTCTGCTCCATACCTTGCAGGCCTCCGTTCTCCTCCGTGATTTGCAGGTGGAGATGAACCATGTACAGCGAAAAAGTGGGAGGCGTGTTGTAGAGGTTCTGAATGGGGGCGGAGAAAGCGAAGCCGCGCCAATCGAGCATGGGAAGCGCTGCCAATTCAGACGCCTTATCGCTGTTGTTCATCACCGTTGCTCTGGTGCTTGACTTGTAATTGGCACGACCGCCGCTGACAAGATTCTTCGTTCCGAGTTTCCCCTTTTTCGCAGAAGCAGTCGTGGAACACGCAGACCATTGACGATCCGACTCGAGAACAGACTCGCGTGGGCTCCACGACGACGCTGTGAGGGAGCCTTCCTCGTCCTCGTCGCTGGCAGGCGACGGCAAAAACGTAGAAGTGCTGGCGCAGGAAGCCCTACCGGATATCGACGTTGCGCTGCCAGAAACTGCTGCACCGCTAACAAGTCCCGGAGTGGGGACCTCGGTGGCCGTCGTGGCATCCTCTTCTTCGTTCGGAATAACAGCTTCCTGGTCAACGAGGTGCAACAAGTCATCGCGGACAATGAGCACGCAAACACCCGCCGGTCCCAGGTTTTTGCCTGACGACGCAAACACGACTCCGCACTTTGACACATCCACAGGGCGAGACATCAGCGTCGAAGTCGCGTCGACAACAAGAGGAACGTTCGCGCGGTCGATTGCCTCCAGATCAGGTTCCGTCAGGTACTCCAGCCCATGAATCGTGTCATTGAGGCAGATGAAAACGTAGGCGGCATCCTCGCGAACTTGCCACTCGGTGACGGGTTTTAGAAGTCCCTCGTTGTGGCAACAGAAGAGTGGACCGCCGATAGGTTCGAACGGGGTCGTAATTGGATTGCGCGCAGCTGCTGCGGTAGCAGGGGTCGAGGAAGATGTTTTCTTCATTGCAAATGTGCTGGCACGAGAGTTAGTAACACTAGTACTATTGGAAGATGTTTTGTTCAAAGCGCAATCATCCACTGAGGAAGAACCATCGTTCGATGAAGTAGAGTTATCATCGTCGGAAGACAGGGCCGTATCCAGGCGGCGCGCCTCAAGAGGAGAAGCCTTTAGTGAGGAAAGACCGGACTCGCACGATCCGCCCAACGGAGACGAAAGCAAGGTCGAGGTGAAAGAACCGCTCGATCCGACCGTGGTGAGAGTGCTTGCAACCGAGGGAGCAGAGCCTGGCAGCGGCAATTCGTCGTTCTTCGTAATCTTAGCGCTGTGCGTAGTTCCAGTTCATCCGTGAAGAGTAGCCCGCTCAGAATAACCCCGGTGAGTAGTCTCCTCTAAACCAATCATATTCATGTTCCGAGTATTCTGATTACCTAGCATAGACGACTCTTCTTTTCAGGGATAACAACGAATGCGAAGACGAATTATGGAGAGCCTTAACAATGGTCATCTTGATCTGTACGTCTTGTGGTGTCTCCTCTCCCTCTTGCTCAGTAGAACAAGATGAAGCTGCGGAAGAGTTGGCTTCCGGGTTTGTTTCAAACCAGTCCGGGTAGTAGCGTTTCGCGTAGGCCTCAGCGATTCCGGCCGCGCGGCGGCTCCAAAATCCGGTGTCAACGTACTGCGGTGGCGAGGTCGGCTTTCCGTTGAGTCCGATACGCGTGCACAGATTCACTGGCACTGCGCTAAACTGCGCGTGCGCGCCGCCTGGCATCAGGAGAATGTGGTAGTTGTCAGGCACATCAAGCAACTTGCGGATTTTCTTCTGCGTATCCACCATCAAGTTCTGCACCGGTCCGTCCGAGTCACGGTGGGACAACTCCATGAAATTCACACCCAGATCGTCGTAGTTGAACCACTCCGCATGAGCGCGGCGCAGTGCCTCCTCGAACACCTTACCCGGTCCTGCCGACAAGTTGTGCACCTTTTTCGGGGGAACAGTTCCCATTTGAGTCGTCGTACCATTACATGTCGTCTTATCCACGGAAGGCGTCATCTTGTGCATGAACTGTTGTCGTGCTTCCTGTCGCCTTTTGCTGATAAGTCTAGAAAGACAAGAGTAGTGGAATTCCACTTGTTTTGTCCGCTTTAGGAGTAGAAGAAATCGATGTCGCGGGATCTATAATCCGGACCGCCGTGTTTGTCTGGTTCTAATATTTTTGTTGATTCCTTTGCACGGTGTTTGTTCTTTGTTTCTTCAGAACAATTATCCTCTACCTCCTGGGTCACAGTGACTCCCTTTGTGACAACCCTGAATAAACCTGACTGCTTGTCAGAGTGAGTTTGGTGCAAAAATCAGCGAATAATTAATGGCTGGCCATTAAAACAAGGTCGAAATAAAGTCGTCTCCTGAAAGACCTCAGTATAGATTGAAAACGACTTCAACGACCCCAGGGTGATTGACTTTGTTAATTCCTTCGCTATTAACAAGCGGCAAAAATCGAGGTCGCCGGTCAGGGTTTTAAAGCGTTTGGAGTAGAATCTCAAGGAAGAAAGACAGAAACGCCAGCCATTCTCTGCAGAGTTTTAAGGGGAGCGGTCAGGGGTCTCGGGGTTCACGCTCGGCAAAAATTCCCTGGGTTTTGAGGCCGTGCCAGAGTTTTGTCTCACAGAGTAGACGAAAAAGCGCAAAATTCTAGAGGTTTCCACCTGAAGGTTGCGAGCGCGATTCCTCGTCTCAAGGTCTTCCTTGCGTCTCAGAGTTTTGGCGGCTTTTCGATTTTTTAAGTCACTCACGACCCACGGTCTGCCTCCTCAGGGTTGCGATTGTGTGGCAAGCAAGGTTTGCCCCTCTCAGAGTTGCCAGCGCCAGACAGCTCGGAGAGCGACACGCGCGACAGCGGTGGCAAGTGGGCAAACCCTGGCTGTCTCAGGGTTTCTCAGGGATTGCAAGGCAGGGGAAAGCCCTGACTTTCTCAGGGTGTCCCAGGGTTTGCAGATCAGGGGGCGGAAGATCCGGCGGGCTTCCAAGGCATAAGGCCGGCAGGTCAGCGATTCCCCGAAGGTGACCGCGTCCGCTGTTGCATACTGAGAGACATCCTCGGCACAAGCCGACCGTTAGCGCCTGGCATCGCGCACGCGGCGCCCGATTTCGGCCGCTAACGGCTTCAAACCGTTGCGCCGCGGCTCCAAGGCCCTCCCATATCCGCGCCCCCGTTCCGGTGCAACGGCGGGTACGGCCGCCCCGCGCACCACCGGAGCACGGCCGAAGCTCCCACCCTCTGGTCGCCTTCAGCGAAAAAGGTCCGCCCACCTGATTACGGGGACAAAACATTCCGCGGCGCGGCCGTCACTAGCAGTTTCCTCCTCTCTCTCTTCCTAACACTTCCCCTTCACCTCTGAGCCCTCGGGTCACGACTAGTGAGTTTATTTCTACGCTTACCGAGACACTTTGCACACTGAATTATAGTCAACAAGATGAAATCTCCCTCTTTTGTTTTCCACCTATTCATCGAGTAAAAGCTTGACTGTCACTGAAACGAACGAATTCCAACTGCTCCAATTTTTCTCCGATTTCGAAATCCGAATGAACCTCCCGCAAAGGACACTGTACATTCTGGTCTCTCGTTGCACACGAGTTGTATTTACAACATTTTACATCTTGCTTTCTTACAACTCTCTCGTCTCGTTCGACAACCTACTCACAAGGTCGATTCCAAACAAGAACTGCACAAGTCGATATATTCGAAGGTAATGAGGGATTCACGAATTGCAAAGAGTAGCGAGCAAACGTAAAGAACGGCGACCTGAAGCACAGAACATCCTCCTGCGTTGGAAATTGATACCCTTAGTCATGGGTGAGTTGTAGTTTGCTTTTCACGAACGCTTGCTTGTTTTTCCCAACCTTACTCATGATTGCCTGATCAGCTTCATCTGAGATTCGATCCGAAGATTGCACAAAAAAAAAAGTTCGCGTTTCGCATTTTTTCATCGCTTGGTTAGTCAGTGTTGTACATGCACTAACGGAACGATCGGCTCTGCTCTGCAAACCAGGGTCCTTTAGGACACGGCCATAGATTAATCAGACTAGAAATAGAAGAATCTCAGTCTGCTAGTTGTACTATGAAAGAAAACACAAAAAGGATTTGAACTCAATATTGTTTTTACGTACGCGCGAAAATTCACTCTGTCTATTACTCGCATTCGGGCGCCCATGCTGTGCTAAAGCCAGGCAACTGCTAAGGCTGTGAATACATATCACCGGTTCATTGCATTTCAACGACCAAGCAGTTTGTTGTAAACGCAAAAGAGTGCCAACGACAAAAATTTTCATCCTTTTAGAGCTTGTTTCGTAGGAAGTAGAGCTCTAACATGTCTCGCTGACCGCAGTCTGTAATCAGCTTCGTATGGTGCGATTGTAGAGCGTTTTTCGCTTGCGCGTAGGTTTCAAGATTGAAAATGACATCAGCCCGAAGGAGTTCTGCAGGGCAGGAGTCAACTTTTCTCAGGTAGCTCTCCTTCGCCTTCAATTCTGGATGTATCACAGGCTGTGACTCTGGAAACAGTCCTTAGAGCATTCCGAGAACCGTACTACAAGGCTACAATAAATTACGATGCTAAACAAGGCACAAATTTTCCCTCGTCTTACTCCCTTGGATGATATTACGATGATCATTGCTCTTCTAGTACTTTAATGTTAGCCAGCATTTTACTGTACCACATTAAATTGCAGTTACCGTTTTGTGTTCGTGCCCTGATCATATCATGCGACAAGTTGTATCAAGCTATAGTACAAATCTCTTATGCTTTGCGGCGTATGCCATAAAACTTCCTTCGCTTGCGGAATCCAAGCTTTACACGCGTTGCTCCATCGCCGGAGCTAGTGGTTGACCCGCCGGTGGTGGTTGAGTCTTCGTCCCCGGTTCCTGCGCTGTCGCCTTGCGCTGCTTCACCCTTCGCGCCGTTGGAAGACTTGCCTGCGCCGGCCTGAGCGGCACCGCTAGAAGAGGACCCACCTCCTCTCGCACTACCAGATGTGGAACCTTCGCCGCCCGCCGCGGCTGACGTCTTGTGCGTCAACTTTTTTAAGGTTTTGAAGCCGCCCGCCACTGCTTCGCTTTCGTTCGACTGCCATGGCAGCGAAATAACTCGTTTTAGAAGATCACAACTCGCAAATGTCGCCGCAAACTGATTTGAAAAATTGTCGCCAACCGCGACTACACGCGCTCTCTTCCGTGCCTGAGCCTCGGCCTCACGCTGTCGTCGCGCTTCCGCTGCTTGCCCTTTCTTTCCCTTGCTACCAGTGGCCGTGCCCGCTGCCATCAGCTTTCCAGCTGCCGATATGCTGCCGTCTGACGCAACTTGCCGCTTCACCTGAAAAGCCATGAGGATCTCCCGCGCGAACACGAGCTCGCTGTTGTCCACGTCGAGGAAGAGGAAGCAGAGCTGCGCCGCACGCTTATCGCGGATGCCGCACGACTGGCACAGGCACAACCACTCATCAAAGGTAAACGGCTTGTGGTGGTAGGACGCGAACACTTTCAGAGCTGCGACTAGCATGTCGTTGCTCATGAACTCGTCCAGAACCAAGCTGGGACACATTGCGCCCACCGCAATGTTGATAAAACTCCACACGTGAAGTGTGCCAAACTCACTCTGCACAAAGCTGCGAAAGATGTTCGTCGCGTCCAGCTGGGAGGCGGAGAGACTTTCCATCAGCGATTCGAAATCGGCGCCGGAGCAGCGGCCGTCGCGATTTGCGGAGGACGCACAAAACGCCTTGCACAAGAGTGGGAAGTGGCTGCTCACTTTGCCCCGAAAAGTATCGAACAATGGGTTACCACAAGCGGCCTGCAGTGCTGTTTGCAATTCCGCCAGCCGCAAAAAGGGTCGTCCGATGATGTTGGACGCGTGAAAACACCTGTAGCTTTCGTACCTGTTCGCTAACGACATCTGCGCAAGTCGGTCCACGAAGAAGCCCAGAGTTAGCACGAAATTCTCGAGGACGTCATCTACCTCATCGGCCCCGGTTGATCTCGGCCCTGAAAAGGATTCGTGCATGTACCGGAAGTTTTCCCGCAAGCAGACCTCCTCTTGCTCTCGGTCCAATCGCGAATTCAGCGCTCTGGTACAGTCGCTGGTATGCACGGGCATGAAGAAGAGGTCACTCCACTTTTTGCCTTGGCGGAACCCTGGATGCCCAATAAAGCTTCCGCCAGGCGTATCCATCCACTCCCTGAAAATTCGTTCATGAAAGCAGGTGCCGACACGAGAGGTACGAGTTTTCATTTACTTATCATTCTTCATGAAAGAATTTTGTTTCGCACGAGTCAATTGTATGTGTATCCATCAGGATTCTTGTCCACGAAGCTGTCCTTCGTCTGGATGTACGTGTGGCACAGCCAATAAAGTGATCTCTTCTATCTTCTAAAATTAAAGAGCGAAATTCAAAAACAACGACGACCCCTCCAACATCCCAACCTTCCCCTTCTGACTCATGAACTTCAAAACTTCCAAACTTCTGAACCTTCAAACTTCTGAACCTTCAAACTTCTGAACCTTCAAACTTCTGAACTTTCCGAACTTTCCCAACCTCCCCAACTTTTCCCAACTTTTCCCAACTTTTCCCAACTCTTCCCAACTTTTCCCAACTTTTCCCAACTTTTTCCAACTTTTTCCAATTTTTTCCAATTTTTTCCAACTTTTTCCAAGTTTTTCCAACTTTTCGCAGCTCTTCACAGCTTTTCACAACTTTCCACAGCGAGCTTTTCGCAACTTTTCCCGTCTTTTGTTTCGCAACGTTTCGCAGCTTTTCCCACCTTTTTCCAACTTTTCGCAACTTTCCCGGCTTCCTCCCTAGCTTCCAAACTTCTGAGCTTTCCCAAGTTTCCCTAGGTTTTCTCAACTTTTTCCAACTTTTCCCACTGACCTTTTCGCAACTTTCACAGCTTTCCCAGCTTCCCCAACTTTCCCAGCTTCCCAAACTTGTCCCAAATTTTCCAACCTTTTCCAGCCTTCCCCGCTTCCTCAGCTTTCTCGGCTTTTCTTAAGTTTTCACAGCTTTCCCAGCTTCCCCAACTCTCCCAGCCTTCCCAAACTCTCCCAACTTTCCGAACCTTTCCGAGCTTTCCAAACGCTTCGAATTTTCCAAACTTTCCAAAATTTCCGACCGCGCTTTCGATCGAAGAAAGCTCTCCGAAGTTCTGAGCCTATGGGCATGCGCCTATGAACTTAGGAGCCCACTCAAGAGCTTACGCATCCCGCCCCACCCGATCGGTGCGCCTGCATCATCATCATCATCATCAGCACCATCGCCACCACCATCACTTATGAACTTACGAGCTTTCCCATGAGCCTGCGTAGCTTGGGAACTGGTTAGACCTGACCTCGCGCAGATGGGCGCGAAAGTTAAAGCCTTAACCTACGCGATAACGCCAGAACTTCTAGAATTTGAACCCAAAAAATTGAAAATAGAAAAGGCCTCAGAATTGGTTAGCCCTGACTTCACGCAGATGGGCGCGAACTTTAAAGCTTACGCGATAAAGCCAAAGCCTTTACGGTTTGAATGGGCTCAAAAAATTGAGAAAAAGGCTGGGAATTTATTAGCTCTGAGCCTTAAAGGTGTCAAGCTGAAAGCCCACACCAGACGGCTCGAATCTGAAGACTCAAAGTCGAAGGCCCAAGGCTGCAAGCTCAAAGTTGAGAGCTCAAAGCCGACAGCCCCAAGGTGAAGGCCCGAAGGTGAAAGCTCAAAACCGAAAGCGCCAAGTTGAAAGCCAAACATCAACGCCGAGCGCTCAAAGTTGAAACTTGACAACCCAAGCCTGAGCGCTCAAGGCTGAAAGCTCAAAACTGAAAGCGCGAAGCTGAAGGCCCCAGGCTAAAAGTCCAAGGCTAAACGCTTAAGATTAAAGGCTGCGCGTCAATGTCTCAAAGTTTCAAGCTTGAGACTGGAAGCCCAAGGTTTTTGGCTATTATATCCAATAATCTCATTGGCCTTAGAATTCAAGAAACTACTTTTCTTAAAAGAAAAAAACTGATTGCATCTGTGCAGAGGAGTACTCCGCTCGTTCTGCTGCCGGGAGGTCATTTTTAGATTCTTCTTTTGTTCAGATTCCTAATAAAACGAAATTGGAAAAATTCCCATCCGAAGTTTTTGATTGTATCACAAGAAGAAGAACCTCGACAAGTTGCAAACTCGAGCGCTGCAACTTGCACGCAAAGAAGGCCAAACCTAGCAAAAGAAGAGCACACCGACAAGCCAACGGCTTCGGCCTGTACCTTTTTAATGAATAGCCGCACGCCGTCCCCCGCCCTGCTCTTGTTCCAACGATCAACGCCGCCAGACGGTTGGCGGGCGGGGGAGGGGCCGGGGCCGGGGAAGCGGAATCGTGCCGGGATTGAGGAAGTGCGTGCCGGGGGTGGATGATCCTAGTGGGAGGAGTGCTACCGGGCGCTCAAGTCTAGTATCATTTTCTAACTCTCTTGTTACCTTCGTGGCTGCGCCGGCGTCCTCATGCTGCTATCGAAAAACACGGGTGAAGATATGTCTCCCAGCGCTGACCCAAGCTGTGGCGTCTGGCGTCCACTCTCGAGTACAACTCCCGGCGACAGTGAAGGCAAATCAAGCGTTGTGGCTGTCTCCGACATACTATCGTTTAGGATCGTGCTGGGAGCACGGTGTAGAGGAGCATACACCATCTCATTAGCAAACTTGCAGAAAACCGGATCGCCTGATAAGTCCGTGTTCGCATACGTGTCCACCAACTTACGAAAATGTAAAGCGCCGCTAGTCGTGTTTTCGTCGTAGTACTCCGGCTCCGGCTCGTCACCCGTCGGAGGACAAACGCCTTGAACTACCGCCATAGAACTGCCTGCAGCGCCACCTTTATCGACAGATAGCATAAGGAAAATTACATGATTGTATTAGTTCTCTCCAGCTAGGTGTGCATCTGTCGCTTCTTTCGTAACGACAAGCCCACACCAGTTATTGGTGACCATGTACTAAGCTTTTGTTCATCAAAGGTATCTATAGATACTAGTTATTCGAAACGACTGCAAACTTTGCAATTAGTCAGGCCGCCTAAGAGAGAGAGGCTCATGGTGAAGGTGATAAGTAACCAGAATCACTAATATCAAAAGGAAAATATAAGGTACCAACGCTGCTTTTGGCAGCAGAAGATGCGCCCATTCTGCCTTCTAGACTACTTCTTTTTGTCACGCTTTTATTTGGCCGTCGCGCGTATCCCTTTGACGCGTGCTTATTGGTGACGACGTCGGCATACCGCTTCCGTATCAGCCCTATTGTGTCCTTCGGGTCCAACAGGTCGATCAAGCCCTGAAGATGGTATGTAGAAAAAGAATCAATTAGATCAAAGACAGCAGCTTCTGCAACAGGTAGCGTCCTTAAAATGAATGTGCGTTTGACACTGATTCCAGAAACAACTGGAGACGCTGATTATCACCAACTTCGCGTACTTTCAATCGAGTTCGAAATACCTTTTCCAGACTCCCGTGCAGCGCTAGCATTTTGGCTCGGAGATACTCCAGTTGCAGATGTGGTGACACAACTGCTAGCGCTATGAGTAATTCCCTCAGGGATATCTTACCTGTGCTGCAAATCGGACCGTCAATAAGCGCAAAAAGCTCCTGCACCAGCGTTAGGCTAACAACATCGCCGACAATGCGGCACATAATGCGGTGCACATCGACAAGCGGTAAGTGAATCCAGGTTTTCTTGGCAACTTTCCCAGATGATGCGCCTGCGCCGTCTGCGTCAGCAACGTCGCCGCCGTCGTCTTTGCCAACCACCAAAAATGCCATGTTTTGGAAGGCGTCTACTGTGCACTCGAATTTCTCAAGAATGCGCCGCCGCAGTTGCCGGAGAGCCTCCAGACCGCCCTTGCTGCCGCCTTCTCCCTCAGCCTGTGCGCCACCACCCTGATACGCACCGCCCGTCGTCGAGGCTGCACTAAAGTTGCTCGCCTTGCTTGCGTTGCGTGGATCGACATCCACGCTCACGGAGGCCTTGCTTCCCCCTGCGCCTGGACTTGTTGCACCTGCAGCCAGACTCGGACTGTTATTCCCCGCGCCAGGATCCCCACTTCCAGCGTTGCCATCGGTTGCGACGGCAGTGCCTCCTGGCGGTGCGCCAACCTCTTTGTTGGCTGCGGTAGTGGATCCCACGCCAGCCAAAATGCTGTCTTGGTCTGCGAGACACACTAGGACATCCTCGAGACTGACATCCGTAACAGGTTCGTTCTCCTTGAACTTGGGCCGCGCCTGCCGTTCTTCATCCGCATTTGCCAACTCGGCCGCAGATGAGATAGGCTGGCCTGCAGGGGCTTTCAAAAGTCCGAGCGCCCATGCTAGGTCCACTTTTGCATTTCCAGCAATGGTGTAAGTCATCATCTGTTGCTTATTGTGCGCGCCGTCTGTAGCTCTTCCTAAGGCGCCGCCCTTTGTCGGGCTTGACGGGTCCCCCTGTGTCAACGTCGACCCACGACCATCTATCGTCGTCGGGGTTTCCGCTACCGCCTCCGTGTGGTCGCCGCCTGCTGCCTCGTCTGCGGGCGTCTTGTCCTTGTCTTCCTCCTCCTCCTCGTCTTCTTCTCCCGCGGCAGGGGGCTTCTTGCGCACGAATGACACGGTTTGATACAGTGGATCGGGGTTGCGCAAAAAGCTCTCGAGCCGATCCGCACCGACCGCGTAACTTTGACCGAGGATTGCGGCTTCTTTGCTGGCCGCGCCGCCTTTGCTCCCACTGCTTCCTTTACTTCCCTCGTTGCGACCACTTCCACGGGCCGGTGCGAATGCGCTCGTCGTGTTCAGTGCTTGGAGCTCTGCTAACCGCCGTTTCTCTTTCTCGTATTCGAGGACAGCACAGGGCATCCGCGCCGTGGCCGCCGTCTTCGACAAAAAGTCCGAAGAAATGCAGCGGCGCTTTGTGGCCACGTGACTCCGGATTAACTCAAACGCCTGCTTTCCTGTGCTGGCATCACATATTCTGCCTTTTTCCATCAAAGCGATGAAAACCTGCTTTGGAAGTCGCACATTCCAGAAGGCGCCGGACAGCACCCCGTGATTTTGTAGAATCAGAAGCCGCGCGAGTGTCTTCTTCGCAGGCTCGAGCAACAAGCGAAAATCCTGCATCTCGAACCGCTTCAAATTCATTACCCGCACAATCTTCTTGTCAGTAATAGTGCCTTGCATCGTGCTGCGCACCTTGCTGAGGCAGCGCTCTGCCGCATTGTGATACTTGCGATCAGCTCCGTCACGCGGCGACGCGAAGGCCTGAAAAGAAAAATCACAGTCGCAAAGAAAGTCCGGAAAACAACTTAATTACAAAAATCTATGATATTGCATCTGCTAACAACTGTAGTGAAGCAATCTATTCGCCCATCAAAATTCTACGCATTCCATCGTTAACACCTCGAAATACCTCTTCATCGGCTAGTTCTGCCTTTGCCGCTCCCCCGGCTGCGCGCAACGCTTCCCTGGCCTCCTCGGTCCGCTTATGTGCAAAGGTTTTCTTATCGACGACGCCTTCCACTACCCCGGTCGGAAGAAACACGTCTAGCGCTTTGTAAGCTTCCTCCCCCGCCTTGTCCAGAATGTGCTTTTTCGTCTTCGTATCCAACTGATTCACCCGGATGATGCCGACTCTGGGCTCGACTCGCCACGGCACTGAGGTGATGTGTGCCTGGGTAAGCTTTTTTGGGATCCGGAACTTCTTCTTGGACGCTAATGTCTCTTCGATGCGCGACAATCCAAAGCCGCTGTGCTCCGAAGGGGCATGGGCGTCGAGAGGTTCTGTAACAGGATGGGTTGTCGGGCTTGTAGTACCTCCTGGAGAACCTGCGACGGCGAGCGCGGTCGCACTACGATCTTCGTGCTCCTCTTCGTCGCTGCTAGGCTGCTCCTCCCGCGCCGAAACTTCCACAAAGAATCCAAGAAGAAGCTCCTGGATTTCGGGAGGCGCAGCGCTCCGCCCCTGCATCTTCGCCGTAATATCGATTGGCGGTGGGTTCGAAATCGAGTTCAAGAGCGCTGTGTAAGCAACTTGAAGCGGCCGATACTCGAACTTTTCGCCTTCAGGTAACATATGTCCCTGGAGAGATGCCTCGGTTTTGTTCCACAAATTCTGGAGGTCTGCCCCGCTCGAAGAAGCAGCAGATGAACCCAGATACTGAGACCCGCCAAACGCGGACGCGGAGGCAGTGGCACTACTACCACGCCGTGATAAGCTCACTGCGCCGGCCACTGCCGGCCGAACTCCCATAGTACTACCATGCCCGCCGAACTCCTGCCTGCCCTCTTGCCCCCTTGGAAAACGTTGTTTTCGAGGTCCGCCGACAAACGCCAGGTCATTTTCCGTCGACGCTGCTGCAGCGGCAGCCGCTGCCTCCACTGCCGCTGCTTCCTCGTCAGCGAGCGATGTGGAAAGTCTCCCAGTGTAGCCCGCTTCCGTATTGATTCCGATACCAACGCGCTTATCAAAGAACAGAAGTGTGTGCTTCACCAAAGCGCGGCTCAGCGGTGTTTCTCCTTCAAAAAGGTATCTCTGAGAATTATGCACCGATTCGGTGCCTTGCATCGCGTCCACTAGATACGTGTGCAAAGCTGCTTCTACTTTCGTGCGCTGTTTGCGGGTCAGCGGCGACAAAAGCATCGTCAACGCGCGGATCAAAAATTGCCCACTCGTTTCTAGCCTGCTGAATTTGATTCCAATCGCCTGCAAAGCTCGCAGCCTTGTCCATACCTCAAAGAGCGTTCGCGGCTTTTCCTCCTCCTTCACTTCTTGTTCTTGGGTGTGACTCTGCGCTTGAAGCATAAACCCCTTCTGCCGCCGTTTTCGCCGCTTTTCTTTCTCTTCCTCGTCGAGTTCGACGTCATCTGAACCAGCGTCGTCGCCGCTGTCCCTTCGACGTTGCGACGCGTCGTCTTGCAATGACGCGGCGGAACTCTTCAGGAAATGCTCGGACAACTTCCGCCATCGCGCCGATTTTTGACCCGAAGCCTGGTCGTTCGTCAAATCAAACTGTTGTAAAATAAGAAACAAAACACAAGACATTAATTAGGCAGGTGCTAGGACGATGAACCTTCGAGGAACCGGCATCGCTTACTACCTACTTGTATTTTTATCAACAGCGAAATCCACACAGCCAAAAAGCCACAAAAGCAAATGACCAAAGAACAGCTTCTGTCCCTCAAGAAAAGAAGCGAACGAGCCTAGGGTACGAACTACCTGCGGATCTTCTCCCGGTCGTGGGCTTTTCCCTTGCCTTGGAGACCTCTGTTTCATCGACAGCCGCAGCTGATTGCGCATTTGTTGCTCCAGATGACTTTTCCTTCGCACTCGCCGTGTCGTTTCCGGAAAAGCACCTTCCGGATACTGAAACGCGTCCCTTGTTGTACCTATGGCCGAGAGCTTGTAATTCGGTTGCATGGACTTCTCGAGAAATTGCTTCTTCGTTGGCGCAATCTCCCGTAACCGGCCCAAAAACTCCTCGTCCTGTTCATGAACGTTCCCGCGTAGCGCAATGCGCTCCAGCTGGGAGAACTCGTGACGTGCATTACGCGGCATCCTGCTGGAACTCAGGTTTTATTTTGGACGGATCCAAGAACTTTCTTTCTCACTAGTACCTGCCCCGCATGCTCTTTAACATCTCATCGTGGCCATCTTCTCCTTAGCACCATGTTATCATTTTCTCGCCGATACGCCATGTTCACAGGAAAAGAACTCCGGTGCTGGAACAACCTCAAGCATCGAAGAGGGAACTTGCAAAAAACACAGGAGAACGAACAAGTGAGGCGATAAAACGTCGTAAAGGTAAAGCTTTACTGTCTTTACTCTTAGTACTTATGCACGTCTTGGTCTTTCTTGCTAGATCGATACCTACCAGAGAAGTGAGTACCTAGAGAAAATGTGAAAAAGACATAAAAAAAATGGTTCGGGTTTGCGAGAACATGCTCATCAAGCTTCAAAACATCTTTCAACATTAAAACTTCGCGAGGGCACGATCAACCTCCGTGTCGACGACTTCCTGAAGCTTTTTGCGTTTCAAGTCTCAACCTGGATGATCAGCAGACATCTACCACCACTTACCCGAATATAGCCGATTCTACCGAATGATGCGTACGCTCACCTTACGATTACCGAAATTGCTGAGTTCATCACTGCAACCGACTTAACCGAAAGGCCATGTAGTAGTACAAAAAGATATACAACGTCATGAATGTTGGCAACCGAATCTATTTCTACGCCGCTTTGAAACGACAAATACGACGAAACCGAACAAGAGCGATTCCATTTAGCAAATTCAGCCGATGTCCACAACCTTGGCGGGAATGCCTTGTGCGATTTTCAATTAAGCATGGAAGATAATCATCTGATCTACCATATTGTTATTGGCACCATGATCCGCGTATCCTACAAATGCAAACTCTTTTTAACGTGTTCGTCACCCCCTTGAGTATCTCTCTATTTTTCTGCGGTCTATCTTTTCCATCTTTTGCATATCAATCCTTTTGTTTTTCCCATTGAAACCGTGATTTTGGCTAGTGATACAATATCATTACATTTATGTCTCAAAATTGTGCCTGAATATGTAAAAATCATGAATATGTTCTTGCGGCAAATCAAATTGGATCGAGCAGTCGTCCGCAATTTGAGAGACGAGACGCCACGCTAACTTGATACACGCAAAATGGACGAAAATCATATGCACCAGAGCATTCATTCTGCACATGTAGGAATCTTTTTTAACGTAATTGCATATCCAGATTATTGTACAAAATTTGAGTATCCATAATATTCTGTTCTACAAAGGCGTGGGCACTGCCCCTTTTCAAGTTTTTTCTTCTGAGATCACCAGTAGAAGCGATCTAGTTGATCATTATGATTTTATTCACCCTCCCATATAATATTGTTACTTTTCATTAGCTTTCTAAGGCCAGGGAAGCCGTCACTGCTCGCCCCACCGGTGCTGTCGCTGACGTGACTGCTGAGTAAGCCGCAATTTTCCATTTGGGTTTTGGTACCCCGCTCACTTCTGCCGGCGGCAGCATCGTTACCAGCTTTCTGCCTAGCTCGGGAATGCGCGATTGCTCCCGGACAAATGTGGGAATCTTCATCATCTCGCTACTGCTTCTAGTACAACTCGTTGCGGTCGTCAGGTCGTCAACAGCTGCGAGAGCTGCCGCACGTTTTAACGATTCCGTCTTCGTGGCTGCGCCGAAGAAGTCCTGAAAGTTGGTCCGAGCATCGGTGCGCGGATTCCTCGAGAAGAAGTCTTTCGGCGTGGCAGCCCCACTAACGGGAGAGCCATTAGGCGACTGATCTCTACTGCGACTTGCGGAGGCGGCCTGACTATAAGCCTTACTTGTCCCGGGGGAAGGGCTTCTTGACGACGCTCTGCCTCCCCTTGTTCCAGAAGAAGGGCTTGCACATTCCGATGAAGAGCTTGTTTTGGAGGATAGATGCGACATGATTAGAGCGAGCTAGCTAAAGCGAGCTGGCTAAAGCGGTTCCATCCTGACGAGAACATTTTTTCTTCAACAAGATATAGTATACTTCTCTTGTCTTAAGGAACTACAACTCAAAATCAAGTACTTAGCTTATCAATGCTTCTAGCAGAATTCGTAAGCGATTTCCCAGTGGCTTCCCCGTGGGCGCGCTCGGATCGACATCAGCGAAAAGCGAGTTGCGGCCTGTCGGGCAGGTTGTCCGCGTACCATCAGACAGGGCTAAGCTGCTTAGACTAGCACTCTCCGCTAAGTTAGACAACTTCCGCTCCTCTTGTGATCTCCTTGCGTGAAGACGCTGGGACACTCTCTCTACCTTCTTCGTCACAGCTTCCAGTTCTCGTGCTCGGGTTGTGTGCATATTAGAAACGCATACTAGAATTGAACAACTTCTTGGTCTTCTAAATCCAAGAATTATAAGTGCCTAATCAAGTGATGAAGAGACTTGATTATATGATCTCTGCCTTAGCAAATGCCTTCACTAGCAGAGCGCCGTAGTCTGCAAGTTGCACAAGGTCCTCCACTATGGCATCCGACTCTGCGATTTCACAGTCGAGCCGATCAATCCGTTCGCGATGCGAAAACCTGTGTGCTAGCATTATGGTAAACTTGGGTACTTAGTACAATCAGCTTTGACTCTTTTCCCCAGAAGTATGATTTGGTGGCTAGTTGGTGTGCGTTATCTATTTCAATAAGCACAGGAGGAAAAGAACTGTAGAAGTGCCTAGCCTGCGAACGGCGTCGCGGCATTTCCTTGGCGACAGTGGCGAGGCGCTCTCGAAATGCCGTGGAGCAGTCTCTGAGGTTCCGTCCGATTTCCGGTAGTCCTGGAGTGATCTGATTTTGCACCAGAGAACCCAACTCTTCAATCGTTTGCTCGTCATGACCTCCCATTGCGACAAAAAATCTGAACAAAAGTGACGGGGTAGCTGAGATTAGATCATGGACGAAACGCATCATCAAGGCGCCGAGGATGACAACAGGACATCGAGGATACGGAGTGGTGATCGTCTGATGATCGTCATTTGACTACCATATCTTGCAGTGAAACAACATTAGACGGAGAACTGTTCAATGGCGCTTTCTAAGAATTAACAAATCGCTCAGTACGCTTTCGCTTCCTCCCATCGTCGAAGCGCTACCTTCTGTGCCTCCTCCGCTCGTGCATATGCTGCTGCCACCGTCTCAAGCTCTGAAAGGAATCTTTGCGCCTTGCGTAGCTGCAGCTTTTGATTGCAGAGTCCTTTCTGCAGCACCTTATCGAGACGCACACACTCTGCTTCATAGGGCGTTCGCCGCTCTTGTGCCATGATGCAATGTGCATTTTGAGTACTAAAAGTTTTTTTCTCTGGCCAAGAGCCTCTACCGTCTGCCTTACCTTTATTCGGGGAAGGATTCCATTCCGGCTGCAAGAGCGGGATATTGGCTCGCCGTTTAGAACAGGTTGGTACTGGTATCTAGTTTATGGAGAGCTCGCTGTCTAACTTCTATCTTGAAAACTCTTTTCTCAAACAAATGTTGCTCTTTGACATGGATGCCCTCAAAGTCCTAGAAGAAGAAACACGGTAAAAACCAGCTTTGAAGGCGATAAATTTGTGGACACGCTAGTATAGATACGGTCATGAGAGCCTTAAGCTGTAGTTCTGCGCGAATCGCGACAGTCTCTGTCTCGCCCTCCGTTTCAGAGGAAGACGCGGAGAGATCTATTTCATCTCCCGTTTGACTTAGGACATCGCCATTTCTTGAACAATCTCCAGCATGATTTGGAGCACTTCCGTCGCTAGCGTCTCCCAGTGGATCTTCAACCCCGGCGCCCGCCGTTGCCAGGTCAGAGGAAGAAGCAGAGCAATCGATGTATCCGCTTTGCAATGGTGGCCCACAAGCTCCATTGGCCTGCTCGTCAATATTGTTCATCTGCTCCCACTCGAAGCTGTCGCGGTTTCCCAAAGCATCGCTCGTTGTACTATCGCTCCTATAGCGAAAGTTTCGCGCACTGCCTTGTCGTGCTAGCGCTCCCTCAATATGAATGTTGTATTTTCCATCTAGGCAGACCATCCTGGCAGTTTTCACCCTTGAAATGAGTGCCAGCATGGTCGCAAGCATGGAAAAAACATCATCCATACTCAAGTCCGCTAGCATCTTTAACATTCTCGTCGAGCATGATTTTCGGTTCTGCACCCATCTCGAGAGACGACGCCGCCTCTGCGTCTCCAACTCTCTTCGATTCCGGGTCCGAAGTTTCTGGCTTTTGCAAGCGATTCCGCGAAGGCACAGCGTGATACTTCGAGGGATAGCTTGTGCGAGCCGGCTTTGCGGCTGAGCCTCCGCTCCCCTCCCGACTCTGCGGCACCCATTTCCCGATATCTTCAATGCAGATCGCGGAAAGCTTCGCCAAAAGATCATTAGTACTACTAGTGCTCTTGTCCCGTTGTGGTGCAGCACCGTCTTGAGTAGAGGCATTCATCACCCCATCCCCTGCTCCATCATTCTTCTTCGTTGCTGCTTTGCTTTTAAATGATTGTGATGCCGGGGAGCTCTCTTCTTTAGCATTATCTTCAGCAGTATCATTCCCTTCGCCTTCGTAGTAGGCCAAAATCGTGCGGGACTGACGCGCCGCATGCAGTCGAGGCGACGCCAGTTCTCGCGGCGACGGGTCGAATTTTTTGCGCAGCAATTCCGCCAATGGGATGTTCTTTCCAGCAGCCAGAGAGGATGCCACGGACATCCCACAACTCGTGCGCGTCGGACAGCTGCTTCGCGGAGAACTACCAAGAAGTTCCCTCCCCAAGATTCTCGTTAATGGCCTATAGGAGTTTTTGTTGACCTTGAGCAATTTTAACGTGGAGACACTTTCTCCCATCACAACTCCCTTCGCCCTTCGAGCCTCCAATTCGCGAACATCATCTTCGAATTGAACTTTCGCAGTTAGCTTCGGCGACTGGGACCCGCCGGACTTCGGCGACTCGAGAACACTCGACGATCCCGCCATCGGAACGCGGGGTGTCATCGACGTCGATCCTACACCTGCTACGATACCACTATACGTCTTCACCCTGTAACCTGCGTCTCGCTGTTGTGGGGAAAAAGTGGAAGTGCTCTGGGCCGAGCTCACTGCGGAGCGGGCGCTTTCGATTGCTCTGCCAGCAGAACCGCCAAAGTTGTTCGTGGACAACATCAATGTCTCGCTACCACGAGCACTGGACAATGGCGTGAAATCGAGACGCAATCGAGGAATCGTCTTTGCAGTCGCGACTGCAGCACTTAGCGGCAACGCGGCAACTCTCATGGTCTTCGCAGACGCGATTAACGAAGAACCACTGTGGAGCAGGCTTACGCCCTTCTGCTGATTAACGCCGGTCGCTGTTTTCTGTGCGACAAAGACGTCCGACGGTTTGTCGTGTTTTGTCGTACCAGTGCCCAATAAAGATGTCCTCGTGCTGCTTTCTCCCGCGGCATTGCTAGTGGTCGTAGTTCTTTGCACCTCCTGTGTGCTCACCCTCCCTACAACGCGTACAATCGCCGACGCGGTCCGGGCGTCTGCGACTGCCTTAGCCTCTGCAAAAGCCCGGCGGAGGTCTGGAGCGGGTCCGCGCGCACTCAGCAAGACCGACTGAAGCGGCTTGGCCTTGATATCACCCAAGCCAAACGGCTTTGCTCCACGGCTGGAACTAGAAGCACTGCGTACACTCGCAGAACCCTTAGCAGGTGACCGCGATAATACAGCAGTTTCTTCATTTTGGCCGCCTTCCTGTTTTCCAACCTCTTTTTGACTGAAATCGGACGTTAGAAGCGTCTCGGCCAGTTCGCCCGTGGCCCGGACAAATTGTCTCTGCGGCGATGACGTGGACTTCGTAGTTTTGTTGGTACTTGCTCGAGCCACCACGCTGCCGCAGGCTTGCTCTCCACGGGGACTTTTCTTGGTCGCCTTCAGTGCTCCACCAGTCTCGGATGGCAAAGTAAAAGAAGAGCTTGTTGCGGCTGTACTAGGACAAATTGACTCTTTGGAAGCCAAGATCGTGGCCGCATTGTAATTTCTGGACAGAAATGGTCGCGCAATTCCAGGTGATTTGCCTTCACCACGCGGACTCTTGTGTGCTTCAGCGTCTGCGACGTTTCTCACATTAGAATCCACGAAACCATATTGCCTACGCTCATCTTCTCAGCATTCTATGAACAAGGAGAGCAACGAAGATAATCTCTATTTGTAGTGCTGAACTGTAGTGCGCCTTAATGGTCACAGTTGCGCTTGACGACACCCACGATCTTGGCGCGTCTCCACGGCTTCCGGATGGTAAGGCAGCCCTTACCATCAGAGTTTGTCCACGACCTGCACAAGCTGGCAGAGCTGGTTTGTCTTCCAATTTGAGGGGCAAACGCGACTGCCAAGACGCAGTGGATACTAATAAATCGTCTGCCTCCATCTCGCCGGCTTCAGAAACACGGCTACCTCTAGGTGTGGATGAAACTCGACTCTTCTGCAAGAGCACTGGAACCACACCAACAGGATTAGATTTCCATTCATTTACGCTGTCGCCCATTTTTATTTGCCAGGTGAATCACAAAAACTGGGCGAGGGCGACGGGAAAAGTGAATGACCACAGAAGAGTGGTGTTTGTGAGAAATATGACAAAGAAAAAACAAAACGTTGCAAAGAAGTGTAATCGTATTCTTGAAGATTCTGCACCATGACAAGCGGGATTGGGTCTTATCCGCAGAGGTCCACAAAGATGAGCGAGACTCGGATCAAGTAAAAATATCTTGACCCACATTTCGTTCATTCACAAGCACATCAAAAACGCGACTCATAGGATATTGCAGTACTTCTTGAGAATTTTATAGGATTCAAGAAAACAAAACAAAATAAGCCTAACCCAAGAAACATCCCAGAAGATCTCTTCCAACAGATATACAGAGAAACGTTGAGAAAACGGCCAGGGCAAAGAAAAACAAACTCACTTTAATTCTCGCGCCGATTCAGAACTAGTACTGGTTCAACAGATCATGGACCGCCACCCCGACACGTAAAAACTGACTCAGGCATCCCTCGTAATCCATCGAATGTGACATCTAGATCCATTTACATTCTTGCCCGTGCTCGTCTGGACATCTTCAGTGTGGTCCCAAAGCTCCTGCTTAGTAAATTCAGAAAGGCGTAATATTCTAGCGGGGTGTTTATTCCTTGCATTAATATCATGGGCCTGAAAGCGCTGGGGAATCAGTCAAGTCTTTAGGCTACGCCTATGCCGTTCATCATGTTATTCAATAGCTGAGCACTTTGGTGCTCCTCTCCACCTTCTTGTTTGCTTGCTCTCTCTCTGTCTTTCTCTGTCTGGCTTGAACAGAGCCACTAAGTTCTCTCTATGTATACAGAATAGTGCGGCTTCTTAATGACCACACTACCCCCCCTAGGTCATGATAGATTCATCTCAACAATCATCTATCTAAGAAACTCTCTATGCTTCTACATCCACCTGCACCTCATAAAGAGGTTTTCAAACTCGTCTTCTACTTTGCGCCTCCATCTGCACCTCCTCGTACGCAAGAGGTCTTCTTCAGGCCTCCTCCTGTAGATTCTTCTTCAAAATCACATAGCATCGAATTTCTACTGATTTTCGAATGAACCCCAACCGCGTCTCCTCTACGTCCGTTGCGCCAGAATGCGGAGTGGACCATTCAACGCTTCCCCAAACTTCATGTGCGGATAATAGTGCCAATCCTGACGTTCGTCGTGAGCAACGATGTAAACCTTGCCAGTACGGGAGATTTTCTCGTGTCCACCAGAAGGATCATCCTCTTTAAAATACATTTCCTGGGTATAGAGGTTGTTCATATCTGGTTCTGGCCCTTCAACCGATGTTGGCTTCTTGGCCACGCTCTTAAAGCTCCTCACATCACCCACAACCAGAGGTTTTCCGATCACATCGACCAGAGGCGCCCAGACATTGAGGAAGCAAATGCGGTAATCAGAAGCAGAGCCAGAGGATGCGGTAGTGGACGAAGCGGACGGTTCAGAATGAAATAGAGTTTGGATTCTCCTGAGCAGTAGACTTGTCCTCGTTGTCAGTAGAGCAGGATGTGGAACCTCCTACATCATCCGTTACTTCCTCTGATACCAGTGGCAGTTCATGATATACGAAATCTCGAAATTGCTTTTCTGTATTGAAAAAACAGTTGGATGGCGATCTGATGCCACCAGACGGCACGCCAAAAGAGGAGCCTTCACCCTGTTCCTGTGCTACATTTGTAGACGCGTAGGTCCATGTATGTTGTACGGCCTCATTCCCTTCCAAAACTCGTTTCATCCTGGTCAACCCACTCTCCTTCGAGAAGTCGCAATGCGCTTGAGGAGCAGGAGCGCCACCAGGAAAGCCATCCACTGGCTTACTGTTTCTGAAGGTGAAGTCGAAAATTCCAGCATGTACTGGCTCCCATGAAGTTTTTTCTTCACGATTGTGAGCGTGACTGTTGATCATGTTTCAAAGAATTCCCCACATTCTCTACAACTGCACTCAGCGCAACCGGCAGAAGTTTGCTGCGAACAAAGCTCTCCGTTTCATCGTAAGTCTTCAACTGTTGATTGCCATTCACATCCGCAACAGGAGCAGTTGTATTGTCATTATCCATCGTCCTTCAGAAAATTATCATTGTGGTCCTTGGAAAACAAGTTGACGAGCCTAAAACCGGCTGTGAATAACTGCTCTTCTTCTGCTGAAGGTCGTAGGCTTTTACAAGAAGCTGCGGGCGAGTCCTTTCTACCTAGTCGTCCTGTTGAGTGAGTAGGTCCTCCACATAGAGGCCCGCTCATCCTTGCGCTTTTCACCAACACTTTCGTTTCTTCCATCCTTACATTCTGGACAGTGTCGTAGTGCTGTGCCATTCGGGACATGACTTCGTACTTGTTTTCCCAGTCTAATTTACAGTCCTCCTGTTCATCATATTGCGCACGATCGTAGCAGTAGACATAGAGCGGCACTTCCCCAGTCTCTCTTCTGCTTCTCATAGGGCTTCACAAACGGAATCGACAGCATCGATTCAGCTGCTTGGTCGGAAAGGTTGAGAGCTGCTTGGACGTGTGGATCTGACAGGAGAGGAGATAGCTGCTTGCTATGTATCCTGGTGGTCCTCGTCCTGTACAGGAGGATCACCAGCAGAAGAACTCCGAATTGTTGTACTAGAGGCCATTATTTGTGACAGAAGGATGAAGAACAAGCTTTGGAAAATGGTGCTATATGAATGAATGAATTGCTATACGTTGTAAGGTGAAATTGCAAAAGAAAAACCAACAAAGACAGAGGAGATAAAACTAACGAGAGCTGGTAGATGATAGCGGTCGTGATCAAGATGAACTATCTCGGGGGAAGTAGAACACTACTGCGGCTCTCAAGCTTTCTTGAGCGTCTTACGAACCTATTGATAGATAAGATTGATAGGATATGAGGAAATTTCGACTCCTATGGATCTTATTCTAGCATGCGACTTTTGTTCTTTAAAAGTGAACGACGCACGCAAATACATGCAGAATGCAAATGCTATAAATTCTACGTGGGGCGAGTTACTTTCAACGGTGGGTGCTACTCCTAAAAGAAAAGCATGGATCTAGTCTAGTTCTTGATTCTATCAGAAGTCCCACTTTGATTCTAAAAAGCACTAGGTTACCAATCCTGACCTTCGCTTACTGTTCCCTAAAAAAGTAAGCACCTTCTTCTAAAAAAGTCAAAACTATGCGGTCCCAAGCTCCTGCTGCGTACTCGAACACTTAGTGAATTCAGTCAGGCGTAATATTCTAGCGGGGTGTTTATTTCTTGCATTAATATCTGTGGCCTGAAATAAGCGTTGGGGAATCGGTCAAGTCTCCAGGCTATGCTTATGCCGTTCATCATGTTATTCAATAGCTGAGCACTTTGGTGCTCGTCTCCACCTTCTTGTTTGTTTGTTTGTTTGCTTGCTCTCTCTCTCTCTGTGGCTTGAACAGAACCACTAAGTTCACTCTATACAAAATAGTGTGGTTTCTTAATTACCGCATTCAGCGCATTCTTTCTCTTTTTACTTGACCGAAACAAAACGGAACGCCAAAAAATGACCAGTAATGAAAAATGTCTTCACAGATCCATCGGAAAACTTCTGACTCTTCGTATGGATCATCAGTGGCGTGGATCTGCGCAACTAGCTACTTACAACAGATTTCGATCATAAAGAAGACCAATATTAAGTTACACCGGCTTCTCGGTGCGGAAACTCAGGGGACACACAAAAATTGAGGAACACATTTGCATCAAACACGCGCTTTTCATCACGGCGAACGAGGTGCTTTCTCGACCAACAACAATCAAATTAGATATACACATGAAATGCAGTAGTCGTACGGACCAGAGTCTTCATCACAACAAGAAGTGGCCATTCACATGAATCATGATAGATACCCTATTGACCTACCTGCGACGTGGAAAGACCGTGTACTTACTTCTTCTTGTTTCGGCCTTGTTGCCTCCTTTTCTTGGTTTTCGCATTTTTTTTCTTCACCTGCAGCCTCTTCGCCTTCTCACCACGCTCTGGCGCCTTGCCGAGGACAGCTTTGAAGGTGCTCACGGACTTTTCTTTGTGCTTCTCCTTCATTAGTCGAGGATTGAGCGCCACGTATGCGTACGGTTCGTGCTGCGCGCCCCGTGGTTTCGCGTCTCCGCGCGCCTTGCCCTTGGATGGGGCATAATGCGTCACACCACGCACCACGTGAGACTTCTTGTCGCGTTTTCTAACGAGGTTTTGAAGCTGTCGCTTTTGTCGCAGCTGCTTCAGAGCGCCAAGGCCTAACTTCTTCTTCTGCCTCTTGCCACCAGCATTCGTTCCATCCTGATTTTGGAAATTCGGAAAAATATTCTTGCAGGATGATTAAAATTCAAATTGATGCAACAACATTTGATTCAGTATAAACGAATGAAGAAAAATCACCTCAAGCACTACATACGCATAGCAAATTTTCAAATCTACCTCATCATCGTCCTCGTCGTCTGTTGCTTCTTCCTCGACCACGATTTTCCCGTCTGCCCGAAAGCTCACACCTCTAGCATCTTCTTCTGCGGGTGCTGCAGCTTTGCTTCCCGGCAGCAATTTTCGGGTCGCACGCTTACTTCCTGCTGTTGGCACTTCGGAGGCATCCTCGCCATCCTTGCTTTTCTTGAGGGCTTTGCTTTTGGTGAAAAGGTTATGGGTAAGGCTTCTCAGGTCCGCGAGGTCGAGCACATCCTTCGACGCGACGTCCTGCAATTGCGGCATGTTGTGCAGAACCGAGTCCTTCGCAACGGCAAAGATGCTGCCTTTCTTGTTGCTAACATCATCCGCCCGCTTGTGTAAACGACGAGCCTTCCGGCGATTACCAGTCTCAAACCCGTCGGTTTCGCCCTCCGCTTCGAACTCGTCCAGAAGATTCGTGATTACGTCCTCGCCGCCATCCATATCAACGTCGTCGTCGTCACGCTTGCGCTTCTTGCGGCTCTCAGCGATACCTTCCGTGCCAGCTGCAGCACCAGTAACAGCGTCGTCGTCGTTTTGAAAAAATTGTGCGTAACTCTTCTTGACAGCTGCGCTGCGCTTCTCTGTCTTTGCAGACACAGCTTTTTTTGCTCTTCGCTCCAGATTCTTCAAGACATAATCCAGCTGCGGAAGGTGCTTATGCGGGAAGCTCTGTGTGTGAGGAAAGTGGGAATATTGAAACAGCAATCAAAATTACTTTCGAGAGACCATGAAGTTAAGGTAAATCCTAATCAGCCCCCAGTCGTATAACATGTCAGCCTTAGAGTATGAAGCAAGGCGGGGCTGTTCAATAACAGTTTGCTCTATTGGAGGTAACTTTGTTAACAATAACTCAAAACAAAGCATGTAGTAACAAAAAATACCCTGTCAAGTGATTTATTTATTCAATAAATATCACTGAAGAAGTCTACAGCGAGTAGTTAAAATTGTACCTTTCTAAAGCTCTCGAGATCCACCTCCTCGGCGTCTTCGTCTTCATCCTCCTCCTCGTCGTCGTCTTCAAATCCCATGAAGCATAAACGCTTGAGAAGCTTTTCCACGATGCGCCTCTTGAGGTTGTTGCAGCTTTCGCTGTTGGTGTTTGAGTACAAATCGTGCAGGAAGCTGCTCGTCATGGCGCCGATCGGGTTGCGGCCGTCCTGGTGGAACACGGTTCGCCGCTTCAGGACGCCAATGGGCACTACGTAGCACATGACTTTGCAAAACTTCAGCACCGCTCGAAATACCTGACGATCCTGGTCGCGCAGCATGATCAGGACGACCTCGCACACCTGCTCGATCACTTCGTCTTCCATGTAGTCGCTGTGTTCGTAGAGGAGCTTCGCTAGCGCCTCAACACTGTGTGCCTTGGACTTGGCGCTCTGCGCGGCTAGATCTGCGCCGAGCGCGCCAATAAGTGGCAAGCCCAGGTCGGCGTCACTCGTCAAACAGGCACGAAAAACGCGTGACAAAGCCGCTTCCGCGAGCAAACGGACTTGCCTGTTTCTCGCCTGCGAATGCGACAGAAGTTCGCTAACTAAGAAGCCTCCGTCCTCTCCAAGCACCTGCTGCTTGAGGAAAGCGTCTTTCACTGCATCGGGCACCACGCGAACTGGTCCATCCTCAACTGGTACAGCATCCTTTGCAGCACCGTTCTTCTTTCCGTCTTTTGTCGTAGACGAGGCGTCTTCCAGATCCTCGTCCTCGCTGTCAGCGAAGCCCGAGTCGTCGTCATCCTCATCTTCGTCATCTTCTTCTGGGCCCAGCAGCATCGCAAGGAAACTGTGGAGTGCTTTCATGCGCGCTTTGAAGGCGCCTTCTTTGCAACCGAGTCGCAAGGTGTCCAAGATACCCCAGAATTTCTGGAGCATCTCCTGCGTCACCTCCTTCACTCCCTTATGCTCGAAAATACTCTTCACACCCTTGTACGAAGCGCGTTGCGTTGCGGTGGCTGCGCGGCGTCCGCCCTCGAGGCCAGTAGTGGTAGTCTCGAAACTGCGAAGAGCTACTTCGAGTTTGTCGACCGGCAACTGCGGAACGAGCAATGCGGCAAGCTCACACACATACCCAAGCTCCTCTTCGAGCAAATTTTTACGCGTCAGCAAGGCAGCCGGGTCCTCGACAGGAGTGCTTTCATCCGTCATCACGTTGTCCGCATCCCCTGCACGCCCTTCTTTCTGCCCGGTTGCTTGCAGGAGTTGGTCGTACACTATCGCCACTTCCTGATTGGTTTTGAGCATGCGCTCGGCGACTTGTCCGAAGAGATTCGCGACGGAGTCCTCGCGCAAGCACTTCGAGTAGTTTTGGATTGCTTGGCCTAGAAAACAAGCCGATCGGCTGCGCGCAGAAACGTCGATCGCAGTGTTCTTGTGGAGATTCAGAAAACACTGGAACATCTCTGGTACGATGCGCGGTGCCAGCTTCGACAAGGTGGCCTTGTCCTCCACATGGTTGTCTGGTAGCTCGACCACAGCTCGACAAATGTTCGAAAAGGACCGACTGCAAACATCGCGCAGGTCTCCCCGGTTCACCAACGTCCAACACATGCGTTTCGCTAAAGCAGCTTTCTCGGCCATGAATGCGGTTGCGAAGTCGCGGCAGTGATGGAAGAACCCAGGTCCTAGCGACCAGATTTTCAAGGCCAGAAGACGCAATTCTTTCGCCATCAATTCTTTTTTCTGCGCTTCAGCGCGTTTTGCGCGCGCCTCTAGCTCGTCAGCAAGAGGAAGGAGCTTCGAGCGAAAGAAGTGCAGACTCACCTGCACAGCGGGTCGCGCAACCTTCTTCTCCCTAGCCTCATCCGCGATATCCTCGTCTTCATCGTCGTCGTCGTGCAGAGCCGCTGCTCCCGCGCCAGAGCTAGGATCGAAGTTCTCCAAGACCGTGAGCAGAAACCCACGCGAGGTTCGTGCGTAATTCTTGGCAGTCATATCTGCCTCCAGAAGCCGCAAGGGGAGAATCTCGAGAAGCATTTGGGGGCCCACAGCGTAGCCAGCGGCCTTGAAGCACCCATGGAAGTCTGCCTCTAATTCACGAAATTCCACATCCGATACTCCTTTGTCGTAGAGCTGTGCGACTACGCGAAGCAAATTGTTACAGGCTTCCGTGTGAGCGTCCTGCTGTGTGGCGGTATCTGCTGCAATACTACTGCTCATATCGTGTTGTACCTGATGCTGACCTCCTTTGTTGTTAGCGGCGAGCCATGCAAAGCGCGAAAACGTCGATGCAACGACTCCTAGCACCGCGCGCGTGTGGCTACTGTTCTTACGACGCCGCAGTTCCTGTGCTAGGAACGCTGCTAGAAGTTTCCAGCGTGGAAAGTCCCGCAAACCTTCCACGATGTCACGAAGGCATCGCATGGTGTTCGGGTCCTCCAAAGGGAACTCAAGGATCAAGCGCCGTGTGATGGCTAGATCTTCTTTAGTGTCGATTTCCTCGTGTCCGTGGTGCGTGAAAATGGCGAGCTGCAGCCACGAAAGCGCCTTCGTGGTGGCCACATTGCCTCCTCGCAGAGTCAAGAAGCGCGCCTGCAGAAAGCGCAACAAGTCCCGGCGACGCTCCACCACGCCCGACCCGTCTGCTGATCCATCACCAGCTCCGCCTGAAGGAGACTCCTTGATGGCAGCAGCTCCTGTGGAGTCCTCGAGGTTCGCGTAGCATTGTTTCAGCAGAGCACCGAAGTACGTTCCGAAAACGAGCTTTTCCATGTCAGGAACCTGCGTTGCAACGTCAAACATCTGTGCGGAGAGGCCGCAAACATGGGACAAGTCCGTCACATGTGGGAGACAGCGCGTTACGAAAGGCACCACCGCCTTGAGGACTGCCAAGGCCGAAGACGAGCCTCCAGCACCAGGGTTTTTAGTCTTGTTCACGTCGTCAAATAACCCTCGCGTGTTCTGGAGTACACACTGACGGACCCTCATATTCAAGAACGCCGAGGCAGAAGGCGTTTGTGCACTCTTCAGCTTTTCAAGAAAAACGTGCTGTGCGCGCTTTGCAATTTGCGTTGAGCAGACGCCCTGCAGCGAAAATCGCCAGCAGAAGTCCAAAGTTTCCTTCTGGGTCTTGCTTTCCGTAACTTTAATAAGCGCGCCCAGGATGTCGAAAATCAACCTAAGGATCGCACTAGCTTGCTCTGTGGTCTGCACCTGCACGCAGGCAGCAGGCTCATCGTCTGCCATAGTCTGGTCGCCAGCTTCATTTGGGTTCACGCCGCTACTGCTACTGGCGACACTATTGGCAAGCGCGAAGAGTGCCCGACTCAAATCAGGCGCCAACCGGAAGAGCATGCCGGGACCGACTTCCTCGATGGCATGCTTCACTATGTGCAGGAGACACAAGGTTACCGAACCAGACGAGGAGCACGCTGTAGAAGCGGATTGCTGGGCCAGCAGCTGACTTGCATGTGCCAAATACGCGGCGGCTGAGGGAGTGGCGCCTCTCTCTAGGATGCTCTCCGCCAAGCTATCGAGCGCGGTCAACACTTGCAAATAGAAGTCTTGCTCCCCGCTGCACTGTGCCTTCTCGCGGAAGGTCTGAACGAAATTCGGTTCCGCCATCTTTCTTACAACACCTCAATCAAGATGAAGATGAATGATAGTCCTTCTACATCTAAAGTTTTACGATCATCAGTATGCATTAGCCTTTAGACTTGGAGCATGAAATTTTTTCTAAGAAATAGCATATTCTACATCTACAACAGGACAGCTATTTTCATGCCGTTCATCCTGGAGAATACGGAAATCGAAAGCCAATGATCCTTGCATTTAAGGTATAGGACATTAAGAAACAGCACGCAAGCATAACTACTAAGAATTTCTATCTATTTTTGTTAGGTAATTCGTGAGGCTTTGCGCGAACTTTTCTGAGAACGCAGCAGACCGTTTCAACAGCCGATTAAAGATCTCAAAGTTTCTTTGTGACCTCTAGATAATCATGGATCTTTTGGACCAAACAGATGTTGAGTACCATGTGGATCTCAGAACGCCAAAACCTTACTTCGATCCAGAGCATGTTTTTGAGGTGAATAGTCGATCTCGAGTATCCTCTAACTGACAAGATCGCTAGTTGATTTTTAGTCACGACTTCGAATGAACAGACACTACGAGAGCTCTTCTGGCCTGCAATTTGTAGAGAGGGGATTTTTTGAAATTCTGTGATGATCAATGGCGACAGCCAGAACAGGACCCACATGTTTGGGCACAGTCGTGGAATGAAAGTCACATTCAGTGATACGAGCAGAATGCTCCCATTCAGCAATTTGATCCGGGTGGATCCGGAAGATGTCTCCGTGGAGCCTAAGTGGAAAGTGTCTGTCCATGATTGTCAAGTCTATTTCGCAATATAGCCTGGCAGTCGATTGACTGGTGCGCTACTCTGTGCATTATGCCTGGGGATCGTCAGAAAAGAAGTGGATCTAGACTTATCTTCAATCGTAGTCGTTTCAGGTGTTGTATTTTGTTGCAAGAATTTCTTGGGATCAAATCCGGTATTGGAGGAGGAAGCATTAAAACGAGTGCCATTTTCGTAATCATTCGCCATCCTTCGTCTAGTAGTCCCCGTTTCGACTTCGTCTGAACGAGCATCGTTAAGTTTCGTTTTTAAGGAATGCGGATTGTCAACCAGGTGATCGACGTGATGATTGACCTCAGTATTTGAGAACGTTCGCCCCGCTGCATAATGAGAAGTTATTTTCTCGGTGCCACGCTGCGACAGATGTTGCTGGGACTCCGAAATTTCACTGGGTGGCCCAAATAGCAGGTTACCTGGAGATACCGCGGAAAACGTAGAGCTGGCTCGCGATCTGCCGCTGGCATCTTGAGAATCAGTATCCGGACACATCTGCACACTCGGAGGCGAATCACCTTCCTTTTGGCCACTTTCCCCTGTAGTGTTAATTCCTCGCGGTATTGGTACAGACAAGCGGGTGCCGGACGTCTTTTCGCCCTGCTCAAACAATGTCCGTGCGATGGCATTAGTAGAACTAGAAGGCGCCGCAGCAGTAGATACGCCAGCTCTCATCACAGTTGTTTTTGTTTTATCCAATGATCGAGAGATTTGCCGCTCGGGAACTTGATGTTCAGGCGGAAACCTAGTAGCTGGTGAGGTCGATTCACTCAGTCGGTTCTCTTGCTTCTTCGTCTTTTCTCCTCCTCCTTCTCCTGCTCTCTTGTTTTCTAGCCGTCGCACTGCCTTCGAGTCCTTCATACTGCTTAGTGCCGCTCCATCGGCGGCCAAAAATGGTAACTTCCTATTCGCTTGATGCGTTGTGGTCACAAGGCTACGCTTGTGTTCCGTGGAAGCGGTGGGAGGTTCGGTAGGCAGGACCACACAATCCGAATCTTTTATCGGTGCTGCCACTGCCTCATCCTTCATGCGCGGTTCGTCTCTCTTCTTGTCTTCTTTCGAAGGCTCTTCGGGCTCGACGAATGGCTCTGGCAAACTATCGGCTCCGCGCGTCTTTGCCACCTGCAATTTGTTCCCGGTAGATAAATCAATTGGTGCTGGTGGCCCACGACACTTGTTGAGCGACGTAGCTGCAGCTACCGCGTTCCTATCCTCGGAATCTAGTTTTCGTTGTACGGCGTACGTTTTTTCATCGTCGATTGCCATTGCCCGATTCCGCTTTCCCGAATCAGCGATGTCATGTCGCTGGTTCACATCTGCCGCAGTGTCATGCTCCCTCAAACCTGGCTTTCTAACCCCATCCTTCGAGAGTGAGTCATCCTCCAGGGTCTCCGTCAACAAGCGTGTACGTTCTTGACTTGTGGTAATGATCATGATATCGTCGTCATCATCCTGCTCTCCAGATTTGGTTTCTAAAACGCCGCTGTCACCTGCTGTAGCTTGTTTCCCGCCCAATTGCATTTCTGGCTTGAGGCGTTCCGCCGCCGGCCTCACATCTTCTAAACTCGCTGGACAGAGTTCGACCTCATCTTTATGTGGATCTACTTTTCTTGGTCCCGCATCCACTGCCACCCCACGAGTGCCCAAAGCATCTGCAGAATTCCGCCGGCCTTTTACCTTCCGATCGTGACTGACAATTGCTTTTCTGTTGTCAACAAGAACTACCTTTCGTACTTCAAGAGCACCTGCCTCATCTTGCTTTCCTATGTTTGGAAAAGAGCTCGCAAAGGCCTGCCGTGCGTCTTCGGCAATCTGTAGAAGCATGTTCTTCGACAACGAGTCAGCCGACACGTCTCCGCCACCCGACAACAAGCCTTCTGGTGGAGAGTTATCTGACGAGATCCTCCCATTCGTACGCATAATCAGCAGGTCCGATTTATCCGTATCAAGTGACGATGTGTTGAGGTTCGCACCTACGTGTGTCGAAGTATCTTTGGCTTTAGTACTGCTGATCTTCTTCTGTGTGATTGTCGTTGTACTCTGCAGATCATCCACACCGATGGCCACAGTCATTTTGCATTCGATTTCCGCGTCCGTGAAGCCCTGGCCGCGCAATTTAGCCTTGTACTCGGATGCACGTGCTTCCGCGATCGACAGGGGCACGTCAGATGCATATTTGAACTTGCGACGCTTGTAGTAGGTTTCATTCACAACTGCCAGCGCTGTCCTATTGGCAGCCGCATCGATTACGAGGTTTTGATCACCCTGCAGGTTCGGATTATACCGGTTGCCATTGTGGAACCGACTTGCATTGTTGGCGGCACTAGAACTCGATGAAGACGAAAATGAACTCCTATTCCCCGCAGCATTTGGTACACCTGCGCCATCTACTCCCGCCACTGCCAGTTCTTGGGGAGCGGCATAATTGCGCTGCTCCTTGAAGAAATTTGTGAACAGAGTGCGACCCCGTTTCGTGGTGCCTTGCGCGTCTGCGCGGGCTCGCAAGTCAGCAATTGAGGCAGCGTTCTTTACAGGGCCGACTGGAGCAAGAGCAGGATCGATCTTCCCGTGTCGTGGTTGAGCGCTTTTCTCCCCCACGTCCGCCTCACCAGCTTTGACTTTGTCCGTATCGTCAGCATGTGAAGTAGAAGTTTTGTCAGTCTTTGCACGTTTTCGTACGCCAGGAGAGTCTTTGGCGCTTTTCTTTTCTGACGACTTTGTCGACTTCCGGCGCATCGGAGTTGTCCGTTTCCTGCTCAAGGCTGCAAACGTGTTCTTCCCGCCACGATGAAAGACGTCGTTTGCATGCTGCCGTTCGGCTAATGGCGAGAAGTCCACCCCAGCCAAGTCTTCCAGAAATGCGTCGTGCACCTGCACTACATTTTTATTTGTAGCACGCAACACTTTGCGCCGCTTTTTCCTTGCGACTTCGCCCGACGATGCCATCGAAGTTTTAGCGTCTTCCTTGTTTCCGGAAGCCTTCTGTGGTGTATTCGCGTCATCACCATCAACAGCTGCTTTTTTCGTAGCGGCACTCGGCCCGGGGGTCTTCGGCGCGGCTTTATCCTCCGCAGCTTGGTTCGACAGTCGCTTCTGCCCACCAGGTAGAGCAACCACATCAAGGTCGCGGGAATCTCCGACCGCAGGTTCGCCCTCACCACCCTCACGCGCAGAAGCGTTTTTGCCTTTTGCCACCGGTTCAATATTAGGGTTTGCACCGTCGAGAATCGCGGCCAGGCAACTTGCGTCGAGATCGTCACAGCTCTCGCCGTTATCTGAGACGATGATGCTATTGCCGAAGAGTCCAGCAAAGCACTGGTTCGCCTTATGCTTGTCGACTTCTGTCACTTCGTAATGTCCTGCTTGGATCACCGCGCAGACTGGTTTCAGAAACCGTGGTCGCACCAAAGCAACGAATTGACGTAATTCGCGAAGCGGACTGTGCATCGCCCATAGCACCCGATAAATACCCTGCTCGTCGCGAATTACCGGGCAAACGTCCGCTCCCGCGCCCTGCTGCAGGAGCAAGTGCTTATTGTAGCACCACCACATTGTCGTACAGCTAATTTCGACGAACTTGTCCTGCAGTTCCACCTCTTCCACGGCTTTCGTTCCCCCTACGCCGTTCATCCTAACGCTACTAGCTGCATTGTTTGTCCTCGAAGCGGGCGCGGACCTTCCTCCGACTCTTGAATATGCTCTTGATAACGAAACTGGGTGGGTCGCTTTTGCAGCATCATTGCGCACACGGTCTTCCACGTCGCGCATCACCATCTTTCGCTGCGGGCCACTTTTCACTACGAAAAATCTCAAATTAGGCAAACTCGGCAACCCCTTCGAGTACAATACGCACTGCTCGCGCGCTGCGGAACGGTCCTGCAAGAATCCACAAGCTCTAAGCTCCAAGAACCGCTGATCGTCGACAAAAACAAATTTTTCGTTCGGAAACTTTGCAAACGCAGCTAGCAGAAGCTCCTCGTCGCCCAAACCATAGCTATGCAGAAAAATCTTCATACTCAGTGTCGGCTCCGTCGCACTCTGGTGCTCCACATAGAGCTTTTCAACCAGCGCAACATAGCGCGCGATCGACGTCGGTTTGTCAGGCAGAAGATCGAAACTTTCATCGGCCCACGAAAAGTCCATGAAGCATATCTCGACCTTCTTTAGTGTTGTGCTTGTAGTTCCAGCAGCACTCCCAACGCAAGCTTTCTCGGATCCAATCCCTTCTATTACCCCTCCTTCCATTGGCTTTCTCTCTGTTGCTCCTGCTGCTGCACCTACAGCTCTTTCGACGTCAGTTGTGAGCGGACGCTCTGGCGCCTTCGTCTCTGCAGCCGCTAGTCGCTCCATCTGCTCCCACATTTCGTTTATCCGATCGCCAACACTCTCGTAAAAGCGGAAATCGCCAGTGTTCATGTAACGGCGGCCGGTTTTCAGCACCTGAATAAGCACAATGGAACTCCCAGGACAGTGATTCGCGTCCACCAAGCAGCAAACGTACCGCTTAGCCGGCAGATCGAAGAACGGCCTATGCACCTCGCGTGCTTGGACGATGCCCCGACGAATCTGAAACAGCATTTCCAACAATCGCGCTGATACCGGTGTGGAGTAAATCTTCACGACATCACGAAACTCCACCATGGGGCTCTCCCAGTTCTTCTCCATGCCCAAATAATGATCCGAATGAAAGTGTGACAGGAAATGCACTGGCGCGAGTGCTTCTAGCTGGGTGCGTGTCAATGCTGGAGGAGCCTTCTTGCTATCCTTTGTCTTGCTGCATGCGATTGCAGCTTGAGCAGTCGGCCCAACGCTCCGCACCTTTTCTGCTGCGTTGATGGAACTGCTGTCACGGTCGTAGCTACTCACATCTTCCATCAGCGTGTTGGCTTTCTTAATAGCTCCGAAGTAGTCCACGAAGACGCGGGTACCCGGAAGCATATCCTTGAACAACACCATTTATTTGCCGTTTACGTCGTCGTGCTAAGACCTAGAAGATGAAGATTTGCTTTTGCAAGACGAAGATTAGGACTCCCACGGCATCGCCAGCTACTACCTTGCTCCCAGTGTCCTTTGCACTCGGAGGCGTCGTGCTAAAGAGGACTTCTTAGAATGTTTGCGCGAGCGGAGAGCTCGTCCCACCTCGGTCTTGCACCGGCCGCCTCTATTGTCGCCGGAACGAAGGCAAACCTTCGGAAGCTGCGGAACATTCTTCTCACAGCTGCAGAAGGTCACTCTATCACTTCTAAGGAAAACAACGATTCACTGGAGAGCAAGGTGGTCTAGAAAGAAAAAACAACAACAAAGATTCTAGCACCTATTTCACTCAAAAGCTAATGTCTGTGCAAAATAGATCGACTAGAGAATATCGGTGTCTTCTAAGCAGACAAACAAAAGATCTGAATCCTCGCTCGACAAAAGCGAAAAACATTTTTGCTTCCAGTTTCGGTATCATCGATTCGGTATCATCGATCGGCAGGGAGAAACCGAGGAGGGGAAAAATGCACAAATATACGGACTCGAAGAAAAGGGATCGATCATGTCATGCTGAAAGGAGATGGGATGCAGGTGCAGGAACACTTTTACAGCTTTCGCTGAAGCAACCATTCTGATTCCTAGTAGTTACTAGCAGATGGTCATAGCGATTCAATCGAAGCGAGGAGGAATGCGCGTGCGTTGTTCCTGTACAAAAATCACCTGCCGATAATTCATTAAAATCCTATTACACAGGAGAAAAATGCAAAAAACTACTAGCGTTTATAGCACTCTTGCGAGAGAGTTGTGGAGCAGAGATAACCCCTTCCTAATATGATGCGGTCGTTGAGTCATTGAACACATCATATTCTCTTGACATCAAATTGCGAGTGGTCTCAACTTTTTGGGAATTTGCTAAGTACGTAGAAGAGAAACTCCAAACTGCTCAAAAAGTCCTAATTGATTCATTGTGCGTTCGGTGTATTGGGCGGAATAAAAGATACTGACACATGTTGATTTCGGAATATAGATTGCAAGAATACGGAGGTTGAAGCGCAGCCCTCTTGACAATTTCTATGATGTCAATGGCGTGCAGAAGCAATTGTAACAAATTCTGATCTAAATGTAAGAAATCCCTTTCACTGGCGTCCTCGTGTGGGTGTGCAACTGTCATACTAGTACGAATTTCGTCCGAGCTTATGGTGATTGTAAGTGAACCACTCTGCACTGCACTGAATCAATTGCAGAGTCTCGTCTGTGCATGGTGTAGCCTTCGTCTCATTACACCGCGTAAATTGGTCCACGTAGAAATTACAGTTTCGCTGTACCTCTATATGCTTGGCTGCAAGTTCGATTAGGTATCCTGATGCGTAGTTCCAACTGCAGCGCGATATCTGTTCTATCTCTTCAAAACAGACGGCTTCACTTGCCTCTGTCGCGGTACTACTGTGAAAGTCACCCCCAATAGACGAAGAGGAAGACGAAGAAAAGCTAATTATACTTCTATCACGACCAGTTGTTGAAGATGCTCCTCCGCTACTGGTGTCACTGCCCGTTTCATTGGGAGAGTAGCTTCCCTCGGACCGCCACTGGTCGTAGGACCCCGCGCTGAGTTCCAACGATCGACGACTCAGCTTGCCGAGGTTGTGACGCTCTCGGCACTCCTTATACGCTAAGCCCTCCTTTTTGCAAAACCTCAGAACGCCCTCGCCAGACGCAAGAATGTCGGCTGCGCACCGTACGCTGTCCTGCCACATCCTTGCGCCGCTTGCGCGGAGAACGCTTCACTACTCTCCCTCCCTTACTCCCACTTATTTACAATGAAGTTCTCTAAATTTCTACTTTTTTCAAATATGCAGCAGGTTCATATGGCACAGAGTGACGATAAAAACTTGGATTTCCGTTCGACCGAGGCACTTTTAGCTATGGAATGATCCGCTTTCTTGCCTAGTCGAGTCTCGCTGCACTCCTCGGTCCTGTGTCTTGTTTATGTCCAACTCACAGTATGCACAAATTTTCGCTCTGAATCTGGTCTCAAGCGCCGAACACCAGGCAAACCAGCGTAAAAACCCCGACCCCAGCGCACTAAATACAAGAACAACCACAGTGCATCAACGTTCGATGGATGCAATTTCAAGCGCCAAAACAGACCATGTTTCAATACTGTGCATCACCGCCAGGCTTACTCTTTTTCGTTGCCAATCATCCATTTGCTCTGTGTACTATCCAGCCATATCACTTCCTGCTGTCACTTCAGCACACTAACATATTCAGCAGAGCACTGCTCCCATTCCGAAGCAAGAATAAAAAATAATGGTGCAGACTCCATCTATTCATCTTTGCCGCTGATTGCGTTACATCTCAACGAAAATACAATAGGGAATCTTTCATAAAGGAAATTTGAAAACGGAACCAAATCTATTCATTATGTATTTAAGACCTCCACAACGAAAAATTAAAAAACCAATCTTAAACTCCACGAGGCATAGAGCTCGAGTTGTAGTTCCTCCATGGCAAGGAAGTCAGCACTATTCATGTAAGGACTCACTTTGTGTTACAGGTACATTCCAAGGAAGACAATAGCCTCTCGATTTCTGAGAAAGATCTAATCAAATCATCTCGGTAGCCATACTACATGCTTCTATTCGCCTTGCAGGACTATGGCTACGCAGAACAGACATACATCATTACAGCAATTGCATCTTCCAACTCGTAAACTTACCAAACCAAAATCGAACATATCCTCGAATAAGGCGCCGACGCAACTTTGAATTCAATTCGTCTACACCCAACACTGCTCCTTCTTATCCCAATAAGTGTAAGTGCGGTTGGGCGCCAGACGCTGCGGCAGAGGAGTTTCCCGAAGGAGTGCAACGGCAGGGCACTCTTGGAATTGGAACTTTTCATTCATTTCGGAAGTGTACTTCGTACCCTGGTTCAAGCGCGCCACGAGAGGATGGTCCGCGGAGACATGCTTCGCCCGTCCGCACTGCTGGCGTCTGTTGTCCCCGTCCCATGGCTGATAGCTCTCCTGCGACAAAGCCGAACCTGTAGTAAAATGAGTACATCGCTCGGATGTAAAAACATTGGGTCATACACTGGACACGGTCACAGTTTTCGAACAAACATAGTTCTTCAACGCATAAAAACACGACATGGAAACTGAATTTAGATGAAGATGAAGCTGTGAGACTATAAACTTCTATTACCTTCAAACTTAAGGGGTTTGCGCAATGGAGGAGCCGCCGGCTTTTCTCGGCGCTCAGCTTCCTTCGGCACGTAGTCGCGCTTGTTGGTCGTACTGTAGTCCCCGGCTGTGCCGTCAAAGAATCCGCCGCTATCTTTCAGCTTGCATGGGTCTCGCACTGCGGCACGCGCCTCGTCCGGTGAGAATTCTCGAAGACGAGAGCGATTTTCCGATTCCTGATTTCATAAAATTGCACACAGTAGTCATTGAGAACAGGGTAGGCGAGATTATTTCTAGTACTTCAATCTACCTGTATCAAGATTACCCCCGCTAGCAATTTGAATTTGATCTATTGCATAGGTTGATTAGATAGATGTGATTGTTTTGGATAACCTAAGATTCAAAGGGCTCTATGACTAACTACCTCGTCTGGGAACGAAATCAACCTAAATATAAATGGAACCACTCGCAACATTCAAGCTAGCGCCAGCCCTACGAATACTAACGTCATGTACTTACAACATTATATCAAGCGAATAATGCAGTACCCCCTGAAACTTCAGCGGCTTGCGCATGGCGGTGTCGGCTGTATTCGGGCGGCTGCGAGTCGGCAGTTCCTTAGGGACGTAATCGGTGTGGTACGAAGAAGCGTAGTCCTTCGGTTCGCTCTTGCCCTTTCCCAGACGCCCGTAAAGGGGATTATCGTCGCTGACGTTCTTTGCGCGATCGCACTGCTCGCGACGGGCATCAACGTTGGTGTAGTCCGCGAAGTCGGCGCGAGATAATGACTCCCCCTTAAACGGAAGCGGCTGGCGCAGGGAGGGTGGCGGGGGGCGCTCGCGTCGCTCTGCCTCCTTCGGCGTGTAGTCACGCGCCTGCGTTGAGCTGTATGCATCCTCGGCACCTTGATTGTTCTTAAACAAATCGTTGGAGTCCTTCATCTTGCAATACTCACGCTTTGCATTACGGGCCTCCGACTTATCCCAAGGACGATGCTGCGAGTGCATCTCCGACTCCTACAAAAATAGGGGAAAACAAATTGAAATGCCAAGACAGAAAGGGATACACACGAATCAGCTACGATCGCCATCAACGCCAATATTTAATTCACTACTTACGAAAATAACACATTCACCTACTCCTGTATCCAGAATGTATCTAGGATATGACTTGCTCAGCACTTTCTTCAGCTAGTCACAAAGAAATGCTCTGAAGTTCGTTAGGCGCTCCAGCATCATGTTTGTCATTCAGAGTTCCTATAAATTCTAGTATGAGTACTCCTATAAACGGCAAGGGCTTGCGGAGTTCCGGGGGCGCAGGCTTCTCGCGTTTCTGGAGTTCCCACTGCCTGTAATCGTGTTTGAAGGTGCTTTCCGAGTCCTTCATGTCTCCGTGTACCAGAGGGTAGTCCGCCGATTCAAACCGGGCTTGCGCATTTTGCTCCGCAATCGCGGCGCGGCGCTCGTTGTCGTCGTAATCGCGAAACCTCTTGCTTTCCGGCGTTCCACTGAACGGCAGCGGCTTGCGCAGCGTCGGCGGCGGTTGCGGAGAATGGTGGCGCCCGCACGTGCAGATCTCCTCCAAAGCAAGACGAGGCTCATCCAAGTCCTGCACGTTCCCGTCGCGATCCGCAGAGGCCGTCCGAGCGAAAACGTCTTCACGAGTCTCGTTGCGCACACGCTGGCGCCCACGCAATGAATCCTCGTTGTAATCAACCGTCATCTTCTAGTTCTTGAATAGACTTGACGACGAAGATGTTATCTTTTGGGAAAGAACAAAGATTCTTGCACCGAGTGAATAAGCTGAATCTGGATTACCCACAAAGCCAAAAAAATATAAATGCACTCACGACTATGTGAGCAAACAAATATTGTAATCGATATCGATTACAAAGGAAACACCAATATTAGTACAGGAAGAATTATTGTAACCACAATCACAGACTCAAGTATTCATTAAGAAATCAGAGAGGGAACAGCAAGGCGGTCTTTGCAATATTGATCTGACAATTTGGTAAATCAAATAAGCGTGAATGGAGTAACAAAATCTTGTAGTAAGTCACGAACAGCTTTAGTATAATCGTACACCGCGAAAATTTCACCTTCATGCATGCAGGCGTCCTTGCTTCTCTCATTGCTCAAAACAGAATTGTTCACAGAGATTCATATGCAGACAACTCATAATTGAAAGTGTTCACGACTTCGCATCGATTCTCATGATGACAGATACCTCACCTGCGAAACAGATGAATTACCAGCATTCCACTTTCCTACGTTACTACTCGAATTGTCAACATTCTACCCTCAACAGACCACCACATCTCTTCGAATTTTGATCAACCTCGGATGAATTGACTTTCACTGAGAGGCGACCTTAACACACACAGTCGGTCGCAAGAACTCAGTATCTCATCGCTATCACTCCTCGCTCACCACCAATAAAACAGAGCACAGTAGAATATTTCACACAACAGAGTACCTTGGGTATGGGTACTTGTACGACAGATTAGAGATCAGATTTTCAAATATATCAGAGGTTCAGATCCGTGGTGGCATGAAAAGAGTATTTAGCAATACTGAGTAACCTTTCTCGACAGCTAGTAGAATTTCCAAAGGTAGCATTCATCGTCCACTCATCAGTTTACATCAAGCGGCAAGTGTCTTCAGCGTGTCCATCCTGACGCGTCTGATGCTGCCTGACATTCAACATCGAAGTACAGTGGTATGAGTCGTCACGTGGTATAGACAGATGATCATGTTCAAGATTCGTCTCTTTCAAACGTGAATTAAAAAGAGGGAAAACATGGACGCTATTTCATTCCACCATCCATCCCGCCGCCCCCTAAGCCACCCGTGCTGGCTCCTGTGCTGCCTGCTCCAATTTTCTGTGACAGTCCTAGATTCTGCAGTGCTGCGTTGCTCATGTATGGCAAGAAATTGTTGGCGGGATTGCCGCTCGCGACTGCTGAATTCAAAAACGGGAAATCCTTCTGCGGTCCCGCAGCTGGTAGTGCACGAATACCCGAGGAAGATGCGACCGCATTGTTTGTACCGCTTGCGCCCACCTGACTGCCGCTTTCAGGTATTCCCGAGCTCGTCCCTGCCAGACCTCCCGGCGGAGGTGCCGGAGGGTTGCTTCGCGGCTGGAAATCGCCGAAGCCAGCTGTATTTCGGTATTCCAGTGCGACAAAAGATCGAGCCCTGTAAAACGTGTTGTCGGATATTGGCGTCTTCGTCATTTGATTGGCTGTTGGCTTCTTCTGCTGAAAATGCCGCGTTTTTTCTCGATACTCCAGGTGTGCGACGGTAGAATCATACAGCGGGTCCCTCACAGAATACGGTGCCGTTTGCTGGTACGGTGTCGAGTACCCTGTAGGGACAACTTCGTACCTGTATATGAATGTCAGTGGTCGGCACCTCAGTCATTCATCATCAACTTCTTATTACTACATTTTTTTGTTTCTTCAAAAAGAAAACATAGTTTGTATACCGGAAAAATGAAGCGATTCATCATAACCATGAGCATAGGCGTGTACCTACTTCCCGTTGCTTTGCCGACTCGGTCACTGTACTCTTTCTGCGCAAGCAGCTGTGTTGCAAACCTGAATGTTGTAGGATCCCTTATCCTGAAAAAAAGTTGAGCAACTCACAACATGGTTTAGCAAGATGAGGGCAAATCGAATAAAATTGCAGTCTCGTCTGTGTCTGTCGCATCAAATGTGAGGACAAATTTATCACCCCATCGGCCTCTCTGTAGTGTCCGCCGGACTATTTGCGCCGGTCTCTTTACCGGCACATCCGGTCCAAATGCCGGCATACGGTGCCTCCGTGCGGACTTGCATTTTTCTTTGACAAACGACTTAACTATTTAAGTGTATGCTACTGCCACCTACAAAGTGAAAAGAAAATGAAAATTCTCAGTCTTTTCCACTGCAATCAATAAATCTGAATCTAGTACTTGTACAGCTTAAAGCAAAAGTGTGCTATCACATCATAAGCAATGATAAGGTATATGCAGTATGATTAGGAATTATTCACTGCTTGTCCGATGCCATATTCAACAACAGGCGCATCGTAAGCAGTACTTTAGATTTACCAATCATATTCTTATGCGTACATTTGAAACAACAAAATGAATCAAGTGTTGGATGAGTACCTAACGGAGATAGCTTCAAATGGGGTTCGAGGGTATCTTGAAAGGCTCGTAGGCATCCTCCTAAACCGATATGCCGACCATCGACATCAGAAGACAGAACTTCATTTAGGAGTGGAAAGCAACCGACCGACCAGGTCCGTCTTTTGTATCATCTATGACCAACATATTCACTAGCATGCGCCCGACCGATACATTTGTAAGCTCAAACTTCAGCACAAAAATAGGACAATAAGCCAACTACCGACTTCTTGTCGTTGCATTTCTTCTAGTACAAACACAGCATGCTCATCTGGCAAGAATAAATAGGAAGTTCGGGACAAAAATTTGCCCATCAATCTTTCTAAACGAGGTACCAATGAGTAACCGCTAATTTTTCCAAGACGACTTCGTTACATTCACGGATCATTGCAAGCCAAAAACAATTGCTTTCGATTTGCGGTCGGTGAGTCCTCGCCCGAAACAGCAGGAGTTGCATTTTGACATGTTTGACTGTTGAAACGACCAAGATGGTATGCTCGTAGGAAAAGGGATACCTGAAACTAATACGCACAAAGCGAAACGAATGATGTGTCCGACTTACGGAACCGACCACGGGACTTCATACTCTGTCAAACTAAATCAAATAAGTGCAGCGTTCTCTTCACACGTGGTGCATCAGACATCGCAATTCGATATCTATAATGCTCAACTACTTACACGCTGCGCCGCACTCCATCTAGAAGGCAAGTTCATTTACGGAATTTTCATCGGCAAAAGCTCGTGCATAAGACGAATGCTTGTCCAGCTAAAAAGATGCATAAAATGATATTCTCAGATTCAAAATCGAGGTGGCCAGGTCTCGATACAGGCGGGTGAAGCCCAAATACGTCTCGTGGAATAAATTGATTATGATTACTGCAAACGGGTCGAATTAACTCATTTACCTTGCATCAAAAGCAAAGACACAAATACATGTACTCACAAAAGCTCGTCTTCGTTTGACACATTTCACGATTGCCGCTTGGTTGCAGTCTACAGCAAAATAGAAAACATCTACGGCATATGCTCCGTAGGCACTGCGCCTCCAGTGCTTTCCCTAAACCTCTTTGTCGATCCGTCTCTCAGCCACGGATGAGCGAGGGCTTGGTGGACGTCATAACGCTTCGCGGGATCAGTAACCATTAAACATTGCACGAGATGCTTCGCCTCTCTAGGAACAGCAGCCCATTCCTCCTCGTCAAAACTGTACTGCGCCGCAATAATCTGTTCGTAGAGTCCGTGAAATATGAAAGAACAGATTCAAAATTAAGAAACTCTTCTTACAAGGAAAGAATAAATGAAATCAACACATTCTTGATTGTTACACGCATTTCAAAAAATGAAAACCATCTTCAAACAAAGAAAGTTTTTATGACCGAATCGACTAGTAACGCCCTCAGTTGCGGAAGCTTACTGTCAAGATCTATCTCAACAATCTCTAAGGGATTGAATTGTATCTTTCTCATCAAGCCATAACATCATCATCGAATGGCGGAGCCGCGCTCAGAAGAATATAAAGGATGACACCGGCGGCCCAAATGTCGACGGAATAGTCATAACCTGTAGTTTGCAAATCGCGTGATCTCATCTCAAAGTCGTTCTTGTCTTCCAAAAGATTCCACCAAATTACTTATCCAGCAAAAACAACTCTGTTCTAATACTATCAATATCTCGGTATCAGCCACGACAGCAAGCGAAGGAAGAAACCACACACTCTATCATAAGCCTAATGCAAAATCGAAAAAGCTAAAGCAGTAATCACTAACCTTCTGCCTTGCCTCGCTGGGTCATTATGATCTCTGGCGCAAAGTAGTGCGGGGTCCCACAAAAAGTTTGAGCTCGAGTCAGATTTTTCTTCTCTCCGGGCGGTGAGCCCTAGAGTGGTTGTTTTGCATTCCTACCGAACTGGAGAAACTATATTAAACTCGATCAGGTGAGGACTGGTGCAGTTACTATGCTATAAATCTTCTACAGCTCTTAATCTTCATCAGCGCCCCATACTGACTCTTTGCTCCTATCGGCGAGACCACGAAACAACTCAGAATATGCTGACTATAATACATGTAAAAAGATACCTTCGTGGTCCCACCAGCACTGCTCCTCATCGGAATATCTAGGTAACGCGCTAGACCAAAATCTCCGACCTTTGCAGTGGCCTCCTCTGACCCGCTTGTGAGCAACACATTCTCCGGCTTTAGGTCTCGGTGCATAATTTTTTTGTTGTGCAGGTACCGTATCGCGTCCAGAATCTCCGTTGATTAGAGCTGGGATCTAGCAGTCTAAAACACGCTGAATCATTTACTATAATTCACGATCAAAAGGCGTGTTTTATTTGATTGTCTTTCCAAAAATCGCACATCAAGGCCTTAGGCGAAAATGCGCTGTGTCGTCCTTTCTGAGTAAACTCCGCAGTCAAGCAGTCGCTGCAGCAGGTCACCACCAGCCATGAACTCGGTGACGAGATACAGCTTATCCGCCTCGGGTACCATCTCATAGAACTGGACAATGTGCGGATGCCGTAGCTAGTTCTTAGAAAGCCCATGAGAGACAAGAGACTATACAGACGCCAAAAAAGTGATGTCACCATACAGCCACCTTTCTTGTTACCCTGTTTCTGCTCATCGACGGTCATTCAACAAGAAAGCCCGCACATACTGATATGGTACCTACAAAGACCAAGGAAGCAACATGATGGCGTCAACCTGCAGGGTGTGGTATTTTATGGCTCGTGCCTCAACTTTCAACATTTTCTCCTCGCAATTCAGGTCCAACGTTGTTTGTCGATTCTTTGTGAACTTTTCGAACTTGCTCTTGTCGATGCACTTGATTGCATAATGCGTCTTTCGATTAATTTCCCTCCTGTCAATCGCGCGGAAGACCACAGCAAAATTCCCCTTCCCTATCTCGTTAGCCCTATCTAGCTCGTACTTCTCGTCTATTTGCTGCTTGGGATGCACCGTTTCGAAATACAGTTCCACACCAGTGGCCATGAAGCAACGATTCTCATTCCTGTTAGACGAAGCGAAAAAAGACTTAAAAGATCAGTCGCAGGGAACTTTAGTAGAGGGTTTGCATCCCGCGTAACAAAAATCTACTTAGGTTGATTTTTTCAGGTCAGAAATGCTGACTCCACAAAAAACCTCTCACATCAAATCAATTTTAATACTCTGGACAAACCACCTGCCCAAAACGTATGAAAGTTCCCGAACGCAGCGGCCGGCCAACCCCATGCGCGATTCGTTCTCCCTCAACTGCCCCAGTGCTAAGATACGTTCCATTCGTCGAGTAGTCGGTTATATACCACCCGTCGGCCTCTCTCGTAATCTCGAAATGCTTACCAGAAACCCCCGAGGGCTGCGTGTCGCCATTTTTATCAACATATTTGTAATCGCACCAGACTCCGTTTGGCTCGTCCCTCGATTGAAACCTGTACATTCAATGTTGCGCTACAAGCAATCGCTGCGCCGTTGAGACCGTAACGAAATTGCAGCGGTCGTCCCCATACTTACACCAAAAGCTCAAAGTCGAGCGAAGCGTCACCGCTTCCGTTTGCCTAAATCAAGCTTCAATAATAGAGGATATACTATTGAAACGAGTATGCATTAATGATTGTGGTTGTAATAACTATCACATGAGGAGAAGGATTAACTATAATTTGTTTGTAGACACTTTTTATTCCGTCCCACGACAATGCGGTTGACAAACTTGCAGCTCCTGAGATTGGGAGGCTTGTGCAGCATTCTCGAGACTTTTTGGTTCGTTTTCTCATCCCGACGATCCTCTCTAACCGCTCTATCGTCCCAACCCGGTACGTCCTTAGTTATCTGCGACAGCGATTAGAGTAGAGAAGAAGACACCTGGCACACGATGATATAAAAACTTCCACCGGCTCCCCTGCAGGAGCATTCGTATTGCCTTGATAGGGACTGCTAAGTGCTCCTGGAGCAAGTGCGACTACCGGTACCGCGAACGATGTATAATCGATCATAAAAGAATATGTGGCCCGTGTCGCAATCCTCAAAAATGTAGATTGACGCGCCTTCGTATTTATCCTGCACACACGAGCCCCTTGCAGAAATTCTAAGCTTCGCTACTGCACCATCAGGGGCGTGAGTATAATGCCACGTGAGTCCTTTGGGGAGAACGTAACGCTGCGTTGCATCTTGCGTCCCCACGCTAGAGCTCGCGTCTTTTTTTGGAATAGGTCGATCCTGTTCAATTCATTTGAAATTTTTTTTGGACAAGTACTTACGTAGCATGAACGAAGATGAGTAATAGTCATGCCTGATGCGTAGAATTCATGACTCCGACTGTAAACAAAACTAAAAAAAATGAAGAGAGGTCGAGGAAAACGACAGGAGCAAACAAAAACAAAGCATTAGTTGTACCAGCAACAGGTTCTTAGGAAGTTCCTTTTTAGAGCTGGACGAAGCAGACGTCGACGCAGTGGTCTCCTTCGATAAAACACTACTACTCCCAGCCGCACTTGTACTGATAACTGAAGCACTCCAGTTCACTGCCTTCTGCGGTTTACTCTGGTTTGTACGGCAGTTAGACCATAAAGTTCAACAGCTTTCTCCAAACATGATCAATCATCTATCACAAAAATAATACTCTAGCGCTCGTCCCCTAGTACTACAGCTAATAACAAGTAGATGATTATCATTTGTGTTATTCCAGTCTAATACGCTGAATGAAACACTACAGATCGAAATTTCCCAAAAAGTCTTAATGGATGAAGACGATGATGCGACGCCGGCTCCGCTGATTTCGATGGCTGCCTGTTTTTCCGCTAGAAGAGCCTGTCGCCGTCTGGGAGGCGTTTCACCACCTCCTCCGATGTTATCAGTACTTGTCGTTTCAAACGTGGGTGGGAAACTCGTCAATCCCACGCGGCTGGTGGCCCCCTCCGCGGTGGGCCAAGTTAGACTAGGGGCGGCCACAACTGGACAGAGCAAGGATCCAAAATCACTTGAGTACTACCTGAATGAAAAAAAATCCCGAAACACGAAAACCGATGGTGGAGTCACGAAGGGAGGACTCATTTGAACCACGCTCTCTCTTTGCGGGTGCGTCGTAGTATGGACGCAAATCATTCTTCATAAATTCCCGTTATCCCGAAGGGGATAACGTTGGGTTGCATCTTCTTGGGAGGACACTGAGCCTGGTCCACTCCCGTGCGCGTACGTGGTTCCCTCACTCACAGGGCGAGGAGCGTAAACATATGTAGGAGCCTCACTCACTGCATCACCAGCGTCAGCCATATCCACGTCCTTAGGACTCGCATTCTTCCCTTCTTGGTCGACCTCCATTTTGTGACTCCTTCAAGTAAACACGAACAAGGCAAATTTACTGAAGAAATGATGTGTTTGTGAAATAAATCTTTTCACACAAATACCAAGGGCTCTCGCTTTGCCGTTGGCGTTGCTACCTAGTAGACAAGTTGATAATAATGCACGCCCGTGTTTGTCATCGTGTAAGAACTTCGTATCAAACCTAAAAGTGGGTCCGTCGCTGTATTTTCTTCGTGCGTTTTGCTTAGGTAAAGCTGAGTCAGAAGACTTTGTAATGGGTGGAGCCTAGTATATGCGTTTTGTGTGCTAGGCAGGAAAGGAACAAACTCTATTGGGATCGGGTACACTACAAGAGCGATCATCAACATCGTCATGCCCTCAACGTGAGTTCTTTCCACGACCTAACGTCATCTTGCAACGCGGCAGGCACCACATTGAGGAGCACCTTAAGTTCAAGCGATGGAGCCTCGACATGATATTTTATCAAAATGATCGTCCAACGTGAATAGTATGATCGCAGACCCATGTTCTGTCAATGTCACAGGCAATGCCTAATGCCTATCAGCAACAAACGATGGTGAAAAAGAACTCAAACAAGCACGGTAGCATGGCTCTACGTAAAAAACGACACACCGGGCGGTAACCTAAACCTGTACGACAAAGCTCATTAACATCAGCACAAAGCTCATGAAAGACTAAAACGGTACTACAGCCTACGCGTATAATTGCACGTCACAATGTTAATTTTGTCGGAACCGTTTCTCTAGGCCAATCTCTTCTATTCATCTGTCGACCTAAGCACTGTTTTCGTTGCTTATCACTAGATTTCGTGAGGTAAAAAGTAATTTCACTTTCCTTCGTTGCTATTCATCTTGTCGTATTCTTTTTAAGGGGCAATCGTACTAAATGAAACAGGGGGAGCGGGAGCAAGCTGCTTGTATATCAGTGACCGCCCTGCGACACGACAGCCGCAAACATGATTTGGCCCAAGTAAAAAACATAATACTGGATGAACTAGAGTTTCGTTTTCCCTATTTTTTCTATTGAAAGAAGAGGAAGGTAGTCAAGACCCTCTTATTTCAGTCAGTAACTCGATTATTTTAGGTTTTCGAATAAGTGAGCATTACAACAGTTCGCAATAGCCCTTTTCTGTTCAAACCGTAGCTCTGTTGAGTAAATAGTCGGCAAAGCAAGCACCAGATAGTCGGCAAAGCAAGGACATAGTAGGCACAGCAGATTGTTAGCAAAGCAAGGAAGCGGTCAAACGACCATCGGTAGTTTCGACATTTGAAACGTAGTTATTGAAGCAAGATTAATACGGTCTATCGGTCAGAACAGTTTGACAGATTTAATTTCGAAAAATATGCGCTCAATCAGCAATATTCCATCTGGATGTAGCTGACGTCAATTTTTTTCAGAATTTCTTGTACCGCACTTTCAATTTTCGTGAGGCGCATATTCATCGCATCGATCGCCTCGTTCCCGACTCCAATTGAGCCGCGGCCCTTCTCAGCATTGCTCGACACTGTGCTGATCTTCTTTTTCTTGCGTCCACTGCCAGGGACTGCGGGAGCGGGACTGCGTGTCATCAATGGATTCGGGCTCACAAGAGCCAGATGTTCACCGTCACTAATTCACTCATTAGAGTTGAGAAGAAAAAGTCGGGGGATATTGACAAATCGTGCAAGAATCTTAGTGCTTTCAGCGTCGCTCAGAGTTGATACTTGCTTAATCTAAAGACGTGCATAGGAAATTGCATCGCGATATCATAAGGTCAATGAAATCACTAGCAAAAGCGTTTCTTCACCATAAGAGAGTCTGGCCATCCTTCTTCCGCGGCAAGCCGTTCTGCCGCTGTCCGCTGGCCTAGTGCGTGTGCCACGATTTCTAGATCCTTTTTCATCAGGGGCAAGTCGCGCACTAGCTTCATTATCCTTTCAAGCTCTATTGGGCGGTCTGACGTTACTGTTTTCAGGATTTGCTCGCAGAACTCGTCGATGCTCACCTCTCCGCCCCCGTCCACATCCAGCATTTCGAAGAGCTCAATGGGATCATCGCTACCCATTATACCGCACAACTCCTCCTGCATTAGAAGAAGTTATCAAGTCATTGTACCTTAGTTAGATGGCGTGTCAGCGACGAGATATTAATCTCTGATTAGTAATACTGCACGGAGCACTTCAAGTTCCGCCTAAATATTTTGCCAAGAAGTTGAAGTGTTGACATAACTTTAGTGCCGGATCCGATGCCAAGCCGTTTATGAGCTCCTCTCGAGAGATATCACCGCTCCCATCTTCATCTAGTGCTTCAAACATAATTCGAAGTTCTGGGAGTAACCTTTGCAGACGCTGTGCTTCATATGCTGCTTGCACCTCCTTGTCGGATTTCGCTTGCTCAATGGCGCCTTCGACGATGACGGCTGTCACCAAATTCATCAAAGCAACGGCAACAATGAGGATGAAACCCATGAAAAAGACTGCAAGCCCAGGTGAGTGTTTGATCATCGGCACATATATTACGCCGATAGAATCCAATGTCACGAATTGCACCTATGCGAGTCATGTGTATGAGCGGTGGCACACTAGCATCTATTCGATACGATAAGTTAGTAAGTGGTGCATAGCCAGCACATCGCGAGCACGTCGAAGAAGCAATAGCACATGAAATGATAGCGATTTCTGCAATACATAGATGAAAAACAGCAACAGCAAGAGGGAGACTAGAAAAACAAATTATGAGTACCAGAGTAAGCATGATGACAAAGAGTCCCGAGAAATGGTCTTCGACTATCTTGTAGATCTCGGGGTCGTCCCTGTACTGGGCTTTGTTTTTCGTTATCAACTCTACCGCAAGGACCCCGCTGACGTAGAGAATTAAGAAGATGAGGACGAAGGTGTAACACATAGTTCCAGCACTCGAGAGCAATCCTCGGACCAACATCCACAGTGTCTTGAACGCGACGAGGAGGCGCACCTATGTATGAAAGAAAGCTGGATTGTTGCTTGACGAGGATGATATTGTGAGCATAAAAGCTAGCGCCTCGCAAGGAATGGCCGACGTCAAACTCTACGAGTCTTGCTATGATAATAATCAGCTAGTTCGGGACGAGAGACATATTCACATGAAATCCATCCGAATCAGCAAAACACTAGACAAACATGTAGAGTAAGAAACTCCTTTTCCTATATGTACCGCCCTAGCAAGCCGCAGAAGTCGCAATACACGCAACACTAGCAATGGACCGAGTTCTTCTGGAGTTTCAGTAAATATGCTTGGAAGGACCCACGTGGAGGCGATACCGACTACGACGAGAACCGCATCAAATGCTACCCACCCGGACTTGAGACAGCCGAACCCAAAAGCATAAAAGCGTGCAAGAAGCTCTAATGAATAGATCCCCAGGAAAATATGCTCTATGTCCTCAAAAAATTGCGTATCCTGGCCCACAATTTCGCAATTGCTCTGAAGTATATAGGGAAGCAGAGAACGGTGAGATTTTACGACGTATACGGGGGATTTAGCCTGGCGTTGTAAATTCCATTAATCAAAAAACTTGTGCGATTCAAGACCTCGTATGTTTTCAGGGCGAATGAGTCCTCTATCATTGAAACAGAGAACATAATAGAATGGAGCTTGGCAGAGACAAGATACCTCCCATCCGATGGTTATGCTGTTTAGGAGAATGACGAATCCAATGGCAGCATCGAATTTTTGAGCGGCGAGGATGCACTGTATATAGTACCGGGTCTTCAATACCCAAGAGGCGTCTTCATCTAGTAAGGGTGCCATTGATATAATAAAGGAGGCCTAGGACAAGGAGGTTCTTGTCTCAAGGATTGACGCAACAACTAGGAGAGGAAGTAGACGATCAACGGTCACTTCAACAAGCGCGCCTGAGAGCAAGCCATATTCATTTATGGACTAGTCAATTACCAGGCGGCTCGTCGAGCGTCATGGATTTAGAGCATTTGAGCGAAAATCCTTTCTTTGCTCGCTCTGCCTCTTCCGCCGCCACTCGCTCCTCTTCCTCGCGCCTGAGCTTCTCAGCCTGCATCTCGCGCAGTTTTGGACTTCGCAGATAGTAGCTACTACTCATGGGCGATGCATCGAAGTTTACTCGCACGCTGTGCTTTGAATGCAAGCTCGGGCTGGTCTCCTTGCTGCCCCCTTTGCTCGACGGAAAGGCCGTACTGTTGTCCCGGCTGGATGCATGCTGGTCTTTATTCACGAAAATGCGCGCTCCTGACGCAGTCTGGCGGACAACCTCGAGGTCGCCCCGTGACGACGCGTCCGAGGCAGATACGACGGACCGCTCCTCATCGTTGTCTAGCGGTTTCACACGTGATGCACGACGGCCGCGTCGCGAGAGGTACTGCTCCTCTGCAGTCGAAACCTCCGATACCCGCGACAATTTGCGGTCTTTCTGATACTTTTTGCCGTCCATTTCCGAACATTCATGTGCTTTCTGTCTTCTTCAGAAACGGGAATCAACTAAGTGAAGTACGTAGTTCCCCTGATGTCTTCTGTACTGGGGAATTCTTAATTTGAATGCCAAGGTGGCTCTCTGCTACAACATCGTCAAGGGGCGACGAATTGCAGGTACGATTCAAACATTCCTGGACCTAGGTTTCTTGTAGACATCACACCAGTACGCATGTTGTAATAAGCATGTTGTGGAGAAAGAAGCAACCATTTTCCCTTTTCAGCATTTTCGAATCCTCTATACTTTCATAGCGAGGAGATAGATGAATAGCACTCCCAAGGGCACACGCCCGCAGCGCACCGCTTGTCTAGTACTCACATTGTCTTTGAAGCGACGCCCTGAGATCGCTTCCACATCCGGTACCACACAAAACCGCTTTCCGTAAGGTTATTCAGATGCCTCAGCATACCAAGTAGGTTTTTCTTGTTTTGTTGCCTACTTCTCTACAAGTCCACCACGTGGCTGGAATCCGGGTCATGGCCCAAACTTACGAATTCTAATCGCGTTGCTTACGTGGTAACAGAGGTGTGTGTGCATGCAGGAAACGTCTTCAAATAAATGTCGTAGTTCGTCTTGGTACTATATTATGTCATTAGTCCGTATCAACAGGGTTCGTAATCAGTTAACATCAGATGAAGATCTTGTAACTATATTCTCAACCCAGTGCTGGTGCGTGTCAATCCATTGGTTAGCTGAACAAGTTGAAATGGAGTAGTCCTTTTTCACTACTTCTAGTTCATTCTGTTGTAAAACATCTCCATGCGTGGCTTGTGTTCGTTTAGCACCTCCGGTTGCCCATTAGCAATGAACTGTAGGAGCTGCATGTTGAAGAGAAAAACGGGGTTCTCCGGTTCCGCCTCGAGGGCTTTCATCACACCTGGATAGATTACAGAAGAAAGTGACCTTGCAAAAGTTGTAGTTGTAGGTGCAGTTGCAGACTGTCTTCTATGATAACAGCAGCTTTAAGTTGACTCATGCAAAAATGAAAATCTTTTCCTTGTTGATTGGCAAGATTTTTACACCCTCTATCGAAGATAATCATCATACTGACACCAGTATTAAGGCTACCCATTTGTGCCTGCTCAAAAGCACCCGCCCGCATCCAGATGGCGGCCAGATTGTTCCAGAGAAAAGGCTGATCCGCTTCCCATTTGAGACCATTTGCGAAGGCGTCTTGCGACTCCTGCAGCATGTCCATATGCCCAAAGGCTACCCCTAGGGCATTCCACGCATGTGGTAGGTCAGCGTTAATCTTCAAACCATGTTCCAAGGCATTTACAGCTTCCTCGTACCTGCTAAAAAACAAGACCATCATTTTGTAGTGGCGTAATAAAGTAACCACGAATGCTTCATCACACACAAACAGCAGATCATCAACTCTGCAATAAAGTAATGAAGTTGAAGTGTACCGTTTCAGGATCACAAGTGTGAACCCGTAATCCGCGAAGAGCGCAAACGTGTTGTAGCCAGCGAACCCTATCCCATGTCCCTGCATAATTTTTTCGAATCGCGGTATCGCGAGTTCGAATCTCGACGTCTCGATATAAATTTGTGCAATACAGTAGTCCGTTAACGCATTGTCATCATGAAGTGACAGTGACATGTTGTAGTGGTGCAGCGCCTCTTCCCAGCGGTTTTCCCGATGATACACAGTTCCAAGCTGATGATGGCTCTTCAAACTCCTTGGCCAAGCGGCGGTGTCTACCTCAAACAGCACCTCACGATTTTGCCAGTGCCCTACGCGGAGTGTGCAATTCACTACGAATATGGTGAGCCACCCTAGGCACGCAACAAAGATAGAACCCAGTAAAAAGCTAGTGCCACGGCCCAAGTTATCTATAATATCGTCCTCAAGTTTAGCACTACGACTTCTCGAAGCAGTTGGGGTTGAGTCTTCCCGGTCTTCTCGTCCTCGTGATCCTTCAGCGTTTTCATCCTCTGCGTTGAGAACAGCAGGACTAGAGCTTTTCCCGCCTCGCAGAGCGGTACACAAATCTATTGCCACGCTGACCGTGGTTCCGTCAAGGGAAGTGGAGCCGAGCAGTGCAAGGGGGCCCCCGAGAGTTCCTCGTGGTAATGTCTTCGCTTGCTCCTGCTGCTCTGCGAGTGCTGTCGCATTCCGATTTCTCAGGTTTTCTTCCGATAACTCCGCAAACGCAGCTGCTTTACCACCCTTGGGCGATTTTCCCCGACTGCGCGACCTTTTCCGGGCTTTTGCGCCACTACTGCTTGAAGACGTGCTGCTGGAGCCACCATCTGATTTCACGTCACTCGCAAGCTTCGCGTCCAAAGCTGCGGAGGGGATCCCACCCTCCAGCAAGTTGTTTGACGCCAGGCGCAGTTTTAAGCTGGATAATTCGGAGGCGTAGCGATCCTCTAGTAGATTGTATTTGCCGCTAAGACTCGTCTCCTTGCGATTTGGAAGGTCGATCTGTGTCTCGACCGAGAAGAGGTAATTGATGATGGCTGGCACGAAGAATACCAGTCCGCAGGTGCTGCAATAGAGCAGCCGCTCCCCGACCGTGACGCCGACGACGAAGAATAAGTTACTAGCCGGCAGAAAAGGCACAATGACCCAGAAGAGACCGACCAGACCCATGTGCGATTTCCGCCTGCTGTTTCCTTTGCCGCTGAGTTGTTGACTGAAATATGCCACAAGAGACACAACATGCAAATAGACAGCCGCGATCAGAAGCGTCCGGTAGTCGTCAAAATGACTTTTCAAAAGCGGTATCGTATCGTAGCTGTAGTCCCATGATAGATGCCACGGCATAATGATGAGTTTCCAGTAGAAAGCATGCTGATACATGTATGTGAGGGTCCTTGTGAGTAAGCTCCCGCTGTACTGTACTGGTGTATCCACGAAGGAAAAGCCGGCAGAGGTTCCACCGGTGACGTAGCTACGAAGGCCGAAAATGCAGAGAAACATGGCTAAGAAAAGCATGCCAATCAAAATGCTCTTCCGGGGTCGCGTCACCTCGACGGTCACCAAAAAAGGGATCACCATAAAACCGCTCTCTTTGCACAATCCAGCTACAATGCAGAGAAAGGCATGCAATGGAAAAAGAGCCAAACTGTTGCTCTCCAGATAGACGTAGAAAACGAGACACCTGAGAGTAAGCGGAAACAGTTCTTGTAACAAACAAAGATACAACTGTTAGAAATAGACCTCATGCGCCTTGATGCGTCAACGTAATTATAGCCAATACAACACAGTACACACAGCCCTTGCACTACTTAGTTCGCTAGCTTGCTCTACTACCAGCAAAATTTAAGCAGTGTGAATTTCAGGAACGAGAGAAGCTTGCTGGAGTGTATGAGTAAACGCGCCAGTGGAGGATGATACCATATTCCGGTCGCCATCATGTCCGCTCGCCCGACGAGATAGACAACGTTCTCGACATGCACTGGGTGGGCGGCAAAGAGGCAACAAGCTAGAGTAACGCTCCACGCATTAGGCATTTGGACTGGTATGTTGTCCCACAGGAGGAATTTCTTCAATCCTGCTCGCGGTCTGCACTCGAATGGCTCAATGACCTCTAGCAGCTTCGTGTCCGCCTTGCTCTGTGTTATGTCCCCCGACGCTGTGGTCAGTTGCCGTAGGTCCTTCAGTGAGCGCACAACATCGCGCGCCTTCACAGCATAAAATTTCCACGCCACAAAGTAGAGCATAAGCGAGTTGAACCAATGCAGGCATATTGAGAACGCTCGCAGCGGCTGCGGCTTAATGTCGCCAATGACAAAGAACTCCAGACAATAGGACAGCACCGTCAAGGGTCGGTAACTTTTGTGCGTCCAGCCACCCTTCGCCCACAAAGGGTTGCCCCAGAAATCGTGCGAAAAAACGCCATACCAACTGCTCTCGTTTTTCGCATCCTCGTTGCGGACGATGGCGAAGAGCTCGTCGATGTACCACTCGCTGTAGAAAAGGCAGCGGAAATATGGCAACACAGCGCAACAGGATATCAGAAAGATAGGGTACTTCTCGAGCGCGCGCACAAGGAGAACCAGCAACGACGCAAACATCCTGCTGGCTGTGTTGTTTTCCAAAGAATGTGCTAAACCTAGGTCACACTCATCAAGCTTGGTGTTGCAGTAAGAACGAACGGGAACTCATTGGGTACGCTATCATAGCAGACAGACTCAACGACAAAATCAAATATCGTGGAACTACTTGAACGTCTAGAGCACAGGACCCTGCTTGAATGTAGAATTCCGTCTCTTCACCAACGTTACCAGAGAATCAAAATTGATCAAACCATCATTGGAAACTTCTTTTTCATGAAATTACTAGTTCACTCCGAGACCATGAGTCTTCTTCAGCCACTCGATGTGTCGTCTCTCATCTTCCGTCTCTCGGAATTATCTCGTCTCAAGGAATTCTTTCGTGTGAAAGTATAGATGGAATCACTCAGACTCTTACAGTTGAAATTTTGAGAACAAAGTGAGCTTGTCCCTGTGTCAGCCACAAAGCGAATGCTCGAATTCATTTATGAGTTCGGGCTTGGGGGTAAGGGACAAGGTAAAAACAGAAAGGTAAAAATAGACATTTCGTATCAACATTCGCCGTCAACTTCGATCATGTACTCTTGTGCGGAGTTGTTGTTGTTCACATGCCCATGCATTACCACCATAAATATGTTCATCCCCATCCTCACAGTGATATAAAATAATACCTATCCATGCTTTGTGAACTTAGCTCGTTTTCGGTGCGTTTCCGATATGGAGGAGCTCAATTTCAAATATCAGTGTTGCATTAGGAGGAATCGGACCGCCGGGAGTACCTGATGTTTCAAATCATTTGCTGCATTCCGTGGACTAGCACGTAGGAGAAACAGTTCATTTTAAGGCCTGGCGTCGCGTCCTCACTTGTAGGCAAATGTATTGAAGTACATACATAAGAGGGAGGCCCCCCCTGTGGATGGAGCTGTGGTGGCGTCGGCGCGCCCTTTTTTCCGCAGTGGTTGTAGCGTGTAAGAATTCCCAGGGGCCAAGGCCTCAAAAGGCGGAGCCGGCGTCCCGTTGCGGCTCTCCGCGTGTACCCCGCCACAGGCGTCCCGACTCTTGGACCCTATCAGGGGGACGACCTCCGGGGGCAGAAGGCCGCCGAAGGCGGCCACAGTCGCGAAGCCCGGCCCCTTTGGCCCTCCTCCCCTTAATTTGTGGCAGCGTCTGCCGCCACCAAACGCCCAGGGGGTTGGGGACTAGAGGCGAGGAGGAGGGGCGTGCCCGCCTCGGTTCTGTCGGATACATGCAGCACAGCGAAAGGGGTCAAGCCTTGCCACCTGCGGCCCACAGAGGCCTTCCACCTCCCAAGAAACTGCCCCCGTGGGGAGAACGCACGTGGGAGATCTGTAGGGTACACGCAACACGGCAAGGGAGCCAAGTCTTGCCACCTTTGCCGCCTTCGGAAGCCTTTCACCCCCGGCCGTCGGTGCTTGAACGGCCTCAGGGGCTTGGACTCTGTAAGGCACACGCAAGAAGCCGCGAGGGCGCGAAGGTGGGCGCTTGGAGGCCTTCCCGCCCGGCAGTCCCTCGGGAAAAGGGTCCGGGGCTGACGGGCCCCCCTCAAAAATTTAGATCGAGGGAGGGCTTCAGCCCTGAGCCCTGGAACATATATAACTACCGAAGAGTAATCCGTGGTTTCCTCACCAGTTATGAAGTGCTAACGAGTCAACGGTCTGGATGATCCTTATACCTTCAGCGCCGTAAGCGTATTCAGGTGCGCAGCAAAGCTCTGCTTTCTCGCCGACTTTCATTGACGCTATGCCTATGTCCCATCCTGCAATTACCTAGTAGTACAAAACGTTTTTTCACAAATTTGCTCTTTCCTAAGTGACTCTGCATAATCATTAGTATGTTTTCCATCAATTTCAATGAACAAATCCAATAAATCATTCGACTCCTAGGAATAAAAACCGCTTGTGCGCCGACGACGAAGTCGAAGCCGTTTTTTCGATGAGGCTTTGGTATGGAGGAGTCGAAAACAGATCCGTCAGTGAGTTTGCCCGTGTAGTGGGCCCAAACTTTTTCGCCCTTCTGAGGCTGCGCCCCTGTCCCGTCTTTCAATATCTTCTTTTTCAGACGGCCGTCTCCAGACAAGTCGATCGGAAAATCGCCCATTTTGCAAGATATAACAAAAGGGCAGATCAATCTAATCAATGCACGAGAATCCAAAGTAAAACCGATTACAGCTGCTACTGCTAGTTTTACAAGTAAAAAGTGGATTGCTTGTATTGAAATCCTAATTCTACATCAGACAGATGCGACACGACAGAGCACAACGTACGTGTCCTCTATTCGAACTGAGCACTCTCTGTGCCCTCGACTGCAAACAGAGAGACAAAAACGAATGCAACTATCGCGGTGGGAAAAAATCCGTGATCATCTTACGCAGTTCAAGTTTAGATCCAGAAATCCGCAACTCCTAGACTCTTTACTCTGCAGATCCTTCTCTTCCTCATTTTTCTGGTCTGCATTCATAAGAGCGGGAACCATTGGCAGTGACTGCAGGAATTGCCAAAGGAACATGCAATAGCCTGGAACACCAGGCACTCATTTGCATTTGAAACCAACCGCGCTTCGTCATATCTGTCCGTAGCCATTTTTAGTCAGCGCACGTGCTTTTGGTACCGGTTGCACAAGTGTTCTATCCACAGCTAATTGATTCTCCAATATCCTTAGGGCGCCCTGAAATAAAGCACTCTTGCATATGACACGAGAAGAATGACATCTCGTTCGTTCCTCAGCTCGTGTGTGTGACAAAGATGAATGAAACCATCTTCCAATTCATCCTTTCCTTCAAGCACCAGAGAAAACCGTAACAGCAAGCACGAGACTGACTTCACTACATTATCATGAAGATCCAAAAAATTTCTATACAAGTAGATAAATATGGTTACGAGCTCCATTAACTGTTTCAATAAGCGATGGATAGAGTACATTATCTCAACTAGTCATATTGTACATAAAAGTCCACTAGTTACTCTGCTTTTGCTGATCGATACATAAAACTACACTGTTTCTTTTCGTCGACGAAGATAGGCATAGATAATCCGATTATCTCTGTTGTGATTTCCAAGCGAGATAAATGTAGATAATTTGAGATAATGGATTATGTCTTTTTGCATTTCCCATTTTGAATAAGTCAGAAGGTCAGAAAAAGCGGATTCTTAAGCTACTAACTTGTGTGAGTAAGATATTTGCAATAGTGAAGTCGATAAGAAAGTCGGTCGTTGATGATAGTGTCAGAATTTTTGGATGAGTAATTCATTGTTGATGATTCGGTTTAGTTGTAAGTTGTAAGTTTTAGCTGCAGCTCATGTTATTTGCAGAACCCAAAAGTATATTACAATAGGATGTGGTAAATGTATCATAAATATGCTGTAAACTATCATGCTAAGTAGGGAGCTCCAAAAGAGAATTTGTATGACGTTCGCTAAGCATGTCGTGTATGACTACGAGCACCTTTCTCTATTTACTGTACATGCCACCAGCTCATTGCGCCATCGGCCCCCTATGCATGTCATAGCAGCATTATTGATGACGATAGCCAACACAGTGGAAAACATCAATGAAATCTTAGACCTCGAGCGGCGCTTCCGTCGTACAAATAATTTTCCTGCACAGGTGCCTGACGATACTACTCGACAGCAAGCCTAGAAGTACAGCTACTGCGCCACACATTATCACAAAGAAATCAAAAGCGTTTCTCCTAAAAGACGGAAAGGCCAAGGCCTACCGATCTACCAGAGACGGTTCGTCATGTTTATGTCTGGCAGCTTTCCTGTTGCGCTATGTTGCCCCAAAGCGAATTTTCTTCGCTCCCTGGCATCTTTAGCGGCCTTTCTCACGTCTAGTCCTCCACCGGCGGCGCGTAGAAACTCGGACTTATCATTCATTCGCTCTACATGTGCGTCCTTCCAGGCACGGAAGACCTCGCGCGATCCTAGCGGCTTTCCCATCAGGACACCTGTATTGTAAGTACTTTGATGATAGGCTACAACAAAGAAGGCAACAATTATCATCTCTATCTCCAAGCATCATGAACTTCACTTCGCAAAACAAAGTGCTCCCTTGTCCATTTCTTCAAGTACAATCTGGTCGTAGTGTAGATTCTGTAGTACGCACGGTCGAAGCGAGCTTTTGAGGTGAGGATAGACTCGCTTGCTGCCTGGTCATGAAATCGCGTTTCTTCTCGAAAGTTTCTCGTATTTTCGCCACTGCGTCTGGTCGACAACCGCGAGCGCGCTGGGGCCCATAGTCGTAATAGTAGATTTGCGCAGAAGCATATCCCGCATTTCTCATATTGAGCGTATGTGTGTCGCCTAGACCTGCAAGAGCGTTGTGGATAGAGGGCCAGTGGGCATAACTTTTTCAGTATCGATTTCCTTGATCTCATAATGGTTTCACAGACATTTGATTTGATGAGCAGAGCTAACGAGCACGTTGAAACATGTGAATCTCTCTTAACGTGATTATAATCTGGAAAATTAATCAATCACCTTTGCCCTTTATGCTCCACTTCGGCATGATGTGGTGCGGGTCTGCACAGATTTTCTTTCGCGCATTGCGCACTAGTGTGTCATGGGGTTCAAACGGCGGAACGGCGCCAATGCTTTCTGGGTCTCGCTCGCTCGCCGGTTTCTTCACACTACTAGATAGAGATGGCAGGAACTTGTTCCGCTGTATTCTCTCCTTCTGTGTCAACTTTGATGCGTCCTCGCCTAATGAAGTGTTCCTATTCACTTTCTGCGCAATGAAATCCACCTGTTGCCCATGCTGTATGCCAAACATATTCAGTGGCATCGGGCCACGGCAAAAAGTCTTGGATTGCATGTGTAGCAGCTTGATATCTCGCCGGTTCACCCTGTGGTAATTTTTTGAACGACATCTAGGTTCTCACTCAAAACCTGAACAGCTACATCCTGAAATATTTTGGGCCGGCCGCTGACATAATTCTGACTAAGTAGAACTCATATGTATTCAAAGAAAACGATGCAGTACCCTGTGAGTGCACTAAGTTTGCCCTTGAGGTTCGCTGGTGGTAGCGTTGGCTCGGAGCCGTGTTGTGGTCCGGCAGCGTAGCCTCTTGCATCCGCATCTTTTCCCCAATACGCTTTGAACCTATCGCACGATGAAAAGGGTCGTAGCGAGGATCTGCTAGTTACTGTGTTGATGAATAATCAAGGCACGCTCGTCTACTATTCTTCATTACCAACAGCTTCAGCTTGTATCATGGCAATCAGCTTCTAATCCCAAGTCTTTACCATATTTGCAACTTGATATAGTGCTATCGCTTTATGTTTATTCATCATAAATGTGATGCATCCGGTGTTCTTGGTGCGGAGACTGCTAGATCAGGGTCCAATTTCATTTTCACATTGTCACCGCTATAGGGAAAATAGACGTTGACATCTATATCCCGGGTTTTCGCACCAACAAAGCGTCTTCCTTCCGGATCTGGGACAGGCATTGACCTGAAAGTTTTGTGGAGGTGGTGGAAAATGAGAGTTAGACTTGATAAGGATGACCAGAAGATTACCATTACAGCTTGTTCCTTAAATAAACTAAGCTTAGCATCATCGCTCTCCCTCAATGTTAACGTTATTATCGCCCTCGTATGCATCGAACGATGTGAAATAAGGAAATCCACCTATCCAACTGGTTGACAGAGATTCCTCCGTAGCGGATTTTTTTTGACTGCCGCGTGGCATATTTGCCTTCCTTGCTACGCAGAAACGAGTCGTTGTTTAGAAGAGGATGTGAACTAGTACTTCTAGTTGTAGGTTGCACGTTCCTGCGATTCGTCACATAGAGAGCAAAATTCTCTCTTACCATGCAAGAGATCACGCATTCCTTAACGAAAAATCATATTTTACGACACCACATCCTCCCTGGTTATGCGTTCTAGTAAAATTGCTTTTGAACTAGAACCCTGGTAAAAAAAACCCTGCTTAAATTGTGTGTTTTCTTCAGCAAGCTGGGCAGCTGCGTCGGTAGTTGGGTGCCAGAACCAACATGCGAAACGTACTGCTTCAGTTGCGAGTCCGACACCTGGAGCGCCGGAGACAACACCATTTTGTCTACGAACGATTCATTTGTTACCGGACATGAAATATGAGCTCCGTGAAGTCAGGATTATTAGATAATTCTTCTTCCTGAACAACTATGAACAACTGGGGATAGGTAATTATGTTGTCACTGCTTGTGTACAATGAGCTAGGAGATGGCATGCTTGTAGCTAGGAGAAAATGATATGCACACAGAGAGTACAACATTAACGTTAAAGAATCACTCTTCTTCTCGTATAGACACAGTGGAAAGTAATGAATGAAAACTTTCGGTATTTTATGGGAAAGGGGTAGTGGTGAGGATCGCTCCAGCCTCATGATCACAGGCGGAACCTCCTACAACATTGATCTTGTCCACCGATCCTTTTTTTGACACTTTGTGACTCTTATCATTGACCGATAGTACAGACCTCAAAAGGTTCATAGAGGTTGCGGTCAAATACCGATTCCTTACTCAGGGCTTGCACTTATTATGGCAGACAGATCTTCTTCCGGTTTGAACTTGAATTTCTACCTATAGATACATAATGCTCGCCTGAGCAGATGCTGATGCAACCTTCGCAGAGGAGGACGACCGATGCAGCTTTTTCACTTGCCTATGTACAAACAGGAACACACGAGCACGACGTGCCCCATAGATGAACGTCATTAGGAGGCTTTACACTCGTACTGCCCTCCTGGTTTTATGCCAGGACTAGTCAACTTCCCTGCCTCTGGTGCAAAGGGTTATCTTAGTATGCCAATTGTATCACGATTTCTTGTCCTTCATTCTCGTCCTATTAGAAGTGCTCTGATCAATCGAGGATCTCCGCGAAATTATAGGCGTTTTGCTTCTGTTACGTGCAGCACGAGGGGACGTGTCACTGCGCCGGTTTCTCCTTATGGCATTCTGGGTTTCCAGCTTCTGGCCATCTTCATTCTTCTTTTTAGATGGATTGTCTGGTTGATCGTCTTTAGTATCTTGATCTTCCTCATTAGCAGAAGAATTCTGACGTTTATCCCGCAAAACCGGTATTGTCCCGAAACAGCGGCATTGTATTTCCAGGTCTTTTCCCGAAGCGCTCGATCGCACTAGCTCGAGTGCCAGCGCAACGCGATTGAAGCCTAACGCCACGAGAAGGTGCCATGCCCAAGCATGTGTGTGGAGGAACCGGACTGAAGGACAGGCAAGCATCTCCAATGTCCAGCAACAAACCGCTATGCCGTAAAGCGCAAGACCGGGTAGCGCAAGGCGACGAAACGCTGACAACTGGTGGAGCTTGCGACTGAAATCTGACTTTGGTTCTCGACCAGCAAGGTAGCAAAGGTTACCGCAGCGGCCTAAGCAGTAGAACTCGATCGGCGTGAACAACGCATGGAAGGCCTCAAAATATTCGAAAACCTCATACACGACCAACAAAACTAAGCCCGCACACAGTATCCCGATTAAAAGCCGCCGATTCCTACTCTCGACGCCAGCGTTGTCATTAGAATTTGTTTCCTTGGCACCTTTTGCTCTCCAAAAGTCGCTCTTCCACGACCGAAAAAGCTTGTTGCAGCAGAGGCGCTGTTATCAATGTCTGATGCTAAAACAGTAGAGGCACCCCTTTAGTGAACATAAACGTGCTGGTGCCGGATTGCGCGAACAGGGCGCTTCTTGTGCTTTCGAGGGAATATAAGCAGGCTAAAGCACATATCATCATGGGAATCTCGTCCAGCTTCTGCCACCACCTTCCGAGTGTCATGTGCAATCCGGCTGAACCAAGACTTTGTAGACAAAACGCTCCCCATATAAACCTTCGCGGAGTCAATAGGGTTGAGGTCACGTCACCGCCCTCTGCTACATCTGGTTTACGCTTTCCGCCTGTAGCAACGGTCTGTCGGTCTGCTGCTGCTGCTGGCAAACAATAGAAGTAACAGCATGTCCCGATGAGAAACATTCCGACTGCTGTCACGCTATTCCAGAACTCCGCTACGTATGGGGTCCAGACATAGTTTGGCTCGCAAAAATCGATTAAAGCAGAGTGAGGCTCCCAATGGCCGCGGAAGCCGCTAAAGTCCCGGTCCAAGTCATTCATGATTTTGGCTGGGAATTTTCGAAGAACTACATGAGTTTTTCACGCGGGGGAACAACTTCCGAGTGGGGTACGTAAACTACTTACCTCCATAAGTAATGGACAAAATGAAATTCTTTTCAGCTTTTGCTGCAAACGTAGTTCCTAGTTGTCATACAGAAGGAATTCGAATCATTTTCAGAATATCACGCGAAAACTCTCTCTGATACATGGTAAGGGAAACCACATGCTTCTTTTGTATTTGAGTGAATGCTCCTGGAGGAGAGCACGCCTTACCGCCAAATGAAAGTTTACGACTATTTTTTTAGCAAAGGCGATAGCGTGGCAAAGAATTAAAGGGAAGCCCCACTATCTAGGTTCGCAGTCACGTCGTTGGAACCACCCCCAGGGGAAGACAGGTCGAAGACCCCACCTCAGGAGGAACGTAACATTTTTGTTGTGGTCCATTTATCACATCATGTTCAGCAACCTAAAATCTTTCACGAATAATTTCTTCAAGCTATTTCTAGCATCGAGAATGAGACCGGACTTATGCACGGGTTGTTTACATAGTAACGAGGCCCAGGAATGCCAGGCAGTGCACCGGTTTAGTAGAATGAGGCTGACAATCTGTCAACAGTGGTGCGGCCAAATTTCGTGTTTAGTTTCAGAGTCGTATTTTCTTTGAATCATGTCATTTGTAGCGTACACGCTTCCTGTCAATCTGCTGTATCATAGGTACTTCCCATGAACCTCCGCGAAAGAACTAGTGTGGAATGAAGAGCGCCGATTGAACGTTCAGATCTTTCATTTTCATAACTAATGTGGCACATTTTTCTAGCGATCGAGCTAAAAGTAGAGTCACTGCGTCACGCATCAAACCTACTTATCATCAGAGTAAGGTATGCGAAAGATTGACTCTCTGCAGATTTGTGAATTACGATAAATGGACTCAGAAAGACGAGACCAAAAACAGTGTATGTCGTTTATTAGAAACAACAAGAAAACTGCGTATGCTGTACAACGTTGTAACTTCTGGATTTTCAACGCGAACAAGCAAAGCACATTCCCGTACGACTATTTTCTCCGACCGTTTCCTCATTTGTATAGCAACAGAAAACGACTCTAGTTTTCCTTTTGATTTCTGAATATTCAGCTCCACATCAGAGCGTGAGACTGTCGAGCGTTTCGCGGCAGCGCTTGAGACGCTTTAGCGAGGTCTCCGCTTGGCGGCGGCGCTCCACTGTGCGACGATCCTGTTGCATATTTCCGATAACAAAATCTAGATCCTTGGTTGTGAGAGTTTCGTCGAAGCGTTCCTGAAAGCGCGACACAAAAAAAAGCTGGCAGAGCTTGGCTACACGGTCGAAGAGCTGCCGCTGTACCAACTTTGTGTAAGCCGCCAAGCTTACTTGCATATGAAAAATCCGCGGTTTGTTCGTGCGAAGATCCCGCAGCTGTTGCTGGCGGGTCGAGTCCTCCATGTTTTTGATCCCGAAGGAAGCGAGGTACTGCAACCAACCATTATAGTTTGATTCCCGCGACGAAGATGCGTTGACGATAAGATTCATTTCGTCGATCAGTTTCTGAAAGCCTGGCTCGTCCAGAGTAAGGACGCACCCACGCTCACTGTCGAGGACGGCCTCCAGATGGGTACGAAGTGTCTGCAGGAGCTCCTCTGTCAGTTCCATGACCTCACTTTGCAGGCTTTGATGCAGACGCGGGAAGTCGCGGCCGGCCACATCCGCGACGAGGCGGCATACAGTGCGCGTCATGTACTCGTGTACCTTCTCGGCCAATGACCACACGGCCGTTGGCGCCGTTGCTTCGAACGACTCATTGAATAGCAAGCGAAACACCGGATCGGAAAGAAAATTTGGGAGACCGCACCCTCGATTTTCCTTGTCCTGCTCTTCCACTATCGGGGAGTAGTCGGGCGACAAAAAGTCCGGGGTCGCTTCCTCCACCTCCGAGACGAAAGCAAGGAAAAACTCGTGCAGACGCGGCGGGATGTGCAGCTCGCTTTCCGATACCGCATAGGTGTAGTTTCCACTAGCATTTTTTTCGAACAAAACGCGCATTTTTCCGACTAACCGATGGTAAAGCAAACGTCGTGATGCGTCGTCTTCGCATACGTCAGGCACTTTGCGCAGCTCGCTCGCTCGCAAAGCGATGGCCTCCTGAATCTTCCGCTTCACGCCAGGGAGCCACCTATCAATTGTGCTTTCTTGCAGGTCGACCACGCGGGCAATCAGCGTATCTAGACCATAATACTGTTTTCACTACCGGGTTCGTTGCCGATCTTAGAGACAGGTCCTCATTCAATCTGTTATGATGGTGCAACGAAAGTGAGTCATACAAACAAGGGTGAAACGTAGTTCGTTGTACTTGTGTGTCTGATTTTTGAACAACTTCCGTCGTAAGAAGAACGAACGCTCGCGCTCCGCCAGACCGCCGGCTGAGAGCCCCTCGCGAACTTCGGTGGGGGTGCGACAGCGCACCGCGATCCATCCTCGGCTGAGACGAATATCGCTCCCCCGCTCAGCGCGCAATTTTAGTACGATATCCGAGTCCTTTTGGATCTGGTCTATCTTACTCACCACACCAACAGTGCGCTCGCCCTCCGCATCCACTTCTTTGGCGAGCTTCAGGGCTTCACAGTTGCCAAAATCACTCACCGCAGGCACCACAGCCAGAATGACCATCTGCTCGTTCGCAATGTAGGTGCGGAGTAGACCCACGATGACGTCGTGGATGTCACTTTGCGATTCGTGCACGTGCGTGATTCCCGGTAGATCAATTAGGGTCAACGTCGGTCCTGAATCCTGCACCACTTTGATGTGGATAGGATCCGCGATGATGCTCGAGCCAGGTCCAGCCTTGTCGCGTGTCAGACGCTGGATTTCCCCTCCAATTTCAGTTAAAGGAATTCGCACTGCATTGTGAAGGTCGGACTCATTGGACACCAACGCGTACGACGTAAGCGATTCATTACTGACGACCCCATTGACTGCTTCGCCAGGTGCGTTCCCGCATCGGGTTTCCATGCGCAGAATCGCTGGTCTGCGGGTGCACGTATTCTCGCCACGGGGAAAATTGATGCCGGAGATCGCCTCCAGAACCGAACTCTTTCCTGCCGATTGGTCCCCGATCACGACGACGCCAGGAACTTCGATGTTTTCAACCGTCAGATCTGAACGCACGAGCTCTACGGCGTCCAGCTTAGGCTTCAGGCGACCGAGAAACTCTGCTTGCATACTCTGCGTCGTAACCCCAGTTCCGCGACGCAGATTCCCCGAACCGTCGCTGCCAGCACTGTCAGCATGACTGCCGTCGACAACAGCCATCGTGCAATCTTCATCAGAACTGCCGCCCGCCATTTTTCGTGTTTGTGGATGGTCCCGTTTAGTCGAACTACTTCTGCGAACAAGTAAGCCAATGAACTGATAACGAGTCTTTTAGAAAACTTGGATGTTGGTCACGATCGAAAATACAGACTAGGTAGTGGCTATAGATGATGAAGGTGTAAACTTTCACCAATTAAAAGTTGTGTGCCCGTTGTTTCTGTTACCAGGTAATTGTCGGTATGTAGGCTTGCTCGCACGAATGAAACCAAGGGCAGACCACAATACTTGATTTCGCTTGCTCCTCAGAATGGACAATGACAGCAATCGATCACAAACGACCGCCGGAAAGAAATAATATAGCAGATGACTTCTACATTTGGATCTGCAAACATCGCATGCAGGATTCATCTCAGAGCAAACGGAATATTGGAACTACCTAACGAAGAGAAAACTTCTTACCGTCGTTCACCGCCAGAGCGCATGCAGATCTAAGAGATTGGCACCCGAAGAACTACGTGCCATGTCCTGTTACGAACACATCAATCATCAACCTTTGGCAATGTAGCATCGTAAGTTCGTATCTGAAGAAAGTTCTGCAATTTTTTTCATTGGGGAGTTACTACTTCTTCCTCTTGCCCCACAGTCGAGCGCAGTCTTTGTAAGTAAATTTCGTGGGTCATTAGAGGGCTGTACATCATTCTGTACACGTGTCGGGACGAGTGAATGACTCAAATGTGATAAAGTTTAAGGAAGTTGCACCCACATCATCAACATATATTATACTAGCTATAACGGCGGAGATAGTTCATTTCTTCGTCAATTCTTATGTGCTTTTCATTGCGTTGTCCTAAGCGGTCGATGCATGGTGCACAACTCCCGAGTGGAGTCCCTAAAAAATACCTCAAATTTCTGTCAAATAAGAAAATCGGAATCCTTATGGTGCTTAAAACATTCCTACGTACTAGAAGGTATTCAGTTTCAGTTTGGTTGGAGCGTGTCTAATGAAATTTCTGTTCGAGCTCGCCCAACAGGCGACTGTAGTCCTTGCTTCTCTCGACCTCTCTAAGAGTAGGGGGCTTACGCGGATGCGCTGGATGTAACCTCGTTGAAAAAGCTGTGGAGCCAGAGAAGAGTCGCCGACCAACTGTCGCATTCTGCTCTGGAAGTACTTGTTGTGCATCTATTTTTGCGGCTTCTCTTGAACGTTGGCACTGTGCCGCCATCCAACTGCGCGAAAGGCGTCGATGCACACGAGGCGCAGAACCTGTCGACCCTAGGAAAGATGGCGCCCCTTCACTTACTGCAGACTCTGTTTGTACTGAACCCCGTGTCCGACCTTTCTGCAGAAGTCCGCCGCCACGCTGTCCGAAAATTCTGCCAAACATCGTTACTAGTAATCGTTCTCACGTTAACAAACCAAGCTCAGAACTTAGGTTGCTACCTTAAGTTTAATGCGATCGAAATAAGATATATATATCCCAAAGCGTATATCGCGAATAGTTTCGCCGCAGCATCGAGATCAAGCTAGAAAACAAATTTGAAAGTCTTTTATAGTGAAAAACACTGTGGTGAGAAACAATGAAAAATGTCATCAATCTTTCCCCCTATTGCAAGCAGAAGATGCTCGCTAAGTATGGCATGGCATATAAATCCTCCAAAGCTTGATGCACGACAGTGTATTCACTCAGCAAGGATCTTTATTCACCAGGACCCAGGAACCATTCTTGTTCTAGTAGGACCTAGTACTTGAGCAAAGATAGGAAAAACAACATTTAATGCTGTAATAAGGATCTCTTGGATCGATATAAATCTTTCGGAATGGATCATAATCGAATTCTTCGGTGTCTTGTTTTTTGATCATCTTCCATTCGGGTCACATCATGTCATGGTCTCTTTTGAAAGATTATGATCTTCGGGAAGCAGATCATCCTTCAATTTGAGATCAGCATTTTTTCTACCACATAGCAGAACACACAAGAGGAACAGGTCACTTGATGGGAGTAACGTATTAGATGGTGGACAGGCTTGGATGCCATTCGATTATGAATGCCGAGTCTCGACGGAGTACAATTCATTTCCTGCTGCGTGCACTTAACGAATGTGTCGAAATGGTTTATTTCCATAAAAATCAAAATGAAATTAAAATCTTGGTTCCGCGGCGGAGTTTATCTCGCAATACAAATAGAAATGCCGAAGTTTTTCTTATGTATCAATTGCTTCCAGTGTATGCGATCGATCGCTTACAGTGTCACTAAAATGCTACATCGATCTTCTTCAAATGAACCTGCTATTTTGCTCGCAAAAGAAGATTCACAGTAACACGTCAACATTTTCGACAGCACAGAGTTAAAGATTTTTGGCTTCATTTTGATAACATAGCGATCTACATGACTTTCGTAAGCTAGCCGAACGGTTTGTTGTAGATCCCCCAACAGAGTAGGACCGGCTCCGGGATAACTTTTGGGTATTATCCATGAGCATTAACACTTGTACTTACTTACTTGTTTGATAGGGTATGAGTTAAGTAGTATACACTCCTGTATCATGATGCGAATATTGAGATCGAGAAGCATCTATTTTCATCCGCCCTAGCGTAACAATCTTCACGGTAGCAAAGGTGGGTAAAGCAGCTGCACACAGATACCATAGATACATTTAGTAGAGGAATCAAACACTAAGAATCCACCGACGGAAAGCTATTCGTATCAACCACGCTTCGCTGTGAAGTCTCTAGGCCTAATCGTTCATGATGGACCAAAGAAAAGACTCCAAAAAAAGACGATTTGCAGAAAATCGTGCTCCACAAAAAGCGTTCCCACCAAAGCGAAGATCTCACAAAAAGCGAGCGAGTGAGAAGATCGGGATAGGCTCATAGGCAGTTGTACAAGTCTTGACATGTGAAACCCAAACAACAACTTCACATGATTAGTCTTCTGGAGATCCACTTGAGCTTGAGTGGGATTACAATAGTAAGGCCGATCCTGGGTGCTGAAATGAATAATGAACATACCAGAATCCTCCTGGAACACCATTTTACATCGGGGAATGATGGGACGGTTTGGGAAGAGTGTGCTAGGCAGAGCACATTGCTGTTAGCTGGCACTCACAAGAAGCCCTCCTCGCATCGATTTCCTCGCATGATCATCACTCCTTCGAGCCCCATTTCCGTCAGTCTTTATGCGGTTGTAAGTGAGTCGTTAGCTTGATTCCTTTCGAAAAAGAAAGCCAACGGACAATCTATCAACGACACAATGAATTACACGGAGCGTGTAATACAATGATGCCGATTTTTCAACAGAAACCACCCCTGAAGCCTATGCATGTACGATAGCGTACTGCTTAGTGGCGGATCATCATGCTCCTGCAATCAACCCCACTTGACGAAGTAAGCGAACAAGAACGAGTCACGAATCCGACAAGAGTAGTGTCGTAACTAAAAAAACAATAACAACTTCTAAGCCATTCCGTGTACAGAAACTTCTACATTCTGAGCCAGCCTTCTCGTTCAAAGCGTTTTAGTTTAGGATAGTCGCCGCATTCGAGACGTGGCCGAAGAAAACATCGACCCAGTCCATGTCGTAGTTCGCCTCGTTAGGAAAATACGGTCGGCCGTCCCAAGTGATGCGCTTGCCGAGAGCGAAACAACGAAAAGCGTACCATGGAAGATTCTCTACCCGCAAGGCGGGATGCTGCTGCTTCTCTACCAACTTGCGACTCAGATCGGGGTACCTTGTCCAGTGCATTGACGGTCGGAGATGGTGCGCAGTGTGATAGCCATTGTTGCACGTGAAAAAGTTAATCCATGGACCAACGAAGTCTCGCGCAAAATTGTAATCCGGGTCCCAGAGAGAGTCATCGTTCTCTGCTGTGGTCTTTTCTGTGTTCGCCAAATTTGACGAAGCATCACCCTTCTCTTCCGATGCGCTAGTCGAGTCAGTGTCGTCCTCAACAGCTGCATCCTCACTTGTGTCGTCCGCTGCTGCTCCTCTCGCTATAATTCTCGGCTTCAATTTCTTTGCTGACGCATCGAAAATCGTCTCCGCCTGGAATCCGCTTTCTCCAGGTGCTTTGACGACCGTTTGCGACCCTATAGCGATGTACGGGTCGGGTGTTTCGCCTAGCTCGCGCAGAACAAGGCAGCCATCGTGCTGCAACATATTCATCGTAATGAGAGCCAATTTCGCCCAGAGCTGCGGAACTAGTATCACCCACCACCATGCATAGAAATGACAATACGCAAGATAGACCTGAAGGTGCATAGTTTGTTGTTGAGGGAAGGTAAATAACACAGCTACTTATATTATAAATTTGGTCAATACATCAACAGGTTTGTACTAAGAACGCGAGATAGAAGCTCTATCAATAATCTGTGAAAGAATTTTAAGTAGGCAGGTCGCTGCAAACGTTGCCCGCCTTGCTGAGGTAGAGATCACTTCTGTTAGAATCAAACTGAGTGGAAAATCTCCCGTCCAAGAACGTAATTAAATGCTGGTGTAATACCTGTAGTGGATAGTAGCTGATTTGCTCGATGCGCATGCGATAAAACATCCATACGTTGCCTTTCTCGTACGCCACCTTAAAGTATTTAGCATCCTGCTGAGCTGTATTCCACGCGATCGAGGGTGCAAACATCAGGCAATTTATCAGATTCCATCTGGGTGATAATGTAGAATGGAACAAGGATGGACACTTGCTACTCGTGCGAAACGAACTAATGCGATCCTCAAAAACGCTTCTCTTCGTAGATCATGAAGACACAGTAACATTATGATTCTTACCGCCCTTACGACCCCTTACAAGACTGTACTTCTAGCACTACACTTTCATAAAGCAAAGAAAGGCGACATAAATGCTCTAATACCTCCATTGCATCCTGGTCGTTCGCATGATGTCTTTCGGTGTCTGTACGTACTTGTGGTGACTAAGGTTGTGTCCTGGAATCAGCGTACTCACAGGATGCCCATAGGTGTGCGTTAGTACGATGTTCCACAGTGTGTTGACGTGGTAATTTCGGAATTGCGCGAAATGAATGCAGTTGTGCACGATGGTGGCGGAAAAGAACGCGAAAGAGCAGGTCGCAACGATCCACAGCAGGTCCAAACAACCCAGAGCGACGCGAATCCACGCTGTGGAGATTAGAGCATGATATCACTTTCCCTTTATGCACAGTTTCAGATGATGATTGAACTACAGAATCCCGGATGAACAGGAGGAACATCGAATCTTAAAAAAACGGGCACTGTGCATCTATTGAACAAATCCATGCTTGAATACGAGTATCAGTCATAAAAAAGCCACCCCTTCTTCGCCAGTTGCTGCTACGGAGAGTGCATGCCAGGAACTTGGGTAGGCGATAAATGCGCGCTGTGCATGCGAGGTTATCCTCTGCAGGGTAGAAGCGTCTGATGCAACAGCCGACTGTAGGCCCTCGTTGTATCGTGGATCAATCTGGTAGAGCCGCCAGCGTAAAAAAACGAGCGCATAGTAAGTCCCGACGATCCAAAAAGTTCGAAAATCCTCTACATGCTTCAAATTACACAGCTGGGCCAATTCGACTAGAAACGGCTGCAGCATCAGTGCGTATGCTGACGATAGTACACCACCAGAATTCTTGCTTGGCGCTGTTGAAGATGCTGAAGAACGAGTACGTTTGTTCACACTAGTTTTTGCACTAGAAGTCGATGTTGAAGTAGATGATGTAGCCGTAATCGGCTGCGGTTTTTCACTGGTACTTTTAGCAGGAGGAAAAATTGCCGCTTCTCCAGCTGCATTTTCGTTCTTCGCATCATGTGCTAGTTGAGCGTCTGCGTCTTCGTCCCGCCTTCGCACGGGGCTCTCGGAAGACCGCGTGCTCTCATCGGAGGGCATTCTGCTGCTCTTCATTTTGGTTGTCTTTGAAGACAAGATGGTTTCGAAACCAATCAACGCGATACTTTAAACATCAAATTGAACTTTGTTTGATACTACAACTTACTCACAACAATATGGTTAACCACTCCCTAGTCATTGACAAAGATCTTGAATCAAAGAGTCCTCACAGGAACTTCAGCTTACTTCGATTTGGATAACAGCGAGGAACCCGTAGAGTATTCGACGGGTCAATCTATCATGCTTTTCATTCATACACCGTGGACGAAAATCAAGACACTTCGTTTTACATCAACTCTATAACGGATACCCCTCAATTTTTCGCATTAAAAAGCAATAACCACGCCTACAGTGCTTATATCAACGTTTCCTATTGACAACACGATGGAAATGATAAGATCTGTTCAACCTATAATGTACAGCAATCTTTGATGCGCGATGGAAAAGAGAAACGGATCAATTTTACTTGATGCTAGTCTACAGCTCTGCTTCAACACCTCAGAAAAAGAGGGACTTTCATCCTAAGAAGTGTAAAATCAAACTAAGGGAGAGGTAAGGCTCAAGAAAACTCAGCGTAGCACCACAAACGTAGCAGATCTGCCTGAAGGGTTAGCACGAAGATATCAGTGATCGAAGCGGTGATAATGTGATGATGGAGAATCTTGACGAACCAAGTATCATTGAAAGGATAACATCTATGGACGCTGCCTTGCATCTGAGCTGCGCCTGAGATAATAATCACGATACATAATCACAACGAAAACCCAATCGCACTGCAGCAACCTATTATCACTCAAAGGAGGCTCGATGGTCCGCTGACAGAAAAAAGTTACCAGAACAACAGTGTGCCCTCGCGATTCGGAATCCCTAATCAAATCCGAACTTCTTTTTCACGCGCCAGCGGTACGCTTCGAGGAATTGCTTTTCACTCTCACTCGTTGTCATTCAACACCTACACCATTCGACGAGACACATACTTACTCAACGAGCGCAGCTGCAAGAACACAGACAGTTGAATCTTTTTAAGGTGGGTTCTTGTAAGTTATCTTCAATCTTCACTCAACTGCTTGCCAAAGAGAATTGAGTAGTTTAATCTCGTTCTCTCCTTAGATGTAGCAACTTTGTTCGTTCAGAAGTGTGCATACTCAAATTTATTTTGACTCTCGCAATAAAAATCAACTTTCTTTTCATACAAATCGCGTTCACAGATACTTGCGTTAGCGAAGTTCAACAGAAAGTGTTACGATGAAGAGACACAGTGACAACACGAAGAGATACTGTCCTAGTCCCATAAAGTTGAGAAATTCCCACTTTGACAACGGCACTACTAAATCCGGTCGTGCGTTGCTCACTCTAGAATATGCGCCGAAAACCGCTAAGAACGTGCCTGTAAACAAAATTAAGCAAACAGAACCTTTGCGAATTCGCGATGCCCAAATGTCGCACATGAAATCGAGTCTGCTTCCTTGCTTACTAAAGCGAGTTTTCGGTTCACGATTCTCCTGCAATCTAAGAGCCGACAAAATTCCCTGCGCCCACAGCTGGCTACTAACACTGCCACTATACATGAGGGACGTTCCGACACGATGCAATAGGGTGGTAGTTTCCACCTCATTCCACTCCGGAGTGGCGATCCGGTTACGTTGAACAGGAAACCAGCTCTGCCAAGCCACCCCGAAGAAACCGACAACCAGGGCTGCTGCTACACTGTTGACTACCTCGTGCCATTGCGCATCGGGGTCTGAGTGCGAGGACGCAGATCTAACTTAGAAAACTCCAAGTTTCACCTACTTGCAACATGAATCACAAAATACGAAGGCCCTGAAAGCAATTTCTGGAAATCTAGACATCAACGATGATTCGTTCAAGAACGACGCACAAGAAGAACTATCTTTTGTATCATAACTTTCAGACTTCGTGTGGCGCTTAGAGCAGGACCGGTAAATCGACATCACACGCAATGCGATCTTGAATAGCAAACCCCGTGGCTGTGGAGCGTCAAACGCGGCTACTTTTCCACGCTTACTACTCAGCATAGGCATGGCAACATCATTTTCTTTAGTCCTTTTACCAACAACAACATGAACACCATGAAAAAACTCGTCTACCCGCTCGTGCAATTTTTCTACGCATTTGGGTGCGAAAAGCAGGATTCCAAAGAATGAGGAGGATGTGAAACCGCATGTCGCCACCCACTGTCGAAATGTATTGTCATGGCTAGTCAAGGAGATAGGTGGCGTCAGCATCCAAGCGTGTTCTTTTCGTGCTGCATACTGATTCCACAATATCGCGATCCACATGGGGCAAAGTACTAGAAACAGAATGAAACGAAATCCAAAGTTGTGATGCCATTGCCATTGCAGAAAGAAACGACTTCTCCTTGTATCAGTGTAGTCGTCGTTTTGCGGCTTCGTCTCTTCCCCAACGTCAGGCCCTCGTCGGCTCACCTTGCGCGCTCCCGACTTTGCTCTCGAAGAGGCAGTATTCGAAGACTTTCTCCTAGCCCTAAAGTTTCGCCTTGGAGACGCCGAAGCGCGCTCTCTGCTCATATCCATATTTTGATGCTGACAATGTCGACAACCAAAAAAATTTTCAAAGACAACAAATGGAGGATCGATATTCATAATGGGTTTGCAATTTATAACAAGAGTACGTACTTATTCATTCAGTTTTTTTTTTTCAATCGACATCCGCTTGATACGGATGTAAGATACCAGACGCCGAATAGCAACATGCCTTTACAGCAACGGGAACAGTGGCTAGCCATCACACCATCAAATTCAAATCAAAAACACGTCTTTTGCGCACGAATAACGGCAACACGAAGCTCCTGCAACAACTTTTCAGCGCAGATTGTAATCATTAGATTTGTGAAAACAAGCTAGCACATCCCGATCCGTTCGTTGCGCCTTTACTGTTCTCCCACGATAATGCGTATACTGCTGACACCTGCGAATGTCACTCAGACGTTAGCATAGTATACGAGGTGTAGCAAGATTTCATCCAGAAGCACAGCGCTGCTCTTCCGCAAATCTTTCATGTCAAATTCTTGAATCTACTCTAGAAGACTGTTATGATTCCATTCCAAAGAAAGTGGTAGTAGTTTCACTTTCTGTGCGTTTCTCCTCGTCTCCTTCACACGCGTATCTTCGGGAAGAAGAGAAACTGTATGGTGCCGACAATGCCGCCCACGATCGCGCATAAATGTATGAGAAACTTCGCGACTGTTTGCTCTTGTTGAGAGTAAATGACACGGATGGGGTCGATTTCGTAGCGAAAATAGACTCCAGAATCGAACGCACCGTGTGTCTGAAATCCGGTCGACTGGTACTGAAATCCACGCTTCTTGGAAGAGGAACCGACCTCTGTGTTTGGAGTGACCGTCACGTAGTACTGTGACGCTGTGGCGCTTCCCACATTTAGCATGACAGATCCATCGAGCGGTGACCAGGAGTGCTGCTCCTTCTCCTCACTCCGCCTGCGCGAACTTGGTGGTGCGAAAATGGACGGAGAATCCAATCCACTGGCTGATACTGATGCTGAAGAAGCGAATGCGTCGCTCAATGGAGTGACGCTTCCGAATAAATCCCGCTCTTCTTCCTCGAGGAGTCGGTAACATTAAAGCAATCGGCCGAAGTGAAGAACTATTGGCTGTGCACTTTTCCGTTCCCTTCTTTCACAATCACAGCTCTCGATAAAAAGGTTCATCTGAGACCACTACTTCAAAGAAATTCTCACATAAGTGATTCTTCCATTCCGTTCGCTCTTCTCGGCGCCGTTGTCGCCTTTTTTGGCTAGCCCTCGCATCTGCTGAACAGCATCTACACGGTTGCGGATGCGCCTGTTCCTCTCGCGGTTGCGACGACGTCGATTTGCGCGCAACTCTTTCTGCCTCTCTTCACCCATTGACAGTAGGGATTGGCCCGCGACGGACGAACGATGGCCGGGCACAAGACTCTCAATCTTCGTCCGCGACGCTGAGGATGTATCTTTCTTAGAGACAAGTGCAAAATGTCGCTAAATGTTGAAATATCGTAGTTGTCATCATAGTAGAGATCAAATTTTCCGAGTCGCTACGACCTCTAGTAGCTTTCTTACTATCTTCATGTCGAACAGCCATAACTACATTACTCTTTTGCGACACCTCAAGGCTGCTGCCGACTTCGACGAAGTCTAGTTGGTGGACTATGTGGGCGTAGCATTTTCGTTTCTTGAAGCTCAGGTGGAAGTTGCCCGGAACCTTGCCTGTCACAAAATGCCCAAAGATGCGACACGACTCCCCTGCTTGCGCGTTACGCTCTATTCTAGACACCTCGTCCTCGAATCCGAAAAAGGCGTCGTCGGAATCGCCAAATACTAACTGCATTCGTCGTTTCGGTGCGCTTTCTTCGTCTGCCTCTAAATTTTTCTCACCAGTGCTCGAAGTGTCTGCTTCTTTCTTCCCTGAAGCCTTCTGCTCTGCATTTTGCTCCTGTTGCTCACTTTTTCTATCTTTGACTGTCTCCCTCTTGCTGTCATTGTCAACAACTTTCGCTTCACTTCCAGTAGTTGACATCTCCTCAACAGTCTTTTTTCCATTAGTTGTGTCAGTTTTCTCTTTTGGCTTCTCCTTTTTGTTCGCGCTTTCCTTTCCTGGTGCGCAATCTTGAGCACCACTTCGAAAGCCGAAGTGCCATGACTCGTCTACGCGGGAACTCAAGAAGTAACACTTCTGCGAACCTCGAAATTTTATGCTGCCATGCGACCACCATTAGATCAATGCACATCTGCTAGAGGACTTGTTTTAAGCATGTTGAATGAAAATATCTTTTTTGATTCCATTTGTTTCAGTATCAGTCTCAGAAAAAGTCTACTTTGGACATAACAGTATTTGCAAGCGTCCACCCTCCGACAGACCTCTGCACAAACAGCTTCGTAGGGCGTCTCTAATCGGTCTGTAGCTTCGCACTTGTCGCCATCCGAGCAGCCCCGAAGGACGTCTTCTGGTTAGAGCTAGCGAGTGCAGCCCCGTGAAGCTTTCTCACGTGTAAAGGACTTCTGGGAGCGTGAGTCTCGTCCAAGAAACCGCGATTTGCTCCGAATGAGGTCAAAAATAGTTCAACTTTTCTTTATCATGAAAAAACAGAAGTATCTATGCTGTGTGCAAGAAATGCAAGCCGTAATGTGGCGCGGGGGTGGTCGAAGCAGTCGTGCTTTCTGTAATCGTGGCTTCTAGTGGTTGCCCTTGCGTAGTTTTCGTGATGACCCAATTTGGGAATTTTGGGGCATCTCCTTCCTCACGACGCTTGCGCTCCGATATTTCTCTGATCGTCTCCTCTAGTGGCCTCAAATCTATCCTCACTTTTCTCTGGCGAACGCCTTCAGGCCCGCTTGAGCCTGCCAAGGGATTGTCACTGGAACTGCCGCCATCAGTCGTTGATGGGACATTCGTTTTCTCGCCATTTTTCTCCGTAGAAGTTGCTGCAACGCTTCCTGAGAGGGTTGAAGTAGAGGTCGTTGTACTAGATTTGTCGAACACATCCGACATTGACGGAAGCCCGATCATGCCAGCAGAAACACCACTACCACTCCCGAGCATGACATTCTTGCGAATGCATTCAGGCCAGCCCTTCTGCGCGCTCAACTGCCAGGTGCGGTCTTTGTTGGCCAGATTTGAGGCCGATGCTAGCGTCTGCCGCAGGTCCCAAGGTATTGGGTCAAAGTTGAATTTGTTCTGCACACTCAGCGAAGGCGTTCGGTGCTGCAAGGGAATCTTCACGAAGCCACCAGGAAACTTATCGCTCGGCTCTCCACCTCTTGCCGCGGCATCCTCAGGAGGCGCATTACTCGCAGTGGCCATGCTGACACTGGGGGAGTAGCGTTTCTTCGCTTCCTCGGTGTTTTGCCCACGGCACTGCTCAAGTTGTTCAATGCGGGGTAGTGCCCACCGCTTCAATCGATACGCATGGAGCACATCCTCGCACGTAAAAAATGAACAAATCGAGCTAAGCAACAAGCGGCTACTAGTTACAAGAATTGCTCTAGGTATTGCAGCGTAATCTACAGACAACATTCTAGGTATCTAAACCCATTTCAAAAGATATAAAGATAAACTGTGCTGCTACAACAACTATTGATTGTAGTAGTCTTTCATCGCGAACGATGAGAACAAGGAAAGGAAAATTACTTCTCATGTGTTCATAAATCACAGCACTCGGTAGCAGGGAGTGCGCCATAACAAGATCCACACGATGTCGAGTTTTCGCGTCTATGATGGATACCAGGATAGTCTGGGTCCATTACGTCATAGTTGGAAGAGGAAGGCTTGTATCCGGAGATAGATCCCAGGTCTGTGTATTCTCTGTTTCAAACACATCACCTGGAGCTTCTCCGGGATACATCTCTCATCGCCATAACCTCTATACCATCGTTCGGAAGGAAAACAAGTAAAGGGTTCGAGCAATGCTTTCGTGCAGTCCTGGTGACTAAACGGCTATGGCATGATTGAACACGTGTCTTTTACCAGGAAACGTCATCCACCTAAGCCTAACTATCGTGGGTTACGTTGTACTCATCATGATAAAAATTTTCACTGAAAGGGAAATTATAAAAACTTTACCTGTTGCTGCAGAGCAAGTCGTATTTTCTTAGCTACAGTTAGCTGAACGTTCTCCTTTCTGTTCCCTATGGGAAAGACAGAAAACTCCAGGTCTGAACTGAATGCAGTGTCGAATGTCATAAGGGAGCATCTGAAACTGGCTGCAGCGTTTTCGAGTTCAGACGGACCTTGAGAATGCCAGACTTCACGTCCACAGAACGCACCCCCATTACGTTTTGGTAGTCCAACGCAACGTCAAGGCATCTGACATCGACCACAGTGATATTAAATCGCACACGCATCTTGTTATCGTCCACACTCGCGCCCACATTATTTTCGACGACTTCTCCCAAGCTCCCTCCACTGCTCGTCCATTTTCGAATGAAAAAGGAAGGAGTGGTAACCGGTACGTCTCTACTTACTAGCAACCAAGATAGGCGAATGACATCAATCTAGAAGTACAACAACTAGTACTTGCGGAGAAGAAGGAGAATATCTCGGGACCTCGAAATATGCAATTATCTGATCAAGATGAGAGGCTAGTCGACGTGTTGTGATCATGCCTGCAGCCATATCGTTCCTCCAATCAGCAAGTTGCGTGGAACGACCAGACTGTCCGCGATCTGCTCCTTCATAATTGTGATCCACCACGAAGCGCTGCGTCGTTCTGGGAGTCAGAAATTCCATGACTTCAAATACCATACATAGCATCACCAAGAGCTGAGACGCCAGAAGCTGTATTGTATGCCGCATACTCTTAGCACGAGTCTTACTCGGTGACGGGAAATCCTCTGCAACTTCCTCTTTCAACCGAGGATAGAGGTCAAACGAGCACAACGCGCGAGCAATCGTCTTCATTATGCCTTATTGATCTATTGTGGCCTATCTCAAAAATCAGAAGAATGTCCTAGTTTTTCATACGGCATACTGAGCACAACTACAGCCAACATACTTCCTATTACCAACATGCCAGAAGTGATCTCCCAATCATATCATTCGCTTATGTTTTGATCATCAGGTCCAACACACATTCACAGGGATTTGGAACGAACACGCGACAGACACTACGACTACATTGCTCACAACGAAGTCGGACGACAGCGCAACTTTATGAAATTCAATTTCTCGAATGACTGCGTGTTCCACTGTGCTCTTGTACTTATTCGACTACCATCTGCTTTGTGTCTGAAGCACAATTGAACGCTGCTTCTCTTCAGCGTCCAGCTATACTTCATGCATATCGTCATCAACAAGGATACCAACTCTGCTATGGTGTCAGGCAACTCTTCAGGGAAGGTCTGGTATTGTATTCTTTGTCGATATATATAAATCGTAATAGATGTTGACTGGTAAATGTCAAAGTTCATGGCAAAAAAAAAGAACTGTGAAGAATGATGCTAGTCCAATATCAACGAATTCGATTCAATCACCGTCTGCGGTGTAAAAATGGAACAAAATCCCTAAATTTGAAACTAAATTCATTGCAAATGACTGTGTAAATTGTAAGCTCTCCGCTTCCTCACGTCTTGACGTGCACTCCTCTTTCCCTTAGATGCTCAGCTACACTGATGACCCTCCCGGGCCTCCTCCCGAGGCAACGTCGCCGGTCTCGTCGTGAGCTAGAAGCCACTCGCGCACAGTCGCAAGGAGTGAGTGCACTTTCGAGGTGTAGTCGGTCAGGGTATCCTTCGCGCTTTCGTTCTCTTCTGGCACCTCTTGGAGCATTGCGGCTATCTGGCTCGCCAGCTCTTCCAAACGAATCCGCTCAGAAATAAGAGTCTCCGCGCTTTGGCCCTCGTCCACCTTCAGAGCCAGATCTTGGTCCAACTCCCCTAAAATCGCCTCGACATCAGCCGGCTCCGCGTCTGCGATCTTTTGCGACCATGGATACTTCTGTTGGCTGGATTTAGACCTCACCAACCTACACCCAGCTTGATGACTGTCCTATTTTGCGTGATGAAAAAGCTCCCTTGCAAAAGCCCCCCCACGATAGATGCCTCTCAAAATGGATGAGGTCAAGCCTTAATGGATCGATCCTCGGAGCTGGCCTCTGCTTTATCTGCATCGGCAGCGTCTGAACTTCTGTTGGACGAGTTTTGTCTGCCGTCCTCATTACTTGTCTGAGGACCCAGCGCCTCAAGGTCGACGTAGCCAAAATACCACAAAGCGCAATAGATGCCCAACAGGACTGCCAGTACAAGGAGCACAATGCCCACGATAAACAAGATTAGAGCCCTCCTCGCTGAAACTAAGGGATCTCTAACATTAAGCGGCGCAGATACACTGATACAAGTAAAAACAAGACGGGAGATTGTTCGTGGTCCTATATAGATGAAACAGGTCAAGTTCGTTCCGCAGGTATCAGTTACAAGTTCATTATAGATACACCGATAACTTCACCTTACACTAGGGTGTGAACATAATTCCACCCGAACGTGCTATTCGAAAACGGAACAACCTTTTCCATGAAATCTTAGTGCGATTCTAAATTCAATTAACATCTGTATGAAAATTCCTGAAGTAGATATAGACTGAGCCTTAACAACATATTGCTCTCCTCCTCCTTCTCCGCCGCATCACTTTCCTGTCCCTGCTTTGCTGGGTCCTCTGCCGCAGCCGCGGGTTCGGAAGATCCGGGGGCTTCTCCATCCGCCGCTTGCGCCGCCGCGTTATCAAGTGCTTCAATTATTAGAGCAGCAAGAAGTACACCCGGAGAAAGTCTGTGTAATTTAATGCGCCATGATCTTTCCTTACTCTGTTCCTCCACAAGGGAAAAGCCTGTCGAGAGAACAAGAAAAGCAACAGAACAAAATGATCATCGAACTGACTTTCGTCTTATCTGTGAGTTTACAACTACCTAAATTTCTTGCCGCCAGACAAATATGAGCCCCCCGTATGTTGCAGAAAAATGGCTTTTGCAATATTTTTCAGTCATAACGACACATCATCGCTCGCTGCTGCTTCGGGAACGGCGTGCCCCTCCCAACCAGGCGAGTCGACCTCTTCTGGTACAACGTTGGGCATCGAAGTTCGTCCACCGACCATTAACGAAGAGCTGACATACTCAAGCTGATTTTCCTGGATGCCTGTTAGCGTTTTGCATTCACCCGGTTGAGACAGGGCCGGATCTGCTCTATGCAACTGCAGAAGCGAGTCTGCGAGGGCCTTAAGGCGTTGCCGTTCCCTTGCTATTTCATCACGATGTTGATCATCTTGCTTGTTGAGAGACTGCAGACCATGCTTTCCAATTTTGGTGTGGTCTTTTCTACGAGGTACGTTGTCAGTCTCTTGCAGGCTATCCCTATCCCTCGTGCTCTCGCCGTTTTCGAAATGAAAAAGCCGAATAAAACGACTGGTGAAATCTCGCAAATTACGCCCAACTTGCAGCAGAGATTCCGGTATATGCCGTTGAGCCGAGCGTGCAAAGCGTTGGAAAAAACGGTCCGCTTGTGAATTCCTGACCATGTGCACGACCCTGTGATCTTGTCTTCTCAACAAGCGACCCTTGCTCTTCAACAGCGCAGCGCCATCAATCTGATCCTCGTCGCTTTCATCTTCATCTTGTGCATGATGCGACCTTGTTGTGCCACTGCGCACTCCTTTCTTGTTAGTGGGAACGGAGGCGAGCTGCAGGAAGGAATCCACGTCGGCGGGTTCTTCACCACTACCGGTGTCTGGAGTTGAAGCTGCCTCGCTGTGTTCGTATGCCGCTGAACCCTCCGTTCTTCCTCCTCCTCCTTCATCTGTACTTGCTGTACTAGGAGGGCTTGCAGAACCGTCTAACTTGTTCTGTACAGGTTTCTCTGAAGGGCGATCTACAGAGACGAGGTCATCGGAGGAGTCGAGTGCCATCACATCCCATGTTGTCCTATCGCGTATACTCTCCCGAATTAGCTTGACTAGCTGTCCCGCACACTTCGGATGCTGACTCAGCTGTGCAATCGAACCCTCAGTGAAAATCCGCGAAAGCGAGACCTCGGGCACCGTGTGTGCGTTTTGATAGTCCTCGTCCTTCTTAGAGGTTCGCTAGATAGCCACATCGAAATACATCTAGTCAGACGATGCACCAGCCTTCGGAAAATAATCATCAAGTCAACAACATACTATAGCTTGTCTTGCTCTCCTAGCCCCACGGGAAACGCTCTGAGCAGAACTTTTCTCTAGATGCGATAGTTAGTACCAGGTGAGAGCGGAAATGGGATAGAAAAATCCATCATGTTTAATCAAAAAGCAAGAGTAGCACGCCAATGAATATCTCCCATCCGAATCATCATTCTCACCAAGACATAATTTTCAATCGTATTTTCCACATCAGTTGCGCCTGGTGACCAGCATTGGCAGAATTCGACCACATGTTAGTCTCCACGAGCTTCTCCGCGTAGCCTTGCAGTCGTGCACGCTGAGTCAGTGTCTTGTCCGTCGTCGCCAACCGCATTTGCTCCGCTCGCAAGGCATTGCTAGCTCGATCATCAAGTTGTGGATCGTACCAAACCCGCAAACCCGGTCGAAGCACAGACACCGCACTGTAACCCGGAGGAACCCGCGTTGCTACAACTGGTGGAGAACTCTGAGAACTCGGTGGAGCTTCGGATCCTGGAGGAGGCAGTGGATTAGCTCCAGCATGTGCACGGTTCTGCCCGTAGTCATAAGCCTGCGGCTCGCCGCGCCACTGCGGTCGCTGGAGCCCGGCACACATAACAGCATTTGCTACGACGTCAATCCGCTCTAGCTTTTCATGCTGTTGGCGATTCGAATCTTTCAGATTCTTGAACTGCTCGCCCAAGGTGGATGACACTCGCGCGCTCTCCTGTTTTAGCTCGCTGATTTCCTGTTTCCGGAGTTCCATCTCCTTTGCTTGGCCCTCAACTGTGTGCGTCAACTGCTCAATCAGTTGCCTCTTCTGGCTCCGGATACTAAAGTTCCGTAAGTCTTGCGTTTTTCTGGCGGAAAGGCAAGATGCATATACTAGTTTCAACTTCTGCGATTCATGAAGTCGTTGAACTTGAAGATGGCAATTTATTACCACCTCTGTTGAAGATTGATCTTTAGCGATTGAGCAACGTTTTCACAGCGAAACAAGTAGAAAACCTGAAACTAGATTGTAGGAAGTACCCTTCCCTTTCTGCTTTTGCCATCGCTGCCTCGACTTCCGCCAGCTGTCCTTTCTGTTCTGCCAGAAGCTTGCTCTTCTGCTCCAAATCGTTCCGTAGACTTGCAAAAGCGTCCTCCTTTGCTGTCAGGTATTTGACGAGCTTTGCGGGAGCTGCCCGTTCGAGAATGTCGGCCACGCGCGTCTCTACCGCCAGCGCGAAAGCGTCGTTGTAGCGCAACGCCTCTTGCTTCTCCCTTTCCTCACAGGAATCCGCTGCGTCCTGATATTGCGCGTCAAACATCTGAAGCCGAGCCTCTATCTTCTTACTGGCGGTACAATACAGCTCCTGCAGAAGTTCGCCGATGCCTTCGGCTTCTTCGGAGATATGATGGTGCCGCAAGCCCAGCAGCATGCAGTCGCGTCCAGCGGTTGCAGAGGCCTGGCGTCGTGACAAAGCCATGGCGGCACTCCCACTGATGCCACCCGTTACAATCCCGCTGGCACCGTCACGATCATACGCGATGCGGAATGCGGCTCCACCAGAGCGGTGCGTGAAGCGATTCGAAGGCAGACCGAACATACGCGAAATCAGATTCGTAGAAATAGGCTGATTTGCGTCTTTCAGTGCCTGCTCTCCGTACGACCCCTGGTAGAAGGTTCGCTCATAGACACTCTCGTATGCCGCAGCAGCAGCGGCCACAACAAGCAAATAACGACGATTGCAGGTCACCGGCTCACAGATGTTTTCCGGCAAGTTGTAGAAGTCAACGCAGTACTCAGCATGCGGCAAGAAAAAGCGGTTGCACAGGTTTTGAGTGACCAGCATGGTGTTCTTCTCGATCTGCGCGTTGGTTGGCGTGAAATGACTCCACACCCCGCCGCTCCACAATTCCTGAGGGTGTTCCAAGTAGTAAAAGAACAAGCGATCGCGGTCACCGCGCTTTGCAAAATGCAACAAGCGTTCCTTGAATGGTTCCACGTTGTTCGCTGTGCGCTTCGCGGCGGCCTGCAGCCCTGGCGGGAGAAGGTAGTTGTTGTGCACGTCGTTTGCCCCTATGGAGTTCAACCCTAAACCCTCCATGCTGCGCTTTAGAATGGCTTGGACGCGGTCTGCACCATACACGTTGACCAAATCCAGAAACTGCGTTTTCATTTCGCGAACCGTGGCCACGCGCGCGTAGAAGTTCCACGCGGTGCACTCCGTGGGTAACGTGCGACGATGTTCTCCCCAGAATCCGTCGAAGTCCAGGCCTTCTCGCTGTGCGCGGGCCAGTTCGCGCCAATCTACAACGCCGTTTTTGACTACCGGCAGTTCCGGTCGGACGAGACGATCCACTTGCGTCAGATCTAGCGGCGGCAGAAAGCTCGGAGACAATGCGTTGGCCTTCTCGCATTCCCCGAGCAATTGCCAGTGATTATACAAGCGGAAACGCTGGTAGAAGGACTCTTCGACCGCGGTGTACACGTCGAACACGTCCAGACCGTTGCCGACGTCTTGCTTCTGCTCCCACCCCGCCGGAAACTCCGCCTGCACGCTTCTCTGGGCATCACGAACGCGCGCATCGGCGTCTAGAAAAAAATCAAACTCACCTGCGTCATTACGACCTGAGTGTTCAGACAAAGAAGTTTGTGTCATAATGCAAACGATTGGAGGCCGAGAACGTGTCTTGTATCTGATTTATTATGTCTCTCGTTGTAACTAACTTCGTGTGTTGCTGAAGATCAAGATACATCCTAGGAATTCTTGACGAAGCAAAGACGAAAGATGCTTGAGAGTATGAACGAATATTGATACCATCGACACTGTTCGTGAGTCCCAATTCGATATCAAGATGTGCGGCGATCCGGCGGCACGCATCAACGTCACCATTTATAGCCACCCCTTCTGGCACGAATTCCTCAAAGTTGTCCTGGGCATACGAGAAATCGTCCACAAAGTCGTTATGTGCTGGAACCAACGGCATGCGCGTCTCAGCATTATGCGTTTTTGAGAAACTTACCACGGCTGACCGCGACCGCTGCCTCTGCTCGGTTGCGGCCTTGCTGCTGCTGGCGTCCAGTTGCAGCACACTCGCCAATTTCACTTCATGATCCGGGGTGAGCGTACTAGCAAGCGAGTCTTCGCGAGTATCGGTCTTCTCCGCTGTTCTAGAAGCGTCCCCGATCCGATTGGCATCTTGCCCCCTTTGTAAAAACGATGTCTCTTCACTCTGCAACGGGTCTGCCACACGTATTGCAATATCTCCCGCTTCACGAGTTGTGATGTCCCCACCAGTGGTTGTTTGCATAAAAGAGCGCCTGATCTTTTCACGCGTCTTCCTTTCGTGTTTCTTGCTTCCCACACCGCAAACGCGATCACAGACATTTGAGTTGCTGTCACTCAGCGAGCTTGCCTGCTTCACTTTGCTGGCCTCTTCCATCAGCTTCTCCAGGACCTCTCCCTCGCTGAGGTCATTGCAGACGATTCGATGCTTGCCGCCGCGTACATTCGCGTCTGAGGTTGGCTGCACAAACACGGCGCCGACAAAGGCGTCGACGACCTCAGGGTAAATGCGACGTTCGCAGTCCTCCACATCCGGAGGCGCGCACTTCGCTACCTTGTGACAGTATTCCCCGCTAAGCTCCTCCAAGTCCTTGGGCATCTGCCACCCATTGTGCATCACCGCCTCGGACAGAATTTTGCTTTCTGCCGCGCCAACCGCACGACCATTCTGGATGCTGTGCTCGTACCGGTGGCGCAACCACGAATCTGCGGAGACAGGACTCGCTACCTGCAGGAGGTCCAGGTCATGTCCCTTCTTGTACAGGAATTTGATGGTCTCGAGGTAAAGCTGTTCGGCGGCGCTGACAGCCTTGCTACCTCCTCCAGTTGCTTCGTAGTTCCCTCTCGCACCACTGCAAAACGAAAAGTAGTTTACCGACGCTGGCTTGTAGATCGGTCGCTGCAGTAACGAGGAGGCGGGTAGATCATCAGTCGCTATTTGCGTCTCTTCTCCTCCAAGACTTGAATCCGGATCACTTCCCCTGCCATAGTTCATCGGCTGGCTACGAGTCGCAGAGCCCCCGTTGCCCGTTTTTCGCACCTCTAGCTGCCGCAAAAACTCTCCTTCCACCGTTGCCGAAAAAGAGCCCGACAACTTGTGCCGTCGCGAAGCCAGCTTTTCCCTATCTTCAATATCAGAAGCGTCAACACCACCTTCCTGTCCGCGAACCTGGAGGAGACTTGCGTCCGGAAGTGCATTTCGTTCAGCTTCTTCGTCCTCTGGTTCTGTTGCGGAACCAAGAAGTTCGCCACTCGATGAGAATCTCCTACGCTCTGCAACATCCTCCTGACCCTCCCCGGACATGCTTCTAGTACGTCTGGTGGCCTCCACGTGATCGCGCAGCAGCTCCAGACGGGACTCGTAAAAAGATTTTCCCTTCAACTGCAAAAGCTCGAGCATCGACACTCTGTGCGGCACTGGGCACACTGTGTTGTGGCGATGCAGCAGCAGCTCAGGTACAACACTCTCAGCGCTAAGACTTTGTGCCCCAGCCACTAGATTGCAGTCCGCCTCTGGCCACACTGATGACGACGATCCACGTCTCGCTTCGCGTCCTTCGATCTTGCTCCCTAGACTGCGTGTTCCACTGCTCTGCAACAACGACGATTCAACTTCGGATAAGTCCAATGCCCTAGTACGATTGCCGTCCATCATACGTAGCCGCGCTGCCAAATCCTGCAGGTCGACCGCACTGCTTTCGGCGTTGATAAGCACCAGATCTGCATCCAACCCCATGATTGCGCTATCGTCGCTCTGCGCGAAACTAGTGGGACTTCCAGTTTCCAACCCCGCTCCTTTTGCGTCAGAAGATTGTCTTGAATAAGCGGAAGAAACAATATCTGACGGCTCTTCTTTCCCGGTGTCGTACTGTTTCTTCACACTTTTTTCGTCTTCAAGTAGGGCACTGCCAGCGACGTCCTCGACCGATTCGTCGCTATTCTTCTTCGTCTTCGCGCGACTCTGCTGCCACAACACAACTTTACGTAGATAAGCATCGCTCTCGCGTTCTGTGTCCCCACCAAGACGCGGCGCGAACATCGCGTCGCCATTGAGAAAACGGGAGTATTTGGCAAACGGAGAGTCGACAAATTCCTGCAGTGAGTCAGAGAACCTCGTATTCGCAAGCACAGCGTCAGCCACATCCCACAGATCGTAGACTCCCGTTTCGTCGAGCCTCACCGACGAGGACGATAGTGACTGAACAGGGGCCGGAGCCTTGTCCCCCTTGACATTTGCTCCGCGAAAAGTGTTCGCCTCGTCTTCCAAGCTAGCGCCGAAGGCAATAGCAAGCCAACTCAGCATAAACATGACACGGTCCTTCTTCCCACGCACTTTCATCTCGACGGTATCAACTTGACCGTTTTGAGGTGAAGATGGTATTCTTGTTTTAGCTTTTTTGAAAATGAAGTTCACGTCCTGATTGTAAAAAGCTCAAAAATCGTTAATTTCTAATCAAGGATGAGAAATGACAGATTATATTTATCTGCAGACAAACAGTTCATTCTTCGATCAAGATAAGAGAGCAGTAAATCTATGACAAAACTTATAGCAACGTGTTCTTCAGCTATCTTCAGACACGAATCATGCACACCATGCACATCACCCTATGAAGCTTTTGAGATTGAGAGGGCAAGGCTTTTTTCGTAAGTGCTATCTCAGAGATATCTACGGTTCACCGGAAGGCACCCCCAGAAAGTGGCACAGAGGCTAAACCACATCTTCGCACTTCATCTAGAAAAATCCTGCTATAGCGAGTGAATTTGCGCACGAATACCGAGTCTCCGGTCATCCGAGCGAGCGCCTTGACCAAATACTAAGCTGATTTTGTGCTTCAACCTAGTCCATCAGTGGCAATAATATCAATGACCTTATTCAACACCGACAATCGACGCGAAATCGATGGCAAGGTGATCAAACACAAGCGAAGATGTTGTTGGATTCATGAATCATAACAGCAACCACCGACTTCCGAGCACTGCCGAAGTCTGCTTATTACACGTCCACAGACATGCTACTTCTTGACAGACGATGTACCGATAGTAAGAGCGTCAAAAATTCTCCACATTTGTCACCTAACCTGGGCGCAAACTCTTCAGATTCCGCGCGCGGCTTTTGATCGAATGGTCTTTCCTTAGTGATGTCTTTACTGATTGATAGACAAGTAACTTCTCGTTTCATGCTCCGACGCTTCTTGGAAGCCAATTCAAGAACATAAAAATGTAGTTCTGCAGAAAAGCTCGAAACTTGTCTGTGTACAACTACTCAGTCTGTTCTTATTATACCTCCCTCTTTACTCAGAAAACAAAGTCTTCTTCTGCCTTCGCGACAACAGGTGGTTTTCTTCCGGGCCTCTCTCGTTTACCTCAGTGGACTTGGTTTCCCCCCCGCGCCGCTCTCAGCTTCGCTACTTTGGCATTGAAATCATTGACGTCGGCTTGTGTCCCTGCTGCCGTCGCCGCGAGCTCTTTCGCGAGTGCCTGCAGCAAAGCGCGCTGAGCGAAAATCTCACATGTCAGCTTCGCCATCGCGGCAGTAAGCTGCTCGCGCGCTTTCGTTTGCACCTGTTCAGACATCGGCTTGTGGTGGTCCCCGGTGACAATGGCTTTGCGCCGACGCTCCTCAGCCTCCAGCAATTTCTTCTGCGTGCGGCCGTGCAGCAGGCGCACTACATCTCTTTCCGGCAGATCCCGAAGGCGGCCAAAAAACGCATTTCTCCGAGTCTGCGACTTTTGCCCAAATCCTAGAGATAAACCGCCATCTGCATACACCGCTTCAAGTTCAGGATTGGTGGCGACTTCGGCGCGCACACAAAGATCCAGCAGTGCAAGCTCTTGGTCGAATGTCGGAGCTTTTGTACTTTTGTTTTTCAAACTCGTCTGCGCATGCGGTGGACTATAATCAGTACCAGAACTACTCTTCATGTGCATGCCGTGTTGCGGACTAGTGCCGCCCCCGCCCACGCTGTTTCCACTTAGGTGTGTCTTCATATGCCCAGTTTTGTTTGCGTGATGAAAGGCCGGCGCATGTTGTCTACTGCCTCCTCTTTCTTGTGGAAGGTGATGTTTTTGCGTCGCGGCCTTCCTCGTTCCCGTTCCTGCGGCGGGTCCGAAATCCACCAGCAATCCTCCCTCAATGAGATTCTCCGTACTCGCGCTTGGCAGGGACAGTCGACCCAGCAAACGGTCCAAATACTTTGCATCGCCGGAAGGCGTTTCGAAAGCGTGGACCTCGTGGCGCGCTTTCGACCTCTCAATGCCAGCGTCCTTCCCGTCTTCGGGAAAAACTCTCTCGATCCACTTCAGGTAAAACTCCAAATCTTCCTGCTCAATCTCCGCGATCGACTGTGATTCTCTACCGTCGTTCTGGACAACTCTTGAATAGAAATTCGTTTGCACTATCGGAGTCGTGTTCACTGGCGTTCTAGCCATTTTTCTACCCGAGGTAGATCCCAACCCCCTGTCGCCTCGTCCCGCCTCGGCCCAGTGCCAGATGCGAATGATTGCATCAGCCCACAATTGCTCTGGTGACTGCACATGATCGTGCCCTGCCTCGCTTTTGCGACATCCAACATCTTGTAGGATATCAGTCAGCAGCTTCCGCCACCCCCGCAGTCTCTCTAGCTGCGCTTCGTATCCCGCAACAGTTGCATCGAAGCCGCCACGTGACTGACCAGAGGAATCCCCACGCTGCGGCCTATCCTTATCTAATTCCGGTACCAAGTCGTTGTCTCCACGTATGGCTGCTGCGCCCATCTCGAAAGCTTCCATCTGATGCCGCGCAACCTCTTCTGGGGCTCTGTGCCTTGGATCCAAACCGACAAACTTTTCCTCGAGAAAGCGTTCCCAAGCAGCTTCGCTGAACTTCCGCTCCTCCTTGTCAGGATACCAGATTAGAAGAAGAAATGATAATTATATTAAGATTTGTTCTATATTAACGGATCAGGATTTCTTACATCCAGGGAAGCCAACAGAAAATCGAATTCGTAACCGACACTACTTTCCTATCCGATAACACGAATGTCCCTTCAATGTATTAAAAAGAAGCAGAGATATAAATGTATTAAAAAGAAGCAGAGATATAGAAGAATGAACAAATAAGAATAACCCAATTGCAAGATACTGCAAAAGTGGTCCCTTCTCTCTAGAATGACGTTATTTGTTTCCAGCAGAGGAATGAAAAATATGGTCTTAAGAGACGGGTCTCCCACGGAATGGCACTTATTTTCTGAGCCTCAGAGGTAGTGTAACAAGCGCTTGCACCTGAGTGAACATCGGCATCATTTTTCTCCTGCCAGTGTGGTCGATCTGCGCTCGCACCTTCCGATGTGCCGTCCTTGTTTGATTGTCTTTTGCTGATAGGTCCCAGACGCTGCACGGGATGAAACTTGTCTTTTCTCGTGATGTAGGCCTTCTGCATATCTCTTGAGAGCACCGTTATCAGACCTCCCTCACCAGTTTTGCCCGATGCAATCGCAGTGCTTGCCGAATTCGTCTCCTGCGACTTAGTGTTCTCCGGACTTGACGATGAGCCGAAAACGAATCGCCCGCCCTTCAGGAACGCACCCAAGGGCAACTCCGGAATCTCCGTCTGGTCGACCACGTGGAATCGCACAGGCAATTGAGCGGATTCTGGTTCACGCAAAACATCGACATGCTCTGTTTCCCGCGGCTCGCGCACAGCGGCATCCACGAACCTGTGGGTCACATGCTGGTGCGAGCGGCGAGACTGACGCCCAGCTGCTGCAATCGTGTGGCGAGGTGGACTGGCATCCTTCTTCTTCACAGCATCCTCATGGTGAGCATCGGAGTCGCTCGGGTCCGTTTGCAAAATTGAAGACAAGACAGGCTCTTCTTCCGCAGCGCAATACGTGGGGGGCGAAGGTGATTCCGATGTGTTGCCTCTAAAAGAGCGATACCGCAGAAGCTCCTGAATTGAGCGCCGGTTCTTGGGTGGGGAAACGTGGACGCTTCCGATTGGCACTGAGCCCTCCCCTGCCGCCAAAGCGCTCTCCTTGCTGCTGCCTCTATCACTGTCATCCTTTTTTCCATCCGCAGGCGTGGGGTCCGCGCAGTAGAGAAACTCTTGTTCGCGGTATGCAATTGTATGGTATCCCTCATGCGTCGGAAGATGCTGGTTATCATGTGCAACGTGGGGATGCCCGCCATGCTCAAGGTGATGTTCGCCAAGCTCACGATTATGTTTGCCATGTGCAACGTGGGGATGCCCGCCATGCTCAAGGTGATGTTCGCCAAGCTCACGATTATGTTTGCCATGCGCGACGTGAGGATGCCCGCCATGCTCAAAGTGATGTTTGGCATGAGCCACATGGTGCCCGTCATCCGCGACGTGATCTTTGCCATGCGCAACGTTATGTTCGCCAGGATAAGTGGCAATCGTTGGAACGAGCAAGGTACCACTAGGGAGCCTCCAGACAGTGCTCTGTCCTTCATGGTTGGTCGTGGATAGCTCTGCAGAAAGAGCATGTAGTGCATCACTTTGAAGACGAGAGCTACTTTTTAGGAAGTGATAGAGGCGCGCCAAGAACGTCGGTTCGGATTTGTCGATGTATTTCATGCTATCTTCGAAAAATCTGTGCAGACGGTGGATCTTTTCCTTATCCGCCTCGCAGATCCAGGCATTTTCCTCATTCCGCATCATATGCTTTTTCAGTCTCACAAGAACCTGCAGCACTGCAGCCAATAAGACCGAAAGCGACCCGTCCTTGCTCACGGCTGCTACAAGTGCTGAGGGAGCCTCTTGCTTCGCCACCCCTTCGTCCTTCTTCTCTGTATCAGCATCAGTCGCAGGTGGCCGATCTAAAAACTCCTTCAGATTTTCATAGGCATAACCGACACCAGATTTGTCTCCTACGGGAAGAAAGCCCGCCTCTGCGGCACGCGCAACGAGCTTCGAAAGAGCTGGTATATCGCCTTCGGTGACTTTGACTGGAGTCAAGTGGGTCTCACGCCTTGGATTCTTTCCGGACGAATGCACTGAAGATACACTATGCTGTCCGTGCGACCGTGATACCCTTTTTCCATGACTCCCTTCCTGTCCATGCTCCGCGAGTGGACTGTGATGCAGTACGTTCCGCTTCTGCCCTTGCTTACGACTCGTGTGCGTAGGAGTCTGGGTGTGCTCGACCGCTTTGCTGACATCACTTCTAGAAGTCAAGGCAGTGCCCCTTTGTGTCAAAAAAGCCTTGCCACGCGGGTGCACGGCTGAAGACCCGTGTGCCGTTGAATGCAAAACGTGATTACGGTGCAGCTGGTTACGGCTCTTTCTAGGCTTCTTCGACAACGAGCTGGGTGCTGCTTCGCATTCGCCTACCATCCGCCATTCAGCCGTGGGGCTTACATGGAAAGAGGAGTACTCGCTTATTGGGCTCTCCATCTTGAATGGTTTCGCCGGCACTATCAACAGTTAATGAACTATATGACGATGTAGGTGAGAACGAAAGTACGACTCCAGTTTAAGTAACAGTAACTAAACTTGGATAGTTGAGAATAGTACAAGGCGTTTCTTGCAGGTCCGCGATGGGTAACCGAATTTGGGACCGAAGCATGCCTTGCTCGAGCTCTATCAACAACTCGCTTTTCGAAGACCGATGATCATTTCGTCCACGACTTTATGGACCAACAGAAAATTACACACGGCCTAAAAACCCGAATTTAACTCCACCGAAGGGCAAAGAGGCCCAGTTTCTATAATTGTGACGCGAGCGCGTAGGCGTCCATCAAAGTTTTATTGTGACACTCCACCAATGTCCAAATCGTGACAAGTACCGCTTCGAGAAAAAGTAGCCCCCCGAGGCCGATTGCGGTATGGACGAACGGGATCCACTCGACTCTACTTGTCCAACAATTCCAGATACTTTCCGGTACCACAGAATGTCCGACTCCGAGATTTTCCTATGCGATGTCAATATTCTCAAGCGGAAAAAATATGAAGCGTCCGACGATATATAACTCTGTTCTAACATTGCAATGCCAACGAGAGAGAATTTCCACAGTTCAAGTTCACGACCAGATAAAGATATACTACCGAGGAAACCAAAAAAGTTTATTCCGGCCAGTGAAGGGTGTATGCGGAGTTGTCTTCTAGTGCTGGCCCTCTCAAACCGGCTTTCCACCTGCGCGCACGTGTCACCTCGTGAATAAGGCCTGCCCGTTTTTCCAAATTCATAGACTGGTCCATGAGAAGAGACCAGTCAAAAACATCTTTTTCCGGTCGCACAACCCACTTTTGCTTCGGATGACAGAAGAAACCGTCACCATAGAGAGCCACGACACTCAAGTCTCGGTAGCACTCAGCCAAAGATCGTCGCAACCAACTGGGTCGAGAGGCCTGAGAAGTATCCTCTTGATCTCCACTAGTGCTGCTCACATGGTGCATTTTTTTCGGGTCTGCCGACAGCTTTTCCTGCACTGCAGTGCCAAATTGGCAATATAGCAGGGGATGCAGATACACTCGGCCGTTCCCAGTTCGCGCGTCGTAGAAGGGGAAGCCGTAGGGAACGTCTTTTGCTGGCTTTTGTCCTCTCTTGAGCTCCATGCCACTGAGCGGTCTTATCTTCGCGAACAGCGTTTCCTTGTTAGCGGTGGCCTTTCATTCTTCTGACTCGAGGGGTTCCCCGCAAGTGCTATTGACCTCCTAAGAGGAGCCCCGCCAGAGAGCTTCACGCCGAATGATGAAAAACCAGTCTTAACCTTGTCTGTGCGTGCAGAAAGCACGCTATCGGCCAGTGTTGCTGGTGCGACCGAGAGGGAGGTCTCAGGTGCCTCGTCCGCCGGCTGACCCATACTTAGCTCCGCACGCGATCTCTCCGGCGCAGAAACTTCCTCCTGGTCCTCTGGTACAACTACTTGTTGCGCGGCATCTGCCCTTGCCTGCAGGGACGCCTCTGTGTGGAAGTTCGCCTCTTCCTCCGCTTCTGACCCGCTGCCACCTGCAGAGGATGAGGAACTTTCGAGATTCCTCTCTGCATCCTCGTACCTGCTTTGCTTCGCTTTGGCAGCACTCTTAGCTGCCACCTTGGCCCACATCGCATTCTCCACCTCGTCTGTCAGGAAAGCCGTAGAGGCGCTCGCATCCACTGGCATGCCATAGACGTCCTCACTGCGGCCCACATGCAGCCAGTCGTCTCGGACGAGCACGGCGTCTTCCAACAAGACTTCCGTCAGCGTGTAGCCATGTACGCGACCGATATTCACAAATGCCTGCACCGAACACCCCGGCATGTGGTTCGGGGCCGGAGAGTAGGGCGGGCGGTACTTCTCCCGGTAGTCAAACGGTGGCGGGATGTCCGCGACAATCTCGAAAAAAATGACCAAGGGTCGGACCACTTCCAGGGCGGCGTCTAAATATCTGCAATCCGCGTTGTCAATGTCCATTTTGACCAAGGCTGGATCAACATCGCTAGGCTCAGGAGAGTACGCGGTGACAGGCGCATAATCAAAATTTCCAGAGGCCTTCTGCGGCACCGTTTTGACCCGAACCCCTCCTATCACTGGCATTTCTGCCTGTCCTTTTCCCACGCTAATTGTAAACTGTCCACTTCCTGCTCCCCGCGGTTCTGAAATGGTTGCTCCGAGTGCATCCAGCTGCCGCACGTTGTTCTTTTGGAGCGTCTTGTTTCTGCGTCGTTCGTGTTCCCGTTCCACCTGTAGACGCATCTCAGCCTGCACGTCTTCTAAAGGCAAGGCGCGACTATACTGGAAAATGTCTGTCCGATTCCCGAAAGTGGTATTTAGATCGACTAACCTGCGGTCGTCCCCTTCGATGACAATACCAGAGCGGCCTTGCCGCAATAAGCAATTTGCTGGGTCGTGGTTCCAATCCCCGTTTAAACCACACGCACCGTCAGCTGCTCCAAAATTGATGGCCCACCCGTCTGGATGCAGCCGCACGATGTATTGCCATTTGATCAACGGCGCGCGATACCCCGGAATCACTTGCTCAAAACGCCCAGGCTTGCAGATTTTCTGCGGCGACCACAAGGTGGGGTAGCGGATATGCGAAAAGCGTTGCGCGTCGTAGGGCACGTCCCAGTAGAAGCGGGAATCAGTGAAAAAACTCTCAAAGTCGAAACGCGTGTTGTCATTGCCTAGTGGCTTCACAAGCCCAGAGTCTGGGCTACTCAAGGAGCCATCCCCTTGCGTCACCTTGCGAACGATGGAATCCAGCAACAAGCTTGGCACTTTCGTTAGAGTAAATCATCTTCATTTTCAATGAATGAAGCCCAGAAGTAGACATAGATTTCATGTAAAAGAATGCTGTTGCCTCTGTACAAGAACAAAAACACAATCAATAGATGCCATCCAGCAGGGTTAAGTTAGAAAATGAACATGCTGCCAGACCAAGTAAAACTTAGACCAACACAAAATATTTCTGCTCGACTTAACTTCAGAAGCATGTCCGAAAAGCTGCGCTGTAGAAACAGCTCGCGGCAGTAGTCTATCGTACCGTCCGCCAGCGGCGCCAAGACTCCGTCTAGGTGCTTATGCAGTACGACAAACGCATTGCTGGCCATCGTGCATGCTTCGTTGCGCATGAAAGTGTGGTAATCATGCGCCGCATAACCCGCAAAAGGGTCGGACCGATTGAAAACCTCCAAGCTGCTACTTCCGGCACAATACTCGAAGCGCATGCTGCACACCATCAGGCGAACCGCCTCCGCGAGCACTGCCAAGGCGCGGAACGCGTAGAAAAAGCTGTCGTCCACCTGCACTCGCTCACGAATCGCGAATTGGTATAGAATGAACATCACTCGGACAAAGCCGTTCATGCCTGTGTTCTCGATGTAGCGCGGCTGGTCTTCCGGCCGCTCGTACACAGCATAGGTCGTGTTGCAAGCAAGCATTGGGCAGTACATTGGAAAATAATCGAGACCCATCCCCGAATACGGGTTGGGGTTGACGACGCCCAGGCCCATTTTGTTACTTATGACCTCCGTTCTGCAGTATTTAATGGACGACACCCAGACGCATCGTTAATGCCGTCGTCTTCCAGTCGTATGTGCTTCAATTGTTCGCAAAGCCAAGACCCATCTTCATCTTTCCGTTGCTTTACACCACCTAGAGGCAAGCAACTAAGTGTTCAGATGTCAACGTCAAGAATCGGTACGCCAGCAACAACAAGAAACGGCAGACTCGTCGTCTCTAATTTCTAGCACACACATAGACATACATAGAATAGCATGCCATCATGACATCGAGTTGGTCACTATCCGTCTACCAAAACAACAATGCGTATGCGTCTTAACCAGAACGAAACAATATCCTACAGGCGCACCGGGTAAAGAAATAGTGATCTCTCTGTTGAAGCTCGCGGAGACAAAACTTGATGTCGCTCAGGTTGACAGAACAAAGAAGAACTTCATTGACAAAATCGTTTGCAATGCTCGGCTACGGACATGCCCCATTGGCGTCCGATGAGGCATCCGATGAGACACACACTTCGAAAGAGTCGCATCTCTTTCTTTACATCCCACTGACATTCATTCATTCATTCATTCACGCTGCCACCAGTCTATTTTTTTTTGGGACCTGGGTCTATATTCCTCGCAATAAGAACACTTAATTATCCTGCGAGAATCCTGAAGCACAACGGCCAAGCACCTAAAAATACTAGACGATGAAGTCTATCTAGCAGCAACAGTCTTTCCTGCAAAGGGATACGTAAATCCGTCGACTTTGCCTACAAAGGGCCCTGAACAGGGAAAAGAACGCTAATTTTCACAAACAGTTTCGGGCTTCACTCAAGTAAAGCATCTCGACAGCGCTATCAAATAAGAAGTAGTCACATGTCATCACATTCAAAAAGTCAGAATCTCGAAATCCCAAAAACACCTTCCACAACCATGCAGCTTGTGGAAATCTCTCCAAACCTTGAGATACTGAAAGAATTACTAAATCATACTCGGAATGCTACGTCTATCACTACATGGGAATCTATAAATATATGTCCTACTGTAGAAGTCTTCATGACGGCACTGCCAAGGCTGGTCTAAGAAAACAGTTGACTTGTCCTCGTGTCAGTGCTTCTTCCGCCAGAAAGCAGGCCCGTGAATCTTCTCTAACTGTGAAATACAATATCGCGCAATCATCTCAAACGCGATTTATCATTCATGGGATCGCTACTGGTGTGAAATGCCTATTCTATGTTTTCCCACCTTAAATTATTCCTATCTTTTTAGGTATCTTCTTCTCGCCACCTGAAAACGTACTTTTTACCCGCAAAGCTCAATGTATACTGTCTTACAGAAGCAAAGTATAAAAAATCATCCTACAGACCAATTCTTATCTTGTGTACTGCGCAATGAGCCTTCTTTCTGCTGTTTTGTAGTACATTTCCTCAAACAATGTTCTGATTTTGATCTTGAGAAAACTTTGGCTCCCCTTCGACCACCACCAGATGTTTCTGCTATTTCTAATAACGCATGCTTCCGTTCATCCGACGATGTCAGCCCCGCAGAGCCTCCCCCGGGGCGGGCGCCACGAAATTTCTTTCGGCGACCAAAAAACCGGTTTGTCTTGGCGTTTCGTGTGTGCTTTGTGGATGGAGGTGGGTGCCCCGCGAAGGAGCCTCTCGACATATCAAAGGGACTTTTTTGGTTCAGAAAGTCGTCGGTATCATACGGCCAGAGTTCCGAGTCAGGGAAGCCTACATACGGAACTTGGCCATCCATCAAGTAATCGTCGTCGTCACTGTTCAGTAGTTGTGAGTCCGCGCTATAGTTTCGGTTACGGGACATGCCCCGCTCCAGCGCACGCTCAAACCGATCTTGAGAGAAGACATCTCTAATATATTCTTCCGCGTGTCCCCCTGCGCGCACCATGGTCTTGGGTGATGCCAATTTGGAGGAGAATAATGCAGCCGAAAGTCATCGACGTGGAGGTACCAGTATATGGTCCTTCGCACTTTCTGGCATACGAAGTGCTTTCGATAGTGCGAATCAAATGTTTTTGTCAGCAATTCCGAGGGTAGCCAACGCGCGAAACGATACACACACTCGGCTTCGCCCTGAAGAGCACTCGCAACCGACTCCTCGTCTGCAGCGTCGTCTTGTTCCTCGGGTAGCACCTGTTCCGCTTCGTGCCCCTCTCTTCGGCTATTTGCGCCACCACTACCGGCGCGGTCTGTACTTGAAAACGCTTTGTTCTCGACCGACCCCCTGCTCCAAAGGATCTTTGGACAAGACTTTCTTGAAAGTTTAACGAAGTGATCTGCTGCGTCCGTGCCTGCATCGTGAGCTCGCAACCGAGTCCATTGCGTCGCCAACCTGCGCTTCACGTGAGTGATTCGTGCCTTTGGGCTATGTCTCTTCATTGGGCAATCTGAGCGCGTAGGCTGGGCGTATCGAATGCGATGAAAAAACACTGGTACAGCGAGAAAGTTGTTGTCTTCGAGATGCTGCTGTCCGTCCTCTGACATCTCATTTTCCGGTGTGCTCGGGCTCTGGAGAGAGAAAAGATTTCCAAAACGCGGAGAGGCATTGACATTGGGTACGTTGAGACGGGATTCGCAGTATTCACGTGTCCATCGCAATCTCCAATACCCATGCTGCTCGTACGACGGCATGTCGATCAATGGGCTCCAGGGAAATGAACGTGATTCGAAGCGATTCCAAATACAGTCGCGGCACTTTTTGCACGAGTTCAAGTGTGCATCCTGTGTCATAAATCGCCAGTCTGACTTCGATACCGTGTAGACGTCGTACGCGCAGCAGTCGCATCCAGCTCCGTTATCTACAGCAGTCACGCCCAGCTCCGTTATCTAACCACTCTTGGTCGTGCATCCTCAGAAAGTTTTCCATACGCAGCTGCGGAGTCACGTACTGATAGGCGGCGGATGACGGGAAACGCCGCGACGTGGACTTCAGCACAACCTCCTCCCAGAGTTCCACTGCTCGGAAGCAGCAGCACCGCTTGCCGGAATGTAGCGATCCCCGACAAAAAGATTGGTGACGGGCCCTTGCGGGTCCGGGTATTGACAGGTCCGATGGTTGGCAATGCTTTTGCTCATGCTACGCTGTCCACTGCCCGGCGGATAGGCAAACAACTGGTGCTCGGGTGGCGCCGAGGGGAATTCAAACCGCTCTTTCAAGTTCCGCATGTCTGCCCTGGACAGAAGACGGCTCACGCGCTTTGCTTTGGCATTCCGAAGAGCGTGAAACTTCATTTCAACCTCATTTTCCTCCGATGGTGCAAGGTTTAACGCACAAGTGTACGCATCCCACTCCCCATTCACAGACCGCCACTCTAGGGTCTGCAGGTGTCTCTCCCCTGGTGTCATATCCCACTTTTTCTTCCGCAGCCGCGCTACGTTGGTCCATGTCGCACTGGAGTCTTCATCCTTTGTTTGCGCTAGCTGTCTTCATGCCTTAGGTAGAGAAGACTTTAGTCGCGTTTCCTCCACAACAGCCGTCGGGACGACTGGTCGCTCCTTCACCAAATTGAATGCAAGTGGGCACAACCCGCTCTTGGTTGGGCATCTAAATTTCTCAAAGGAGTCGTCGAAACAGTCCATGTCATAGTAGTTCGTTGCAGTTGCAGCGGCATTGGTGAAAGAAACCAAAGAGACCTTCAATTTCTTCAGATGTGTTAACGGCTAGCAGACGAGGTGTGCAGGCTTCTTTTACATTGTCTTGTTTGGTTGCGGAAACACCGAGCAGCGGATCCGCAGAATCGAATTTCGCACAACCGATGAGCGACTTCTCATGTACCTCCTGCGTACTTTTGGCGTAATTTGCGCCGTCATCATCCTCGACTTTGTCATGCGCCGTTGCAGTTGATGCATGATGTTCAGCATAACCTGTAGAGGTTTCCGTTTCGGTTCATACAGGAGAAGGCAAAGAAAATTTTTCTTCTTCTGCGTCGATATGTGTTTTCTGTAGTGGCAATGAATGCAGCTACTCCTGACGTAGCTTGAAATTTCGTTTGTGGAGCCACATTTTACAGTCTCTCCAGTGTTTCCCTTTTCCTCGTTGTCTTCAACTTCTGGCCCGCAGTTCTCCGTATCTCCAACTTCGCGATTCTCTTTGTTCATGCGATAGCTGAAGATTTCCCGCGCGTACTCTGTCAGTCTGACATCGTCGTGATCTGCGTGGATCTCCCATTCGTCATAGTCAGGGCAAAACCCCTCTTCTTCTATGGGTTCGCAAAAAAAGTCGTCATCAGCGTGGTCACTGCCGTCCCTGTGACGATCGTTCGCATCATCATGCTGTGCCTTTGCTGCCACATCATCTTCTACTTCCCGAATGTGACAGACGCCATAGAGCTGAAATGTATACGCGGGCTTGTGCAAAATGTTCTTCGCGACGAAGGCACGCACGTCTCCCAAAGTTGCGGTGCCGACATCTGCAACAGAATACCAGATCTCTTTGCCGTCAAAACCCGAAAAAATGAGTACACGTCCAGGTCCAGCCTCTAACATGGTTCGCGCTCCCGTGGGAGGTGCCACAGGGGAGGACGACATGTCCTCGAAAGAACGGCCTTCAGCCATCGTACCTCCTGGTCTATCAACAAATACGTCTGTTTGAGAACAAACTCTAGTCGCCTTCAAGAGAAACATAAATCTTCAGAAAAGCTCCGACTCGTCGTTCCCTGATAGCAGCAAAGAGCTTCTCAGCCGAAGTTGTTAATGTACCAAGCTAGCCCTCAATCAAAGTTACAAATGGTGAATACAAAACTTCAAAGCGACTTACTCAAAACGAAATTTAGACCCAAAAGCATGCCTGAAATCAAAATTTCTAAGCATGATGAAGTCCCGTGGAAATGCTCATCTGATTGGAACATGATGAAAGCTCGCTTCATCACGACAATGACAGCACATACTTCAACGTCAATCGAGTAAAGTCGATCGTCGGTACTGTATAGTTGATGTGGTGGATAGAACAAGGTTTTGGATCCGTCTGTCTCCTCCAATCACGGAGGTCTACTACGCTGCTGCAATGGCCCGATCTTTGACTTTGAACAATGTGATCTACTTTCGCCCAAGTAAGATCCATTTAAGTCCTATGCTTTCGCAGGCGTCGAACAGAAACTGAAACCCACCGACCTAGAAGGCGTCGATCGTACGCAATGTTCTTTTCTCTTTATACATAAGTCTGTCCTTGCAACTAAGTGGAATACTAGACCTGAAATGATTTTGCTGACATCAATGACATAGATATTTCATCTTACAACGAACATAAAGCAGATCTGTGGAAGGAAGAGCACCTCTGTGGCCCATCGCGATGAGCTCGCCAGTACCATAATTCTTATCCGCACTTCCCAAATACAAGGAAAGCTCAAGTTGGCAATTCTACTCGGATCATGATAACCGGAAAACAAGACAACTAGCATGATTTCTTAAACTAGGTGATTGTAAACAACTGGAAAAAACCTCGTAACAAACTGTCGTGTATGCGTCAATTCGACGATATGGACATGACTTCTTGGGGTAAATTTTGAAAAAATAGGGGGGAAAGCGTGTGGTAGATAAAACAAAAAGTCAACGGAGCACCAGAAATTATCATCTGCGAACAAGAAATGAACCAGATCTGACTGTTTCAGCAGTACGTAATCATGAACAGAAGCGGAATAATTGATTTGCTATGGTAGAATCCTGCGAGAAGAACTTTTCTACAACTGGTAAACATCATGAGTAGTTGCGTTCCTATGCCACGGTAGCTTTCAACTCAGACAAACGCAAATCTATACAGTTCAAGCCATGCAGTAGACTTTTAGTATCGCGAGCGAGTTCCGTAAAGAACCTGCCTACATATTTTCCGCGTAGTTACCGGCGTAGGGGGGAGTTCTTAATCTCCTTAACAACTACGCAGACGACGATCATCTAATTGAAGCTGTCTTCGTCTTCTGGGTCGCCGGGGTGAATATCTTGGCTCAGGCTGTTCTGCATGTCCCACGTTTTGAACAAATGCTGATACACATCCAGCTCTGCCTGCGCAACGAGGCGATTTCGCTGACATTTTGTGGGCCTTGCATTCCACCTCGGGCTGCGCCTCTGCTTCTCATCCGCAGTGCTCCTTTTTCCTAATTTAGGAGGGTGTTTGCCTCCTGCACGTCTGAGTCTGTTTTCCTGCCTCTGCGGTGGAATTTGCCGGTCTTTGCGCATGTCGTAGGACAGCAGCAGCTCATCCACTTCCACGCCACTGCTTGCCGTCCGAATCGGAGGAATCTCATAGTAAAAAGTGTAGGTGTGGCCTCCAACAGGATCGTAGGGATCGGGTGTCAGATAGTCGTCGTCGCTGCTGTCTTCGATTTCAGAAGGGTACTGGTCACTGTCCAAGCCATATCGGGCGCTCCGCGTACATGAACGCTCGTAACGGTCCGCGTCTCTGCGCCAGGCCAGATTTCGAACTCCCTTTTGTGGGCATTCCTCTAAAAATGGCTCTATCCACTTAGTACTTTTCTGGCACACAAAGTGGCGTCTTTCGTGGCTCGAGAAGGTTTTGGTCCGTGTCTCAGAGGGAAGAGCTTTCGCGTGCCGGTAGATGCAGTCGGCCTCCCGGTGTAAAGTCGTAAGTTGTGAACTCAACTTGGCATTGTCACCCTCTACCTGATCCGGACACCCGTCTTTAATGAAGAATTCCACCGCGTCCATAGCAGCGTCATGCGCACGCAGCCTCGTCCATTGCGTGGCCAGCCGCTGCTCCACCGCTGTACTGCTGCTCAGCGGCTGTTCATGCATCGGACACGTCGCACGGACTGGCTTAGCGTAACGGATACGGTGAAAAAAGACCGGCAGTTCCCACTTCGTCGCGCAACGCGACCCTCTGGGCCGGGGCAAACAGGGGCTGCTGCTACCTGACGGCTGGTGGAAGGTCGCAGGCAGTCCCAACCGAGACTCGCAGTACTCACGTGTCCACCGGAGTCTCCAGTAGCCACGCTGCGGAGGCATCGTTTCGACTCTATCAAAACCGGAACTGTCCTGGTGCGAGAGGTACTCGCGCCATGCGCCTCGGCGACACGACGCACAGGACTTCAAATGGCTGTCATTTTCTACGCAGTGCACATGAACGGGTGTGTTGTCTACAACTGACCCAGGAACATACCACGGAAGTCCAAAATATCGACGTACTTGGCAATTGCACGGGCACTCCAGAGGCGCAACGGGGGTCTCGAGCGGCCACCGTCCTCGGCGCTTTTCAAGGTGAGGCTCGATTCGAAGCTTAATATACTCATACGCCCTGACTCGGCGTATGTAAGGAAAAGCCGGGTCGTGAGCAGCTTCAGTATTCTTAGGAAAACTGGTCACGGAACCACTATCAGAGGTCGAAACACCGCTTGCTCGAGGGATATATCGATCCACGACGAAAAAGCTTGTGTTTGCGCGGCTCTGTGCGAAACTCTCTGCGGCATCGGTACCCTCACCAGGTATAACCCCAATAGAGACAATATCTCGCAAAGCCGGCGGCAAGTCGGTTGTCAGCGTGTTCTTAGCGGCTCCACAAATTTTCTGCATATCTTCAAGGTGCGGCAAAGAAAGAAAGCAACTCCTAATCTTCTTCAGATGCGTGTAATACGTGTTCTTCTGGTCCTTCAGCATTTCTCGGAGCACGTCTTTATTCTTTCTGTTTTCCTCTGAAGGCGAGAAGTTGCGAGCACATGCGTACGCAGTCCAATCATCCTGAATCGACCTCCATTGCAAGGCATGAAGACCTGTCTTTTGCGTGCGTCGAATCCTCTGCAGCCGAACTACATCACAAGCAGCAGGCGTTGCCACCTCTTTCACCAGGTTGAAAGCCACACAGCAGCCACGCCCACTCTTGCTTCTGCAATCACAGCTACCGAACGTACGGAAATCACCAGTGCATTCGCTATTGAAGCAGTTCACTTCCGGATCTCGATCTTGATGCCTATGACACGGATTGCCGCAGTGATGAAACCATCCGAAAAAGCCCTCCTGACTCACTGCGCTTGGTGCTACGCCACGTGCACTGCAGAAAGTCTCGTGCGAATGCTTCAGATCGTCAATAATCTCCCACATGCTCCATCGGTCTCCCTCGGCGGGTAGCAAGCGCTTCATATAGCGAAAGTACACCACAAGCCCAAGCTCAGGCAAAGGAGAAACGGGCGCATCATTTTGCGACAATTCATCATTCAAAGGTGTCAAGTTCTCGACGACGTGGCTCCCTTTTTTCTCGACAAGAGCACGCCTAGCTTTTGCAATGCGTTCTAACCATTTCGTCAGCAAACTTGCATCGCGATCTGCGACAATTTCCCACTCTTGCTCGTCTTCCAAAATGAAGGAGGGCTCGACGTCGTCAACTTCCCCGCTGAACAGTCCAGCATTTTCATCTTCGGGAGCATCTCCACAGTTGCCGAGAGGAGTCCGATCGTTGTCCCAGCGCCCAGCAAAGAGACGAAAGGCCCAAGGCGGGACATGTAGCACCCTGTTCGCGATGAATGAACGTAAATCGCCAACCGTATAGTCGGCACGATCCGCTTCGAGGGGTAGCGGATACCAACTCTCGTCGCCGTCGAACCCTGCAAGGATGCAGATGGCGGGGCGTAAATCCTGCTGGTGAGCTCCCTCTAATTCGGACAGCTGAGTTCTTTCAGCAAGCTCCGCACTTCTTTCGGATGCGCTAGAAGGACTTGTCATGATCGAGAAAGGTCGTGTCCAATGATCAACTTCGCTATGAGCAAAACAAGAACGAATGGGAAAAGATGCTGGACTTGTCTCTAAAAGGATTCTTCCAAAACTACTCCTGATAATGGATGCGACCAAAAGGTTACTACTTCCGGAGTCGATGGATACTGGTAACTAGGATCTGCTAGTAATCAAGAGTCACAATATTTGGCGCATCTACAACAACCAACAAAACTAAAACTGCCGACAACGAGCTGCCAAAACCAAAACAATCCTGTCGCAGAGATCGATGACTTGGGTATGTAAAAGATTAAAAATGAAGCAACCACTGGGAATTGGAGTTAATTCTTGTAAACTCACACCAGACAAACTTTATTCTTGGGCATTTTTCGGATCCGGGATCTTAAGCTCATTTATCCCGTTGATCAACCTACTGATCCTTTTTCACTAGGCAAGACTTCTATCAACGTCTCTATATGTGTCAGTTTTGGACCTTCAGTGGACGCGAACACAAAGTGACTCACTTTTCTTTTTTGTTCCTTGTTAAGGATTGCGCCAGGGCTGTCTTTGTTCGTGTTTTAGTTCATATGCATCTTGTTGTTGTTCCTGTTATGTTTACCCCAATTCTCTGTCTGTTCCCTTGCTCCATCTTGAGCCCCCAGCAATGCATTGATAACAGCCATCGGTATAGAGTCTACATACTCACTTACTCAACTATCACCCCTACGGATATCCGGGGACTCCTAACACCTCTTATAACCTACTCTCGTCTTCTTTGATGCCTTCCACTTGATTAATATGGTCTCTCGTTCTTCTACTTATAGAAACAAACATTCTCATTCGGAATACTTCAACAAACGCTTCAACAAACACCGACATCAACCAAGACGATCAGGAGGAACTTAGGAACACTCGTCGAATTTGCACGATCACGATCCCCATCTTTTCACCTTAGAAAGAAAGAACCGACGCGACTTCACGATTCAACTTAACTTACAATAATCGACATATGACTGAGTACAACAGTTGCAATCGAATTCGTTCTGCAAGATCTCGATCCAGTCATCGTGGGCAATTAACAGGTGACGAGTTCACGTATACGAAGATGCCTCACCATCTTCGAATTTCTGTTCGTGCACGCAGTGCTTTTTCGGAGACACGAAGCCGCGTCGAACAGGCAGCTAGAAATCTCTAGCAGGAAACAACCTATTTCAGCACCAATTTCTACTCCTGATCATTTTTTCTTTGTGAAGAGTCCACCATGTTTATTTTCATTCATTCAGTCACCCATTCATTCAGGGGGCCTCCGCGAGATATTTTTTTTTCGGACCTGGGTCTATATTTCTCGCCATGCGAGCATTTAATTACCTTGCGGGAACCCTGAAGCACCACGGCCAGGCACTAAAACAACACAAAGGGTTAAGCACGACGGCAACCGCTGTAGAAAAGCTGGAGCCCAAGCCCCGCGGGCATATCAGTTGCTTATTGAGCAGGCACATATTGAACGGAGACCGGGATGAACTTAGATCTTTAGAGGTGAAAACTAACCGGTTGCTTTACTTAGTGCTTTGAGCGTCGCGGGACCTAAACCTTCACCGAAATGGTGCAAGCCAATCAAGATTTGCAGCACGCCTCTAGCTGAAAAAAAGGAGGAAAAAGCTCTAGCGTCCTGTTATGGGAGGAGGCTAATTACATATGTCTTCAGATGTCTTTGTTATCAAGGGCGCCCATATGAAAATAGCCACTTTTTTCAAAGCTTGCATCATCGTGCTTTTCTTAACTCTTCTTTTCGGTTTGCTCTCCCAGAAGCATCAGTTACAGAGAGAATTTTTATTCACTCAAACCAGTCACGAGCCTCAACAACACATCGCAGTCCACCATAGTTATATTCGAGAATAAAATGGGATGAAATTTTCTTGACATCCGCGCAGATATGTCTTCACGATAACATTTCATTTCACCTTACGCACAGTCTGTACAAAGCAGCGCAATACTGTGGCTGACTCCGATGTTCGATATTCTTCATACTTCCCATACGGACCCGATTATATGCAAGTACAGAGATACTTTATATGAGCGAGCAGGAGACAAAAGAAAACTATTTTAGTTCCTGATACTACCTGTACTTTGTAGGTCCCGATAAATCCAATGCTCATAAGACAATTATCTTCTATAAACCTTGTAAGACTATAGCTATACAACTTAAACGAGAGCGAGACAACCAAAAAGTCGAAACTTGAAAGAAATAATCTTAACGAACCTTAACGAACGAAATTACGTTATCATCTGAACGCTGCACTGCGAAAGTGAGTCAGCAAATTCTCTATAAAAATGAAATTCTTACTGCGTATTTCGCTCGGGAACCGCTCTGAGGTCAGACCATCCCTCGATTCGGAAAGTCGACGATAGTGCAAATCATTCAGTTGATAAAGTTGGCGGAGCATACCTAACTAGACAAAACAAAAACCGAAAAAAGAAAGGTCAGGCAAGAACTTATCTACTACTAAATAAGCGCCGGCGCTGTCGTGGTCCTGTCAGCCCCAGAGGTCTCACCTTCGAAGGCAGGCCGGAGCCCTGTGCGACGCCTCCGGTGAGTGCTCGTTCAATAGATAAAGATATAATCAAAGCATTAAGAGTTATGTTGGTTCACTCAATCGAAGGTGAAAAGTTCGCGCTTCACGGGTGAATGTTCGTCTTGAATCAATAGGGCTTGCTTCTGCATGTCTGAAACTTGAAAATAACTGGTAAGCAAGAGAGAAAAGCCAGGAAATGCAGGCAATGAGGGAGAAACTCCTTCCTAGGATGATCACTCTGTGCCAGCAACAGGCACGGCTGAATCGCTGTACAGTAGCACCTAACTTAAGATTACACAGTTGTTAATCAAGCCTTAACAATTCCACTGCAGGTAAGACTACTGATGGGAAAGGACGGAGGGCACTCTCAGAAAAAACAGAAAAACAACCGAGCGGAAGGGGGCCCGGGACATCTTCTTAAGCCTTCCCTGCAAGGATTGCATCCGGTTTGGAACAAATAGTTCTAGCCTTCAATAAGTGCTTCTTGCACTAAGCCAAGGATAATTCATCGCCGTTATTCTGTAAGTGTTTCGTTACATTTCTCCCGTTGCTCATACTTCGCAGCCAGAGTCTTCTTTTTTCCTGCTTTGCAGCACCCGTCGCCTCGCGTAGATCGCTCCCGACTGGTGATGTCGATTACCGCACGGTCACCTCCCTTGCCTCTTGAGAGGCGAAGCCTTTCCTGCCTCTGCTTAGTTCTTCGCCGATCTTTGCGCATTTCGTAGGACACCAGGAACTTGTCCGCTTCGAACTCACTCTTTGAGCTCAAATACGCGAGATCCAGATCGATCAAAAGCGCAAGGTCATTAACATAGTCGTCATAGTAAAAATAATCATAGCGATCAAGAACGCCGGTTAAGAGGTGCCAAGCGTGGTACCAAGTGTCATGCATCTCGTAGATATTATTATCATAGAGTCTCCGTCTTTGGGGTGCACGATAGTCATCGTCGCTGCTGTCTTCGAGCTCAGACGGAATCCGATCACTGTTGTCGCTATAGTCAAACTTTCGAGCATATGCACGCTTGAACCGCTCCGCATCATCTGGCCACCAGGGCGACTTTCGAACGCCTCCATGTGTGCACTCCGGCTCCAACCAATTAGTACTTTTTCGGCACACGAAATGCCGTTTTTCGTGGCTAGCGAATGTTTTAGTCCGCGTTTCAGAGGGAAGAGCTTCTGCATGTCGGTAAATGCAGTCAGCCTCCCGATCTAAAGCCCGAGTTCGTAAACTCACATCAGCGTCACCCTGTTCTAGCCGGTCGCCTTTCTTTAGAAATTCCACCGCGTCCATTGCAGCGCCGTGTGCCCGCAGCCTTGTCCACTGCGTGGCCAGCCGCTGCTCCACGGCCGTCCTGCTGCTCAGCGGCTGTTCATGCATCGGACACGTCGCACGCACTGGTTGGGCATAGTGAATGCGGTGAAAAAACACCGGCAACTCCGACTTCGTCGAGCTACGCGACCTTCGGGGCTGTGGCACAGAGGAGCTCCTGCTACGTGGCGGCTCGTCCATGTGCGCAGGCACTTCGAACCGAGACTCACAGTACTCACGCGTCCACCGAAGTCTCCAGTAGCCACCCTGCAGAGGTCTCTTCTCAACTCCGCTGATACCAGGCAGGCCGACATCCTGTTGCGAAAGGTACTCACTCCAAACCGCGCGGCGACACGACGCGCAGCTCTTCACGTGGCTGTCACTTGTTAGGGAGTGCACCTGGACGGGCGTGGAGCCGTGCTCGATAACCCGCGGAGAATTCCAATATCGACAATCGCCAGGCACTCGTCGGAGCTTAATATACTCGTAAGCCCGCACTCGGCGAATGTACGGGAAAGCAGGATCGTAGGCAGCATGAGAATTCTCAGTGAACGTTGTCACGGAATCATTCTCAAATGATGAAGCACGGCTTGCTCGCGAGAGATACCGATCCACAACGAAAAAACGCATGTTTGCACGAACCTGCGCGAAGTTTTCTGCAGTATCGATACCCTCCTCGAAATACGGTAGAATCACCATAGGGACAACATCACGCAAATCCGGGGGCACCGAAGATGGTTTGCGCCAGTATGCGCCGCACAGCCTCTGCATTTTTTTCAGATGAGCCATGGAGAGAAAACAACTCCTGATCCTCTTTTTCTGATGTGAATTTTGCGTCCTCTGCTGGATAGTCATCATTTCTCGAAACTCGTCTCTATTCTTTTTACCTTCCTCTGACGGACAGAAGTTTCGAGCACAGGAATAGGCAGTCCAATCATCCTGAACTGCCCTCCATTCCAGTAACCGGAGACCTGTCCCTCGCGTGAGCGCATATTTCTCGGGCCGCACTACATGACAATTTACACGGGCTGCGGCCTCTTTCACTAGATTGAAAGCCACACCGCAGCCACGCCCGCTATTACTGCTGCAGCAAGAACAGTTCTCTCTGCGCGGACATGGACATGCCCACCCTACGCACTCATAATTGAAGCAGTTCAAATATTCGAAGCTTTGAGAGCCACGACACGGACTGCCGCAGTGATGGAACCATCCGAAAAAACCCTCCTGACTCACTGGGCTTGGTGCTACGCCACGCGCACTGCAGAAGGTGTCGTGCGAATGCTTTAGATCGTCAATAATCTCCCATATGCTCCATCGGTCGCCCCTGGCAGGAAGCAATTCTTTCATATAGCGAAAGTACACGAGACGCCCAATCTCAGGCGAGGAAGAAGTTCCAGCATCATTTTCAGACATTTCGCCATGGTCCTGATCTTCAAAGGTTGAATGTTCTGCAAAGCACGCACTGTTCCTCTCGAGACCTCCATGTCGGCGTCTTACAACGCGTTCCACCCATTTCGTCAGCAACCTTTCATCATCGCGATCCGCTAAGATCTCCCACTCCTGCTCGTCTCCCAACACGAAGAAGGCCTCGTCGTCAACTGCCTCACAAAACAGTCCATAATTACTATCTTCCGCATCATCTCCCCAGTCAATGAAACTCCGCTCGTCCTCCCAGAAGCCAGCAAAGAGACGAAAGGCCCAAGGAGGGAGATGTAGCCTATTCGCGATGAATGCACGCAAATCGCCGACCGTATAGTCGGCACGATCTGCTTCGAGCGGTAGCGGATACCAAGTTTCGTCACTGTTGAACCCCGCATAAATGCAAATCACAGGACGAGGCTCCTGCTTGTAAGAGCCTTCTGAGCCTGATGTCTGAGTCCGTTCAAAAGGCTGCACCTCTACTTCGGAATCGAATGCGACAGACGGGCTATTCATGATTGAAATTTTGCAGCTAACAAAGAACGCAACAAAGAAGAGTGCGACCACGTGAATATTGATGATTCCCAAAAACTACGCGATTGGTAAAAAATGATTACTACTCCCTTACAAATTTAAGCTTTTAGTCTCGAGGAGATACCCTAGGCGAAAATGAAGCAGCTCCTTCTCTATGAATAAGCCGATGGTGATGGATGACAAGCACTGGCACTGACTAGTAACTAGGAACACCTGCTTCGATGTTTCTTAATCAAACCATGACCTAAAACTTAAAGAACCAAAAAACGATAACTCGGTGAAATCCTCAAATATAGTCAGAAAAGCAATACGATAAAAGACCAAACCTGAGTCACTGTGTCCATAAGAGGTACTCCACCATCAGACGAACAACGCAACGGGATATGCCCACTAAAATCACCGAAAAAACAAATATCTAAAGCTACGAGGACCCTGTAGTTCCGAGTATAGGATCGCCATTGCGTGAATCAGTAGAATCAACCAAGAAAGTTCATCTATAGGATCGTTCTTGATCTGTGTCCCTGTCGCGATTCGGGATCCCTAAAAACGTTTGACCGTGCATATTGATGAGATCCGCTGTCTTCCTGATACATTGCCACCAGACGCGATAAACGCCCTCATGTCAACAATCGCAGTCACATTCGTGATGCAAGATCTCGGCAATGAACACAAAATGAAGTCACGTATTTAATGGAATAACTTCAAATTACTGTTCGTGCACGCACTGCTTCTTCGCGGACACGAAGCCGCATCGATCAGGCGGCCAGAGATCTCTAGCAGTAAATAACGACATATTTGCCTTTGTGAAGAGTCTACCGTATACTCGAGAATAAAATACGATGTAATTTTCTTGATATTCATGCAGTGAGATTTCACTTTATGGAAAGTCTGTACAAGGCAGCGCAATGCTGTGGCTGATATAAATACTAATATTGTTCATACTTCCCATACAGAAAGCGAATTCATATACATAGTTACTTCATTATATGAGGCAGCAGGAACCCAAAGAAAACTAGCATGATTCCTGAGACGACTTTGTTGCCGATAAATCTAAACCTCATAAAACAGATATCCTCTATGAAACTTCCAAGCCTATACAACAGCACCGAGAGCAAGATAAACAAAAAGTTAAAACTAGAAAGTAGTCATCTTAACGAACGCACAGACACAAAACGAAACTGAATACTCCTGTGTAATAGAGAATGAGTCGATTCTCAAAAAATAAAAATGAAATCATTCCTGCATACTTTGGTGGGACACCCCTCTAAGGTCAGACCACTACTCCATTCAGAAAAGCGACGATAGTTCAGATCACTCAACCCATCTAATCAGAGCATTGAGAGTCCTAATTGTTTCCTCGTCATTCAACGGTAAAAATTTGTGCTCAATCGGTTGACATTTCTAATGAAACAGTCCTGCGAATCCAGAATTTCTAGCAAGTACTAATAGCCTTCGACAAGCGCTTCCTGTATGACATGCCAATTTCGTCGGCGTTTTGTCGGTCGTTCATTTAATTTCCCCCGCCGCTTCTGCTTCTCAGCAACAGCCTTCTTCTTTCCTGAATTACTGGAGCTTTTGCATTGAAAGGAACGCGCACCGCAACTGGTGCTGTCGATTCCCGCACGTTTACCTCTGAGAAGCGTCGCCTTTCGTGCCTTTGCTCCATATTTTCGCAATCTTTGCGCATATCATAGGACACCAGGAACTCGTCCACTTCGAATTCACTATCTGAGCTCAAATACAAAGGGTCTTCATAGTAACTGCGCCAATCGGTCCAATCATCAGCGAGGTATAGCGATGCGGGTTCAAAATAGTCGTCATCGCTGCTATCCTCGAGCTCAGACGGAGCCCCATCACTGTGCTGACGATAGTCAGACTCTCGAATCAAAGAACGCTCGAACCGCCACGGATCTCTTGGCCAGGCCGGCTTCCGAGCCCCTCTCGGTGTGCAATCCCTGAAAAGCGGCTCTGCGAGTTTTGCCTATTTCTGGCACACGAAGTGCCGCCTTTCGTGACTAGAAAAAGTTTTACTCCGCGTTTCAAGAGGAAGGGCTTGCGCGTGTCGGTAGATACAATCAGCCTCCAGATCCACAGCTCTAAGTCGTGAACTCACGTCAGCGTCACACTCTTCTGGAAAGTCACCTTCTTTGAAGAATTCCACAGCGTCCATAGCGACGTCGTGCGCGCGCAGCCTTGTTCATTGCGTGACCAGCCGCTGCTCTACGGCCGTCCTGCTGCTCAGCGGCTGTTCATGCATCGGACACGTCGCACGCATTGGTTGGGCATAGTGAATGCGGTGAAAAAACATAGGCAGCACCAATTTCGTCGGGCAACGCAGCCCTCGGGAGTGTGACAAACAGGAGCTGCTGCTGCTGCCGGACGGCTCGTCCATGTGCGCAGGCACTTCCAACCGAGACTCACAGTACTCACGTGTCCATCAGAGTCTCCAGTAGCCGCGTTGCAAAGGCCTCCGCTCGACTTTGTCACAATCGCGATTATCATGATGCGAACCATAATTACGCCCCGACGCCTCGCGACGACACCATGCGCAGCACTTCATATGCGTGTCATTCGTTACGCGCTGCATCCAATGAATGCGCGCGCTTACGGGCACTCGCAGCTTAATATATGCACGGAACAGCGTAATCGCAGGCAGCATGGGAACGCTCAAAGATGTCGCCCTCGGAACCACTCTCAAACCATGCCGCACGACTTGTTCGCGAAAGAACGCGATCCACAATAAAAAAACTCGTACTTATTTGCGCGCCCTTGCGCGAAGCTCTCTGAGCTATCCTCACCATCGTCGAAATACGGGAACATGGCGATAGGGACTGCTTCACGCAAGCCCGGGGCCAGAGTCGTTAGCTCTTGCTTAGATGCGCTGCAAATTTTCTGCAATTTTTCGAGTTGCGAAAAGAAAAGGAAGCAACTCCTAATCTTCCTTTTCTCGCCTGCATGCATATAGTCTCTTTCTCGATACGTATGATACGTCCTCTGCAGTATATTCATCATTTTTTGAAAGTCGCTTCTATTCTGTTCATCTTCCTCTGACGGCGAGAAGTTCCGATCAGAGGCATATGCAGTCCAATTGTCCTGAACTGCTCTCCACTCCAACAACCGGAGACCTGTCCCTTGATTGAGAACGACATTATCGAGAGAGCGAATTGCGTCGCAAGCAACAGGGACTGGGGCCTTCCTCACTAGATTGAATGCCACGCAACCGCCACGCCCGCTTCTACTTCTACAGTCACAAAGGCCGTAGCCCCAGTACTTCCAGGCATCTTTTTGGCATTCGCTATTGAAGCAATTGACTTCCGGATCGATGAATTGATTACGATAACATGGATTGCCGCATTGATGAAACCATCCGCAAAACCCCTCCTGATTGCCTGCACTTGGAGCTACGTCACGCGCGCTGCAGAAAGCCTTGTGCGAATGCTTTAGGTCGTCGATAATCTACCACATGCTCCATCGGTCGCTCTCGGCGGGAAGCGGTTGCTTCATATAGCGGATGTAAACGCGACGCTCAATTTCTGTCGAAGTAGAAATTACGGCGTCATTTTGAGAGAATTCGTGTTGGTCATCGTTCAGGAGTATCGAGCTCTCGAGAATGGTGTTCCCTTTCTTCTCTACGACACTACGACGCATGTTTACAACCCTCTCTAGCCATTATGTTAGCGTAGTTTCGTCATCTCGATCTGGTACGATCTCCCACACTTGCTCGTCCTCCAACACGCAGGAGGAATCGTCGCCAACTGCCTCACAAAACAGTCCTCCATTACTATCTTCAGCATCATCTCGACACCTGCTAAGACTCCGATAGTCGTCCCAGAGCCCGGCAGACAGACGAGAAGCCCAAGTTCCTGTTTGCAATAAATCCCCGTAAATCGACAACCGCATAGTCAGGACGGACCGCTTCGGGCGGCACCGGGTGCCATGTCTCGTCAATCTCGAACCCCGCAAAAATGCAAATACCCGAACGAGACTTCTGCTGGTAAGAGCCTTCTGAGCCTGATGTCTGAGTCTGTTCAAGAGGCTGCGCACCTACTTCGGAATCGTAAGCGGCAGAAGGACTAGTCATGATTGAAATCTTCCGGCTGACTAAGACAGCAACAAGGAAGTGGGCGACCTCGTGGAAAATTATTATTCCCAAGACCAACTACGCGAGTAATACACAGATTAACTAGGAATGTCTGCTTTTGTGTTTCTCAATCAAACCACGGGTTAAAAATTGATGAAGCAACAGAATAATAAATCGGTGAGGTTGCACTAAATCAGTCACGAAAACGATACGAAAGTCAGGAGGTCAGACCTAAGTCAACATATGCATAAATGGTTTTCTATCGAACAGACAATACGATACATAGCTTATGACCAAGAATCAATACCCACAAAAACAAAAATCATCTGCAGCTGCCAAAGTCAGAGGAATCCTGTGGTTACGACTACTATATAGATAGTGTGGAGAGTCAATAGCAGTACCCAAAAAAAGCTCATTTGTAGAATCGTTCTTGATTGAACTACTTCTCGAGACCATTTTTCCGATCCAGAATCTTTGACATTTTTTGAGCATAGTGATCCGATCATCTGTTAAATTCCTGACCCATACCAATTGAACGAGATAGACGCCTGTATAACGACATTACTAGACAAATTTATGGTGCCAGACCTTGTTGATCGATTCTTTGTCACTTGTTGCGTCTCTGAAAGACGGCAATGACAAGACGGAATCGCACAGTAGAAGATGCAAGAACGTCGATCGGCGATATCTCTTCCGTGGATTCGACGACGCACTAAAAGAGAGCATCTCAAAAATCTCTGATGTTATCTTTTCAACAAAGCGAAGAGTTTACGCCTCGTTCTTTTTCCTGATTCTTTTATCGTTCGTTGCTTGCGCATCCGCTAGAAAATGCTCTGAGCGATAGGTCATCACAACGTCCCCCACAAGAACCCCACCTGGTATCCGACTTCGTTGTATGTCATGCTCGTAGCGGAAACGTGGAGCACCCAAGGCCGTCTCATCGGATGCTGAATCTGATAGTGAAGGTTCATGTCGTGTGAATAGCAACTGAATGCTATCATCAAGATCTAAAGTCACTTTCGAGCGATGGGCATGCTGATCTAAAATACCTGCATGCTGCAAACTCTAACTATCAGTAAAATTATATATGGATGAAGTCATCCGCATCCATCTTAGAAAATACTTACCCTTCTTTGTTTTCAGCCAGCGTCTGCGCTGTCCTCCATAAAGCGTTAGGGCCGCCATTCTTTGCTTGCTGAAAACAGCTCCCGCGGTGACAAGCTCAGATATTGGACTACGATGGGGGCGTCTCCACGTGGAATACGTTATCAAGCCTTGCAACTGTGGCGCAAATCTTCGTGAATGGACGAGGAGTACGCCGCAGAATCGCAGCATCACAAACAGATCCGCTCCTAGGATGTTGTCTTGCAGCTGGGATTGCGACAAAAATGCTTAGCGGATAATCAACTATCTCACAATGAAGGTGTGACGAGGCTTCTAACACGTCTAAGTAATATGGGAGTCCGTGCTACGATAGACTTCACGTTACAACCTTGATTACCCGCCACTTGCACATTGGAGATCATCTACTAGTGTACTCCTCTCGAAAACACCAAGCGTAATCGAATCCATGACGCTGCTTGAACTCTACTACGAGCTCGTCATCGACTGGAATAAATTTGTGGAGATCAGGGTGCAGATTGTCCAGGCGCTTGTTGATGATGTTTTCCTTGAGCGTCGCAGGGCATTTGCTGAGCACATCGACGGCGCCGGCATTGAGAAGCACACCGGCTGCAGGCTCGATATGCGACTCCGTGTGAACATATGCCACAGCTATCGGCGGCAGTCCTGCAGAGACCAAGTCGAACTCTGGCGGCACTGAAATTGGAAAATCATCTTCATTCTGGTCCTCCACTGGACGTGTACTTGAACCTTCTGCCTCACCTTCATCTAACCCTGTATTGGTTTCCGAGCGTAGTTCACCTCCTTCCGCCATCTCATTTTGCTGCCTTCCTGCTGATAGGTCTTTCTGCGTACACGGAAAAAACTCGTGTATGTGGCGGATGAGCAGCGTCAGATGGCCAACATTCACGTATGTTGTGCTGCCATAGAAACTGAGGAAAGTCCAATCGCTCCCACAAGAATCTCCTGGCATATCTTGTTCGGGACTTCTTGTTCTGCTTTTTGTCTTATGAAACTTTTCTGCTCTCCACTGTTGAAAGTTTTCGACCACGATGTCAATCCAATCTCGTTGGTGCCTGCCGTGCTCAAAGTCGGTGTCATCAGGAAAGCGGGGCCAAAGAGCAGCTTCGAGTGGAATCTCCTCACCAGCTCCATCTGCCTCTTGCTTTGTCTGCCGCCTCACCACGTCGGAAAAGTCGGCATCGAACCGTACTCTCTCTAAAGCTGGGAACGCTCGCTCTGGCACCACCTGAACTTTCCACCTTTTCGGCATATCAGGTCTTTCTCTACTACCACTCTCAACCAAATTATTTACCCACGCGGGAACCGTGTTCGCCGCGCCTGTTCTTAGAAGGAAACAAGAAGACACACAATGACGATGAGTGATGCACCAAGAATACGAAGAAAGAATAATAGCATCTATTGCTATTTCAGCTCCAAGTATTTAGTACACAAGTTAATCTTCGTAACTGTCGACCGGTTGGTGCGGCTTCGAACGGTCCATACTTGCGTGCTTGCATGTGTCCAATGTGGAAGTCGTCAAAGAGCTGAAAAAGTAAACCACTCTCCTCCGGGTCAAAGTGTGATTGTCGCTTTACCTCAGGATCGAATTCCCATACTGCACGGACAAGTTCCTCGTACTTATTTCCCTTCGTGAAAAAATCTCCGGTTGAAGACGTAGTAGTGCCGCTACTCACCGAAGTAAAGTGTTTGCGGCATTCGGTCGAGAAGCGTCCAAGCTGCCGCTCGTGCACTACGAGGGTGCGAACATCAATGACCTTCTCACCGCCGCGTGGCGACAAACCTTAGACGATGTATTGGTTTGTTGATCTTTTTTACTCCTTCTGCAGTACAGATTGATAGTCATCATACAACAAGATTAGGCTGCACGTACTGGGCTACACTTCTGTACCATCTAATCAGACGTTCGTTACTCAGCGTCAGCACCACAGAAAAACAAACAATGGCCATAAATCAGACAACCATGACCAGCTGTGGCCATTGCCTGCATATTCTCCTCTTTCGCATCGAGCATGTCCACCAATCCCTCGAGAGATATGAAAGGTGCCTCTAAAATATCATTTGTGCCACGAACGGAGCATATTTTTCACGCATTGGACTACTTAATTGAGCAGGTCCCAGACTCTACCTTGTCGCTCAAGTACGATCGGCACTGCTAGAAGCAATCGAAACTCATCAATTCCACATTCATGTTTGAATAAGTCATAAGATTTGTCGAGGCGATCAGCCGGTGAAAGGCGACTTGTTCCTGAACGTCGTTCATGTTCTCCCAGCTTCTTCCTGCCATATTCAGGGTTGGCATGCAGTGCATCAGGGGTGAGTGAACCATCGGAACCCCATAGGTGCTAAGGCAAAGGCATGTGTTATAAGCAGCAAAGCTGAGTACGCAGATGGGAACCAAGAGGCCGCAAATTATACCAAAGAAGAAGTAAGAATGACTTCTAACTTTGTAGTTGCATCATGAACACCTCTCTTGAGCATATTCCACACTTGTCATAACGAGAGTTAGGTCGTTGAAGCTGCTGAAGGGACAGATATCATCATCCGCGAGTGGTTTTGCAATAACATCGTAAGCTTGCCGCGATAGAATCATCCCCGCACCTCACTGATTAGACCATAAAAACTCGGACCACAACCAGGAGCGGCTACCACGATATTGAATGCTTATTCTTCAGAAACTAATACAGATATTATGAAGATACTCTAGAGCAAAATACGCTCCGACAACAAGACCTTTGTTGTATAAGACTGGCTACAACAAGGACGACCTTTACATCCATAAAAGCCTTTCAGCCTCGCCATACCACACGGATAATCATATCCAATCACTTGTGCATCGCTGAGGATGTACGATAGCAGGACCGGATCAGAGGGGTCCAGCACGCGAAGCATCCGACTCATCTGTGGCCAATCGAAGTAGGTATCGTCGTCCAAAAGCATAATCCATCAACTTAGAGCGCGATGGCTCATCGATGAATAATCACCTCGTTTTAGCATTACCGCTTTTCCGTCGTAGCCATGTAATCATAAAAAGTGCTAATCATTACTTCAGTTTAACATTGTTGTATGAAGCCTCATCTTCTGAGGAACATTTTCATTGGCCTCGCTCGCTGAGTTAAGGGTTTCTTTCTGAGCATAGCTTAATTTCTGGCGGTAACCTCTTGTGCTGCGTGATGAACTCCAGCTGCTGTCGCTGCACCTTCATGTATTCCTTCCTGACTTTCCAAACATCAGCATTCTTACTCTTGCGTACCCCACCGCCTGCCTGCTTCCGAAAACTCACTTTCCACTGTCGAGACTCCGGGACGCTACTATTTAGAGATCAATCGCGATATGCCAGATGCACATGATAACTCGCAAACAGAATATTTCGCGATAAGGTCGCGTTGTAATTTAACATTTGAATCATAGTTCTTTGCGTTCTCAGAAAAACTGAAGCAATTGATTGACAAGATCGCTCATACATCCAGATATTCTTCCACCACGTATTTGACGTGAGGCATGTCCTTCAAGCAGGTCGCTTCCATGACTGTAACCCGCCACTCCATCGTCCTACTCGCCATGACCGCGAACAAGACCTCGTACCTCTCCAAGTCCTTCACGGATGACTGCCAGAATTTGACTTGCTCTTGCAGTTGATAGTTGTTCTTATCTTCGGGAAGGTGATGACCAGGGCCTAGCGCTAATCCACGTTGGTCATGTCTACTGCCGACATTATTCTGGCCTTGCCCGTCGCCTGATCCGTGTTTATTTTGGCCAGATTCTTCTAAGTCTTGCTCATCCCCTCGAGCGAACCGTGGCTTTGTCCGCCATACCGCCAACCGCTTGCGCGCAAGTACCTCACGATATTCGTCCAACGTGAGAAAATTCTCATGCCCAAGTCGCGCAAGGTCACACAAAACCTCGCATATGAAGAGAACATAAGCCAGGAGAACAGGTGGCGCAAAACACTTCATTTTGTGCTGGACTTGATACGACTTCTAGACCACTGTAAAATCAAAACAGGAAGCACATCCATCACCTCATTGATTTTGAAAACGTCGCCCATTGCTCTCTCCATCATCATGGTGCCCCAGCCCCATTTAGTACTACTAGCCTAATGGCGGGACAAAACATTTCCAGCAGTTTGTCAAAAAATGACGGCCGCGGAGGTGTGAAGCCTAGCGGGGGAGCATGTATGAGTAACCTTTTCAAACCTGGAATCTCTTTGATAAAGAGAGGCATGAAGAGACTGCAGACCGAAGATCCGCAAATGAGTACATGGTAGTTGCCACGTAGTCAGAAACAAAAACTAGAGGAACTTGTCCCCGAATGCCTGCCGAATTGAGTCGGTGAGTGCCGAACTGAATCGGTAGAGGATATGAACAATCGACGACTTTTGTGTTGAGTCGTTGAATCATCCATGCATGTTATCCTTTCATGTGTAGTATCCGTAGGAATATGGGGGACGCTTTAGACATCTGACTATACACGCCGCCTGTGCCTCCACTGCCACATGACTACGCTCCAACAAACCATAACAAGAGTATCTTCAGCCAAAGAGCAAAAGCCGGATGAAGTAAATAAGATAAGTAACGCCTGAAACCCCGCAGCCCTCGTAAGACCCTTTTGAGAAGAGAAAGGACGACAGCAGACCTCACCAGTTAGTGAGCGCTGAAAAACCAACGAAGTAAACAGAGTACGACAAGCAAACAAAAGGAGTAGGACCTTCACTCTTGCGCACGACAAGATTCCTCCGAGAAAAGTAGGCTTTCTCTCTTTTTGATTCAGTCGGGCCGCATCTGACCTGTAGCGAAGAAATCCAACACGCTTCGAGTCGGACTCGAATCATCTGCAACAGTTTCCTGAGCCCAGAATGAAAAGACTGGAAGACAGGTCATAGCTCATCATGGTATTAGCTGCGCATGGGCGATTGCTTCGCGAATCTAGAAAGTCTCTTTGCCGTCAGCAAGCAGAAATGTTTTCAAAGTAGACGGATCAGTTGTAGAAGGAATACAAAGAAGAAAGCATACAAAAGGACTTTTTGTCACTTGAAGACGAGGATTCCCACTCGTACAACCTCAGACTTCCCGAGAGCGATTCAGATGTTACCAGAACTACAGATGTCAGAAAAATGCTGCTGCAAGCGCAGCTTTCTCTGTAAGCTACGTATCTTCTAGTATACAAGATGAAGAACTTCCAGTTATTCTTCTCCATTGGTACGTTAGTGCTCCCGCTCTAACTGTACCTGGTCACCTAAGCAGCCATGCGGGCTTCCCTTTCGGTCATCAAACATTAACAACCGTTGCTGCAGGTGCAAATCGCGCAGATGCCGACTGTCCGATGTTACTGCTCCACTCTACGGGTCCGGGAGAGCCCACACGTGATCTTGGGCCACTTGCCATTAGAAAAAACTTGGGTGACTTCTACTTTTTGCTACTATAGTTCTTCGAGGTCGAGGAGGCTAGGGTATACTATTGTAGTCGTACCACGTGGCACAACGTACAAAGACACTTAAAACAAAAAACACCATCAAATTGTGCGAAACAATAAAACAGGTTATATTGTGCAGACACGAAGAAAACTTCCTGAACCAAAAAATCTACTTACCAGTACGAGTTCCTTAACCAAAGGGAAGCCGCGGCCGCTGGCCCTCCGCCTATTCCGCCTGAATTCACGACTGGAGGTATGGTTAGTCCACTCAATGATGCCTGAGACGGTACTATGGGGTTGTAGAAAGACGCTTTCGCAGAAAAAGGCGATCCTGCTTGCTCCTTGAAACTTGCCTGCGCCGACGCGCCGATATCCCGCGGACTGTTTTTGGGTTGTGAGGACGTTTTTTCTACGACATTCGCTGTGGTATGAAAATCAAGGCCCACAAGAACCCGAAAACAGAGCCAAACTGCTACGCACCATTGCAACACTTACATATTTCATGATTGACAAAGAGACAAACTATGTCAGAGTACTCTGCTCCTCCGCTACTTCCCGAAGTCCCGCCACGCGCAATTACAAGTCTGGACACGTACTCCATTTGCTGCTGCAGGCTCTTCTGGCACCGTAATATTTTCTCGTCAAACTCCAGGCTAATCTCTTTCATCCTAGAATCCAAACGATCGCAGGCATTGTTGCTTTTTGTTCGCTCCACCGCCAACATGTCGTGAAGCTTGGATACCTGATAGTACAACAATTTATGAAGACTACTGATTTTTTCTGCTGCCAGAACATGCATCGGACAGAGCAATCATGATAACTATCACGATTGCCTCTTTATCCTTTATCACTTGCGCTGGACAATACCTCTCCGCCCAGAGTGTTTTGTCGATCTGCTAACTGCCGGTCGCCCTTGAGATAGCTGTCCTCTATCTTCGGAATCACTTGCAATACAGTGTCCATGTCACTGCTTAGCTGATCCTCTCTTAGAAGAGAAGTAGAAACAGCGAGGGGGCGAAGCAAATTCTATGCTAGTTAGTGTTCTATGCTAGCGAACACTACCACTTCTTGAGTCCTCTGTCTTGTAATTAGGTATAACTATCTCCTCTGGAAAACCAAGACTGATGTGAAGATCTATGCATCCCCCATTCATTCTTCCGCCATACAACTTTGCTCTCTAGGAAGCAATCTTGCTCCGCGAGTCTTTTCAGTTTCTCGAACGTCTCTTGACTGAATTCGTTCAATTGCGCTTTCAAATTTGAGGTTTGTTCTTCCACGCGGATGATCCGTGGGTGATCCCGCAATGCGTTCAGCTCTTCAGAAATTAAAGGAGGAAAGAATCAAAAGTGACACTACTTAGCTATTTCCCGCACACAGCTGATGCTAGCGGTGGCCTAAAACATGAAGTTCAAGCCAATACCATGATTGGGTATTTGCAATAACAAGCATGAAAGACTTGATTTCATCATACTAGTTAGCCGCCATAATAATGCCTTAAAGTGACCGTCTGAGAGACCTGCTCCAGCTCATCCAACAGCGTGTCTGACAACGTGTTGAAGGCGGACTTCAAAGCCTTCAACTGCGATGTCAAAAATTCGAAAGTACGACCTGGTCGATGCAAAGTCATAACTCATGAAAATTATAAGTGGTTTACTTCGCGTTCACGAATTGCGATACGCTCGACAACATATTCATACAATCTGAAAATAAGCTGTGGCAATTTGATGATCAAATCCCTCAAACAGAAAATGAAGTACGGCTGCTGTCCTCAAATTCTATATTGGTTTCAGCTTCTGCCTGCAGTTCCTCTTGCAATTTCTTGACGTGGTGTGTAACCTGCCTTAGCATCTGGGCATACGGCACCGGTGGTTTGCTTTTGAGCAAACTTGTCACCGTCTGCGAACCCAGCGTCATCTTAGCGCTCGAACTGGTCGTCACCGCGACCAGATGAACCTAGAAAACACTAGAAAAAGAGGTCCCCTCCTTAGCTAAAAGAGCTGGGGGGAACGAGGTCTCTGTTTGGCCTCATGATAGGCCTCGCCATGGTTCCTTTCGGCCAATCTCTGAATTACAATACTTGTAATCAATATTTTTTCTAGTCCACTTGTACACATGTACTTGTTTGTTTCTGCTGCTAGTGAACTGCTCATTGACTCCGTCCAACTCTGTTCATCCTGAAGACGTCAGAGCGTATAATTTTTCAACGTTGCTCTCCTGGACAGTTAGTAAAATCGATCTTCCTGTAGCTTGCTTGCATGTACAAGTGTCTCTCGAAGAGAAAACTCAGAACGACTTTTTCTTCGTTACTGGTCTCTCTCTCTCTTCCTCTCTCTCATCCAGATCCACCGTGGTTGCAAAATAACTTAGTGAATGAACGCTGCCTTGTATTTTCGAACGTCGAGTCGGCTTTGAGCTGCGACTCCAAAAAGGGTGAGAGTGCTCAGGTTTTTCTTAACGTGTGATAAGGGGGGAGGCGTTAACCAGAGTTCAAAACAACTCACCCATCACGATGGATTCAAATATTCTTCAATGTAGGAGGGACCGTTTGCACATTAGCATGAAAATCTACTGCATCCATCCATCATACTATCTTTTAATCATCGTATTGATGTGTAGATCACGTACCGTACTCTTGTTTCACACTAATCCAGCATTTTTGCGCGCTTGCTTGAGCCTTTTCGCTGTAAAACCTAGAATCTGGCCCATCTCCCGCACAGAGATTCCAGGTTCTCGCATTGTCAGTTCAAGTACTTTTTGGATGTCAGCTTGTTCTTCTTCCGAGAATTGTTGCTCTGCCTGTCCAGTGCTTGGTGCTGCGTTGGGATTCGTCGGGGCTGGCCCCGCCTGTGACCGAGGGGTGGTTTGCCTTGATGTCTCGTTTTTGCCCGATGACTCGCTAGCACCAGGAGTGCTAGACTTGTATTTGTTTTTCTTCTTGTTTCGATTCGTGTTCGGGTTATTTCCGGCCGTTGACGATGACGTAGATGCGGTGTTCTTTGCAGTCGATGATGTGCTACTTGTCGCACTCTTATTTTTCGCAGTTGACGGATCGGTCCCGACGGCTTCTTTGAGTAGCGTTTGCAGCTCGGCCATCATCTGCCTCATGTCGAACGTGCCTTCGTCGTCTCCAAAATAAAATAAGCCTTCCAAATCAACACTCCCAAGAGGACTTTTGCGGCTGTTGCCATTATATTGTGATCCCGCTACTCCTGCTGCCACATTGCCCCCGAACACTGGAACCACTGCTTTTGCCATGGCCGCCCGTGCAGAAACCAATAAAGCGACGTCCGATGTGAGCTCAAATACATCCTGCGGCTGAAAAAGGCTGCGATCGTCTTCTGTGCATGGGAGCAAGCAACTTCCGTGTCCCGAAATACTCTTCCAGATGCGCTCATCTTTGCTGGCAGCTAGCACGGTAGTGAATTCCCAAAAAGGACTGCTTTTGGGCACACTCGCTAGCTTTGTCAACACCGTTCTGCGGTAGTCACGAATACGCAAATATGCGCCACGGAAACGCTCATAGATCGGCTTCAACTTCGACAGTCGCTCTTGCAGACCTTGGGTGTATTTCCGATCAAACTTAATACTGTTCTTTTCTTCTTTTTTATCACTCGTACTTTTCGTCTCTTTGCTAGCACCTGCAGCGTCGTTGCCATGAGCTGCAAGAAGTGACCCAACAAGTCGCCACAGCTGTCTCTCAGCCGGTGTGAAGCGCAATGCGTCATCCTCTGGCTTAGGAACCATTTGCCTCGCCACTTCGAAGGCTTCAACGGCATCTATTCCTTTCAAATACTCACACGATTGCGGAACTACCGAACGAAACCTATCAGTCCTCAAGGTCTGCTGTTTCGAGGATCTTGGCGATGTTGGAGGCGTGGCCCCTGTAGTTTCATCCGCAAAGAGTTTTGATCCTTCTGTATCGTTGAAAAGATCCTCGAAGGCCGTACAGAGCACATAGACCATGCCAAATTTGGCTGTCACCGCACTTTCCATGTGTCCTTGGCTCTCGTTTCCGTATCCATAGGCAGATCCACGTCCAGAAGAAGCACGTCGCGCCTGCCGGGGGTCGTTTAGGAGTCCCTGCCACAGGAACAAGGACGAGAAACTCTGCGCCGAGTCGTGATACCACCATGGGGTCAAGCGGTCTGGCGGCGCATTCAATTCGCGCTCATTGCCGCACAAGCCGAGTAAAGCGTGACTCCGACGAAACCAGTTCGCTAGCGTAGTTACGCGGGGAGAATGCATAGGACCGGCTGGAGCTCCTTCGAGAGCGAGTGTGCTCATGTCCATGTTGATCCAGCAGGCTGAGAAATACTGGTTACACGCACGCGCAAGAACGTCGCTGCCTCCAGCAGGGCAGCTGCGGGGTCCCGTAACCTCGCGCAGGAATAAGACGCGCTCCCAGATACCAGGCACGAGCACGTACCTCGCGAGCAGGTAGTGTATCGGAAATAAGAGCGGATCTTTGTCCAACATAGCGGCGACTCTTGGATCTTTCGTCACGGACTCAACGTCCGGCAACCCCAACAATTTACGCTTCTGGCGATTCCTTTCCACCATCTCCGCATCGGCGCGGACAAGGTGATCAACCTCACTGCGATGTTTTGCCGAAAATATGGCGTGGTAGGTTGCAGCACCTGCAGGGATATCCGAGGATGTGCCAAAGGCGCACGTAGATTCATCTGAAACTTCCCCGACACCTAATGGTTCCCCAGAAGACGACGATGAAAGTCGTACATCCTCTAAATTGTCGGCTGTCCCAGAGCGGCCCTTTTGTCCTTTTTGCCCAGTCTGCGGTACAGAGGAACCATGACCAGTCGTGGTATTACAACCTATTATAGGTGTGCTAGGTGGTGCCTTTTTGTCGTGTCCGACCAGCACGAACCCTTCGAAATACCAAAGCCAGTGCTGTGTAGCACCGTCGTCTCCCATCGTCTCTTTCTCCAACAGTGGTTTCCAAAAATACATCAACTGAAAAAGCCTCGAGCACCAATCTTGCATGTCTTTCATCTCGTTCGTGTGAAAAGTTTCCCATACCGGATCTCTCCAGTTCTCAGCGAAAGTTTCGTGCCGACTGTAACCACACTTCATTGCGTCTTTCCGGTATGTCGCGAAGATCTTGCGTGCAACTGGGTGGGTCGCCAGGTTGTAGTGATAATTGTAAAACAGCAAGTAGCAAATGTCCGTGAGCGAATGCGTGATCATGTGCGTGACGGTGCCGAGACCAACGATACGGTCAAACACGTCTGTAAACGCTTTCCCCGTTTTCTTATCCAGAGGTTCCAGAGCCTCCCAAGCCAGTGGCTTTTTCCTCTCGCGAGCTGCGTAAAGAGACGTAGATTTTTCGTGCGGGTCCCAGTCGGCGGGAAGAACACGGGCTGCGAGTTCCTCAACTGCGTCAAAGTAGCAGCCAACCGTGGCCCGCAGCCGGTCATTATGCTTCAGTTCGGGCACCCAGTCCTTTTCCCCCGGAAGGCCACTCGAGGCTCGAAGAGGATCACTGTGCATCATTCCACAACTCTGCCCAATCTTAGTTTGCAGCAAGCTGCAAAAGTTTTTTCGCAGAACGTGCAGGTTAGACGTCTTCAAACTGAGACGCAGCACCAGGGATTCCGAAGATTGGAACTGGGAATCAGCAGATTTCTTGTCAGTGCAGTGCCAAAAGCGGATAGCAAAGCGCTCGTTAGTCGGCCCCTCTACTGTTCCGTGCATGCCATTGAGCTCCGGCCGACTCTTTAGTCCGTGAACAAGGACGATGTCCCCCTTGACGGGTGGTATTTCTGGAATTTTCGTTTTCTTCAAAAGGAAATTGGGCCGGCCGAGTAAGCTGGCCGGAATTTTGTAGTCGCTTCGCAACGTTTCATAGAAGAGTGAAATTTTCTGAAAAAATAGCCCTAACGCTTCAAAGTTCACCAACTCTTGCAGCATCGCTGTGACCGTCCTAGTGTCGACCGCGCGCAGTGAGACGGATAGTTGTTCTCCAGCCGGCAGACCTTCGTCTATGCTGTAGAAGGGTTTTCTCGCCGACGTTTTGGACCGCAATGACGTTCGTGTTGAGTTTCGCTTCCTTGGAACGCAATCCTCCGCTGGTACCTGCGACGCTGTTGTTGAACCACAGCTGTGCATAGCCGCTTTCGCAAATTCCTCGCCGGTGACTTTTTCAAACGGTTTCTCGGAATGCTCCGCCGGATCCCACCCGTACTCGTTTTCAAGTTGCTTCCTCAGCATGGCAGGTGTCAGATCGCCTCCGAGGTTTTTCTTCTTGTCTTCGCCAGAAAAACCCTTCATGGCCTCCTCGACGCAGTCGGCTAAAATTTTGTACATGGCATAGAGCGCGCGTTGACGCGATGGAACCGCCAACACTTCATTTTCGACCCGATTTTTCATCATCGTGAACATCAGCGCCGTCATTTCAGCCGGAAACATGATTCCAAAATTTGCGAGAGCAGCGGGGGGCGTCATTACGACATAGTGGCAGGCTCCGTTTTCCCTTCGCATTTTTTCCTGTTCCTCTAGCTGCTGCTTGCGGCACTCACGTCTCTTGAGCTCTGCAAGACGCTGAGCTACGGTGCTGCTTATCATATGATGCTCCTTGGGCGACGGCTGGTCGTCGGCAGTGTTATTTTTCGCGACATTCGCGGCACCCACGGCGCTGAGAACCCTAGCTCGCAGTTGGCGCCCGATATCCGTCGCGGCACCATCGGCGCCCGAGGTTTGGACCTTCGGCGCAAAGACAGTGAGCAGCCGCGCCCACTTGTCAGCCACTTCTTGGTAACGGCGCCACGTGAAAAATTCCGTGCTTAAATGCGTCGCGATGTTGCCCGTTATGAGTGCAAAAGCCAGTGAGAAGCGGTCTAGCACGTAGACTTTCGATATATACTTGGCGTGGACTAGGTCCACCAGGAACAGGAAGGCGTTCGTCACTGACTCCATAAAATCCTGAAGCGGCAGAATCTCCGTCTCCGCGTTTCCCAAATTTGTTTTCAAATTCGACATCGTACTTGCTTCCTCCGCCGTATTCATCACTCGGCACTCCGTCGCCAAAGTGGTGTTGAATCGCAACAGCAAGCTCTCCAATAACTTCTGTCGGTGTTCCTCCATTCGTTCGCTGCGACGCCAATACTTCCTTTCCATGTCATCCAAAAGACACACCATCTCCCAGAGACCGCGAAGCTCGTGCTCCGACAGGAAAAAGGGCGCTGTGTTCTGGCCTTCACCGCTCTCCTTCGTCCCATTGTCCTCAACGCGACCGCGGTTCTTGTCCAGAACACGGAAGACGCGACCACGTATCATCGTAAACAGTGCGAAATCCAACTCCTCCTGCATTTTTAAAGGCACAGCTTCGGACCAGAGGAATTTTGCGTCTGGTTCTTCATCTACGGAATTTGAATCCTTGGTCTGAGAAGTATCTTCAGTCTTGTTGTTCCGACCATTTCCCGACGGCCGTTCTTCGACAGTGGTGCCGTTCATCGTAGCGAAAGTGTACAAAACGACTTCTTCGAGTTGCTCGCATGCTTCTGCCTGCAAATACTGCGCCAAATCCGGCGGTTCTCCTCGATCGGCGAGAGCGGTTACTGGGTCAAACACAGCCGATTTTTTGTTGTGTGTTCCTCTATGAAGAGAAAATGAAGCACTTTGTCTTTCAGCATGTTTCGCAGAAGTGTCAGAAAGTAATTTCCGCTTACGCATCCACACTTTCAGGACAGCCTCACCGAGTTCGTATCTTCCGCCAGCACCGAGTTCCACCGCGAGGCCAAGAACCGCTTGTGCTTCGCGCTCGCACTTTTCGAGACGCTGCTCCCGAAAAACACGGACCTGCTCCACCATTGCTTGGTGCAACGACGCCTCCCACTCGAACGAGTCAACAAGCAGATTGCTCTCCGCGTCGTCCCAGTCCTCGTTGAGGCAAAGACGGCGACCTGCGCTCGTCTTGCTACGTCTCGAATCCTTCTCATCTCCAGAAACGCCACGACCAGTAGTTGGGCTATCTTTAGGAGCGTTCGGTGGGCCACTGCCACTTCCCTTCTTTTGTCTCGCAGCGTACTCAACCTCGCGATCGTACAAGTGCTGAAGGGTGGCGAAAAAAACTGCTTTGGAGACATCGTTTTTTGAATGTACACTCACGGGGATGCAGCCTCGCGCTTCCTTTGTCCAAATGTGGTGGGAACCGGTGACTCGGTCACACACCCATCCGCGGAGCTCTAATACGTGAGATAAACTTCGATACGCCATCTTTATGTCCTGTTCGAATTTCTTTGCTCACAGATAATATGCTCTAGAAAAACCACGATAAATATTGAATTTTTTTGATCAGTGCGAATGATCAACGAAAAAGCTCCACCAGGTTATAGTCTAAGATTCATTTGCAGTCGTTAAAAGAACACAACTGCATTTTACGGTACATAATTAAAGAAGTAGTCAAACAAGTCGCTGACCAAATAAATCGAAAATGAACATGAAAAATTACACGCGCACCCTGCGAGAAGCCACGGGACGCGTGCCTTGTTCTGTTATACTGAAGGAATTTCATGATAAATTGTTGTATTTTTGTAAGTGAGACGGGCTCACAGTTGACTCATTGTTCACTCGGCATTGACGAACCACAGATCAGATTGGTTGATTGATTGATTGATTGATTGATGTGCCCACTCATGGGGTAGAGCTTTTTTAATTAAGTGTGCAGGTTTGTAGTGCTAATCCTTCTACTCTCTGCTGCACTTCTTCACAAGGAGTGCATCTTCTTCATCAGAGTGCACAAGACCAGAATCATTGTTAGATGAACTATCGAAGAAAAGAGCTTGTACGTAGGAACTACCTGCGGATCATCTCCCAAAAAATTCTCTCAGAGACCTGGAACCTCGACAGACAGGTTACTCTTCTTCACTCTTCGGACCTATCTAGATTATCGCTTAGGTAAGATTAAAGGTTTGTCATTGCCTTCATCTTGCCCATTGCAAGTATCAACCACATGATGTTGGTACTCAAAACTGGAGACAGCGATAAGGAACATGAACAGACGTCGAAAAAGCGGCTTGGTGAGACCGTCTTGGTGAGACCGTCTTGCTGGCGTTTTTACACACACTTACGACACGGCCCCACGCCAGCTCATCCGGCGTCTCCCGATGTCCCGCGTCTTTGTGACGGCTCTGCCGACAAGCCATACAAGCCTACTCTTCGAGATCTTGTGGTCCATTGTGAAACTTGATCCAAAACCCCACTGAAAGCCGAAGCCTTCTGATCCAGTGCCGCAGCGTCAGCGTCCTACTTAGCTAACTACCAGAAAAAAACGTGGCTCATGTCACTCAGTATCTGGATTGGATTTCTAGTCTCTCGCATCTGGGAATTCGAATGAGGGTACTAGTCACGTCGTAAACTACACCCATTCTTTATCCTCCGAACCGCAACCGAATAGATGCTACGAGGCTGGAACCGTGACCAGGAGGGGCTTTTCGAGCGCTCCCGCCATATCCTTTCCTGGCGGAGGCGAAGAGCGGAAAAGCGCGATTCTTAGAGACAATGACAAACTAATGATAATATAGGCGACCTGGGCACTTCAGCTCACATGTATAACGTGAACTTTGTTTTCAGATGAAGCGAAAATATTTGAAGTCTTAAAATCTTTGCGCGTGCTTCGCGTTCGGCAGTGGTTGCTTCCCGCGGCGTGCCAGCGAGTGAAGCATCTAAGGATCCCAGCATCCATTCGGGGTCGGCAAACCACTCCGCATTGTGATCCCATGCCCGCATGTGCAGCAATGCTATCGGTAGGCACTCCATCGTTGTCAATGTGGACAGAATTAGAGCTCCGCACAAGCAATAACTGCTTTAATCCTCGACGCAACAAGAATTTCATGCTCAGGTACACACCTGCTGACTCTTAGGTATGAATATTTTTACCCTCGTGCCTTAAATAGAACAACATCTGCTGTGGTTCCGTCAGCCAGTGTAACGCATCGACTAAGACCAGCTTTAGCACAAACGTTTGGAGAAATGCAAGACTGACAAGGACCTTCGCACCCCAAAATTTCCAGAAAGGATCAAATCGGTCGAGCCACTCGTGAAGTTGCGTCTCGAATAGGATGATGTTGTACCTGCTCGAGTTTGGTATCGGGTACCTTCTCGGCTGCCTTGATATCGGAGATGTTGAATTTGTCATGTGCTGCGGAACAATACAAAGACGATAGAAAACTGCCATGGATAAGCAGATGAAAAATTATGAAGTACAATGCAAGACAGCTCGCGACAAATCCTGCTCCCGATATGTAAGTCCCGACGCTGGCCATTGCTTCACCAACGACAGGCAGTTGCGTGACATTGAGACCCACAGTCTTCTTCACTAAGCTCACAACGGGCTTTAGAGAAGTACTGTGTTCATACCTGTAGCGGTTACACTGTTTGTCGTAATTTGTGTCCTTGACGCATCGGTGCTTGAGTACATCTGCTTGCAGATGATTCTTCAACAGGTCGAAGAATTCAACTTGCCGCCAAGGAAACAACGTGAACCTAGTGCTTGAAATTACCAGAGTGGAGAAACCATCATTATTCTTCTCTGGCCGCCTATCTAACGCAAGAACCTTAACATAAGAGCTGATAGAAACAGCTTAACCCGTACACCAGTACAAACGTTTGTACTCCCAAGAGGGTGATAGAACTGAGCGGCTTGAAGAGGCGTTTGGCCGTACCCTCCCATCGCTCCTGTCGGCTCACATTCTTCACCTGTCGGACGCAGAGACGGCTGAAGTAACATTAGAGGGGACAATGTCCAATTCTTCCGACACGTTTACAGACCAGACGTCTTGCGGTCACCGCGATTATCGAGAACCGCATTACCCGTAGAACTACTCTGAATTTCCTGCTTGTAGTACTGGCACAACTCTAGTACTAGTACAACCACTCTTACGACAGCGCAGTACAAATTTAGCCTTAACACCAAATGGCCCACGCTTCGTAGAGGTCGGCTAACTGGTAATTGCTTTCGTAGTAATCGACAAGCTGCTTTTTCCTGGTTGATGAAACAGAAGCTTTTCGCAGAAAACTTCCATTACAACTGTACCCTAATAGTATGCATGAACCGCTTCTACACAAGTGAACTGTCAGATCTTCATCAGCCGATGATACTTTGAAGCTACATGTAGTAGAGAACATTTAATGTTCAAGTACAACATAAAGATTCGATATCTGCCGCGTTCGTGTTGTGCGTGCTTCCTGTCATCAACATCCATACGCGGACGACTGATTTGAATGCCATCATCGAGTACACACAAGGAAGTGCGATCACTTGGATCGAAAGATCGTGTGGAAATATCGCCTCGAGGAATGGGTCCTTGATATGCTCCTCATCTTTAGGTATAAACAGTGACGAAAAAAACGACGGCTTGTCTTCCTCCACTAGTGTTGCGTTTGTATCTGGCGCTGAAGAGTTCGTTGCTAAAGCAGGACCGACTTTTGGGGACTCTGCAATGGCGGTTGCTTGCGACGTCGGCGCCGAATGCCCGCCATGACTGGCCGACACAGTATAGCTAAAAAGCGAAGCTGGTCCACTGCCCTTCTCTGCCGCGCCGGACCGGAAACCATACAATTCCAAATACTCTTTTTAGAAGAACAGCTGGAATCCTTTTGAATACTATTTTGTGTTTGAATTACATCATCGACGAGGAACACACAACGCCTTCTAAATACTAATACGTTCGTTTCATAAGCAAAAGTGAACATGTCATCAAACTTTGTGCCTTAATGTTTCAGGCTCTGAGACAATACGCCAGTTTCCGCTGCACGCTGTCGCTTCGCTAGCACGGTGTCGATGTGCCAGTGGTGTTGCACGGTATGCACCAGGGATACCAGGAAAGTCGCAATTACAAAGAAGGGCGTACAAAGACTCATAATTCTTAGCCAGTTCGGCAGAAAATAGCGCTCCTGTTCGTCCGCTGGTAACAAGGAGATGCTGAACTTGTCGCTCGCCCGCAACCAGTAGAATATGAATGAGGTAGTTCTGAATTATATTGTTGGTAAAAACCGCTCGGAAGTGTATGCGTAGATAGTTTGTTGTAGAGATGATAAAACAAGATCTTCAATTTTGTCTAAATCTTACAGTATTTGCACGTTTTTTCGTACTCAGGTAATTGTCGACTCGCAACCTTGGTGACGAACTTTCTTTACACCACTTGACGAAATAAAAATTTCTTTTCTAGCCCGAGACATTATTCTTTCCAAAGCTTTTGTTGGTCTTGCTGCCATAACAAAGTCGCATATTTCATACTGATATACATGCTGCAAGTCCACGAAAAAGAGTCCGAGGAGGAAAAGATAAAACCAGATGTAGTATGCTGTCCAATATCTGCCAGTGACGTTCAGATTGTACGTGACCCATCGGCGGTAGATACTAAAGAATATGAAACCTCCGAAGAGGAAGACACCAGTAAACATCTTTTGCGTCGCCTGTCAGCGTGTCGTCGTAGCCTTCGGTATCAAATGCGCGGCTCCTTAAGCCGTCATGCAGTTTGAAAACGAAAAATACAGAGTTTCGTTTCTCATTAGCTTCATGTTGATTTTTCTGGCCTGGCACGAAAGCCAGTGTTTAGGAAGATCTTTTCGCTTGCTACTGAAGTACACCACCAGTTTCAAAAAGACGCAAGACGAGGTATCCCTCATGCACACCAGTATAAATGTCTCATCGATTTCTCAAAAAATACTTCGTCAAAAAACATCTCCGGCGAAGTATCGCCGCCTGCATTTACAGATAACTGCTTGCGTTTACAGATGACTCTACACAAATTTTTCCGAGATAGAAACAGAATCCACAGAAAAGAGGTGTGGACGGGTAATTTCGCGTTGTCCGTGACCGCGACAGGCGCGACGGGTCGGTGTCATGGTTGCGCGACTGCCGCTAAGCAGCCTGGGCGGTTCCCCATCCCCGGAAGGCAAAGGAAATGCATTCTTCGATGCGCAGAAGACATGTTCAAAAAAGTTAGTTTCCAAGTAATGCCGCATATCATTCCGAATCTTAGGTGAACCAAATGAATTCCTCCAGTCATGCAGGTTTGCAGCATCCATCCCTAAGTTCGTTGCTTTCGCGCAAACTATCTCACAATGCTGTACTGTCTGGGCAAGATGCACAGCCGACGGCAAAACTTCATCTGCGGCTTCCCCACTAACTAGAATTAATCGAGAAAGTGGCGTAGACGCAGCTACGCTTCTCGCTAGATCTGTGTGTATTCCACCCTGATCAAGAAACCTTTTTCCGGCGACGTCTCTATATTTGTTGCAAGTTGTCTTGCTCCCACTACTGGAGTCCCCTTGATTTACACCCTCAACTTCAGAGGCTGTTGTACTATTTACAAGATCATTATATTTGCTTGCATCGAGCATAATGTGCCTGCGGCGCCCATATTTACTTGAATTCATGTCAATATCACCCATAGATGTGGCTAGAGCCTCGAATCCTGCTCTACCCGCTCGTCCGCAGAGGAGAACTAATTCTTCAACGGTACTAGCTGCAGGTCCGTCTTTCAGGGAAGTCAGATGCTTTCCAAGCCAGCACAGGGTTGGATCTCCAATGGCGTAGTTGAGCAAACCCAAAGTCTTTAGTCTTGGCAAAGACAGACACGCAGCAAGAAATCTCTCAACCGCTGGTCCATCTCCGAACTGATTCCCACCGACTATCAGAGTCTCCAGAGAACTTCTGGTGCAACCTCTAGATCTAGAAGTCCCGAGAGGACTGTCGTAGCCCTCAAGAATTCCAGAGACCAGTGCATCGAGGCCACAGGCAGATATTTCCTTACCCACTAACACTAGCCTGCGAAGTTGTGGTATCAGTTGCCGCGATTGGTCCACTGAACTCCGACGAGGTCTACTTGGGGGTACTGGAGTCTTATGAGCTTCGATAACGTAGCTGCTAGCGCGAGAGGAGCAAGCAGCTTCGGACTCCGTTCCGTCATCCTCAAATGTAGTCCGGCACCGCACGAACTCTCGTATTGTCTTTGCCGTGTCTTCAGGCATATCCAATCCACAAGACGAGGCGATATTTTCACGTCCGTCAACCTCAAAACTAACACGGCCATGATGATCTTCATTGTTTTCATCATCCCGGATAGTACTATGGTCACTTTTCTGGCCGCGGTGCTCTTGTTTATCTAGTGCCGAACCACTCCTTGTCTCCTCTTTTTCTCTCCTTGCAATGTACATTCGAGCCAGTGCGTCGCAGCTTGCATCTCCAATCAAAGTACCAAATAGCGCTAATGTTTCTAGTCCCGGAAAAACGCGTGCAACGCTGCGCATAAATTCGTCAGTTTTAGAGCCGATTGTGCTTCCAGGGATATTATCGAGTCTTTTTCAACGAAGAAAAAAACCTACTTAGTTACTTTCGATTGAAGAATTAATCTGGAAATAAATCCTCTTCTAAATCTAAACGGAAGTAAAGTTCATAACTGAAACTCCGTTTCGCCGGGGATGTGCTACTACGAGTACTCGAAGAATTGTGGTGGATTTCGTCGAAAATTTCAGACTGTTCAAAAGTGCGCCAGCAGTTTGATCACTGAGTGCAGCGGTAGTTAGCACGAGTTCACGTGGAGAGAAATCTGCGGCGCGCAAACTTGAGGCGAGAGCTAGCAAATGAGACTCCGTGGCCCATTTCCCTATGTGGATTTTCAACGGCCGCTCTGTTCCTACAAACTGCCGCAACGCATCTGGGTTGGATATAAAATTTCTAGTACTACTAGCTAAAGAAGAGAACACCATCATGTTGTCCCGCGAAAAATATTCGCAAGGTGCTCATTAAGATTATAGCAGCAGTTACCATTCTCATTGGCAGTAGGGAACGACCCCCACTCGTCGGTGAAACTTCAAAGAGAAGCAGTACTTCGTAATGACCATGTACCTTTCTCGACTGTCCCCCAGGGAGTTTCGAACCATTGCGGGTCGAGTAGGGAGAGACTCTTGGTACCCGGTTGCAGTATTTCCTTGAAGACAGTCGTTCGCGATCCAGCGCCCAAACCATGTGGTCCACGAGCGCAACCGTGGGAACATGGGTTACGACAAAACAGCTGATCAAAAAAAGCAACAACCATCTTTTCCCGAGGAGTCAGAATCTAAAACGACCACAGCTTGGGATAGTTACGAAGGAAGAAGAATGCCGCGAAACTTTGAATTACTAAAAGAAATCAAGAGCTTGATAATCCAACGACCCAACATACAACTCGTGGGTGGTCGATAAGATCGTTTCTTCCAACCCTACCCTAGATAGTCCAGAGCTTCGCGTTTCACTCGGAAATCATGATCTATTCTCAATTAGTGGCTGTGCGAACACGCTCTCTCCAAACCCGGCGGTCCATAATCGAAGACTGTGCGACTTGCGCACTGGCCCGCCTTGCGCTCAATTCGTAAAAGGTGCCCATTGAATTCTTACGTTTCTCCCCATGATAACTCACTTCACCAAGCAAAAAAGGTTACGGACTCCAGTTCATTCATTGCCAGAGGATCACAAGAGGATCCTTCTGGATGAACCTGTGACATCGCGCATCGCGCAAACTCAAAAGCACTAGCCATATAGCGCGCAAACTATTCATACCCCCCGCTAAGAAATAAACTATCCATACTTATTCAACTTTGCAATCAAGGATATAATAGTGTCGTTGTGACAGATGACATTGGATAAACAGTGTGTTGCTGGTGAAGCGCTTCCAGCTTGTGTGATAATACCATACGTGACAGTGTTCGAAAACCTTTGGGTGTGTGTTGAGAGCCGCGTACTCGCGGCCTCGTGATTAAATCTAGTTGCAAGCATTGTGACATTTGAATTTGATAAACTTTGGACTTGTACTTGATTCTAACGAATTTCTTTGACTCATGCTCATAGTGTACGAAAGTCGTAAATCGCTTGAACACGTTTACATGTACTCGGACGCCCCATAGTGCGGTAAACAAAAACAGCAGAACTCTGCAAATTGATAAACAGCAGAACTCTGCAAATTAATTCCGTCTGATCTCATGCAAGTTGTCTAGGCAAGCTACTGCATCGCTCCATCGATCGATCACACGCTAGCGAGTACCAGTACTACCGTTAGTGGTGGCCAGACTGGAAATGCTCGGCATGTCTTGACTGAAGTACTCGCGCGTGCTTGAGTGCAAATACCAGTTTTTATTCGATTCTAGCCGCACAAAGTCCTCCCTCCATCCAGCGCCTCGCCTCGAATCTATGAGAAATACATCAATGTGCAACATGCTTCCTTGAACGAAAGAATTGTCGCAATCTACTCACGGCCGCCGATAAACGAACTCGGACGGTCACCGCTTAAGCGACTCGGACAATCACCGCTTAAGCGACGCTTCCGTTCACCGCTTAAGCGACACGACAGGTCACCACTTAAGCGACGCGGCCGCTTATAACCTAAGTACCGTGGCAGGTCACCATTTTAGCGGCCCGGCGAGTCCCCGCGTAGCAGACAACTTGCTGGCACTTAGTACCTGGTGGCGAAGGGCTGTATCGCCTAAGCGGTGATCGACCGCGTCGCTTAAGCGGTCACCGGCCGAGTCGCTTAAGCGGTGAACGGGTGGGTCGCTTAGGCGGTGGCCGGCCGACTAGCCAAAAAGTGAGCGGCCAAGTCGCTTTCTTCGGCTAAGTGCACCGCGAAAACATTTATTAAGGGGCTGCCCCTTAAGTGATGCGCGAAACCGCTACGGGGCTGCCCCTTAAGCGCTGCGCGAAACCGTTAAGGGACTGCTCCTTAAGTGCTGCGCGAAACCGTTAAGGGACGGCTCCTTAAGTGCTGCGCGAAACCGTTAAGGGGCTACTCCTTAGGTGCTGCGCGAAACCGTTAAAGAGCTGGCCCTTAAGTGCTGCACGAAACCGTTAAGGAACTGCTCCTTAAGTGCTGCGCGAAACCGTGAAGGGACTGCTCCTCAAGTGCTGCGCGAAACCGTTAAGGGGCTGCCCCTTAGGTGTTGCACGAAACCGTTAAGGGGTTGCGCCTTAAGTGCTGCGCGAAACCGTTAAGGGCCTGCTCCGTAAGTGCTGCGCGAAACCGTTAGGGGACTGCTCCTTCAGTGGCGCGCGAAACCGTTAAGGGGCTACTCCTTAGGTTCTGCGCGAAACCCTCAAGGGGCTGCCCCAGAAGTGTTGCACGAAACCGTTAAGGGACTGCTCCTTAAGTGCTGCGCGAAACCGCTAAGAGACTGCTCCTTAAGTGCTGCGCGAAAACGTTAAGGGGCTGCCCCTTCGGTGTTGCACGAAACCGTTAAGGGATTGCCCCTTAAGTGCTGCGCGAAACCATTAAGGGACTGCTCCTTAAGTGCTGCGCGAAACCGTTAAGGGACTGCTCCATTAGTGCTCCGCGAAACCGCTAAGGGGCTGCTCCTTAGGTGCTGCGCGAAAACATTAAGGGGCTGCCCCTTAAGTGATGCGCGAAACCGCTAGGGGCTGCCCCTTAAGTGCTGCGCGAAACCGTTAAGGGACTGCTCCCTAAGTGCTGCGCGAAACCGTTAAGGGGCTGCCCCGTAAGTGCTGCGCGAAACCGTTAAGGGACTGCCCCTCAAGTGCTGCGCAAAACCGTTAGGGGAATGTCCTTTGAGTGCTCTGCAAAACCCATGAGCCGCATACAACGAACGTGCGAATGCGAGAGAATGACGTATGTTGACTAAAAAAGATAAATTCCGAAGCATATTTTGATAAGTACTTGCCGGCGCAGTGGAAGGCTTCCCTAGACTTGGATCGATGACATCTAGTGCCTCCCTGGAGGCTAAAGCCGTCAGAAGCCGCTGTTCCTGCACTTCTTTGCCGAGAGGACCCAGCTCTATGTCAGGCGTAGTCTGTGGCCTATTTGCCGCAACGTCCTGCCATTGGCTGTGAATTGCGCCCTGCACGGTCGGCCTACTCGTTGGTACAATTGGCGGTGGTTCCGGAAAAAATTGTCCATTACCTTTTCGTGTCGAAGATGAGCATTAGTAAACCAGGCATTTCTTGATTTCATCACTGCATCACAAAGAAAGTAGTTTCGCTGACTAGATCCTAGTGAATCTTCTCTGTTGTGTGAAAAGGATTTAGAAGTTTCCTTGTCTGAGAAAAGGATTTTATCTAAGGCTACGGAAGTACCTTCAGTCCAAGGCCGTGGCATAAACTTGTATCGGTTTTGTCGTGTCCGGATCACATAGTCGAGTTGCTCGTCGGGTATCTGCCTTGGAAGGTCGAAAAACCTGAGGGGAGATGAAGTACTATCATCTCTGAATCATACTTTTCTCAAAATGTATGAAACGAATTCTCTATCTTACAACTAATACAGTGCATTCTCGAAAGGGGTGAAACAAGCAATGAGGAAGCAGAACAACCCCTCTATATGTTCTTAGATGCTGATAGAAACACATTCATAAAAACAAGTAGAAGTACTCTCGTTGCGTTATTATTTTGCCGTCATTTCTGTAGGTGACGTGGTGTCGGTCGAACCAATCGGGCATATCCGAGTGCACTTTGAGATGTAGCCACTCGGGAATACTCTCCTGCAACCCGAGTTTTCGACCCTTCTTTGACAACATCCGCCCACTCGCTAGTCGATACCATCTCTGCGCGCTCTGTTCTTCTCGGGTCAGTGGCCGACGCTGCACCGCTTCCTGCCGCAGGTGGGCGTTCACCTTTGATCGCGCTCCGACTGCGTGGTCCCCAGAAAAAGGAATGGCGAACGGGTTGGCCTCCTGTCTTGCGACGACTTCGTTCCGGCCCTTTCCCGTCGAGCGCTGCGAATGTCGCAATAAGGAAGTTGACACGAAGGGCTGCAAGTGCGATGGCAGCGTCGAAACCGAGCTCTGGAGCGAGAAGTGCAGGCCTTTCATGATACTGTCCATTTTTTCCGACAGGAAGCTGTTTTCCGGTGAAATCATCGGAATTGCTGGACCTCTACCTGGTTGTTCCATTCGTGGTGAAGCCAAGGCGGCTGCCGCCATCGATGCAGTGCTGTTTCCAACATTCTCCTTGTCGTCCTCACCGTCGCCGCCACTCGTTCGTGACGCCGAATAGTCGAATCCCTTTTTGGCGCCGCGTTTTTTCTTAGCGGGCGAGGCCGATTCGGCAACCTTGGCCCGGCGACCGGGAGTTCGTTTTCGTCGCATGTTCCTCCTACGCCTCTTGTGTCCGCCTGGATCCCTGGCCTCCGCCTCTGCCTTCAAACGAATGTGCTCTCCCATGAAGAAAAAACTTCTTTTACTCTACATATTGCACATTATGTTATTCTAACCAGGAGGAAACTGTCGAAGATGATATCTGTGCCGTAGTTTCGTTCAATCGAATAAGTAAGAGTATCATAACATGAGACCGAAGATCAATGCCTCCATTCTATAAAAACTAACTCAACAAACTGTTGGTCATGGTCGTAAATCCTTGAAACTATCACAAAGATCCAACAAGATCAGAAGGATGAAGATCATCAAAATGACCAAGATCGCCAGGCAAAAGGTTACCGGAGCACTATCCAAACGCCCGACGGGTTTACCGTCGCGCGGGTGTCTCTGGTTTCTCCTCTCTCTCTCGTTTGTCGTTTCAAGTCTCTCAACACAGTCAAGGACAAAGCAACACAGGAAAGATCTCAGAGATAACCTACAGACCTAAATGCGTATGGTTCCAAAATCAATGATCAACAGGCAAAGGACCCTCAACGTATGCAGATAGCAGAAACAACGAATGTTCATAGCTGTAATCAGGTTCGTAACGTTTTGCCAGTTCTGATCAGTTCAAAGAGCATATGGATAATCGTGTGAGTCAATGACGATAGCATAGGCGTTCCCATATGAAGCATATGAAAGCTTTCCCATGCAACATGATATCCCAATGAAGAAGCTGAGACTTCCTTCCCTTGCAACCCCAATGAACATCCACAGGGATCAAAGCAGCCAGAGATCATTTGTCTCAGGCTGTTAGTGCAATCTGTATCAAACTCAAACGCTTCTCAATGAGAAACTAGACGGGACTTAACAGTCTGTGTTCGAATGTTCCAACACAAACTCAACAACCCGTATCTTTTAAGCGTTGAATCTCCGCTGGGTCGGGAAGACCGCGAAAAGGATATTTTTTCAGCTCGTGCCGAGACGGGTTCCATGCAGTATAGGGTGCGTATACCACCTCGTCGGCACCTAGTCGTTGTGGAGCAAGAAACGGCGACGTCTGCGGACGACTCCGGCTTCCAGAGGAGCCTCCATTTTGTTGGTTTCCTTGGCCTAATACCGGCATGCTTTTCCATCAATTTACTCGTTGTACTAGTTGTAGAGTGTAGTGGGCTTTTCGGCGTAGTTGTAGTGGTCTCTAAGTTACCTTTGGGGATTAATATGAAGGGTTGACTCATCTCTCACGCTGTGATCACGAGTACTCAACTTCTTCTAGGGGGGAATATCATAGGGCTGGCATTCTTCACATCAGAGGTCTATGATCGCTTCCTTGACGTACTTCGTAGTATGAAGACGTCTAAAAGCCTGTGAAGCGCAACATCTTTAGTTTTTGTTTTCCTTACAAATAATTAAAAATTATCAGGCGCGACTACTATAAACCCGACTCGAAGTAAAGCTCAAATACGAACGAGAGTGGGTAACAGACGACTCAACTTTGATCGGCCACAGACTACACCGACCACCAGGAACCGACGACGTGACTCAGCATCCACAAATCTCTCTAGACAGAAGCTTAGGATCACGATAGTCTCGCAATGAATCGTGTAAATGCTAATTGTAATACTCAGGCCTTCGGAAAACCACCATTGATCGATTGACCAGCATTCACGTAATAGATACAAGATTCATGATCGACCTATAATTCCGATTATCGGCGTTGGAACTTACTACAATCATCTCGACGCCGGCAGCCTTCTACAATGTAATATGCGATGATCATATATATAAACAGCGAAACCACGAGGACGCGAAAACAACCTGGGCCAACGAATCGATTGTTCGACGCCGACTAGTGCTGAAATTTTTCTAGACTAAATATGTGTGTTAGATTCTTGGAAAAAGCAGGTGTTCAAACGAAGAGGTTGCATATCTAGTCGTAGGTGCGAAACTCCAACAGTGCCGCTCTCCCCTTAGTCGTATGCGATGTTCAAAAACGATTGCCTTTATGGTCAAAAATAACTTCGAAAATACTGCGGTCATCGTCTTCACGTGTGGTCATTATGAGTAGCATAATTGTGTTGTACTATGGAAATCAAAATTCTGATTCTTCAAACCCTTTTGAAATTTGCGTTCTTGCAACCATGCAGACACGTTTGAACTCTACTATGACAACAGCTCTTAACAATCACAAGTTTTGTGTCTTCGCCTACCTCATCTTTTCACGTCTCGCCAATGCATGGCGATGTTCGCAATCTCAAGAATAAGCTAAGCGCCCTCCTTTAAATATTCATTCTGTTCATACATAGCTCCGGTGCCACAGCTTGTCTGCGCACTCCTTTGAATGCGGCAATCATCGGTGGAGGTGGAGATAATTCATTAGTCGTTGTGTCTATAAGGCAACTCTAAAACTACAAATCCAACTCACTACATGATTTTTCACTGTTTCATCCACAAGAGATCAGATATTTGCCATAGCGAGTTAGATATGTCTAAAAAATATACAAAACCGGGAACATGCATGCAAGACACTTGTTTACTGCCGTAAAAAAATTCATTAAGAAAACCTCGTCTTCGTAAAAACAGCGCGGGCCTCAAATGTGGGCAATAATTGATACTGCCGGGCAATGAAACAAGCGGTCGCCAAAAAAATGCCTTCGAGTTCCTATCTGTTAATACTGGTCGTGCCGTGAATGCTAATACTTATGTTTTTCGGTCTACTCATCAAATATCTGCCCTTGCTAGCTCTGCTACTAAGGCTCTGCTAATCAGTCATGTGGTGGGGTCGATCGTAAACAATCAACCTAGCAAAAGACGCGGAGACCAGTAGCAATAGATGTTGACACAAATCAGACTGGATCAATGAATGACAGCCAAAAAATTTTTTTATTCACTGCATTCTTGTTCAGGAATTATTTACATAACACTTTGATACCAAGGAGTCGGAGTTACTAGCTGAAAAATGATGAGAGCCATATTTGACAAAGTAGTTCTGATGCTCGTCGGGTTACTCACGTCATGAAGGCTCTATTTCTTGAAAAGTTCTGGGCATCATGATCGGGTGTAATTATCCAAAATGATGAATGCTACTCGGATAAAGTCCCTAAAAAATAGCATGCGCGGGCACATGTCTAGTCAGGTACTCACTCATACTGGTTGTTGTGGTTCATCTAGCAGCGCTAGTGCGTGGTTATGCATTTTCAATTGGTCGCGCACAGGCAACTATGACGATGATGTTAGTCGGTCCGGATTGGACCTACGACTTCCCTGAATCTCTTCTGTGCACAAGCAACGATATTGATTTACAATACTGCACTTTTGATTGTGCCTCGTGTAATCCCTTAGAAATATTTCGCGACCAGCCTCTTTCAAGTTTGACTAAATAATATCCTGACTCAAGGAAGCCGCTCCACGCTTCAACCGAACTATGCTAAACCAATCAAAAACTTAAACATTTTCAATCGCGAACAAATGCAGCTACATGAACCGGTCATCATCCAAGACGAGTAAAGCTCTATGCAAAATGTACCTTTGAGATCTACACGTCGTCGTTTAGTAGATTTCTTGTTTTCAGTCTCTTCGTTTTTAGCAAGATAGTACTGACGTAGACGAAAAGAAAGTTCTACCACGTTATACCAGTACTTGCCCACAAAGTACAACAACTTAGGAACCGATCTTCTTGTGACTCGTTATCATAAACCATAATATTAAAAATTCAAATACAAATCATCTTGGTACCATGGATGATCTCAACGAAATCATATCATTCAAATAGCAAATAACTTCAGTATGTAATTCCAGCGGATATGGGCGGCAACTCTGGTGAGGCACCGAGGAGGAAAAGTCGGTACAGGCGTCACAGGTTTCTTTATCGAAGAGGGTCTTCCAGTTCGCAGTTTTAAACGGCTTGCAGATTTTAAAGACTTTCCAAAAGTCCATCCTTATTTGCAAGTGCATCTTCCTTGCACGTGTCCGAAGACGAATCTTTTCCCAGCAACATGTTGTAAAGAATCTTCGCTGAATGGGCTACTCTTCAGAATCTTCAGGCAATACTACTGAGATGATACTACACTTACATATTTTCGACGATGGATTTTCAGCACAACATCAGGCCTTAATCAATGGCTCCATCCGTGTAGAGGTGGGGATGGCTCACTTGCGGTGGCACCGACGGGTCCACCTTAACCATGCGATTCCAATACTCGTCCACACCCTCGATTTTATCCGTAAAAATGTAATGCCTGATAAAGTGACAGAAGTATGGAGTAACACTAAAGAGGGATGGAGTAACTATTACTCAATGTCGTGAACACCAAAGAAGCATTTTCTCTATTATCATAATAGCAATAATACCTGATTTTCTTCTCTAATGGTTGACTGTTGTGGCGTAGGGCAGCATCGAGTGCGCTCTGGTAAATTAGGAAGGCGTAAATCTCGTTTTTCTGCGATTTCTCCAAAGCTCGGTATTGGTCTATGAAAATTGAGCACTGACGCAAATTTCCCACCAGTCCCCAGGCCTTCAGCATTGCGGCAGTCGCATGTGAATTTTTCACCAACAGATTACGGTAAAGCTCATAGATTTGGCTGGAGTGGTTCGAAAAACCGGAGTACAACAAGATGATTACGGTTTCCGAAACTACAGGACCAGTGTTAGTACAAAACAAGTTTTGACATCTTCGTTTTAGCTTCTCAAAATTTCCATCAACAGCTGCTTGCGGTAGAAGGCGCAGTGAGAGAGTAAAAATAACCGGGACCACGATCATCAAAACCAAGTGCATTACGCGGATTTCCAAATTTACCTGATCCACGGCGGATCCTGGGAAGTGTCAAGCTTCGAAGCACCTCCGATTCCGTAAATGTAGGATTCAAAGCACCTCACCAAAAGCGTGAGGTGAACCGGTGCGCTTATTGGCGGAAGACGTCGGGCTGGAAGGATTTTTTTTGAGAAAGCAAAAGATGTAGATAGCACTCAGGACCTTCAAGTGCACACTTTTCCTCGTGGTCGCCACGTGGAGGAATATTTTCCAGATCGATAGACAAAAAATCAGGACAAAAGCAGACTCAACAGAGCAAGACTTCAGAAATATGGAATAGATACGTCTGCTTCGGTCGACTGCTTGCATGTAGCGGATTGCCTCGAGCAATTTTCCGAAAAGAACGCGGCATACCTGGTGGACAATTTTTGTTTGATTTGGATAAAGGCTCTAGAAGCTAGTCTAAGGAAAGTCCATCAAAACGTAACATAATATCTGGTCGAGAAGAAAAGACGATATCACCTTACTCAAACTATGCAGGAATCTCTTGTCAAAAGAATCATGACTCTCTTGTATTGCCGCAGGATAGTACTTGTGGCTGTCGCTTGTCCATCGTTTTCATGAGGCCCTGGAGGTAGGCCTTAGCTGAGTTTGTGCTGAGGGAATTAGATGCGTACATTCGCTCTAAGTCGGCACGAATAGCCGCCCATGATGTAGCGTCGCGCGGCTCGTAGTGAACATACGGAGTTTCATGACTCGTCGCTCCGCCAGTGCTGTAGTACTGTTGACTGTACCCAGAGGTGTTGCTCCCTTGCGCTTGTTCTCCCCACGAATTCGTTGCGGCAGTTGCAGTAGTTTGTTGCGCTTAGAAAAAGATGAAGGAAGGACTCTTTGTTGGACCTGCCGCTAATAAGTCCAATCATCTGAAAGTACTTCTGCACGGAATGTCTATGGCTGCCACAAATTCCTTTGTTCTCGACTGTGCAGTAGATGAAATACAATCAAAAATCACTTATCATTACAAATCTCTGGTCCGCAACCTTTCGCCTCACAGAAAATATGTTATCATTCATAATGTTCGTAATTGCTGTAATGGGCGGCGCTCGCATTGTAGGCGCTACTGTGCGTGCGATCGCCCCACTCGTGGTATCCACCGTAGCCCTGATCATCCGCGAATGGCCACTCCGGTTCTGCCGTGTGCTCAGCGGAATTGCTGCCTGATGTGGCAGCTGCAGCTGCGGCCGAGCCGCTGGTCACATGATAACTAGCAGTGTGCGGCTGGTGATGAGTTGCATATCTTTGTTGTCCACCCTTGCTGCCCGTGATAGAGTTGTGTGCCCCTTTGGTATGACTATGCGACCAGTTAGCTGCGGTGCCGCTGCTGCCATACGGATTATTATTGTTGTTGCCATTGTAGCTGCGATTGCGTGTCGCAGCGGCTCCAGCTTGGCCTGCTTCTGCCGCTCCGTAATCCTTACTGGCAGTCCCCTTTTTCCCAGCTGTCTTACCCTTCGCGCTTTTCTCAACGGTCGACGAGGTTAAACTACGCGTGGTGACTTAGACAAAAAGACTCACTTGAGATACCACGAAGCCTACTATTTCATGAAAATCAAGACGAAACATGATCAGACTTGAAGCATCAACAAAACGATAATCAATGGTTCAAGAAAGATGAAAAAAACGAAGAGCATCAAATTATTGGGGACTACTTGGACGTAATTCTGAAAGCCTGGAGCGGCATTGCTGTACTTCTTGGGTTTTGTTGATGTTGTACTTGTGGGTTCTGTTGTGGTAGAAGCGGTGTAGCCTCTCGCGTTGGGTACGTTTCCGTTTGAGACATGAACATTGTAAGCGTGCTCAAGCGCCTCCCAAGCTGCCGTGCCCCATGCGTCGTCCTGAGGCATGCTCGCGCCGTTCGCACCTTGATTTGACACATCTTGGTAACTCCCGTGATGCTCTTGTCTCTGCGTTTGATGGTTATGGTGGCTGCTGGTTTGGTGCTGATGCACATGCTGGCGTTGGCCCTGCTGCTGCTGCTGCTGATTCGAAGCATGCTCTTGCTGGTAGCCTAGTTGTTGTTGCTGACCCATATGCTGTGCATGTTGCGCCTGAACTGTCTGATGCTGGTGAGTCGCCGGTTGCTGGTGGTCTACAAGCTGGTGCCGACCCGCAGCTTCGCGCTGAGTCAAATTCACCGTGGTATCTAAGAATTTGAACAAATTTTGATACAGGAATACCACATCTAAAAAAAGGGCAGAGACGTATGGACAAGTAGGAGAGGTGCTAGTTATCATCTTCTACCTCTTGATGTTGTGCTACATCGAGATAGCGCATCCTCGTCATGCATCAAGTTCTAAGTAGTACCTCCTTGAGACTGATGCCTTTGGTTCCACAACTCCGTGCCGTGGTAAATATCTCTCTCTTCACCTGAAGCCCCAGTCCAAGCCTGCTGTGCCTGATGCATGTTCCAATAGACTGGGTCTTCTACGTAGCAAGATGCGCGCGCCGGCGGCGCATCTGCTGCTCCAGGGGAACTAGCGGCTCCTCCAGGCGCATTTGAGGTAGTATTTAGAGATCCGTTTCCGGCTGTGGGTGCACTAGACTGAATATTGATTTCCGTCCTCGGCTGTTGGGCGACACTGCCATTTCCGTTTGTCGTCATGGGAAGTTGCTGTGGGTTGTTGGTCGTTTGCTGCTGCTCGACCGCGTTGTTAGACGCGTTTGGTGCTGGCATAGCGAAGTACTCATGTTGCTGACTGAGGACGCTGAGACTCATGGACTGGCCGTGAATGTCGCTCTCCTGCAAGGACACGCGACGAGCGTTCGGTTGCTCCGGGCTGCCTGCGTCTCTGCCTCCATTACCAGACTGTCCACCCAATTGCTGTTGCGGAAAAGACAGCATATTCAGGAAGCTGAAGTTCATGGTTGGCTCTTGAATATCACTTTCCTGCAGAGATATGCGCCGCGCGTGCTGTGGGACCGGACTCATGCCAGTTGCTTGCAACGTCATTTGCGACGGCTGTTCGGGCAACGTGTTCACGCTCACATTAGAAAAAGAAGACAAGAATGCAACACTAGAAAAAAATACAGCGAGTAATCTTGTCATCTTTATCAAAACCCGCCTCTGAATGTAAAAGGATTCTTAATCAGCACACTGAAGTTCATTTGCTGCCCGCAGATTTCGCTCTCCTGCAAAGACACCCGGCGTTGTCCCTGGGGCGCAGGACTTCCCATCGCGGCCTGCAACGCGAGCTGCGGCTGCTGCGCCAGTTGGGATTGCTGATCTGTTGTGAATCATGCACAGAGATTCTAAAAAAAATTACTGTGCACTTCGCCAATAATGCCGAAGTTAGCTGGGCATTACACTCAAGTGCCTGAGCAATCTCAGAATTGTAAGGTAGTCTGACGGGCATAGGAGACTCGTACCTGCAGAATTTTGTGGTGCGTTTTGGCCGATATTCAGCAGACTCTGGTTGAAATCGCGAGCTGGCGTTGACTGCATGTTTTGTCCCGCTGAGTTAGAAGCGGTCACAAATGTACCCCCTCTGCTGATCTCGTCATGGCTGATCTAAAAATGTTATCGGATGTAATTTTGCCTTCTTCGATGAAAATAAAATAAGTGCCACACGAGCTACAACAAAGTCCTTCTACTTTCAGAGCAAAAAAAGATAAGAGCCGCCTCCTAAGTGTTGCTAGCAAAGAGGTAACGCTCGTTCGTGCTGCATTCAGGGGTGGAAACTGCATGGGCGTGTTCTGCGCGGAAGACGGCAGCGTAGAAGGAAGTTGCTGCAGGGGCGTCAGTGAGTGCGGGAACGAGCTGGTTTCGTGTAGCGGTGTAGCAGCCTGCGGCAGTGGAGTCATCTGTTGCATCGAATTGGTCAGCTGCTGCATGGAACTCGTCAGTGGTTGCATCGGCGTGAGAGATTGCATAGAGCTCGTCAGCTGTTGCATAGACCCACTCGTTAGCTGCAGCGGGGTCATTTGCTGCACCGAAGACATGCCCATTGTTTGCATGTTAGATGAGTAGGACCCGTTGTGCGGCTGCGTCATCATATGTTGACCTCCTGACCCGTTCGGCGGGTTCAGTTGGTTCATCTGCGGGTCGGAAGAATGAGGGGTGAGCTGCTGCATGGGTGAAATCTGGGGCATGGGCGTCATGCAATGCGGTTGCAAAGGAAGCTCACTCGGCAAACCCTGCATTTGAGGCTCCATCTGAGGTTGCATATGTTGCATTCCTGCCATTTGCTGCTGTTGCATCATTGGTGTCAGTTGTTGCTGCATCATTGGTGTGAGTTGTTGTTGCATCGGAGTCATCTGCACCTGTTGTTGCAGTGTGTTCAACTTGTTAGAATTCAGCTGCGACACCGAAGAATTCATCTGCTGCATCGGGGTTTCCATTTGCTGATGCTGAAACGACAGTTGCTGATTCAAGTTTAGATGCTCCATCGGCAGAATGTGGGGCGTCATCCCCTGCGGCATACCCTGCATCGGCGTTAGCTGCGGCATTGGGGTCATCGGGTGGAGCGACGTCAGCTTCGGAAGCGGCTCCACCTGCGGAAGCGGTGACAAGGACTCAGGTAGAGGCAGTTGCATCGTGTGAGTTGGCGAATCAGCACTGTACATCGGCGTCGCAAAAGCCGGGAACAGCTTTAGAATAACGACTTTTTGTGATGATGGCACTGCTCTTTCTATCGTACCTAATATAATTTGATTATGCATAAAAAACGTTTAAATAGTTTTTCCAGTTTTGCAGCAAAGAAAAGATTTACACCGCATTCTGTTCAGCTAATAGAGCAGACAGCCAAAAACTTAGACGTGCTGACTCGACACCGCATCAACGCAGATTCAAATGAAGACTTTTCATCTTTTCCATCCGCGACAATTACTGCTAAAATGTTCATCAAGCGTCCGTCATACTTCCCCAATATTAACTCATCGCATCAACGAATCTTAACTGCTGTTCACCCGGTGACGCTGACGGCATCTTTGTTTCTCCAAGACGGAAGCCATGCATAACAGTGTAGTTCGGAGAAGCCTCTGGCGTCACTCCCCAATCTGCTTGTGGTGCAGCGCCCGGGCTGAAGAAGCATGATCATAATTTTGTTGCAGTGAAAAAGAGTTTTTTGATGCGAAGAAAATAATTTGCTACTGCCTGCTTAGTTCCACGGTGCCAGCTACTCTACCTATCAACAATTAGGCTGATGCTGTCTATGCGGATCCGCGAAAGCTACAACAAACAACAAATAGTAAGCAGATGAAAACCTTGACTCTGTCAACTCGTGGCGATAACATTGTCTCAAACTAAGCAAGCAACGGCTGCTATTTGCGAACGCATATCACGGGTTTCAAATCGAGAACGAGATCAACTAGTACGGCTATAATAAATTCTGTAGAAAATAGAAACTTTATGAATTAGAATTTAGGATGAAGATACTGTTGCTTGCGATCGGTGTGCGCCTTAGGAGACAAGTAGTCGCGGATATCTATGGATTCGTTACTCGGGGATAAAACACGAATTTTTGAAGGCGTTTCGCACGTCGCGGTGTCGCCTGGCTGTACGTTTCTCATCTGATCCGCAAACATTGTTTTGGTTCACCCGCAGTAAACGAAATCAAAGCAAAAAAATAGAATCCGACATTCCTCCTCCCCTTCTTGCGTTGGTTTTAAGTAACTTGTGAGCGAAAACCACGTTCAAAGACATTTATTAGAAAATGAGGGACGGTAATCATTTTGATTATATCAACCATAGAGTGTTCATTCATTACCACGCGGGCAACCTAAAACCAAGCGTCAGTATGTAACCTTCATTTGATGACAGTGCCGTCCAACGCGAACTGGTGTGCTGCCGATGCGGAATAGACTGCCAATTATGAAATAGGTCCGGTATTTGAATGTATGTTGATAAAGCCGAATCATGTACTAGAGGGCCTTCACTAGTAGCCATGAAACATACACGAGGATATAATGTTCAGTAATTTTTCACGAAAAGAAGCGTCCACCTTCAGAAGCCCTTTCTTTTTTCGGCCTCGCGTGCTTGCAATCGGTACAGCACGCTGCTACAAAAAAAGATGGCAAGTTTTTGTCTCTTCCCTCGCAGCGGCAGTCTCTTTGCTCATTTTGGGGCCTCACTCTTTATCCCTCTTTTTGCTTTACTCCGTTTGATCTACTTTGCACAGTTGCACTTGCGATTATTTGAAGAGCGTGAAAACACAGACCTATGAAGAGTTTTGGCAGAGTCCAATTCTTAGGGCTTCTTTTTGCTAGTGACGCAACGAACAACTCACATTCTGTATCCATCTCTCCCTCGTGTTTACTTTCTTGTGCGGTCGTTCGACTTCGCAAGACGGTTGGAAAAAAACCGACACGACTTCGCAAGACTGACATTAGAGCCAGAGTGCGAGCAGCGCCACATATGAAAAAATCTATCATAGACCTTCAATAACCTAAAGAGGCTGGCGTACTACACGTCCCCTTGTTAGCCTCAGTGGACAAAATGACGGTGAGCAGAAAAGTGTATTTCTTTTCCTGCGCGATACTTACATCTTCTGATGATGATGGGAAGAACGAATACAAAGCATCAAGGAAAAACGGCTCTGCCTCTGCATTCCGACTCAAGCTTCCCGGACAATTGCGGCAACTCCGGAAAGACACCGCGCGCAGCAACATCAATAACACCGCCGGGAGCCTGCTTCCGCGTCGTTGGAGTGGCGGAGCTTTACCGCGCCCTGCTTACCCAAGGTGCGAGGAGGCGCTGTTAATTTCATACGGCCGGGCTCAGAAGATCCGGGGCAGAAACCGGCCCGGGCCGGGAGACGGTAGAGCGATGGGCCCCGGGCCCGTGCGCTTGGGTGTCTGCCTGTTCATGGCCGGCCCCGGCGGGTTTCCGCGCCGCGAATGTAGCAGCCCGCCGGCTTTGTGGCCGGCCGTGTTTGCCGGGGGCGGAAAATGCCGCGGCGAGGTTCCGCCTCAGGCCGCGCAGCGCCGATCAGGCGCGCAGTGCGAAGCTTCAGCAACCGGCGGCGTCTAGGGGAAGTGGGCGGGCGGACACGTAGGTAAGCGGGCGAGTGGGTAGGCAGGCAGGCGGGGGGCTAAATAGACGGGCCGGGGCGTGGGCACGCGGGGAAGCAGGTAAAATAGAGGGGGGAGTTGGGTGTCGTAGTTATCTCAACGGCAGCGACACCCCCTATAGCGGCCTACGGGCGTCGTAGAGGCTTCACTACCCTCTTAAAGCGCTACGGAAAATAAGGCCGACGGCGGTCAGGGGGGGATGGGGCTCTAATCCCTCGGTTCTGCAAAAGAGTGCGATTTTCAAAACGCTATGGGCCATAAATCAAAGAAAACGAACCAAACAAAAGCAGGGCGCTCCCGATCTGCAAAGACCGTCGCAAAGGGAAAAAGAAGCTGCCCGCGAGAGCAGCGACCACTGCCAGGGGGCGAAGCGGGTGGAGGAGAGGCCTCGGCCTTTGACACGCTGGGGGCTGAGACGTGAAGAAGGCCGAGGCCTTTTTGGGGTCGGGCTGGCTGTCTTTAAGGCGAAGGGGAAAACTGGAGGGCCCGCACCGGGAGAAGGGGGACGAGCGGGAACACGATCAGGAGGCGAGTGCACGAAGAACGCGAGGGTCCGCGCGGGGCGGACCGGCTGCCCGGCCTGGAGCATAAGGCCTAACGCAGGGCCCTCATTTACGGACCCGTAGTCCGTTGCTCCGCTTCCGGTTGTTTCTCCTGGTTCTATTTGAGACACGCCGCGAAACCTGCCAAAGGCCGACGCGTCCGCTTTTCGTGGGAACCCACGAGGAAAGGGCTGGGGGTCGCGTTGTTCGTTGTGCTCGTGGTTGTCGTGGGGAGGCGTTTTCGACTAGGTGCGAGGTATCTCTATCCGGCATCTGCTGGCGCCGTCAGCTCTAGCGGAGGGGAGCGCTTGGCCGGGGGTCCGTTTTTCGTGGGAACCCACGAAAAGCGGACCGCGCTGCGCTGTATGCTTGTGGTCGTCTTGATGAAGATGCTACAAATGAGGCGGGAGGTATCTGCTGGGGGCATCGTCTCGAGTGAAGGGCACGGCTTGGCCCGGCGTCCGTTTTTCGTGGGAACCCGTGAAAAGCGGACCGCGCTGCGCTTCATGCTTGTGGCCGTCCTACTCCTAATGGAGAAGAAGACGCTACCCGCGAGGCGTGAGGTGTCTGCTGGTGGTGTCGTCTCTAGTGAAGGGAGTGGCCTGGACCGGCGTCCGCTTTTCGTGGGAACCCACGAAAAGCGGACCGCGTTGCGCTTTAGGCTTGTGGCCGTCTTGGTGAAGGTGCTACGGCCGAGGCGTGAGGTATCTGCTGGCGGCATCGTCTCGAGTAAAGGGCACGGCTTGGCCCGGCGTCCGTTTTTCGTGGGAACCCGTGAAAAGCGGACATCCCACGAAAAACGGACCGCGCTGCGCTTTATGCTTGTGGCCGTCCTAATGAAGAAGAAGACGCCACCCGCGAGGCGTGAGGCACCTGCTGGCGGTGTCGTCTCTAGTCAGGGGAGTGGCTTGGACCGGCGTCCGCTTTTCGTGGGAACCCACGAGGAAACTGCTGCGGGCCGTGTTGTTCGCTATGCTCGTGGCTGTCCTGGGGGGGCGTTTCCCACTAGGTGCGAGGTATCTCTATCTGGCATCTGCTGGCGCCGTCAGCTCTAGCGGAGGGGAGCGCTTCGCCGGGCGTCCGTTTTTCGTGGGAACCCACGAAAAGCGGACCGCGCTGCGCTTTAGGCTTGTGGCCGTCAAGTGCGGCGTGAGGTATCTGCTGGCGGCATCGTCTCGGGTGAGGGGCATGGCTTGGCCCGGCGTCCGTTTTTCGTGGGAACCCGTGAAAAGCGGACCGCGCTGCGCTTTACATTTGTGGCTGTCCTAATGGAGGAGCGGGAGTGCTACCCGCGAGGCGTGAGGTGTCTGCTGGTGGCGTCGTCTCTAGTGAAAGGAGTGGCTTGGACCGGCGTCCGCTTTTCGTGGGAACCCACGAGGAAAGGGCCGGGGGCCGCGTTGTTCGTTGTGCTCGTGGTTGTCGGGGGGGGCGTTTCCTACTAGGTTCGAGGTGTCTCTATCTGGCATCTGCTGGCGCCGTCACCTCTGGCGGGGGGGAGCGCTTGGCCGGGGGTCTGGTTTTCGTGGGAACCCACGAAAAGCGGACCGCGCTGCGCTTTATGCTTGTGGCCGTCTTGATGAAGATGCTACAGGTGAGGTGTGGGGTATCTGCTGGGGGCATCGTCTCGAGTGAGGGGCATGGCTTGGCCCGGCGTCCGTTTTTCGTGGGAACCCGTGAAAAGCGGACCGCGCTGCGCTTTATGCTTGTAGCCGTCCTAATGGAGAAAAAGACGCTACCCGCGAGGCGTGAGGTATCTGCTGGCGGTGTCATCTCTAGTGAAGGGAGTGGCTTGGACCGGCGTCCGCTTTTCGTGGGACCCCACGAAAGGCGGGCCGCGTTGTGCTTTAAGCTTGTGGCCGTCTTGATGAAGATGCTACAGCTGAGGCGGGAGGTACGTATCTGCTGGCGGCATCGTCTCGAGTGAAGGGCATGGCTTGGCCCGGCGTCCGTTTCTCGTGGGAACCCGTGAAAAGCGGACCGCGCTGCGCTTTATGCTTGTGGTCGTCCTAATGGAGAAGAAGACGCTACCCGCGAGGCGTGAGGTGTCTGCTGGTGGTGTCGTCTGCTCTAGTGAAGGGAGTGGCCTGGACCGGCGCCCGCTTTTCGTGGGAACCCACGAAAAGCGGACCGCGTTGCGCTTTAGGCTTGTGGCCGTCTTGATGAAGATGCTACAGCCGAGGCGTGAGGTGTCTGCTGGCGGCATCGTCTCGAGTAAAGGGCACGGCTTGGCCCGGCGTTCGTTTTTCGTGGGAACCCGTGAAAAGCGGACATCCCACGAAAAACGGACCGCGCTGCGCTTTATGCTTGTGGCCGTCCTAATGAAGAAGAAGACGCTACCCGCGAGGCGAGAGGTATCTGCTGGCGGTGTCGTCTCTAGTCAGGGGAGTGGCTTGGACCGGCGTCCGCTTTTCGTGGGAACCCACGAGGAAACTGCTGGGGGCCGTGTTGTTCGCTATGCTCGTGGCTGTCCTGGGGGAGAAGATTCCCACTAGGTGCGAGGTGTCTCTATCTGGCACCTGCTGGCGCCGTCAGCTCTAGCGGAGGGGGGCGCTTGGCTGGGAGTCCGTTTTTCGTGGGAACCCACGAAAAGCGGACCGCGCTGCGCTTTAGGCTTGTGGCCGTCTTGATGAAGATGCTACAAGTGAGGCGCGAGGTATCTGCTGGCGGCATCGTCTCGAGTGAAGGGCATGGCTTGGCCCGGCGTCCGTTTTTCGTGGGAACCCGTGAAAAGCGGACCGCGCTGCGCTTTACGTTTGTGGCCGTCCTAATGAAGAAGAAGACGCTCCCCGCGAGGCGTGGGGAATCTGCTGGCGGTGTCGTCTCTAGTCAGGGGAGTGGCCTGGACCGGCGTCCGCTTTTCCTGGGAACCGACGGGGAAACTGCTGGGGGCCGTGTTGTTCGTCATGCTCGTGGCTGTCCTGGGGGAGGCGTTTCCCACTAGGTGCGAGGTGTCTCTATCTGGCATCTGCTGGCGCCGTCAGCTCTAGCGGAGGGGGGGCGCTTGGCTGGGAGTCCGTTTCTCGTGGGAACCCACGAAAAGCGGACCGCGCTGCGCTTTAGGCTTGTGGCCGTCTTGATGAAGATGCTACAGGGGAGGCGTGAGGTATCTGCTGGCGGAATCGTCTCGAGTGAAGGGCATGGCTTGGCCCGGCGTCCGTTTTTCGTGGGAACCCGTGAAAAGCGGACCGCGCTGCGCTTTAAGCTTGTGGCCGTCCTAATGAAGAAGAAGACGCTCCCCGCGAGGCGTGGGGAATCTGCTGGCGGTGTCGTCTCTAGTCAGGGGAGTGGCATGGACCGGCGTCCGCTTTTCCTGGGAACCGACGGGGAAACTGCTGGGGGCCGTGTTGTTCGTCATGCTCGTGGCTGTCCTGGGGGAGGCGTTTCCCACTAGG